GGGAATGTGGACTACGAATTTACCTGATTGTAAAATAATTACCTGAAATTCTTCAGTTGCAGACACAAACCTATGTAATACATGTTGTCAACCTTACTATGTGGCATAAAATTCGAACTTCCATTTATATGATAATAAGGGACTCTTCGGGACGGGCAAAGGCCATAGCTACTACCCGAGGCGGCACCATGGTTGCCGCGGAAGGAAGAGAAAATTTTCGAATTTTGATGCTCTCAGTTCCCTGGAAAATGCAAACTTTACAAAAGCAATCCCTCTAATCCTATTGAAAATTCTTTTATTTTTGCAAACGGATTAAATAGGAGTTAAAAACAACTGGTACAATTTTGCCGTGGTTTTGAAAATAGCAATGTTATTGAGTTATTTCTAAAGCCAGGTAACATGAAGGCACTAGTTGTCAATTTTGTGTCCCCCTTTCCATCTTGGCATTCCTTTAGAATGTAGAAAAGGTCTGGAGCTCATTGTGAATTGCAGTTGACGCTTCTACAATCTACAGAGAAACTTTAGGGAAAATGGTCACAAGGCACACTTGTACCTGAGTAGGATCAAATTTTTTTGATTTAGTGCCAACAAGAAATCTTGAAGGCATTTATGCTTATTTTGTTAACCTTCATTCATATCAAGGAATCATATTTAAAAAAAGGAGTAACTGCCTTTGCTTGATCTTTTATTGGTTATTTATGAGATCTCTGATTGGTAAAGATCTCTGAACTACTTGACTTGCCCAAGTCTAAGTTATTTATCAAAGAAAAAACATTAAATTTGAGGAAAAAGAAATGTGGGAGGGAGGGAAGGAGGGAAGAGAAGGAAGGGGGAAGAAGGGGAAAAGGGAAAGAGCGAAAAGAAAAACTTTTTCCTGCTGATGAAAAGGAAAAGTTTTCTGCGAGAATTTCCTAGCCTCTTCTGCAGATGTCTTTTGCTTGATTAAAATAATATGAATTGCTCGGGCATTTTCTCTAAACTTCTGCATGCATTGATTCTTCACTAAATTTTTTGAAACAAGAAGATTTAGATCACTACTATCCCAAGGTTTTCTGAGATGGCCCCCCCAGTCTTCTCAGGCTAGAATCGCCCCTGTCTTCTTTTCTCCCTTCCTTGACTTGGCAAAATTTTTTTTGTTTTTTCTTTTATTAATAACTGAGACTTGGGCAAGTCAACTGAACTACCTGAAACGTTTCTTCCACTGAGCGGATTTTACACGAAATTTCCTAGTGAGATACTATAAGGGAACCCCCCGGTCGCGACGCCCCTGACCATGATATGAGAAGCCCCTTTTCATTTGTTCGAACAAATGGATAAAGTATCTTTCCTTATTTGGAATCCTTTTCACCGTTTGACCACATTTCCGGTCCGGCTTTAGAGATGACGTAATCTTTATTTGCCTGTTTGTTGTGTTGCACTCCAGTGCAGGTGGCACAGGTCAGCCTATTTAAAGGGGCTTCTTTTAGAAGGTTGCTAGATAAGCAACTCCTAGAAGAAGCAAGAATCTTTCAAAAAAGAACATTCTATCAAGAACAATCAACATTGAATTTAGGCGACGTGCAAAATAAAGAACTCAACAGGTAGGCCCCAGAGTGCAAAGTATTTTTTGTGCGCGGGGAATTATTTTCTGTCGCTTACGCTTGCGCGGGAACAAATCATGTTGCAAAATGACAGGTTAAAAGCTGCAGGATTTCATTTTTAAATAGCACTTTTAGGGCTCGAGATTAGGCTATGCGTGGAATTCACACGAAAGTCCATGTTCCAACTGCTCGGATTAATCTAAATTTGCAAAAATACGCGGACGGGATTTGAGCAAAAAATTATTTCGCGGGGAACGCGTTCCCCGCGCATACCCAAACTTTGCAGTCTGGAGTAGGCCTACGTTTATTTATCTTCAGTCAGCAAATCCAAACTTCAACTCATTTACATGTCAATTATTTCAATTCAATTCATGTGTATTTTCAACAATAATTAACTAAATACAGTATCAAAATAAAATTTTGATGTTTCAAAGCTACATTAGACAATTATACAAACTAGAAGAATAACAATACATCAGTTTAGCAGAATATTGCTGAAGGACATATGGAAAGAGCTCTGAAAGAGCTTTCGGGCCATATGCCCCCAGTGACGTGTAAAAGATCAAGAGCAGTTAATATACATGTATTCAATACCAAAATTTAAGAAAATGTTTCATGATAACAGCTATAAATATAAGAGTATCGCCGAACCATGGAATGAGTTTCATGGAATCTTGGTGCACACCCCGGAGGGGGGGGGGGGGTACTTGGATACCAAAACGACGGGGGTGTGCACTCCTAAAAGTGTTTTGGTGAACCGGCTTTAGAAAAAAAAGCTAAAAATAACACCTGGCTTTGGAATTTCTGGAAAAAAGAACAAAAGAAAACAAAAGCTTTAGTGTCAGTTGCCATGGTTGCCAGAACACCACAAAAACAATGAGCGGGCAGCCTCTTTGCTGTTATTTTTGAATAGAAAAAAAACGAAAATCAGGCAACCGGCTTTAGATTATATCCTTTGAACAGATACCCGGCCTTAGAATAAATTGCTGAAAATGATACCCGGAAAGACGTGCACATCCTGTCAGCAAAATATACAAAGTAGCCCCCCCCCCCCGGCGGTGCACAGCAACAGTAGCCACATGAAACAATTCCTCTCTCATTAATGAACTATGAATACGAATCACAGTTCTTGCATTTCCCCCTTTTCAAGCCACGACAGTCAATGTTTGTTCCCATATTGTTCAATGTGCCCCAGCCGCTGGCCCCACCCCAGCTCGATCTGAATGAGCGAGGCAGTGGGGAAAGAGGCTTAAAAATTCAACTCAATGAATAAAAATCACTGATCCTAACAAAAAGACTTTTTTATAGACTTTCTTTTTTATAGATCAGTGATATAAATAAACTACAAAAATCATTGATCTGGAACTCAGCAACACAGAAAAAAGTTAGCACATTAGGAGAGACAAGCGTCTATATAAGGTTCGGCAGTAATGACTAAGGGATGGCATTTTCCTTCAAACCATTTTCCATCAGTTGTAAGCGAGTGCTGCACTTAACTTTCTATGTGTTTGTGTAATAAAAATGGTAGCCTGTAGCCAGAGAAGAAATATGAAATAGTCAATCGTCTGATCCAAATTGATAGGCCAATCAATATATAGGCAGTCTATGAATTGTTATTTTAGAAAAAGAGGAATTTTGCAAATCAGGGCAATCAAATGTGAAATCACGCCTATGGTAAAAATGAAATCATGTTACTACTAGGTGTAACACACAAGATTCAGTTGATCAGCTAGCTTAAATCAACTCATTCAGAAAGTTAAGCTGGCTCTAATTTATAGATTCTTATGAAATTTACGTGTAGGATGTATGTTGGGATATCTGGCTGAAACATCTGCAATGAAGGCATCAGAGAACAGTTCTCTCTTTATCATCTTATATTCTAAAATAAAGATCAGGGAGACTCGAATCTAAGATAATTTTTGAGAAAAAGACCCCCTTTTTATGATTCTAGGTCTTAGGATTTTGCCTCAGATATACTCCTTTCTCAGTGAAATCATGGACAAGCGTGGTCTCATGCTTTCATTAACATTGCCCCCACCGGGCTCAAAACCCCCTCAAAACTACTGCATCGTTGAACCTTCCTCCGGGTCAGAGTCGTCGAACCGAACGGTATTCTGGGCTCTGTTAGGAGGGGGGATTTTGTTTCAGTGGAATTTAAACAATTGAAAGTCACTTGGAATGGAGGGCAATTGCCCTCGAGTTTACATGTTAAAGGCCCTGATCGACTTGATCTGACACGCTTTGTCATATTTTATCAAGCTCATGTTTCTAGATTGCTGCAGTGTTGTGAGCGAACACTGAAAGAAGACAAATTTAATTGTGATTTTCTTTCAATTGCTTGCTTGTTGTATGATGTTCTTTGATTTTATGGTTTTTTCTAAACCAGGTGATTTCTTTTCATTTTTCTCTCGTACTTCAAACTATTTATCTTAGATTTATGTCTACAGTCCTCTAGAATTTAACTCTTTGCGAACCACTCTGTGGTACTTTTCATGATACAGCATTCACGATTTATATAGTAATGTTTATGCTAGAATCTGAATCTGTCATTCCTTTCGTTGCTTAACCTTTATATTTCTCCACGACCTCTCTTCGATTAATTTGATCCTTGAAGAAAGGAGCTTTGTAACTCCACTTCACCAGGCTCAGGACACTACACTCTACTTTCTATGCCTATAAAAACATTCCGACTCTACCAGCTCGGAATGTCAAGTCTTGACGACTTATTTGCTCTGTGTTCCTTTTATAGTCGCAAATAAAATTTGCATTTAAAATCAACTGTCCCGTCAGACAACTGTTCAGAATTAACAATAGGCTTTAATCGAGAAAACATCTAAACTAGCTTAACGTTGCTGATTGGATACGTAACAATAGGTCTATTGTGTAGTCCAACCAATGGGAAATTTGTATGGCCAGCGAAATGCGCCGGGACATTGTGCCATTTAAACTATTCAATAGAAAATAGAAAGTCACATGTTGTGTTATACTGCTGTGTTCTACTGCTAAGCAATGACATTGGGAGCAAATCTTTCTTTCTCAGGTCCAAGTTCAGTATCGCCAGTTTTGTAGTAAATTTTCAATGAGAATCACCTTTTCAAAATGATTTCGTTCTATGCACACAAGAAGCGCCACGAATGAACAAAGTCAGCAAAACATGTCAGATATTCAAACTTTTTTTCACGAATGACTAAATTTGCTCGAATTTGGAGCCGCACACGGCTTAAGCATTGTGCTTAAGAAAATTGTCACATTCGTGGCATTTGGCTCAGCAAAATGCTCTAGTGTGCACCTGACTTGAGTATGCTTAAAACCAAAAGCAATATAATTCATTGTAAAGTTCGAAATGTTTTCCTATATCGCTTTGTCACATGTAACAATTCCAAATTTGATGCCCTCGTTTTCTATTAACCATCTACGCAGAAGCAGTCCAGGATGGATGCTGTATCTGATGTGCTAACTGCTGTGAAGGAGCATTGGATTATTACGTCATTGATGCTGGTCACTGTTCTAGTTTATTGGCATTATGTAGTAAATTTCACTGCACTGAAGAAGCTCGGCATTCCAGGGCCTACGCCTTTACCTCTGATTGGTAACAGCATGACATTCATTTGGAATGGCAAAACGGTTCATAATTTCTTTTGCGAAGCTGGCAAGAAATATGGTAGTATTTATGGGTTTTACTTCATGAAAGAGCCAATGATCGTTGTAGCGGAGCCTGATATTATAAGACAAGTGCTGGTTAAGGAATTTGACAATTTTCACGACCGTCCGGTTAGTTTAACGTTTTACAAGTGCGTTTTTTTCAAAATGCATATTTTGATGAATCACATGTTTGGAGGGGCCCTAAACAAGTTGGCAAACCTTTATAGTAGTTTGTCACTATTATCTTTGGTGCCACAACCTTGATATCAAACTTCAGCAAAAATGGGGGGGGGGGGTACAACCCTCTAGCCGTCCTGGCTCCAGCGTGCCTGCTTTGTGACGTCACATTTGACTTTGCGTCAAGTTTTTTTTATATTTGTTTGATGAAAGGTTAACGAGACTAAAAACCAACCATGATACCGAACCTGAAGTGACTTTAAACAAATGCTCTCCTCCAAGTAATCAATGTAGTCAACACAGGCCGCCAATTCTACATAAAAACGTGGCACCGTCCCAGATATTTCTACAAAAGTTGATGAATGTCAGTTAAATAGTACCACGATATTGTCACACGTTACATTTTGTTATTTGTCATAAAATATAGTTTGAATTGTTGTCATCCACAATAGAATGGTGATATGGAGTTTCCTGAGCCTTTAAAAAGCATGATGTCTGAGGTCAAAGGTCAAAGGTGGAAGGACATTCGCAGTATTATGACCCCTGCCTTCACCTCTGGCAAACTCAAAGGCATGATGTACATTATGAACGAAGCTGGGGATACTCTTCTAAAGAAAATAGAAAAAGCAGCGGCAGAAAGGCAGGCAGTCGATATTTATGAGTGGGTACTTTTGTTTCATTTTATGTTTCTGTTTATTGTCAAGGAGTGCTAGAAACAATATTCATTTGAGTAAGAAGATGGTCGAAAGAACAGTGTAGTAACCAGTGGCGGCGCCAGGGGGTTGTATGGGAGGGTAATTACCTCCCAACTTTTTTCGAAACATGGTCTACACATTTCGTTTAAAAACGGGTTAAAAAGCACTAGGTAGGGGTAGATCATATTTCCTAAGGTAATTTAACCTGGTACAATGCACTGAAACGAGGCGATTAGGGCGTGGTCTCACTGGCTACGCCTATTATCCTCCCACTCGGCAGTAGCTGGCGCCGCCACTGGTAGTAACGCCTGCTTTGTGACCTGATACTTGGTGATTGATGCCAAATCCTAAATGATTGTACATATTTTGCAAGCCTTCAAAACTCTGGATATCAAATCATATTTTGTTAGGTCTTTCACCCTACGCAACACGCTCTCGTCCGTTTTCTATGGCTTTTCAAATATTTTAGGTAAAGCTGTCATTTTCATATTCATTTTTATATGATGTGTGCATTGCGCTGGAAAATGATTGATAATTTCATTCCAGGTTCAAAACGAATGTGTAATAGATTATAAAGATAACAAAAGATTTATGAGCGAATGGAAAAGTATCAGTTTCAGTACAGAATTAGAATTGTTGTTACAGATGGCAGCAGACAGTGACGATGGAAGTAATTCTTTCTGCCGCTTTTGGAACTCTTTCTGAAGCACAGACAAACCCAAATGACAAAGTCACAACTTATGCTAAAAAAGGAATGGACCCGAAACCATGGCCAAATATTGCAATGATGATACCTTTTATTGGGAAGAAATTGTGCAAGGCAATCATTTTGGGCCGCTATGGCTTTAGATGGGGTCCTCTGATTAAAATCGCACAAAAGATTCTGAAGGAAAGGCGACAAATGGAATTTGTCGCAAGAACTGTACGTGCAACCAATTTTTTTTAATCTCATACCTTGTTTATTTTATTGTTCTTGAAAATTTTACCCAGTAATAATGATATTCTTAGGTTGTTTTCCTTTTACTTGGAAAGATTGCTGTCTAATTTCTCATTTGGTTCATTTTGAAAAGAACTAATTTATCCCTAAATGCTAGTTTTAATGTGGTTTATTTTCTGTAATGGTAGAACTGTGGAGAAATCTTTAATACTTCACAAGGAGTGGTCTGTCCATTAGCTTATTGAACAAAAAGTTGTGAGTAGCGAGGGTGGCTAGGGCGCTTAGGATAGGTACTTCTTTAATTTTTGCTTTTGTATTTTTTGACGTTTCAAGGGAAGCCTTTCTTTGTTCTTGCCATAACATTACGCAGCTTCGTTCAGAACATTTCACAACCAATGACTGCATCTCAATGCCATTTAATTCTTATTTTTAGGATATGCTGCAAAACATGCTAAATTCCCAGCACCCCGAGAAAAAGGGTCATCAGCTTACAGAGAATGAACTAATCGCCCAAATGATTATATTCCTGCTAGCTGGGTACGATACTTCAAGCAATGTTCTTTGCCTTACTTGCTATCACCTTGCTCTATATCCAGAAGTCCAAGATAAAGTGTACGAGGAGGTCATGCGCATTTGTGAATCAAAAGAAACGACTACATATGACGAAATTAAAGAAATGGTTTATTTGGAAGCTTGTGTCTCAGAAACACTACGTCTTTACCCACCAGGTAAGATTTTTCGGTATACACATTTCAAACTAAGAGATTTTATCAAAATGCTAAACTAGGATAAAATTTACATGGTTTAAAAAATAAGGGAATGTTCTCTGAATTTATGAATCCAGCCAGTGCCACATAGGATTCGAGCGAAGAAATTAGAAGATACGAGTGTAGTAGCGGAGAACGCAAATGATCCACTAGTAGATATCTTAGGTTAGCTACCGAAGAAGCTCCGGAAGAAAGAATATAGAGTGAAGACGATCACACACTGGTGTAGGCCAGTCAAGTTGTAGCAGATATCTGCCCTGAGAATCGAGAATTAGAGGGATAACTTAACAACACGTTTCGTTATTGCAATAGTTTCAAATCAATTATCAATTTATTCAATAGATGGGATATCTTTACAAACTTTTTAAGTATAAGTTTACACCTATGGAGTTTGACTGTCATCAGTTTGGTTATTGAAAAAAATATCCTCCTCCTCGTACTCTGAGACTTAAGAATTTCTCATCCAATCGTTAATGGCTAATTAACTTCAATTTTCTGCCTCAATGCTAGGTTTCGTTACAACTCGTACCATCGACAAATCATGTGTTATCAATGGTGTTCATTTCAAAAAAGGCATGGCTGTCCTCATACCTTCATACGCCTTGCACCGGGATGAAAAATACTGGCCCGAACCAAACGCTTTTCAACCGGAGAGATTTCTTCCAGAGAATAAAGAATCTATCACCCAATTCACTTATTTGCCTTTTGGCGATGGTCCTCGAAACTGCATTGGAATGCGATTTGCACAAATGGAAATAAAGACGATCCTTGTTAGAATGCTGCAGAAATATCGCATGGTGCGTGGTCCTGAGACACCGGTGCCTTTGAAGATGCAGCCAAGAGTCGTGCTGTCACCGGGTGAGCCAGTCTGGATACGATTTGAGAAGAGAGAGTAGATTTGAACACGTCAGCTCGTTTTCACAGAAATCCAGCTTAAAAAAAAGCTTAAAATACTAGGTCTTTCATTTGAGCAAGCTTGCTCTTTTTGCAGTAATGTTTTTTGCAAATAATTGCATACATACAACATCTGTTTTCATTTCACTTTTGTTTTTGTTGATCTAAATTTAGGATCACTGTCTTGCCTTTCAATGAACAATGCTCGTAGCTCATTACTCGTAAAATAAGTGCTTGTGTATGTCTACATATATTCAATCAGCGAGAGCAGTCTATTAAAATAAGACTACTGACAGTGCCTCCCATGTTGTAATTCCGAAAGTAACTCAAGGATCTGTTTTAGAGCCTATACTTTTAACATTTACAGAAATGGGCTTCGTGTTTTGTAAAAAAGATTGTTAAATGTCTCTAAATTTTAACAGAACTCTCTCAAATTCGGAATATACCATCGATAACAGGCTTAGTGACAACATTCTACGTAAACCCGGCCATCTTTTAACAAAGGAGATTGCTATTACTAGCCAAGGAAGTAGCTTTAGATTTAGAAAGAAGTATCAACTTCTCTCTAAATGTAGCTGTAGATTTGGATTCGATGGCGTTGCATACTTTTTATCAAGGCAGCATTCCCTGTTTTTGCAGAATTTTCCGAGGGGTGAATCACTTCTAAAAGTCTCGTAAACCTTTCATAAATTACCAAGAAATCTTGAAAATCTCAGAATCTTAAAAAAATTGCTGAAATGTCAAAATCTTCACAATAAATCGTGTAATCCAAGAAATCTCACCAAAAATCTTGAATTCTAGAAAAGAAATCTTGAATTCTAGAAAAGAAATCTTGAATTCTTGCAAAGAAAACTTGAATATTCAACAATTCTGGGCAGTGGCTGAAAGATTTTGCCAGATCATGAAATAGTCGAAGCTTATTATCAACGAACTCTCGACACAAGTCTTTGCGGTTTATGAATGAAAATCTCTCATCATAAACCTCCACAGCGTGCTGTAAATAGACAGATCGTTTAAATAATCGATTATGTGCTGTTGCTGTTGCATTCCCAATTATCGGTTTTGCTGCATGTCACGTGACGGTTACATACCGGCATTGTATCAGACGTTGTATTTTGTGCTGGGTGCATGTACATTGCATCAGATACTTTTCTAGCGTTTTCCTGATTGGCAATGAACATGAACTATATTTCTATTAACCTTATTTAGAAAAATCTATTATTTTCATAATTTTAACCTTTGCACCTATTTATTATTATTTATATATATCGTGTAGTGTAGAAGGGACACTCGCCGAAAGCTGTAGACGAATAAAGTTGCTGCCGAAATAATTTGCTGTTGTCAGAATCATTTGCTGTTTTAGAGTTCTTCTGCTCAAGGCCGTACGTTAATTCTACTTTTTATTCAGAACTCACGAGTTCGTGTTAAATCAAACTAATATAATGCTCTGTGCCGTTTCGTGATGAGGCAATTTATGATATCGGTGGCATAAATTTTGGTGTCCCACAACGTTCCTGCCTTGGTCCGTTACTGTTTCTTATCTACATGAATGATTTACCATACGCATTGCGTAAGCGATATGTTACCACCCATGTAGATGGCTTTACTATTTCCCTTTCATCAAAGAAACCCATTGAACTGCAAAACAGCGAAGAACTAATCTGTCAGAAATGGATTTAGGGAAACAAGCTTTTATTCAGAACATATCACCAAAACTCAGTCTCTTGTAATTGGGTCATCTCCAAATGTTCGCAAGATCTAAAACCATCCAGAAGACCATCTACCTGTTAAGATTGCAAAGGAAAAAAGGTATGCTGGGGTTCGAATAGATAATCATCTTAATTAGAACAAATATATGCAGACAACTAGGACTGTAGTTACTCAAGCTTTTGTACTCCAAACATATCGAATACTCCAACAGATTCTAGAAGCCGACCATACTAAAGGATATTTTCAGTGGCCCTGCAGAGCCAAATTTAAGTGACTGCTTTTCCCTGTGTAGGGTTGTTGCAATGGTCAGAATCGCAACAAACAGCCTTGGGTGAGCAAGAGTCAAGTAGCCTATTTGCCAAAGCAACATCTTCACTTGTGTATACGTCTTTATATCCGCTGCCTCCTGAGTATTTGTCGTCGTTTTTCCCTGGGCGTTATTCACAAGATGCTACGGCAGTAATGAACGAAATGTGCGCTCGGTGGATATGAACCTCAAAATACCTTTACTCAAGTCAAAAACAGGTCAGAAATCTTTCTGCTACAGAGGAACCAGCCTTTGCAACAGCTTGAATAACGCGAAGTGAATCAGTTCTCTCTTTCAGGTGCGTCACTCGAGAGGGGGGGATGGGGGTATGGTAAGCGGTGAGTTCACTTGTTGGGGGGGGGGGTATGGGAAGGACCTTTTCGCAGGACAAAACGGATTTTTGCAGGGCAAATATTTTCTACCAACGGATTTGCTTTGTTGGTTTTTCTTATGTAGCTGTAACAAGAAAGTAGGCAATGCTTGTAATTTGTCTACCAGTGACACAAAGTAGAAATTGCCAGCGTTATCTTGGGCTGGATGGATTAGATAAAATTGATTCTGATTTCCTTTCAAGTGTTACACCCATTTCTATGGTTACACCCTTGGTTGATATTTGTGTCTTATTTGAAAACCATATATTAGAAAGAAAAGCACCGCCTGCCAGAAAACTAAGACACTGTAAACGGGTCTTTTTGGGTCAAAATTTGATGGAATAGTTGTGCACAATTGGGTCTAAACTTCCTTGACTGTAACCAGAAGCGTGATTTGAGAAGGGAGTCGACTATATAAGATTTTTATATCTATTTTCTGTGGATGATATAGGGTGTATTGTATATATTCCTGTAGGTTTTGAAGCTTGTGTTTGCCAGATGAAGATTATGTCATCGATAAATTTTTTCCAAAATATTCGACTACACCCCATCGGGGCATTGCTCGAGATATGTTGTCATGAATATGTTGGCATAATTTTGGGCAAAGGGTTGCGGTGCCTTAAGGGGGGTTGATAAAATTTACCATTACACACTTCTTTATAAGAGCCAGTAAATTGAAGTTCAGGCTGTTTGTTCTTAATTTTTTCGAAAATCTGAGGCTGAATTGTTCTTAATTTGTTTTTAAATTTATAGGGTATGAGCAGTGCGATTGCTAGCTTTTCGCTCTAGGGAGGTGTACAGGCCTCATTTGCTAACAAAGTGCGTGAGAAGACCTTCATTCGCCGCCATGTTTGGACATTCACCGAAATCGTTTTTGAGTTCATTGATCAAAGTTACATTTTATAGTAGCTCAGCCACAGCTTGTTCTTAATTTGTTCTCAACTTTTGACCAATTTTGAAGCTTGTATTCTTATAAAATTGCTCTTATAAAAAGAGAGTGTAAAGGCAATATAATTATGTTTGAGAATAAAAATCACCATCTGTTGTATTTTATAAGTTTCCCCATAATGATTTTCGATGGCATAGAGGGAAGCTTTGATACCCATATCTTTGATACCCTTATCAGCTCCAAGCAGTACGACAAAACTTTCGACAAGACTACTCCTAACTTATAAAACAACCCTTTATATAACCTAAGCAAATCTTAAAATAATAATTACGTAATACAAAAAACATATTTACAGACGCAATTGTCACGTGATACTGTCCGTAGGGGAACACTGTGTCTTTACACAACAGTGAACTTGTGGACACACAAAAGAAAGGACCTTTGCGGGAACAACTTACCTTAAGAAGTATTTTAGTGTTACGGGAACTGAGGGCCAGTTCCCAACATTTCCAACTTTTGCCAGGGCAAAATTCTTTCTGCAGGCCAAAAATGCAGCCAGCCCCCCCCCCAACAAAAAATTTATGGAGTGACGCCCCTGCTCTCTTTTGGTTAGTTCGAAAATCTGCTCGAAGTGTCGGATAACATAGCTGACTTTTGTATCTCACTTTGTTGTCATAATTTATTGTCTTTCGACGGCACTGCTGATTCAGCAGTTTTTAATGATCAGACAAAAATAGAAATCGGCCCATTTCCGGTCCAGGTTTTGAGATTACGTCGGCTTTTTTGCCCGATTACGTCAGCTGAAATTTGTGCAAACATAACTTCTTTTGGAAGGTCGTACGAGGTAAGCAGAGCCCCGACAGAAAGCAAACAGAGCAGTTACAATCAAGATCATTCTGCCAAGAAACGTTTAATAAGGGAGAAGAGACCAAGTTAAAGAGCTTTTGAGGTAGGTTTGTCTAATAGGTCCGAAAGAGTACGCTCAAATTATTCCAACTAAAGTCACTTTTAATCAGTGCAAGATTTTGCAAATAGCTAACTGTAGAATGTCTGGAATATGACACGAGTAATGCGTTACATCTCTACCTGCTTGTCGACCGCTCTTTAAGTAAGCAATTTAGAAGTGAGCAATTTAGGCCGTCTTGTTTCTGTTATTGTTTTTGAAATGGAATTTGATACAATTATTGCTGTTCTGTTGAAGAAACACGAAAAACTAAACGGAACAAGAGAATGATTTATAAAAACGAAAATGGAAGATATGATACCTTTCTAGTCTAGCCACCAAAACCGATAAAAGAATTATTCAAAGATAAGTGTCAAGTTGAAGAATAAATGTGAGGTTAGGTTAGGGCAGGGCCGTTGACTGCCAGCTCGGGCCCAGGGGTGATTTACAAAACTGGGCCCCCAGAAAACTTTATGTGGCCACGCCCTTCAGTCTCCCGGAGAACTATGGAAACGCCCTTTTTAGCTACAATTGTCAAAAAAGTTTTTTAAGGATTTTACAAGATTGTTCAGAACACTTTATTATGAATCAAGGACTTGTGAGTATAGTTTTTCTCTGCGACAAACTTACACTCGTTGATTCCATGTAAGTAGCTGAAATAGTAGCTTTTTCATTGTGAATATACTTTGTTGCGTTATTAAGAGCCCCATCGGAGCATGGGCCCCAGACCTTTTGCCCCTCCTAACCCCCCTCTTGATGTCCCTGGGTTGGGGTGTACAAATTTCTAATTTCAGAATAGTTTAGAAATTTTGCTACCTCGTCAGTTTATTCTGTTGATTTAGCATTTCCTTATTTCATAGTCAATTGATGATATGCAATCCAGTTTATGCTAAGGCAGACAATACATCAACAAGGGTGTTTATTTTCCCCTGGTGACTGCACTCAAAACTCCATGGTTGCTTTCTTCCCAGTAGAACTGCTCAAAAACCAACATTGTGTAAAATGGCAGCATTGGTAAAAATTGCTATAACAAGGTTCACTTTTCAAATATATCTATAAAATAATATCACTTATTGTTGTATAAATCTTAATGGATTAGCCTTAAATGTCATACAGATTATAAATAATCATAAACATATCAGAAAAAGACCCAGTACTCCATTTAACAAAATAAATTTTGTTAGTAAAGGATATATACTTAAATGCAATTTATGCAAGTTATACAAAGATATTTTCAAGAATTTTTCAATATCAAACATCCCAATATTGCAACAAATTGAAGATGTTGAAAGAAGGAGCTTATCAGTTGCAAGAGTTTGTCTCCAGATGCATTGTAATATTTACAAGATTATTGAACAGTCTTTTAAATGGAAAAGCTTGAATGTCATACAGGTCAGGAATAATGCTTTATCATCTAGATATCAAACTGTACTAAAAAATATTCTCAATCATAATTTTGGTGGTCCTTGCACAGTGAGTTTTCTGAGCCACTTGTTTGAGGGTCCCTTTCTCAAGTTACTTTTTACCAAGTTGATGATACCCATATCATTTCTGCCACTGCCAGTATTCGACACTTATTTTCCTTACCAGGACAATTACCTGGTAAGGAGATTATTTTCAAGATTATTGTCAGAATTGGCCAAAAAATGTTCACTAAAATAGCAAAATTGTGGAAGCACAAAATAAATTTTGCTTAGAGAAGAATATGATCATTTCTAAGTAATATCTTATTGGCATTGGAAGCTTCTCACTTTCATTCAAAGAAGCTGATGAGCTGAAATTTTTTTATTGTATTTTCACTGAAGCACAGATAAGGTGAAAATAAATTGTGTTTGGAGGCACTAAATCATCCTATTTTGTAACAAGGGATTAAGACAAAAGTTCTTTGTTTGCAAAAAAAATTTGAAACTAAGCTTAAACTTTACTTCCTAAGGTTACTGAATAAGGATATAATATTTAGATTCATACTATTGAATGCGCTAATTTCATTCAAGAAACAATATTTTCTCACTCAGCTGAAAGAAATTTTTTTTGTATCCCACCACAACAGACAGTGCACAACAGAGATCAGTAATTGTCAAATACATCAGTGATATTTTTCATCATGGAACCTGACATTTGAAAATTGACTGATTAAAGCTCAACTTAAGGAGTGGATCTAGGAATTTTTCTTACTGGTGCACAGATTTGTGGGACCACATCCAAAAAATTTGCCACACCCCTGTATACATCATTGGCAAAGTTAAGTTTATATAAAAGCAAGTTAAGCCTGGTGCAATATATGGGGATGTATATCCTGGAATTTTTAGAAAATAATCTATGAACAGAATTTTGTTCTTATGCAGCCCAGAATTTGTTCTTAAAACAGGATTTTTCTGTCACCTACAGTGCCTGTCAAAGGTACTTACAACACCAAGGCAGTGTCAGTCAATTTTCAATCAATTTTCTGAGTTGCTGAGTTGCCTATTCTCGAAAAGTGTATTTTTTGGATTATAATTTGATATTGTTTGAAAGGGGAGAGAGAAATGCCAAAAAATGATTGGTAAGAATACTGTTTTTTAAGACTTTTGGCAGGTACTGCAATTCTTTGGATGCCTCTTGAATTCCAATAGTCACGTGTTCGCTCTGCTTCTCTTCTTACAGGAAAGTGACAAATGGTAGCTTTAGCCATATTTGGTAAAACAAAGCCATCTAGCGCAGGTTACAATTTAGAAGTCTATATTGTTATAAAAACTGAGGCTGATTCAATGTTGTCGGCTTCTCAAACGATTATCTTCAAAGTTTCGCTTAAACCATGTCAATAGAATTGAAAAGCATTGATAACCAGATTTGCTTTAACGGCAGCTTTGCACCATGATTTCTTGCTAAGATCCATACCAAAGTGTAACAAATGCATCAGCGTTGGGCAATGTAGTTTCTGTCCCCTTGCAACGGTCGATGAAGTAGATGTGATTCTACTTTTCCATCGATTGCAAGTATCAATGCGAACATAAAGAACATTGCGTGGTCTTCTTGCTAAGATTTGTGCAATGCATTGTGCATATGATTCAAGGAGTCTAGTCAGTGCATCACAAGATGGAAAGCTGATTGTTTGGGATTCCTACATAACATTGCAAAGAATGTACGTTGCAATTTTAGTCTTGGCGCCTTTTTACCGGATATCACCAGTCTCGAAATGACGTCAAGCTCTGGTGAAAATGCAGCCTATTGACTATTATTTTATATGAGAACCAGTTAGCAAATAGTAATAGATGGTCCGCCATCTCTTTTCGTGAGGAAACTGCTCTACTTACCCACCGCAATACCTTAGAATAACGGGATTTCATTAGAAGGTGAATTTTTCAGATCCTTTTGGTCAGGGCTTATATTCTGCCAGAATCTTATTCAAGTGAATATACTACCTTCGTCAACGATTTATTTTGCGAAGAAAGGAATCTTCGGCAGAAAGGGGGGTCTCTTGTTTTTGCAGAGCTTTCTCGTCACAGTTTCTACCCAAACTTAATTGTGGTTGCGTTTCTATAATAATGAAAGCTCATTTTATTCATTCTAGCATGGCTACTTCCCTCCGCAATATAGCATTATATTTAGCTTTGATTAGCTTGGAGAGTAAAGCATTGTAACGTTAATTGTGGCATGCTAGGTAGGGCTAGAAATAGTAGATAGGTCATGGCCAGGGGCGGCTGGGAGCCAAATTTTTTTGGTATTAGTTCTCCGAAATTTTGAACAGCTCAAAAACAATCTAGCTAGAAGGGGGGGGGGGGTATAGACTCATTGAGGTCCTACCCCTGAAAAAAGGTTTTTTATGAATTTAAGTCATAGACTTACTCTAAATTTGAGATTAAAAGTGCATAAGCTCCATTTTGTGGGGTTTCTCAAAAAGGAGCAACCACATTGCATGGGAAGCACTCTATTAATTTGGTCTATACAAAAATTGATTTTGAAACAGCTTACAAATTCAGAAATTACCCCGATGAGAAAATGATTTCTACCTCATGTCTATGAAAGGATAAACTACTTAAAATACAGGCTATAATATTTCATATAATATTTTAAATGCTAAATAATAAGCTTCCTTTTTATTTTTTTGAAAATCTTTCGAATCTACGCCGGTTGAACGATTTAAATCTAGCAACAACATTGTCTTTAAAAAAAGGCTGTCTGGTGAGCCACCGTAAAAGCTTGTGCTCTACTTGCAAAATAACAAGCATTTCTTTTCTTTTTTGTTGCATGCTTGACCTTGAAGGTGCTACAACTCGCTTCATTCGACTAAAAATCCTCTCGCAATGGACACTGGTAAGTGGAGTTGTAGCTGCAAGCTCTAGCAGTGCCATTGCCTGAGGAAGAGCCTCCTCAAGTGTTGCCTTCTTGATAACAGATAAGAGATCTTGAATACTTGGTGAGCCCTCTTTTACAGAATCAATTTCTATTTCCAAATTTGGTTCCAATTCAAATTCGTCACTTTCCTCTACATCAATTGCACCAATGGATTCACCCACGTTAGATCTTTTTTCGACTGTTTTGTCGCTAGCCTCTTCGACTTTTTGTTGCAGCCGTGCTTGGCGTTCCTTTTTAGCTGCATGGATTGTATCCCGTTCTCGGACAACTTTCTGCAAAAGGAGTGATATCTCACTGCTGTTATAAAGGACAGACAGATTATTTTCTGTTGCTATCACATCTTGAACTGCAAATGGGTACAATTTGTGCAGCTCTACAATCAAAGCTTTTTGCTCATTAGCTGTCGCGTTTCTTCTTTCGCTGAATTTTGTTGGATGGATGAGATCCATCCATCTGAATTTTTCAAGGTTTCCAAAACGCCAGCTCAGCTGCTCCGAAAACTTCGCTGTGATGGTCAATGCAAGGGTTTGTAATGAAGCCTTCCAGCTTTCTTGCGAGCCATCATTTCCATTCTCTATTCCCCTCCACCCAGTTCTCTCACGCATAACTGGAAAATCTGGGTCAGCCTGGATTGTCTCTTCCCATACTTGGTCGAGATTTAAAGAAACAAGTGAACGTTGAAAGTCATCAACCATCGATCTTAGCTGTACGGCATCTAGCGTTGGCTTCTGCATGATGGTCATGACTGGCGTGCATTGCTCAAATATCTTTCGGTAAAGCTTGAGCAGAAAGACGAATTCGACTTGTTGCATTTGAATGCAAAGGCCCCTGGCTGTACTTTGTGTGTCGGCTTTCTCGCTTCTACTTCTTGAAATTTCATATAGGACTGCCCCTATCGTTTCGTAGTGGATGTCAATGACACTTGTTGCAGTATCACGTGACAGCCACCGTGTATCTCCAGGTTTTGGAAGATTAAGCCCGACAAGTCTTGTGCGCTTCGGACTGCTTCTGAAAAAGCCAACAAGCTTGTCGGCTGTGCCAAAAAACTTGGCAACTTTTGCGATTTTCATCGCGGACTGTGCTGCGCAAAGGGATAACCTATGAGCAACGCAGTGATTATAATAGGCTGCTGGGTAATGTTGCTGTATTTGCTTTTGGACACCGTTAAGTTGCCCGCTCATTGTAGGGGCCCCATCGTACGACTGACCAATGAGCTTATATTTACTTGTCGCTGGCTCCAAATTGTATTTTTCCAACGTCGACATCATAATTTTGGCAAGAGCATCGGCTGACTGATCATTGGAAGCATCGATCATGCCTAGCATATGCTCTTCAACTTCACCGTTATGAACAAGCCGCACAGATACCGCAGATTGCTCGACATTGCTAATGTCAGTTGTGTCATCCATCATCACGGCGACATATTTTGAGCTGTCGATGCGTTTTTGGATCTCCTGTTGAACTTCTTTAAAAATACATTCTATCAGCTCATTTTGTGGTTCATGGGATGTGTATGTAATGTGGTCTTTGTCTAAGAATAAACGAAGTTCGTGGCTGTAAGCTCCAAGTAATTCCAAGAGCTCTAAAAAATTTCCTCTGTTTGATGATAATTTAGATTCATCGTGAGCACGAAATGCAAGGCCCTGAGCAGCTAATAAAACAGCAATATCAATATGATGATAGAGCATCTTTGAAAGACGTGTAGCACTGTGATTGTGTCGTACGACATCTCGTTGCCTTGCTTCATCCAAAGCACATGCTACGTCGACATTACCCAAGAGCTGGTAAGCAGTGTAGTTGACTGTGTGCATCTTAGACTTCTCGTGACGCTTAGCGAGATTTGAAAGATTTTGACCAGCTGATACAAATCCAGACTCTTTCACAAAGGAAACACCTTGCATCTACACGAAGAAAGAAATAGAGAAATTATTCTCGAGTCCGAATTAAACGTCACCTCCCACTTTTGAGTATAAAACTTTCTTTTACATTTTTATGTCGGAAAATTTCACCCTACAGACTTTATGGTTGCAGTCTTAGTGAAGAGAAAATACTCTTTCTTATGTTTAATTTAATTTCGATACTTAGGGGTAATTTGTTTGTCATCTGTTCTGAAATTGAGACTTTTTCATGATTTCACCCCTCAGTGAAATTTCTCTAAAAGTGATCTGCCCTAAAAACCCTTATTCGAAGCACCCTCTTTGTCATTTTAGAGTATCTGTATTATCATAGTTATGAAACTAGAGAAGCTGTGTTTTTGATTCTGTCTATGAAACTATCGAGCTTTTCTTCACATACAAAATTTATGAGGGCAATATTATTAAGAATTGATTATTCTTATTCCTTATTGTTTTGCATATACGCTTTGTTATTTCTAAAGAAAATGCATTGATAAACCAGCGTCTTGTTAATCACTCTACCTACAAAAATGGGGTCATTGTTCTAATAGCGGGCTTAGGTTTCCAATCTTTATGGGTGAAGGCCGGTTAAAGACAGACGGCGCACAGCCCTTGCTGTATCGCCACCTTAAGGGCACGGTATGAGAATCGCGATTCTAATACCATGGCCAGTGAATGCGGTACAGGGCGTAGAGCCACGGCTACAATCATTGCTGCTGGTCTAGAGCCCTTTCGTAATTGCCACTAGCCTGCCAGGGTATCAGGATCGCAAATAAAAAAGCCGATTCTAGAAAAATTTTGTGAAAAATACTATACGCCAACCAAGACACAGCATTTGGACTTGTCACAACCTTTGCTTATCACCAGCACTCTCTGATTAAATATTCCTTTTTTAACTTTTAAAAACCATTATTTGAAAAAAGCTTGTTTGGGAAACTTCGTTTTTTGCCTTAAAAATATTTTAAATAGCCTCAGTGAAAAACTCACCTTTGATAATTCACCCATGACGAGACATGGCCAACAAAAGTAGGTATTCCTCTCTACGTCTCCACAAATCCACGGAAATTTCTGATATGCAGTGTCACTCGATACGTATTTCACGGTAACTTTTGGACATGGTCTTCCGTCTGTTTTTAGGCGAAGCCACTGTTCGTGAGTTAAACTTCTTTGAGTTGACAAAATTGAGAAAATATTTGAAACTCCCCAACGGTACTCACTTCCTAAGACCCGATCCATATTGTTAAGACACAGTATATTGATGCGAGCAAGGGAAAGATTAGCGTTGTTATTGAAATAAAATGGTTAGACTGGCCACGGTATGAGAAATCCAAAGCTTATACCATGATGTACAAGTCGCTTTGTTTAATGTGAGGATGACAAAAGGCCCCGACGTAGGGCAGGGCCACTTAGACAAAAGTTTAATGACATCACGGTATGAGAAGTGAGAAACTAATACCATGGCCATAACTGCCCTCGAGATTCAATTGCTATCAACGGTACTATAGAATATGATTCATTAACGGATTAGAAGGCAATTAACAGTCTTTTGTCGGAACAAGTCAAACACAAACTTTCGTTGATGTTAACATTTGAATAAATATTGAACACGCAATGCGCCTCCGCTACTGCCTCAAATGCAGTACAAAACGGGCGAACGAGCCGATGAATTTAAAGGTTTTTTTGGAAATAAAATGGTATGAGGCTCATACAGTTTATACCATTGCGCGCCGCCCCTGGTCATGGCACACAGGTCGAAGAAGTAAAACCTCTTGAACAACCCTTACAAAGCTCTCTAAGTATTGGGAGAACACTCCTTTAGATGTAACCGTCTTGTAGATTAAAAGGACCATTTCCATGTTTTTCTTTAAGCAAACGTTTTATAGGATGTTGAACTTTGAAAATCACATTTAGGATTTCCTAGCAAAATAACCTTAAGATAAATTTTCCGCTTCTCCTAAAGCTGGGGGGAATAGGCGAAGTACTTTCTCGTGCAGGCACTAAAAACCAAGAGGATGGAAGCCTCTGTGGATTACTTATTATGTATTTTTACAAATTTTCTATGCCGGCAAATTGCGTTGATACAATGTTACAATTTCGAAACTAATTTTGTGATCTGCCATGGATTAAAGGTTCCTTAGCGGTACACCTCTGCTTACCAAGCAAGCAAAGATTGAAGGATTAGTTTTTGCAACTGGTGGTAATTGCCATACATTCTTAGTGCGGATTTCCATTTTAAATTTGGAACTGAGCAAGCAAAGCCACTTCATTAGTTTGATCATAGTCACAAGGAGGTCTGTACCGATTCTCACAAATGTTGGCGAATTCTAGTATTGCATTTATAAGTCTTATCCTGATTTATTGCAAAAGAGCTTCTTTATATTCGCTGTGAATCCAAGCCCTGACCTGATTTCTTGTCAGTTGCATTTATAACACCACATGGCTTTGTCACGTTCCCAGTCCTGTTTAACATTTCCCAGTTTAATGTTTTCGTTTCCTATTAGCCATCCACGCAGTAGAAGTGCAAGATGAATGTGTGTTCATGATTTTACTATTGTCTTCTTATTGTTTGGAAACAATAGAATTGCCTGTTTGGGGGGGGGGGGGCTGGTTTTATCGAATAATCTGAATATACCCTTAATTTACTAATTTTTAATGGACTTTTTGGTATTCCAGCATTTCACTTTTCAATAGCCTGAGCCCCAGACCCCATAGGGGACTAGAACGCAGGCTACCTTCAAATTGCTCAAAATCAATTGCGATGAAACTTCTTAAAATTCTCTGCGAGTCTAGTCTTTCCCGTAACCCACAGTTGTTAACATCATTGTATTTTGTTGCATTTATCCTTTACTAATTCTGACACTGTTTCTTTTCGTAAATCTACGCAGAAGCAGTCCAGGATGGATGCTGTATCTGATGTGCTAACTGCTGTGAAGGAGCATTGGATTATTACGTCATTGATGCTGGTCACTGTTCTGATGTATTGGCATTATGTAGTGAATTTCACTGCACTTAAGAAGCTCGGAATCCCAGGGCCTACGCCCTTACCTCTGATTGGTAACAGCATGACATTCATTTGGAATAGCAAAACGTTGCATGATTTCTTTTGCGAAGCTGGCAGAAAGTTTGGTAGAATTTATGGGTTATACTATTTGAAAGAGCCAATGGTCATTGTAGCGGAGCCTGATATCATTAGACAAGTGCTGGTTAAGGAATTTGACAAATTTCATGACCGTCCGGTAAGTTTAACCGCCATTATCTTGCTGGTATCACGTTTACACGGGATTGCAAAAATTGGGTCTTTTTTGTCTATATGTTTGGCGATGTGATAGACCCAAGATACCCATCGCATTGTGGTGTCTGGAAAACGCCTTACTTTCCAACATAGATCCCTCCCTAATTAGTCAGATTGGCGTCTACCCGGGTATGCTTATTTTTTTATTTTTTGTTACTTAATTATTTCTTTATTTATTTTATTATTTTATTATTTGTTACTTTATATGTTTATTTTTTTTACTTTATCGAATCTGAGCTGTATTGTTGCCATGTATTATAGAATGGTGGAATGGAGTTTCCAGAACCGCTGAAAAGCATGTTGACCGAAGTTAGAGGTCAAAGCTGGAAGGACATTCGCAGTATTATGACCCCTGCCTTCACGTCTGGCAAACTCAAAAGCATGATGTACATTATGAACGAAGCTGGGGATACTCTTCTAAAGAAAATAGAGAAGGCAGCAGAAGAAAAACAGGCAGTCGATATTCACGAGTCAGTACTTCCATATCTTTTGATATTTTTTCTAATAGGAAAAGGATGCTCAAATAATAAGATTCCTCTCTATTTGTCTCAAAGCATGGGAACAAAACACTCATGATTTGCTAATGTCTTTTGATTTCTTCTAAGCTTTGTAGAAACATCCCTATTGTGTTTAAATATTTCAATTTGCCGATTGAAATTTTAAGTTTCATCTGTTTAAGAAATCAGTTGACGTTATCTCTCTTGTTCAGTAGAGGGTATATGTTAAGATACAGAAATTGAAACAAGTCCAATACTTCTCACAATATAAAACAAGTCAAAGAGCACTAGTCCTGCACCCTGATTTTTTTAATGGCACTGTTTTGGTTGCTTGGTACAAGTCTTTATTCTGAGTTCTTCCAAAGGCTAGGGCAGCATGTCAGAACGACTTCTGTTAAGGAGCACTTAAAGTCAATGTTCTTGGCAGCTAACAAATCCTGAATTTCAGTTCCCATGTTGCATTTTCTACGATGCCTTTAACATTCATGATAACATGTCATGATGTAACTGTTCTGTAGCCTCAAACAACATCAGTCCTAACCGTTCTGAATGGATTTTCAATTATTTCAAAGTATTGATTTTTCGCACTAGCATAGGCTCCAAATCCTAACTGGCTGAGAGTTCTCCGTACCTTATTGACTGAACAGGTTTGAAGTCTTAAGCCGATCTTTAATGTTTACCCCAATGCACTGAAAATTAGCAGTGTTAAATGCGCTGAAAGATTGCCTACTTTGATCTTTGACAAATTGATTTAGAAACAATCATTGTTTTCAATAATGAAATTTACCAAAATGACACTAAATTGATTCGTCTCGAAGCGATCCACTGATCAGTGAAGAGATATTTCATTTGGTGCCATCTTATCCGAAGTACCTCCTATGGGCCTAAACGTCTTTGAATAACCAGTCCTTACCAATGTGTCATTTCTAGAACAACCATCTGATTTTCTGATAGTTGGAACCCCAGAAGTACCTGCTATCTGCCCAAAAACTGGCCTAATGTAAACAAAACCGTCAATGGACCTAAATGAATAAGAATAGTCTGTAGGATATATAATGTACTTTGATCTTTGACAAGATGAACACTATTTAAGCCACATAATTAACAAATATGAGCTCACCATTGCAAGTAAATGTTTCCATGTCGGCATTGGCGCTTTTGCGAATGACTTGAATAACGCTACATTCTGCTTTCAATTAACATGCACCAGCGCCCCAGTTAATTGGACCCATCCAGCTTAATTCATAATTTTTGTATAGCTACTTTGTGCTGAAATGCTTGATAAATTGTTACTTCGAGAAAAACGTTTATTGTTTAAATAGAAATAAGTGATGTTGATCAATAAATCCAAGATGATAGAGTACGGGTTTCAGTACCTAGAAAATGTTTTGTTACAGATGGCAGCAGACAGTGACCATGGAGGTAATTCTTTCTGCCGCTTTTGGAACTCTTTCTGAAGCACAGACAAACCCAAATGACAAAGTCACAACTTATGCCAAAGAAGCAATGGACCCGAAACCATGGCCTGAAATTGCAATGATGGTGCCTTTTATCGGGAAGAAAATAGCCAAGTCAATAATGTTATCCCGATTTGGATTCAACTGGTATCCTATGATAGATATTGCAAAGAAGATACTCAAGCAAAGGCGACAAGTTCAAGGGACAACAAGAAATGTATGTCATATTGTTCTAATCTAGTTTGTTCTCTTTTTTGTTTTTTTAAATAAATAAGATAACTAGGTGTAAGTTGGGCGCCGAAACTCGAGGTGCCCAGAGGTGCACTTAGGCTGTTACCCCTTACCCTTGTGATCTTGAGCAATTTTATCTATTTTTTTATTGTTTAGGCCTGTTTGGCGTTCCTCCAAGCAATACAGCTCTATTGCTATCATTGCGTACATTTTACTCGCAGACTTCCTATCAGTAAATCTTGATATATCTTGGCTATATTTGGTTTCATTAAAAAGGATAAGAAAGGTGCTTTAAATCACATGTCTACTGCTTGGCGCATCCAGGGGCGGACTGGTAGGTCTGGCATATGGGACATTGATCGATGAACAGGGTGCAAAAGGAGGGCCAGGGTACAAAAGGGGGCCCAGCCTAATAATTTTACGGAACTTTTATATTTGCATGACTTCCTCCCAAATCAAAGACCTTAGAAGCTGCCATTGCCTCTAGTTGCAACTGTTGGCTTAGATATTCTAGTCTTTAGAGGCCAATATTACTGCTTTGCAGTCTAATTTCTCACTCCGATTATTCTTTAAAATTTAATTGAATAGAACTAGAATTAACGTTATTTTTGATCTCGTTTATTTTATGTGTCAAAGACAATATTTCTTTAAACATTTTAGAAGGGACAGTCTGTCAATCAGCACACCGAGCTAAAGTTCCCCCCTTTTTATCCCCTCTTTTTTTATCAATATCAACGGCTCAGAGCCAGGCACCGCGGAGCAGGGGGGCTGGGGGGGCCTTTAGCCCCACTTTCTGCAAAAAAGCCAAATATTAAGTATCAAACTGCCAGAAAAGCCTCTTTTTATACGGTTTTAGCCCCCCCCACTTTTTTTAGACCCCCCAATTTTCTCAACGTTCCGCGGTGCCTGCCCAGAGCTGTACAATCATGAGGGCTCGAAGACTAAATCTCTTTTCAAAGCACAAGATAGCTTATTCCTTACATTTGGCGTTTGTATCTTGAGGTATTTTCCCGGGAGCTCTCCTCTTCTTCCCATAGCACGATGCAGCTTCTTTGGAAACGGTTTCATTTCACGTCTGACGGTTTCATTTCACGTCTGAAGGCTTTATTTCACGTCTGACGGTTTCATTTCACTTCTACGGTTTCATTTCAATAATATCATTGTTTTTCTTGATTTAGGATGTGCTGCAAAACATGCTGAATTCCCAGCACCCCGAGAAAAAGGGTCATCAGCTCACAGAGAATGAACTAATCGCCCAAATGGTTCTATTCCTACTAGCTGGGTACGACACTTCAAGTAATGTACTTTCTCTTACTTGCTATCACCTTGCTTTATACCCAGAAGTCCAAGATAAAGTGTACGAGGAGGTCATGCGTATTTGTGAATCAAAAGACACGGCTACATATGACGAAATTAAAGAAATGGTTTATTTGGAAGCTTGCATTTCAGAAACACTACGTCTTTACCCACCAGGTGAGTTTTTTTAATTTTGATAGTCTTAACTGCTAGGTCTACGGTGGCAACTTTGCCCTTGATTTTAGAAGCAAAATGATTACCGTTTGATGAAAAGTTTAGCCACTGAGACAAGCTCTGCTCGAATTTTTATTGATCTTCAATCTACTAGGGTTTATGACTGCCCGCACCATTGATAAATCCTGTGTCATTAATGGTGTTCAATTCAAAAAAGACATGGCTGTCCTCATACCGGTTTACGCCTTGCACCGGGACGAGAAATACTGGTCCGAACCAAACGCTTTTAAACCGGAGAGATTCCTTCCAGAAAATAAGGAGTCCATCAACCAATTCGCTTATTTGCCTTTTGGCGATGGTCCCCGAAACTGCATTGGAATGCGATTTGCACAGATGGAGATAAAGACGATTCTTGTCAGAATGCTGCAGAAGTATCGCATGGTGCGTGGTCCTGAGACACCTGTGCCTTTGAAGATCCAACCAAGAGCCGTGCTATCACCGGCTGAGCCTGTCTGGATACGATTTGAGAAGAGAGAGTAGACTTGAACACGTCAGCTCGTTTTTACAAAAATCCAGCTGAAAATAGAATAGCTTCTTAGTCTTATATTTGAGCATGCTTGCATAATATGCAGTAATACTTGAACACATTTAAAACGTGAAGAAGTTTGATTGTAACACATTGGATAATCTTATCTTTTCTTTAGCTCAAGAACACTGTGATTAATATATGAGCACTTATTTGGCAGTTTTTTGTGATTTTATTTTTTACTTTTATTTTGAAAGAATTGTCACATTTTTTTCAAAACGTGTTTTTCAGTGAAACCTGTCTTCATACTCATCATATGGTAATTCCGTTAAAGTGCCTTTGCCACTTTACTATGCAATTACAACGATAATAAGAGATGCCACTTTAAGATAATAAGAGATGACCAGACAAGTCGGTCGTATCAAACTTTTGTCGAGTTCTCGACACCCTAAATAAGCATTGGCACCTCTATAAAAAAGTTAGCTAAAATTAGCCTGACCCCCAGGCCCCCCTGCCAGGCCGCCACTGGAGTACAGCATAAAATAGCTAATGCAGTTTTGGGTAAATGATTGAATTTTAGACAGATTTTAAAAGGCCTGTTTTCCGGCTAGAGATTCCGGCTAGAGATTTAAAAGGCCTTTTTTTAAAGGCTAGAGATTTTCTATTTTCCGACGAATTTTAAGACAGGGTCGATGAAAATCGTATATTTTGTCTAATATTTCGAATTCTCCGACAAATTTTGGATTTGCCGACTTTTCCGACAAAATTGTCGCAGCCACTGCGCCCCTGTTCGGGCACTTTGAATAGAAACCTGTTTAACGATGCACTAACTAAATCCATGTAATATTCAAATTATATATCATATGACCTCGAATAGGGAAATGATGCCCCCGGCCATAAGGGTTGAGGGCGAGGGGTACCCTTGGTCCCAGAGCCTCAGAAAGTCATAGGATGAAGAACGGGGAAAGGAATTGCGAAGGAGAATGGAAGAGGAAAGGAGAGAGACGTCTCTCCTCTTTTTCTTCTTCCGTTCTCCTTCCGCACCTAGGGTAGATGAGGGAGGGTACACTCACATACATGACATTACAGAAGGTGCCGTGGAACAGAGTATCCTTTTCAATAAATAATATGGAACATGGAATTATGAAATCCGTTCAGCGGAAGAAATGTTTTAGCTAAGTCAAAAGAGCTTTTCAAGTCGTCAAATCAAGAAAAGAATCATGCATTGATAGTTGCTTCGTTAGTTATTATATATGACATTCCCCGAAGATAAACAAAACTAAGGTGTAAATAAAAGAACCAGGCCCAAAGTCAGAAAAACATTACGGCCCCACGGCCACTGGCCGGAGGAAGGTTGTAGGAAATTGAAGAAAGTGAAAAAAATTTTGAAACTTGAGGAAGTTGAACAAATGGTATTACCAAAGTCAGGCAACAGATCAAGTGATATTTTTAAACCTGAATATGTTTGTAGAACTGCTTTGCATTGTAAAATTCAGGCATTAACTTTTTATCATTTAATATATATATTTAAATTATGACACGCTTTTGTTGCTAATTGATAAAAGCTTGTAACTTTTCACCTATCTCAAAAAGTCCATAGTCGAGAACAAGCTACGATTTTTTAAGATGTTTTGGAAAAACAGTATTGCAAAGAAATGATCAATTTTACCCGTAGTTTTAATCTGCGGCACAGTCCGTTTGCTAAAAAAGCTTTCAGCTTGTGTATGTTCATTAAAAAGTAAGGCTGCATCTGTAAAAACTGCTTCAAAGAGTGGATTTTTCAGCGCATGTCACGGGTAGTAACAACTGTGCCGCTTCGGGTAGCGACTTTATCATGTGCTTATCCCGCTATACAGATCTAAAGGGCTGACAGGCCTATTTGACTAAAGAATCACATGATTTTGTTTTATCAGTTAAATTCGTATTCCCCCTCCCCCCAAAAAGGGGCTGCTTTGCGTCGGTCCTGTCTGAGTATCAGTGGCGTAGCCAGCCAAATGACAGTGGTCATGCTCTCTCCTCAAATTTTAAAAAAATGTGGGTGTGGCTAAATTCTGTCACGTCCAATTTTTGAGTTCATGAGTTCTATTTGGTCAAAAAAGTTTAAGGCTTGTAACTAATGAAACAATTCTGATGAACCTTTGGAATGAATGAGCTTTTCTCATTGCTTTGCAATTATCTTATTACATCATGTTAAATCATGAAATGTTTGTTGGTAATTTCTATAGACAAAGTTCTGACAATAACTAAACAGAACTTATTAAAGACATTAAAAAACGTTGGTTCTGTCTAATAGATAAAGTTAGTTTAGATCAAATATTGTGTTGTTCTCCTAGTTCTTTTTCAATTTGGAGGCTTAAGTTCATTTGTAAAGTTTAGTTATAAGCTCATATTTGTAAATGAAACAATAAATCACATGAAACTAAATGGAAAGCTTTTTGGTCATTCTCATTCACAAGATAACACAAGACGGTTCTGATTGTGCCATTTGGAAGTGGCATTACTAGCCTTTGTTCTCTCCTGCATCACTCCTATTGTTAGGCATGACCAAATATTGCGAACCAGCGTTATGGGCATGACTAAAACACAGGGTTGGGTCATGATGCTCATACTTATAGGCAGGGGCGAAAGTACCGGGAGGGTGTGGGGGGGGTGTGACACCCCCCAATCTAAAAAATAGTCGATTTCGCAGGGCGCCAAGAAGAGCTTTGTTGCCACGCAGGAATGTCACCTCTGAAGTTCGTAAAGGACCGTTTAGGAATTTTGAAATGGAAATATCATATTTGTTATGAACCTACCTTCCTGATATTGCATTTTAGAGAACGGAACAGGTATGTAAGGAAAAGCTCCGTTATTTGCAAAGCAAAAGCATGTCTTACCGAAAGTCATAGCCAATGGATGCAATGATTGATGCAAATGTTTATGAGGGCAAGGTTGAGTCCATATAAATTAATTTAAGTTGTAAACTATTTTCATGACAGGCACGGCGTCACTGGGGGAAATAGGGGGCTGAAGGCCCTCACTTTGGTCAAGATAAGAAAATTTTATCATTTTTTCTATTAATTTTTAACAGTGCATGAAATAAAAAACATAATAAATCGTTAAGATACCGATTTTGTTTCATCTAATTGCTAACTTGTTCACGTATATTTTTATTATTTTTCTTTTATTTGCATTAATTCAGTAAATCACTTTCTGTATCATTGCAATGTTTTAATTTTGGATGGCCTTTTCGAGACAAGAAACTGCACATTTCTGTTCAGGAAAAAAAATTCTCCCAATCAAAACAGCATCTTCCTCTGTCATTCACAACTACGTGCAATCTGAAACGAAAGGTTACTGTTTCTTTCCTTGCCCAACATCTATCACTAGAGTTTTAGCATAACATGCCCCTCCTTTTTTTCCCAATAAACAATAGTCAGTTTTTTAGCACAATAGCATTTTGCTAAATTTTTTTCTGAAAGATGCTTTTTAGCTCTATTACAAGGTATAATTTCAAAATTTTCTTCACGTCGGACCCAACCATGGTGGGTCCTCCTATATCACTAAACTTGATTCTTAGTCCCCCTGGACTCAATTTCGTTGCTCCGCCCATATAATGCACCAAAAATTCATATGCCACGAGATAGAAGCTTTATTATCAAGGAAAACCAAATTTGACATATAATATAGGCTCACATAGAGAAATCGATATTTCATAGGCAATGAAGTTTCAAGTTTGTTTTTATTGCTTGGAAGTTTTTCCTTGGTAAAGACCAGTGTACACTGGTAAAGCTTTCACTATTAACCTATAGAGTATAGACAAACCTTTGCTACGAGGTCTGCAGGGCACCACTCAGTTTTGCAGGGCAAAAAACCCTTTTCACCCCCCCAAACCTACTGGTCAAGTTACGCCCCTGCTTATACAGGGGCGAAACTACCGGGGGGGTGTGGGGGGGTGTGACACCCCCCCAATCCAAAAAATAGTCGATTTCGCAGGGCAATCGAAGATTTCGCAGGGCGCCAAGAAAAGCTTTGTTGCCACGCAGAAATGCCACCTCTGAAGTTCGTAAAGGGCCGTTCACGAATTTTGAAATGGAAATATTATATTTGTTATAAACCTCCCTTCCTGACATTGCATTTTAGAGAACGGAAAAGGTATGTCAGGAAGAGCTCCGTTATTAGCCAGGGGCGGATCCAGACATTCGCAACATTCGCACTGGCGAATGTCAGATTTCCACATGTCTTTTGGTAATTGTCTGTTAATATCTTTCAGCATTGTGAATATTGTACTAGAAATGGCCAGATAATAAAAAAAGGGTCCATAGAATACAAGAAATAAAAGTTTTGTTTCCTGCTCTAGTTGCTATGATGTCACCTTGTTGTTTACTTTTTAGGTTTTATTCCCTCGTTTTCGTGATTTAGAGATGATATATTCGAAAGAGGGCTCCCCCTTTTACGCATAAATTCACAGAGCACCAATAAGGTTTGATGCGAATGTCGAATGGAATTATAATATATTAGGCATGCGTGCGCAAACGAAGTAGTACTGAAAAATGTATGCCAAAAATTTGTGCGAATGTCAGTCCAGCTATGTTATTTAGCCATCTGAAAACCAATAGGAAATGTATATGGGAAAATTTTTTGCGAATGTGGCGAAGGTAGATGCGAACTATGTTCGGTAGCCAGTTGAGGGAGAGAACCTTGGAAAGTGAGTAGATAGAAACCTCACTTCCAGATCAACGGCCATGATTGTTGTTGGAAAGCTGTGGAGACAGTTGCTTGCAGATAAGCAGCAATTGTACTTCAGAGTGAGTGAAAGGAGTCAAATATAAGATGATTTTTAATTTGAATCAGCGGATTTCTTATGAAGATGTTCAAAGTTTGTCGAAGATTTTGGTTGATGGATGGAATTTGATAGATGGCAATATGCGAGGACAGTTCAGTTTGACCTAAAATTGTTGAACCAAAATTTTGCCTATGTTTTCATTTTCATGATGGAGGACGTTATTTAGACAGAGATTCAGACTCAAATAATATTTTGATGACTACATGATGCTTTTTAAGGTAAATAGCCATTTTTATGCAGGCTTTCAATCAGAACTTTTAGCGTTCGAGTCAGGTACATGATGTAACCGTACATCTTGATAATGATGATGTAGCATTCTGACGAATGATGCTGTTCTATAGATATCTTGAAGAATTTGAATATGCTGGATTTTAGAGTTCTAAATATTTTTTATTGATAGATGTTGTTATTATCACAAACCTGTAAATAGTTTGACTGTGCTGGGGATTTGTTTTTGACTAAGATATTGCATTTTCTACGGCGTATTCTTTTCTTGTTAATTTTATGCTGTCAGTTTTGGAAAAATCTAGACTGTCATATTTGTAAATGAAAAAATTGTAATAGTATTTTGATTTTATTTGTCTGGTCATGCCATAAATATGGTAACCCTTTTCACAAGTTTAACCTCTAAAACTAGTAAAATTATTTGTGGATTCCACACTATAAGAGTATACCATTTGAAACTTTTGGTTCTGAAATACCCTTAAAATTCATTAATTTTTGTTTATGAATTTGCAAGTGACTGACAGTTTTCTTTTCTATGTAATTGTGTGTGTAAATAAATGTAAATATGGGTAGTAAATAAGTGCAATCAATGGAATGTTCCTAATGGGGGAATTACTACATTATTAATAAGAAATTCACAGCAAGTTGGTCCTGCCAAGTAAATATCTTATATAAATCCATATAGTAAAAGTTACCATGTTTGCCTTATTTTTTTGCCATTACTGACTTTGTTTGATGTACATTTTAAATTTGTATATAATATATTTATGATGTTCTTGTTATGGAAAGACAATGAATTGTTTTAAATTCTGTTACATTTGCTGTTTTACCAACACCTGAAAATACTAAAATTGTATTATGTGTATTGACCTAACTTGTATTTTTGGCCCTGTTTAAGGCACATCACACAGCAGTTTAGATAGAAAGGCGAATGCACAAAATAAATAACAGAAAGCTCTGGGCCCCTAAGGTATTTGGTGTTGAAGTCAAACATTTGGGTGGATATTGCATTGAAAATTTCTACACTTAACACAGTATTTGATTGTTAAATGATATCATTGTTTAAATAGAACTAAGATTCCTTTCTTTAAATGGCTGTTTTTTAAGTGAGTGACGTAAAATGTTTTTCATGAGTTTTTCTCCCTGAGAAGGGGTGATACACACACCTAATATACCCTTATTTTAGCTCATCCTCTTTGTTCTTGACAATTTGTGATTCTGTGCCTAGACTTGCCATTAAATCATCATTAAGAGAGCATTTCAAATCTTTGCTGCTGTTTTTCCATCACAAAAGCCATGTAGGAAACAAAACATGCCAACACAACAAAAGCTTGATGAGTGTTTCTCAAAATTTTTCCAGAGATCTCTTTTCTTGTTCACTCAATAAGTAAAATGCCAAATTGTCAATGAAATCCAGACCTGGCTGTGATTCTTAATATTTGTCCTTAAATTTCTCAACCTTTGAGCCTCAATATTTTTATTTAATCTATGCTGTTTAAAAAATGTGTTGTTAGTTTCCTAATCCGAAAACTTAATATGAGGAAAAATACATCTTTAAGTGGAAAACTTCGATTCTGAGACTATAGTAAATTTGACTGATTTTTTGGGCGTGGTCATATAGGCGTGGTCGAAACTTTGCGAATGTCAGATTTTTTTCTGCATCCGCCCCTGTTATTAGCAAAGCGAAAGCATTCCTTACCGAAAGTCATAGCCAATGGATGCAATGATTGATGTATATGTTTATGAGGGCAAGACTCAGTCCAAATAAATTAATTTAAGTTGTAAATTATTTTCATGACAAGCACGGCGTCACTGGGGAGGAATAAGGGGCTGAAGTCCCTCACTTTGGTCAAGATAGGAATTTTTTTATCATTTTTTCTATTACTTTTTATCAGTGCATGAACTAAAAAACATAATTATTCGTTAAGGTACCGATTTTGTTTCATCTAATTGCTAACTTTTTCACGTATATTTCTATTATTTTTCTTTTATTTGCATTAATTCAGTAAATCACTTTCTGTATCATTGCAATGTTTAAATTTTGGATGAATAAACATGGCCTTCTCGAGACAAGAAACTGCACATTTCTGTTCAGGAAAAAAAATTCTCCCAATCAAAACAACATCTTCCTCTGTCATTCACAACTACGTGCAATCTGAAACGAAAGGTTGCCGTTTCTTTCCTTCCCCAACGTCTAACACTAGAGTTTTAGCATGACATCCCCCTCCTTATTTTTCCCAATAAACAATAATATTTTCAATAAACAATCAGTTCTTTTAGCACAATAGTATTTTGCTAAATTTTTGTCTGAAAGATGCTTTTTAGCCCTTTTACAAGGTATAATTTCAAAAAATTTCTTCACGTCGGACCCAACCATGGTGGGTCCTCCTACCTCACTAAACTCGACTCTTAGCCCCACTGGGCTAAATTTCGTTGCGCTGTCTGCATCATGTAACCCCCCCCCAATTAACTGTTTATTAGCTTAATTTTGCAAACCAAACATTAAATGGAGTGAATATAAAAAACAATTTACGCTCACGTAGAGAAATAGAAATTCCATAGGTCTTGAAGTTTCAAGTTTGTTTTTATTGCTTAGAAGTTTGTCCTTGGTAAAGACCAGTGTACACTGGTAAAGCTTTCACTAGTAACTTATAGACAAACCGTTGCTACTAGGTCTGCAGGGCACCACTCAGTTTTGCAGGGCAGAGACCCTTTTCACCCCCCCAAAACTATTGGCCAAGTTACGCCCCTGTGCTTATAGGCATGACTAAGTTAGAAACCCTCTGTTTTAGTTATGCCCGACAACAGAAGAGCACCTTCGCAGGGCTTGCATGGAACCATAGGGCTCCAAAGGCGAATGGCCTTGAGCTATTACATTGGAGAATAGGACTTTATTCTTACGAAAATAAATATTTTTGAAAATGTTATCTCTGGAAAAAGCTGGTCATCCCCGACATGACAAGCATGACTGCTAGCTAGGCTAGAGAACAGGATTAGATTGTATCTCACAGTGCTAAGCATCGAGAATGAAGTTTCAATGACCGCCAACTTTCATCAATAGAAAATTTTACAAGAACAACTTACTTCAGACAATAAAATGTAGCGAAAAACAGTGACAACTTAATGGCTGAGCGGATGACAACTGAAATTAAGCTAAATATACTATTCCAAAAGCTACATCAATCGAAGCTAAGTGTCAAGTAGAGTCACATGACAATCACATGACAATCACATGACACATATTGATGAATTAATTGCTTTGATATTTATCACGACCTTATTGCCGAGTAATGTTAGTTTTTGTGTAAATGCTTGAATGTTATGTATATATTTCACTTCTAAACACATTGTCTCTTCTTTGTGTTGTTGGTGTTTGTCAACAGATTTAGAGTTTATTAGACAAAAATAAAATGAGTTGAAATGTGTTCTTTTCGAACTATGAAAGCCCAGAATGTATCATTCTTTAATTTCTTACTAACACGAACCGTCTAATTGGTATTTCACAGGTGTTGAGTCCATGTAAATAGTGAGGTTGTTCATCAAAACATTTGTATCGTACAAAATTTGTTACATTTTGAATGGAGAAAAATAGAGCTTTATTCAGTGTTTTGACAGAAGTCTCTGATCGTCCATTCTCAGCTACTAATATGCAACAAAGGTCCGTAAATTTATTAACACTGTAACACGATATACTTGATCATAAATACGATGCTTCTGTATAACCTTCAGAATCTTTGAGAAGTTTTTAAACAAATATTCCTAGAAGGGGCGTTTTCCCAACTCTCCGGGAGCCAGAAGGACATGACCCCCGTTTCTTGAATCACCCTTGGGCCAAAGATGGCTCTCGAGAGCTTTGCTGATTCAGCAATTTTAAAGTTCAAGCTGTTGTTCAAAGTAGAAATCTGAGCATTTCCGGTCCAGTATTCTTTTCCGCTTATTGGTTCCTACGATCTGCACGGCCCGAGAAACAGCAAGCAGAGCCAGGAAACCTTCGAAAAGAGTAATTCTGCTAAGAAAAGTCGGGGTTTGATCAAGAGGAAGGTGCACAATAACGAACACCAGAGGTAAGTTTGTCTATATCCGGTCCGTTTATTATTATTATTCCTGTGCCCTCTCGATCTCCGATTCCCAGTGACACCAAAGAACTCACATTCACTAGGCCTGTCGTTTAGTTTCTTTATCACAGCTATCTTCTTCCATTTACTCTACTTCTTCTGATCTCTAAGCATTAACTATCCGTATTCATACGTTTTTTTTATCGAGAATATTCGAAAAATTTGTTCTATTTTTGTCATATTGCATCACATTACGTCATATTCGAATGTTCCACAATTTTCTACCGAATCAATGATAAAGAGGCACCGAAGGCGATATTTCTGACTGGATATAATATGTGTTGTTCTGAGTGAGGCAAAATCACTCAACTGGCAAATGGACGATCCCGTATAAGGGCTCAGTACGGGAAATTGCAAGGCGGACGAAAAAAACCTACATTTTCGAATTTCGAAAGTTTTAAGCTCTAAATTGTTTTGGTAAACGAAGTCTCAAGATTTATGAAAAATTTTTCTGGCTGCGGCGTTCGCAAAGGCACTGGCTTAGGCAATGTTTGCGTTGTCAAGAAAATTGTTTTTGGGTTTATTCGAGAAAAATCATTTATATGAGTTGATATCGCGATTATTCTCGGTTTAATTCCTACGCGGAGACCCTTTAATTATGATAAAAAAACCTTTATCTCAGGACAAACATTTTGGGCTTTTGGTGCATCAGCCCTTGTCTTGCCTGAGCAATGATGCAATTTATGGTCGGTGTTTGATTCCAGGGAAAAAATTGTCTTAGATTTTACCCCGTTATTCAGACTGATACACCTGTCATACAGTCGAACGTTTGTTTGAGAAGAAGTGAGGCTAGAGAAGGCAGGAGGAAGTATGTAACGTGATATGGGCAGAAGGAGAATCTAGTACAATGTAGCTTGCGTGCAGACTCTACGGAGGAGAAAAAATCCAGAGGATGAGGAAAGTCAGCCATGTGGTCCATTAACAGCGGAGTTGCTTGATAAACAAGGGATTTTCTTTGGTTGGTTGGAGCACTGTAATATAGGTTTTTTAGATCTTTAAAATACTTACTAAGAGCAAGTTCTTGATCAGGTATTAGCTTTTCGACACCCATCAACGCAGAAACGAGATTTAATCCTTCAACGAATGTTTCTTGGTCCCAATCGTACTCACAAACTCTGCTCAAAGGTTCTGATCCTCCTGAGGAGGCCATCTTTGCTCAGGTTAATGATGAAAATTGTTCCTCCAATCAGATTTGGTTCCTCAGATCTCAAGAACCTGCACGTGACCCAAGACAAGAAAAGTGCCTGTGTCGCGCAGACTTTCCTCACCCTCTGGATTTTTTTCTCCTCCGTAGAGTCTGCACGCAGGTTAGGTTAATTGGGCCTAATCGATACTCGGATGATAAATTTTATAAATGTCAAAGATCACTGCCAATTACACAAAGTCAATAATTAGAATTTATTAAAATTAGGGTTATATGTTTCATATTGAATTGATGATATTGCATTTAAAAAACTATTCAAGCTATACTACTCCGCATTCTAGTTGGAAAACCAAAGCTGCTTAACAACGAACACTTTTAGATGTGTAGAATGGCAGCATTAGTTCATTTTGCTAAAATTTAAATATATATTCAATTAACTAATGCAAAGGAGATTATTTCAATCGTGCGTATCTTTTGATTAGCTTCCTTTTATGGAATTCAGTTCTACAGTAAACAAAGAGTTTTAGGTGGAATAAATTATGAACACAACGTAATAAGGGTTTACCTACTAAAAGCCATTGTCCTAAGTCGAGGCGATGTATGGTTGATAATCAGTGTTCAAAGTCTAAAGGAAAACCACAAGGAAAACAATATGTATTGGCGATCGATGATGTTTAGTAAAAAGCACATCTAGGCCCAGTTGACGGTTGGTTGAATGTGCAACTAAACTTGTGGGAAAAATGTAACAGGGAAATATGTAATATGAAAAATGTAATTCCTCCACTTAATTTTTTCTGTCAATAAAAAAAGTTTGGTTAAAAACGAGTCCTTTGATTTTGGAAACAGAAAAGAGTGGGAATTATCGGACCTGGCTTCACTGTCAGTGCAACGAGACGATTCAGCCGGCATTGGATGTAGGAATAAACAAAGCATATATCCACTAAGGTTCGTAGATGCAAGAACATTTCATAACAACACAAAGATAAGTGGTGTGGTGTTTGAGGGCCTGTTTATATGAGCAAATTTATCCCACTTCTCAGCCCATAATCTGGCAGGTGAGATGAAATCATCGAATGTTTACATGCAGATTCTTTCCCACCTTCCATTTGTAAATGGAGAAAATCATCCCACATTGGAATAAAATGTGCTGACATTTGGAATAAAATTTGTTCGCGTTTACACGAACACTTCATCCAATCTTCCAGCTTTATCCCACCTTCCTGCATTTATATGGAAAAAATCATCCAACCTTCCTGTGTGCTGACAAGTGGGACAAATTTTGATCGCATTTATGTGAAAACTTTATCCTATCTTCCAGCTTTATCCCACGTTCCAGCGTTTATATGTAAAGAATTCATCCCCCTCAGTGAGATCCCACCTTTCTTGCAGTGTGATCGATGTAGTAATAACAACAGGCTTGATTACCACAGGAAAAATATTTTTGCCTAGTTAAACTTTGTTGTAGATTTTATTCTGAAATTGTGTCCTAGTTTCCTCTAATAAGCACCACTGGTGATGGAAACTGCCTTGACTTTGCATGCTTGTTGGTGATGTATGGGCATGACATTTCAATTTGCTTTTAAAGGCATTGACATCAGTTGAACTCATTTGTATTCAGCACTTTCTCACGTCATTAATCTTTTTTGTGAGGGAGAATCTTCCCAAATCTCTCCTACCATGTTTGCAAAACGCAAAATTGTTGAAGTACAAAATCATTTCAGCAAGAAAATTAGAATTATGAATAGTGCATTGTGTTAGAGGCTGAGCCTAATCGAGGATCCCGTGGATTTCGTCCATTTGTCTGTATGATGGCATTGTCAACGGAGGTAAAACATCCAATTGTGTCATGCTTTTCTGAGATTGGAACAAAACATACTGCCTGGCTGATGAATGTGTTGCTAATTCCCCAAGCTGATTGCATACTAGGTAAGGAACCAATTTATCTTTTACGGAACAAATCTGGTGGGAAAAGAAAATCTATGGTTCCAGCTGGTTATTGAATATTTGGTCATTTTAAACAGTCCACATCCAGAAACCATTTAAACAGCTACAAAAAATCCAACATTTTGTCATTAAAATAAATCAAGATTGGTTTTGTGAACTCATCAAAATTTCATGCTACAGCATTCACGATTTATATGGTAATGTTTATGCTAGAATCTGAATGGCTTTTATCGAGAAAACATCTAGACTAGCTTAACGTTGCTGATTGGATACGTAACAATAGGTCTATTGTGTAGTCCAAACAATGGGAAATTTGTATGGCCAGCGAAATGCGCCGGGACATTGTGCCCTTCAAACTAGTGTAATACTGCTGTGTTCTACTGCTAAGCAATAACATTGGAAGCAAAAAGTCTTTCTTTCTCAGGTCCAAGTTCAGTATCGATAGTTTTGTAGTAAATTTTTATTTAATCACCTTTTCAAAATGATTTCGTTCTATGCACACAAGAAGCGCCACGAATGAACAAAGTCAGCAAAACATGTCAGATATTCAAACTTTTTCTCACGAATGACTAAATTTGCTCAAATTTGGAGCCGCACACTGCTTAAGCAGTGTGCTTAAGAAAATTGTCTCATTCGTGGCATTTGGCTCAGCAAAATGCTCTAGTGTGCACCTGACTTGAGTATGCTTAAAACCAAAAGCAATATAATTCATTGTAAAGTTCGAAATATTTTCCTATATCGCTTTGCCACATGTAACAATTCGAAATTTGATGCCCTCGTTTTCTATTAACCATCTACGCAGAAGCAGTCCAGGATGGATGCTGTATCTGATGTGCTAACTGCTGTGAAGGAGCATTGGATTATTACGTCATTGCTGCTGGTCACTGTTCTTATGTATTGGCATTATGTAGTAAATTTCACTGCACTGAAGAAGCTCGGAATCCCAGGGCCTACGCCCTTACCTCTGATTGGTAACAGCATGACATTCATTTGGAATAGCAAAACGGTTCATAATTTCTTTTGCGATGCTGGGAAGAAGTATGGTAGTATATATGGGCTATACTTTTTGAAACAACCAATGATCATTGTAGCGGAGCCTGAAATCATAAAGCATGTCCTGGTTAAGGAATTTGAAAAATTTCACGACCGACCGGTATGTTTCGAACTGCATATATGCAGCTATATTCGGGTGATATTTATATGATGAATAACTGATGTTTCATGTCATAAAATTATTGTGGTGTCACTTTTGACTTTATATCCACTTTGATCGTTGGATCTTTTTTCTGTTTGATGAATGGTAAATTATTCTAAAAACGATGACATCTTGAAATGCATTGCAGTGTGACAAACGTCTTCTATTCAAACATAAAAAAAGACACCATCCCAGAAATTTCAACAAAATCTTATGTACTTTAAGTTAAATAGCACCAAATTATTATCAAGTGTTAACATTACTTTATGTTACTTTTTTAATCGATAATAAGTAACATTGTTGCCATATATTATAGAAAGGTGGACTGGAGTTTCCAGAGCCACTAAAAAGCATAATGTCTGAGGTCAAAGGTCAAAGGTGGAAGGACATTCGCAGTATTATGACCCCTGCCTTCACCTCTGGCAAACTCAAAGGCATGATGTACATTATGAACGAAGCTGGGGATACTCTTCTAAAGAAAATAGAAAAAGCAGCGGCAGAAAAGCAAGCAGTCGATATTCACGAGTCAGTACTTTTGCTTCATTTTATGTTTCTGTTTTTTGTCAGGGGATCTTGAAAAATACAATGTGACGAACCAACTGAACGTTTTCTCTATTTGCATCAAGGCAAGGTGATATTCTTGTCAATTTTATAACAATGTTTCTTTTTGTAAGAATATTCACCAATTAAACACTTTGATAACGCGCTTTAAAGATTTGTTGACGTTATTCTACTTTAACAAAAAACCCCTTTTTATTCAATCAGGCTAAATCCGTTTGTTGAATCCATGTAGCTCACTTCACAAACTTGCATAATTAAACTTGCATACTTAATTAAACTTCACAAAATCTTTTGCTGAGGTGTTAATTACTACAAAAAGAACTTTTATTGCTTAAATTAAAATAACCTATATTGATACATTAATCTAAAATGGTAAAAGTTCATGAGCGAATGACAGAAGTATAAATTTCAGTACACAAACAATATTTTTGTTTCAGATGGCAGCAGTCAGTAACGATGGAAGTGATTCTTTCAGCCGCTTTTGGAACTCTTTCTGAAGCACAGACAAACCCAAACGACAAAGTCACGACTTATGCCAAGGATGCAATGTCTCCAAGGCCATGGCCATATATTGCTCTGATGGTGCCATTTATCGGGAAGAAAATATCCAAGTCAATAATGTTTTCCCGCTTCGGATTCAACTGGTATCCGATGATAGATATTGCAAAGAAGATACTCAAGCAAAGGCGACAAGTTCAAGGGACAACAAGAAATGTATGTCAAATTTGTTCTAATCTTATTTGTTCTATTTGTTTTCATTAGAAACAAAGAGATAGAACAAGTTTTGCACCATGTACAGGCAAGGACGCCGAAGCACGGGGACCAAAGAGGTGCATGGAGGTACCCCTTTTTGGCGCTTCCCCCAGCCCTATGACCTTTCCAACGTCTCTATGTACATTATGTTTGAAAACCTCCTGTTAGAAAATCTTTCCATATCATATCGGACGTGGACAAGAAAAAAGCCACACCTTGGTGCAACAGGGGGCAAGGCTTTATTTCTTTCCAGTACTTTGTCGCTCGCAAGGCACCCGTCCAGCTAATGGGCATGGGCCGGAAGGCCCAGAACACATCAGTCCAACCCAAGGGGCATCTGTTTATTCTGACACCCAAGCAAAGATATTTGTAGTCTTTCCGAGGCTAATCTTTCTTATAATCTCAGAGGCTATAGGGTGCCCGCGTAGGGTGCTTTATTGGTTCTTTGCTGTCTAATTTGCCACCCGGTTCATTCTAAAGAGAATAACGTTATTGCTAAAAGGCTGTTTTGATTTCTTTTTTCTTTTAGTAATAATGCTCTTCCATAATATTAGAATATTTCATGCTAGCGGCCTGATCATCAACCCATCGAATTATCTCATCAAAGTTTTTCCCTGCTTTTGTATATATATTGTAGTAACGAACCTGCGGTGTACGAACGGGGGAACTTAGCCTAGCATAAGCACAATGTAGCTTGTATCTTGGCTGTTGTATCTCGTGACACTTCCTGAGAGACGTCTGAAGGTTTCATCTCAATAAAAGCATTGTTTTTCTTGATTTAGGATGTGCTGCAAAACATGCTGAAATCCCAGCACCCCGAGAAAAAGGGTCATCAGCTTACAGAGAATGAACTAATCGCCCAAATGGTTCTATTCCTACTAGCTGGGTACGACACTTCAAGCAATGTTCTTTGTCTTACTTGCTATCACCTTGCTTTATACCCAGAAATCCAAGATAAAGTGTACGAGGAGGTCATGCGTATTTGTGAATCAAAAGACACGACTACATATGACGAAATTAAAGAAATGGTTTATTTGGAAGCTTGCATTTCAGAAACACTACGTCTTTACCCACCAGGTGAGTTTTTTAATTTTGATTGTCGTAACTGTTAGGTCTTCGGTGGCCGCTTTGTCCTACATTTAGAAGCAAGATTTGTTTATTTACAAAAAAAAAAAAAAATAAGCTTCAGAATGCTATAGAGAAATGATTGCCGTTTGATGATAAGTTTGTCCATGAAAGAGGTACTGACGCAAATTTTTGCATGCGAAGATTCCAAGGATAATTTATGCTGATAAGGTTGGGGGCTCATGATACCCGAAAACATCTTTCGTTTTTCTGTACTCGCTGTGGAAGTCAAGTTTCGAGACTCTAGAAATTGGGATATATATTTTTGATATCCCACTTCTTTTCTGGTCTGCTACGCAGAAACAAAGGGTTTGACGTCATTTGACAGTTCTCGGTCGGGGCTTGTTGCCCGGGCTGGTTCAATCGGTGGCCGTCGTTTCTTTTCTTTCGCGCGTAAAGGTAGATGGGGATGCAATGGATTGTTTTAGGGTAGGTGGAAGTGAAAAAAACATCTTCGGTCTTTGTCGCTGGTATAAACGAGCAATTATAGTTCCTGTGTTACGATACGTTCGCACCCTCGCATCATTTCTCGCACCATGGCTTTCACCGAAATCATACCCTCAAATTTCTTCCCCAGTTTCGTTTGACGCAAAAATTTTGTTCCCACAAAGTACATTATCTCTACATAGACCGACCTCCATGCATTCAGGAAATTACTGAATTATTACAATTTTCGGGTTAGTGCCTCTTTAAGACAAGCTAAAGACTCCTATAAATTTTTATCAATTTTCAATCTACTAGGGTTGTTGGCTAACCGCACTATTGACGAATCTTGTGTCATAAACGGTGTTCATTTCAAACAAGGCATGGGCGTCCTCATACCGATTTACGCCTTGCACCGGGATGAAAAATACTGGCCCGAGCCTAACGATTTTAAACCGGAGAGATTTCTTCCAGAGAATAAGGAATCTATCAACCAATTCACTTATTTGCCTTTCGGCGATGGTCCCCGAAACTGCATTGGAATGCGATTTGCGCAGATGGAGATAAGGACTATCCTTGTCAGAATGCTGCAGAAGTATCGCATGGTGCGTGGTCCTGAGACGCCGGTGCCTTTGAAGGTCCAACCAAGAGCCGTGCTATCACCAGCTGAGCCAGTCTTGATACGATTTGAGAAAAGAGAGTAGACTTGAACGCGAAGAGGTTGGATTGTAACACAAAGGAACTATATAATTTTTACTTTAGCTCAAGAGCACTGTGATAAATATATGAACACTTGGTTGATTTTGATTCTCAAATGTAAAGCCTTTGCAAATAAGTTGCATTGCAGTTGAATGCACTCAGAAGATAGCTTTTTGTGTGCTTTGTAGAAAATGTTTGTGCTAACCAAGGAGAAGAAATTCGAATCTTATGCTGATCTCCTTGCAAATAGGGACGTGTTCAAAAATACGTTTATCGTATCCGAGCACTTTGAAAAAAAGGTTTCAACAATGAACTATCTTAATCCATGTTATATTCAAAATAAACATATGCTAGTGGTAGATATAATGAGATCTGGTCTATTTTAGCATGATTGTGTTTATTTTCAGCATTTTTTATTCTTCTGTGACACCCCAAAATCGTAGCTCAATAGGAATTTGCAGGTAAAATCCGTGCGTTGGAAGAAATGTTTTGGGTAATTCAGAAGAGCCTTTAACTTCGTAAAATCAATAATAAGAATATCAAGCATAAGAAAACAGTGTGAGATTCCCCAAGGCTCTTGTTTGCAGCCACTGCTTTTTATCATTTACTTGAATGATTTTGAGCACCGTCTCAAACACCCAAGAGCCAACACGCATGCAGATGATACTGAGATTACAATATCCTCAAATAACCAAACAGTGGTAATAAAGACAACACAAGCTGAGCTACCAAACATCATAAAAAGGATGAGGACTAACAAACTTAGTCTCAACCCCAGTATAACAGAGTAAATAATTATGTATCATCCTCGTAGAAGAAAAATAGAAGAATCAATTCCGCAACTTTAAATAAACCAAGATTTCGAAACAAAATTTCTCGTGGTACAGTAGCAGTTGACGATACCTTAGGTTAGGAAGAATAGTTCACAGGCCTCCTAGCAATAAAAAGGCATCCTCCCACAATAAATGCTTTTCAAGTATGCAAAACCCTTGATGTGGGTCATCCTCGCTATGCTGACTTGTCGAACACCAAAGTAACAGCCTTTCAGAGGCTGCAAAATCGTGCTGACTCTCCAATTGAACCTACATTTAGCATCTATCAGATGTTCCTAATTGACTAGATGTTCTTGGGTGAATTGGGTGGCATTTTTTAGCTTTATTAGCACAGAACACCGGCATCCTCCAAAGAAGAATCATCCATAATCAACGAACGGCGATGGAGAGGATCATCCTGAAAATGAAGATTGCATTTGGCCAACTCAGCTTGAAAGATGGTTTGAAGGACAAGTGGCCTTAAACCAATCGTAAGTTAATTTCTTTATTTTCCGGTTCCATTATCTTTACAGTTTACAGCATTTTAAAGCAGAAACTTTCACCGAGGTGAGCCTGGCCTACTGGCCTGAAGCGCAGACTAGACTAGCTTTATAAACAGACCTTGCTGTAAGCTTTCATTAGCTTATTAAGAACATATAGATAATTATAATTAAGATAATTAAGAAAATATGTCCAGAGAGTCTGCAGGATAAATTCACTCAAGGATTATCTATAGGCAAGTATGATACAAGAAATAAACTATACTTGCTAACAAATTCAGACCTTATATATCTGAAATTTCCGACAACAATTCATAAATGTCAAGTGGACTCGCTTCAACTTAGATATGAATTGTACAACAGATTTATATTAAATTTAAACAATATATTTACAATCACATCATATATTTTGTATAATAGAGTTTTGTCCAATATGGCGGGGCATAGCTAGCTTTTGTCCTCTCACGGTTTTCTTTGATGTCTACTGTGAACATAGTCTATTGAAAGGACCATACTGTGAATAAAAACCAATGATAAACGATTGCGTTTTGCTAAGTACCCAGATCCCTTAGCCTAGCCTGTGCTCCAAACCCCTACTTCCAGTACTGTAGCCATGTTTGTCACCTTTAGGAAACCACAAATACATAAAATGAATGCTTCATGAACTCCTCGCTGTTTTGAAGATCACCCAACTCAGCCACGTAGCTGTAGATGTCAGCTACGGTGGGCAAAATCGAGCAAGAGCCATACCTGAGGGGGCAGGCTTTGAAACAAGAGGGCAGATATAAAACAAAAAGATATATTTGGACTAACTCAAGTACACGGAATTATAATTATGCCATCTTTTCAAAATATCATTTGTAAAAAGTGTAGACAAAGGGAGCAAGTTGTTGTCAAAGTTTTCATTTGGGGAGGCACAGCACCCCCCCCCGCCCCCTGCAGCTACGTGGCTGGTCCAACTATGCTCACCTGCTATGGCAAGCCTTTTCCCAACCCTTAATCCATACTATTTTTACGCCGTATCTTTCTAACTTGTTTATGATTTCCATCAGCCTGGTGAAGTTGAAAAGTTTTGGGTGGAAATTACAAACTTACATTGCCTAAACTCAACGATGGCGGAACAAGGGGGCAGACGGGGCAGCTGCCCTCCTCCTGTCGTTCGTTTCAGTAGTCGCTACCCGGGAAACAATAACTTTATACTGCAACAAGTACATAAAATACATAATATTTATAAGAACCATTAAGTTGAAGTTCAGGCTGGCTGTTCTTAATTTATCCAAATACGCTGATAAAACACCCCTAGATGGCAAAAAACTCATCGTTTTTCTGATGAAATTTTCTTGAACGGATGGAATAACCCTAACCCAGCTGTCGTGAACATGATTAGCAAATGTAATACAAAAGTCTTCTTTGTTTAGTAAAGAGCATGGAATCGAGGGTGAATTTTTAAGGCAGCAAACAATTTTGTTCTTTTGACCAGTTTTAAGGCTCGAGTTCTCATAAAAATTTGCTTATAAAAAGAGTGTCGCTTTTGCTACCATGGGTATAAAAGCCATGGTGAAAGAGATTTTTGAACAGTGATCGGACATAAGTCCCCTCTCGTCCTACTACCCATTCTTTCAACGACTCTTTCCAGGGTAAGGTTTCGCCTGTAAACCTAAAAGCATTCAGAAGTTGGAAACATAGCAACATGAGATATTTTTCGAGGCTGTAAACAACTTCCTTTGTCTACGAGAATTTCAATGTGTGTTTCTGTGTGATCCGGCTCAATGCGCAAAGTAGCATTTAGCGACAACCAGCGCTCGTCATAAAATTAAGGTGTTAGGGCATTTTCCCCTGATGAAAATTATCTCTTTGAAAAACTGCAAGGCAGAGAAAAGTTAAGAGTTGTAACCTGAAAGAGCATTACGCGAAAAATGCACCCTGTAGTCTTGTTCTTGTTCATCCTCTCTTTTTTCCCGCTGTCAATGGTTTCATTTTATTTGGATGATAAGAGATACGTCTTTTTATTGACAAATAGATTATGAATTTTGAAGGCCAATTTTATTTATTTAGTGGAAATCCTGCCTTAGCAACTATGATAGTATGATTAAATTCTGAAAGCCTTTGAAATGCCAGCATTGCAAGATCAAATCTCACTGGCATTTGTGATAAACATAGAACCACTAGCGGGAAGGACAAAATAAAGCAATATAAATTCTCAGCTTAAAATAAAGCAATATTTTGTTTTTTCCCTGAATTCATCTGTTTAGGAACTTACCAAAACACTATACAGGCTTTGGGGTAAGGCCCCCACGCCCACCCCAAACATTGCTCAAAAAGTAGATTGTCAACACATATTGTTCTCTAGTATATTGGAGTTTGTTCTCTTAGTTTCTTTTGCTTTTGCTAAACAAAAGTGTTGTAGAAAAATAAGTAAAGCCAATTTTCAGCGTATGCTTACATTTCAACGGTAGCATTTAATGGGTAACAGCAATTTTCAAAAAAGATGTTTGTGCCTTGTGATGGCAAAGCACAGCTTTGACCGTTTGACAAAACCCCAAAAAGCGCTACCAAAAATGTTTTTCGTTGCTATCAGATAAGTAAAGTTTCTAGAAGTGTGTGACTGCTTAGTGTTGGATAAAATCGTAAAAACGTCCCAACCCAACACGTGCTTTATCGATCGAGCACATACCCCTTCTTCATATACCCTTTCTTTCATTTAAATTCGGGGCTTATGGTGTTAACATTAAACTTGGGGAAAGGGTAAACAAATTTTCTGGCTATCCATCCAGCATTGTATGTAGTTGGATGGATGCAAGTTTTGATTCGTTTCCCGCGGTACCTGTAACCAAAACAAAGTTGTTCAATAGAAATTAGAAATAGAAATTTATCACTGGAAACAAATAAACGACTTGATCAAAAAAGATGGAAAGATTTATAACGAGATGATCCCAATGAGACACATTTTAGCTCCGAGGCAAGAAGCTTTTGTTATACTTCACAGCTTCTTTCCCATCAAGTTTCTTTTCTCGCGCCATAGAACTCGTTATCTCTTCACCCTCGCATCTATTACTTATAACGGAATTCCTTTGATTCAATTTCAAAATTATTATGGTTGAAAATAATGAGTGTATTCTTCACCAAATTTCCTATAAATAAAAGCCGCAGAAGCAGACTCTAGTTTGCCCACAGCATCGAAGGCGTCGTCTGAGGTAAGTACTATGTCTTCTCCGATGTTGAAGTTAGACAGCCAGCATTCAATATTTTCCTTATGCAAAAACATCCATCAGACTTGCAATTCACGGTGAAATTTTGCATTTCTTATTCCGTTTCAATGATTACAGATTCTTTGATTTCAGAATTGCTGAAAAATGAAGGTTTTTGCCGTGCTTCTTCTTCTTGGGATCGTGGTCAGTGCGTTCGGTAAGCAATTTGCTGAATAATGTTTGTAATTCTAGATGACATAATGTAGGAACGATCATTTCTAATTATACCTGTCTTGGAAATCCTAGACATTCATGAAATTCATGGGTAGTCGTGGAAAAACACCGTTTGAAAGATTTTTCAAGCTAGCATTTTTTAAAATGTAGAGCTTAGTTTCTTTATAGACTCAAATGTCAAGTATTCTTTCTTTTTATCAGCTGACCCGGTACAACTTGATGACGACTCCGCAGAGAGCGTAGACCTCTTGGCCGACGAAGGAGATGCGCCCGATGAGAATGGAGCTGTTGATGAGGATCCTGCAAGTGAAGACAACACTGAGGCCAACGATGATACAGAAGGAGATGTAGAGGAAGATACAGAAGAAGACCCCAAGGAAGTCGAGTCTGACAATGTCGAAGACACAGAGCTGACTGACGAACAAGGTGAGTTTATTGGCTCTGTACGAGTAACATATAGAAGGCCAAGTCATGGTAACCACCATTTCCTCATGTACGCCTGCCGCCACAAACAAATTCCAGTGTTGCATGGATAGCAAAGGTCGCTTTTTTAATTTCCTTCGTGGTTTTTTTTTCAGAGGACCCAGCTCATAGAAGAACACGTCTGTGTTCTGTGCGCCGTTCACATAACTGCTACTATTACAGAAGATGGTCCAGCTTGAGTAGAAGACGCTGCTCATGCCCTCGCTGCCCAAGACGTTATCTTAGAAGGTGCGCTAGAAAGTTCCGCAAGTGCTCTGGCCATGGCCGTCGACGACGCTGTTACAACGTGGCACGTTGCTTCTGCAAACGTGTTGTAAATTATTGCAAGTTTGGCTATTGTATCCGACGTAGAGTTTGCAGAAGAGTTGGCAAAACAATCAGATGTTTCTATCTACCATGTCCTTGCAGGTGTCGCAGAGGATACACACGTCGTTGCTTTCGCAATCGATGCGTTTGCAGAAGGCAACCTGTAAGGTATTGCAGATCGAACAAGTATAACCCTTGTTGGCGCAGAGTTTGCAGGATTGTACCTCTCAGAGTTTGCAAGAAATTCGGCAAGTGGCGCAGAAGAGTTTGCTGGATGACCAGGAGGCTCAAATGTTTCGGTGTCCGCGGATGTCTTTGCAAGTGTCGCAGAGGATACATACGCAGATGCTTTTTCCATTACTGCAAGTGTAGCCGCCACAGAGGTTGATCAATTTACAGGTATGCAGTAAATCCACTTTCAATGTTTCACGCTTTACATATATATTGGATATGAAATACTTAAACTCTCTTAAGCGCTGAGTTTGACCTATTCTTAGGGATAATATAGCAAAATCCCTGAACAAAATGCAAATGTTCATATGAAAGGGTTAACACAGATTCTAAAATGTCAGTAGCATTCAATTGACGACCTGGGCGTTGAGAGCAAGTATGATGTAAAATCATATACTTTTTTGTATTCAGTTATACCCTAAATACACTTTTCCAATTTCTTGTGAGGGAAACATTCTCAACCTTCCCACCTTAAATATACTCTAACTGATGTCGTAGTATGTCTGTAATTGTTTGAAGTAGCTTTTTTTCTTCTTTTTAGTTCCTGGTGCCAGATGCTTGCATCAACGATGATATCAGAAATTTCTGAACATTTTTTGTATCTTTACTTTCACAACGTTTTTGCACTTTACATTCACACACAGTAAATGAACAGTAAATAATTGCCTATTTCTTTTATTGCATATCTTCTTGAAGCTATCTGAACATGATAATGGACGATCTTCAGGGGTGTAATGGTAGGCAAAACCTCGTCCTCAGCAGAAATTTTCTTCGGATAAGTTAAGGTGTCCAAAAAATTTTAAATCACATGGACAAATTGCTCTATAACCTCGAGGTCTAAGAGGTAAAACACTTATAAAAAATGCAACAAAATGACTTCAAGAAATACTGCAAAAAAGCATTTCCAAAACTGTCTGCTTTGTTCACAAAGGACCAACTCTTTTTATTTTGTCGCAAGCCCTCCAAAATCTTTCGACGATCTTGAATACACGTTATACCTTGTTCTAAAGACTATGTTTATACACCATTAGCAAGGACTAAATAATAACATCCACTAGATGATGAAATCGTGTATTTTCCACTGAAGAAGACAACGAAACTGAGCAAAAAATGCAAAAATAAAGAAAAAGATAAAAACAATAGAATTGAACGATTAGCCAATTTTCCTTATGGGCCCTGCTCAAAAATCATATATTTTCAGCAACATGTGCAGTGATAAACTTTATGTGTGTATGCATGTTTGCATGTATAATTTGCCACACTAAACGTATTTACAAGTTACAAAGGTTAAAGCGGTTATAATACATTAATTTACATTAAAAACAAAAGACGAACACCCCTAATTTCAGTGGCAAGGATAGCATTAAATGGTCTAGCTGACCATAACGATCTCCCTTAGAGCTGCTGGTTTAACAGGTAAAAGAGACGACGGGAAAAAGGTTGATACAAGAATCTGTTACTGCTGTTAGTTACAAACCGCCCCTTAGTAGTAGACATATATGCCATCTTCCCTTTTACTATGTTTTGGAGAAAATTCTCTTATATCTTATGTTTGAAGCTGTTGATATTGGAAGTTAATTTTAATACTGATGGAAGACTATTCCATATTTTGGGTCTTAGGTAGGATGGGCATGTTTGTCCAGTATTGCTTTTTCGAAATGGTAGGTCTAGTTTAAACTTTGATTTTCGCGTAGTTCGGTACTGGTTGATCGGATAAAATGTCTCAGAACTGTACGCTGCTGGGGCCGTTCCTTTGAAAATTTCATATTGTGGAAACAGATACATTGGTCTATCCTGTTCTTTGTTGGGAGCCAATTTATAGCCTTGAATGCCGTGATTCCAATATGTGCGGTGTTTTTTAGATTGAGAAAAAAACGAATGCATTTGTTTTGTGCGGCCTGGATTTTTTTGGACAGCCTGTTAACCAACCCAGGATACCAGGAAGAAAAGGCATAATCGAAATGAGGTTAAATAAGAACATTTAAAAACAACCTGCAAAGGGGCTTATCCAGGTACTTTTGCTTCCTGTACAGAAATTTTAGCTTGCCTTTTATTTTGTCAAACACCCTACTTGCCATTGATGCCCTAGAACGGTTTTCATCCAGAACACATCCTAGATACGTGAACACATCCTAGACTAGTCAGCTATTGTATTAAATAGCCTGCTTCCATAGATTGATAAATGATTTTAAAGAGACAGACACATTCACTAAATTACATTTCAGCTGACTTAAGATTCAGAAAATATAAAAAAAACATATTGATGACAGGAGCAGCAAAAATATTAGGGCATTTAATTTTTTTTAGTATTTTGACTGGGTGTTTCAAATGTTACTGAATTTAGTGAATGGGCAAGAAAACGTTACATTTGTCACCAAAATGCTCCCACCCCTGTACCCGGCATTAGAACTGACAACTCCGTTAGTGTTGTTGGGTTCCTTTACGTAAATTGTCTTCGTTCGCTCACTTTTTGGCTAGGCCCCCCCCCTCTTTTTGATAGAAGAGCCCTGTCGATGCTCTTGGTCTAGACTAACTAAAGCTGAAATAACAAACATATTGGATAGACACTATTGTCTTAGAACAATTGATCTCACATTACTCCTTTTGTCGACTCAGTTCTGGAACCCTTCCAGAAAACTACGTTCTGCCACGGAAAGCCAAAGTTGAGTCAGGACGAAGTTCAGATTAAAGAACCCAAAAAGTACGTTGATTTATTCACAGGCAAATCAAGTTATCTGTAAATCTGTAGTGTAAGTAACTGGAAAGTAGGCAAAGCATTAATTGCACACCGGAGTTCCAATATTCATTTTGTCAAAAACCTTCTGCTTCATCTGTTAGCGTGAATTTTCAATTCCTTGCATGAGCGGTACACGGGCAGTTAAGTTAGAAACGTTGGAAGTTGAAGAAACTTCAAATATGGCTGGACATCACTGTTATTCTCAGAATCCTTATATTTTAAAAGAAACCTGTTAGAAACGTTGAATTGCACGGGGATCCAAAACTTATTTTGTCAGAATCGGTTTTATTTAGCTTGAAATTATGCAATTTTCAACATTACTGCGCGCATTACTGGCTGGATTCTATTGGTGAGGGAATCCCCATCTTCCAAGCCACCTTCAGTCGACACGTGACACATGAAACCCCAGACACCTTTAGTTTGGGGTCTGGAATTCAGGCTAAAGGACGCCTGCACCAGGGAGGTGGGGGCAAGAGGCCGTGCCCCTCACGAAATGATTATTTTTCTTCATTTTACCACCGTTTTGCCCTTTTTTATTGGCGCTTTGCCCCCAATTGCCTCCTCGAGTGCAGGCTTCATTTTGCAAGATGTCGTTGTCGTTTTCTCGAAATTTTCATAATTTAGTCTCAGAAATATTGTTCAAATCTAGTTACAGAAATATCAATTTGAGTGCTCATCCTTCACTGCTGCATCGGTCTAAAAATACCGTATCCCCTGTTTCTCGAGGCTCTGGTGCCCATGGTACAAAAATTCCAATCACTAGGTATCGATGGCTCAGTTAGAGGCGCTGACTACAGACCAAAGGGTCCGTGGTTCGAATCCCTGGCATGACCAAACTTTCACCCATAGTGAGGAGAGTCGCCAGCTCTCTGTATTTCCAGGCATAGGAATCACGAGGTGTGGTCACATCGAGAGAAAGGACCAGGACACTGCTCGATAAGCATAAGCTTCTCGGTGTCCTGGTAGAAATAAATACAAAATACTGCTAGGGTTGTACAAACTCGAGGGGCATTTCACTACCTGAAATAGCATACTAGTGCAGGAGATTGGTGCAAAAATATAAGAACCAAAATTTTAGAAAACAGCATGCTAGAAAACAGTAAGCTGAAAAAGATGTAATATAGAATAGACCCAAATCATATATTGCCCATTCTATGAAATACTTCAAGAAGCAAAATAGGTTAAATACGTAGAGAAATGGGTTGTATATGGCAAAAAAAGATTTTAATTTTGCTAACGTTTTGCAATGTTATGAACAAAGTCAAAATTAAAGGGATCTCTGCAATTTGTGGAGGACTAGCCTACTCCCGGATAAAAATTTGGAGACAAAATTTTCAAGTGAAATGCCCTCGGGCAAACTCGAGCAAAAACCACACCTCGAGGGGCAGGCTTTTAAAAAAAACAAATATTCTGCGAATGAAACATTTGTTTGGAAAAAAGGTGGTTTAGAACGGAGTTATGAGTCATCATTTTTTATAAAAAAATTGCTGTAAAAACGTGTACTAGATAGTCAGATGAAATTAAAAAACTAGGATAAAAATAAACTCCCCTCACCTCTTATGCAGCATCAGAAATAGGCAAATATCTTCACAGAAATTTCACGAGCAATGATATATTCAATGATATTGGAAAAATGATATATTTGGAACAATGATATATTCAAACATTAACGAGTATAAATGGTTGCAGCTGCAAAGACCCTCCCGAAAATGTTTTTATTGGAAAATACGCCAGCATGAAAAATAAATTCCCCCCAATGGTCAAATCGATGACGTCAAAGTTCTCTTAAGAAGCAATGAATATTGAAATTTCTGAAAGCTTTGAGAAAATGGATAACTAAACGTTAGACTCAGTTTCTAGTTGAACCTTAAGACCCCTGCCCAAGCTCTACTGTCTTTGAGCTACCTTTCTTAACTTCCTTAGCAGAAGGGTTTGATTCAAATAATGTCACTTTAACTCGATGTCATTTCTGACACATTATGTCATTTATCTACGCAGGAGCAGTCAAAGATGGATTCTGTATATGATGTGATAACTGCTGTGAAGGAGCATTGGATTATTACATCATTGTTGCTCTTCACTCTTCTGATGTATTGGCATTATGTAGTAAATTTCACGGCACTGAAAAAGCTCGGCATCCCTGGGCCCACGCCCTTACCGCTAATTGGCAACAGCATGGTATTTGTTGGGAAAAGAAAAGAACTACACACTTACTTTTGCGAAGCTGGAAAAAAGTATGGTAGCATTTATGGGTTATGGGTTTATGGGTAAATACATAATCGTTGTGGCGGAGCCAGAAATCATAAGGCAGGTGCTGGTTAAAGAATTTGACAAGTTTCATGACCGACCTGTAAGTTTTGAACTTTTTCGAGAATATTTTTTCTCAGAGCCGTACTAATGGCTGGAAAGTTGGGCATCTCAATGACGACTTTTTTCTCAGCTGCTTCGATTTCTGGCTCTTAACACGAAAATCACGCTTCTTGATATTAGTTCAATTGTTTGCCCACCAAAATAAAAGTTTCCTTGGACCCAACAAATCGCAATTGTACTTTGCAAATCTTTTTGGCCTGAAAAATACTTTGACCCTCCCGGTAAGAAACGGATCATTGGACCTGTAAAATGCTCATTGAAAAGTTCACTTGTCGGTTGAGAGGCAAGACGGCAGTGTTCAAGACAAGACCAGCCTTGTGTGACGACTGCTTCATAGCTTCTTTAAAGAAAAGATTGTTATTCTGCGAGAGCTAACCTTTTAATCAGTATATACTTGATTCTTATTCGTTCTTCCCTTGACATTGAATTTTCTTTAAGATACAAGAATAAATCCTTGGATCTGAGGTTCCATATAGTCGGCATGATAAACAAACAAAGTCCGCATGGTTTTATCAGCATTTTCAATTATTATAATTATCAATTTTTTCAAAGTTGGCTCCTATCAGATGATAGAAAAAGCATATTCAGGCCAACTAACAAAAGTTTAATTAAAGTTACAAAGATAATTGGGATGTTACAAAGTCTTCTAATTGCAATAATGATACCCTGGGTATCAGAGTCTCCGTTATTTGTCCCAGAAATATAGTTAGAAACTAGCCACAGAAATATTTTTTGAGGCCACCACAGCTGTCTACAATACTTTGTCCCCGGATTCATGTGGCTCTGGTACCCAGGGTAAAATGATGAAAACAACATATTTTAAGTTAGAGAGCCAAAGTTTTTGAACATATTGTTTGCACAAACTCCATGTGTATGAACCACCATTCTAATTGTTGGTATTCGTTTTGAATTTATCTTACTTCAGGCATCCTTTCAACTCATTTTGCAGCGAGGAGGAACAAACTGAGCCTGAGTAAAAAAGTTTCTTTACCATAAATTTCTTATTTTGGCAAATGTAGCTATTTCATAACTAAAATTGTAATAGCTAGAATTCTGTGTAAGGACAGGCAAGAGCTTGCAGTTTTTGGTTTGTCTTCATGTATAAGTCTTCTACATACCTTTTGACACTATTATTTTGTCAAAACTTACACTTTCTTTAACACTCAACTGTTGAGTCACTAGATCTTTTACTATAAAACATAAGGTGTCAATTGTCTTTTATTCAGTTTCATAAAGTTTTTGCAAAAAATGTCTTGTTAAATTCTGTGGAATCGGTTTCATGGTTTTGTATTAAGATGCATAAAGATCAATGTTGTATGTAAATGCTGAATGTCATCAGCATGTGTCGTTGATAAAGATATTGAATAAAAGAGGCCCTAAGACAAACCCTTGAGGAGCTTATACTTTCTTAATTTTCTCCAGTTACTAAATGAGTCATTTTTCCTTACTTTTTGCTTTTTTTTGATAAGCAGATTTTAATTACTTGTAAATCCATGCAAACACCACAAGAGTGAAGTTTTGCCATCAAAAGGTTGAAATTTTAAACAATCAAAAGCAATTGAAAGTCCACCGTGCATTCAAGTGCTTCGGATGTATTATTGGGTTTAAATTTGCGTTTTACAACATTGTACCTCTTTGCAAGTGCTGAAATATTAACAACTTCAAATTCATCGTGGAATTGAGAATCATCCAGCTGTTTGTTGAATATCTCAGTGAGAGAATCCTTGGCAATTTGGCAGGAATAGGCTCAACTTTACTTTAGTTTACACTGTGCCGGATAAAATTTATCCGCATAAAACTTATTCAGATTGATTTGCATTTACACTGTGCCGCACAAATTTTGTCCACTTTGCCCTCATGTTTACACTGTGCCGGATAACTGCAGTCACATGACCTAAATCATGCACAGAACGCCCAAAATGAAGTCTTCTCTGGGCAACAAAATAATAACGAAATTCCCGCCAACAATCCGATACAAAATGAATCTGGTATCGTGTGAACAGGGCCAAAGACACCTTGAGTATGGCTCTGTGTACCGTGTGCCCAGTGACAGGAAAATGCTGATTTCCGTTTTCCTTGAGGAACTTAAAAAAATTTTTTCTTTATAAACTCATGAAAATAACCAAAGTTGATGAAGATATGACAAGAAAGACAAAAAGCCATACATTAGCATAACATTTTTATTGTCCTTTTTCAAATAAGAGCTCACTATTCATCCCGGAGCTGCCTGAGCCACTAACAAGCATGCTGACTGCTGTCAAAGGTCAAAGGTGGAAGGACATCCGCAGTATTATGACCCCTAACTTCACCTCTGGCAAACTCAAAGGCATGATGTACATTATGAACGAAGCTGGGGATACTCTTCTAAAGAAAATAGAGAAGGCAGCAGAAGAAAAACAGGCAGTCGATATTCACGAGTCAGTATTTGAGCTTTATTTTTCTATTTTTATCTTTAAATTATGAAGGGTTTTGATTTAACAACATGAAGCAAAATAAATTTTTTAAGGTTAAGTTAGATTAAGCTGATTACGTTGAACTTTTTAATTGTTACATTGAGCAGCTTTGAATTAATAAACTAAAGGTAAGCTACTGAATTTCAGTACACAAACAATATTTTTGTTTCAGATGGCAGCAGTCAGTGACGATAGAGGTGATTCTTTCTGCCGCTTTTGGAACTCTTTCTGAAGCACAGACAAACCCAAACGACATAGTCACATCTTATGCCAAGGATGCAATGTCTCCAAGACCATGGCCAAATATTGCTTTGATGGTCCCTATTATCGGCAAGAAATTATGCAAGGCAATCACTATATCCCGCTGGGGGTTCAACTGGGGTCCTATAATAGATATTGCAGGAAAGATACTCAAGCAAAGACGCGAAGGTGAAGGAGAAGCAAGAAAAGTAAGCGGTGTTTATTTACCTTTCGCTGATTTCTTGCATGAAGATGATTCATGTCTTTTCTCTCGAAAGATAAAACTTAGGAAAAAATCAGGATGATATGATTAGATTGGTTCGGCAATACTTGGATTTTTCTGAAAGGATGGATTAAATGCAAAGTTTGACACTATTGCATTGCGATCCATTTTGAGAAAATTTTTGTTATAAATGGCAGATATTTAAAAATTGCGGATGGAAGCAAATTTTATTCAGATATGGTACTATTCAAATGCTTCTAAATCTGAATGAGATATTAATTTGAGTTCTTCAAACATTGTTCATATCATGATCAAGTTCAGGTTTGGCAATTTTGCCTGATAGTGACGTCACATTGAGGAAAGAATTTATGTATGCCCTAAAAGCTGTGTAGCTAAGTTCTCTATAGAGAATTGTTTAGTTTTAGTAAATTTACTGCTCTCGAATTGGATTCTAGATAGACTAGAAATGGCTACTGGGAGGAAAAGATTGGAAAGTATTTTCAAGATTAAATATATATTGTTCCTAAATGTTTGTTAAGCATGGCAAAAAAGGACGAGAAAGGTGAACTCAACCAATAAGCACTAAAACCACGGAGAAGCCATCATAGTTTTGTGAAACTTTATAGATTTTCTATTCTTGTACCAGCAAATCCTATAAATCGGCGACGAAGGTGAAGTTTTGAAAACTTTTTAAGCATTCAGCTTATAATGAATAAATTCATGAAGAAGTGTCTTGATACTATCCTAAATATTTGTTTCGTATTTTGTGTCGTCATTCAATGATGAATTAATACTAAGGCAATAACCTGTTCCTCATTTTAGGATATGTTACAAAACATTCTAAACTCCCAGCACCCTGATAAAAAGGGACATAAACTCACAGAAAATGAAGTTATTGCCGAAATGGTTCTCTTTTTACTTGCTGGCTATGATACATCAAGCAACACTCTTGGCCTAACTTGCTACCATCTTGCTTTATACCCAGAGATCCAAGAGAGAGTGTACGAGGAAATAACGCGTATTTGTGAATCAAAAGACACAGCTACGTATGACGAAATTAAAGAAATGGTTTATTTGGAAGCTTTTGTCTCTGAGACATTGCGCCTTTACCCACCAGGTGAGGTTTTAAAGATGGAAATTAAACCTTTTTCCTCTCTTGAGAAACCAGGCAAATGCTACCGATTGGGATTCGAACACTTAAGAAAGATGACTGTAGGCTAATAAGGATTTAAACACGGCAATGGCCAAAGATGCTTTATAAAATTACCAGCTATGCTGCTTTAAGAACGTTGGGGTTTGGTTGAAGGTTGGGGTTCCATAATTAAAACGATATGTTCATTTCTGCTTTAATATCTTCCCTCGCCTCATGCTTTCTTTTTGCTAAAATTGGTAAATTATTTTTAGCGTAAAATTTATTCATTTCTACATCTTTTCTAGGTTTCTTTGTAACCCGCACCGTCGAAAAATCCTGTATCATAAACGGTGTTCATTTTAAAAAGGACATGGCTGTCCTCATACCCACTTACGCTTTGCATCGGGACGAAAAATACTGGCCCGAACCAAACGCCTTTAAACCGGAGAGATTTCTTCCAGAGAATAAAGAATCTATTAACCAATTTGCCTATTTGCCTTTTGGCAACGGTCCTCGAACCTGCATTGGAATGCGATTTGCACAGATGGAAATAAAGACAATCCTTGTTAGAATGCTGCAGAAGTTTCGCATGTTGCGTGGTCCTGAGACGCCAGTGCCTTTGAAGATGCAGCCAAGAGCCGTGCTATCACCGGCTGAGCCAGTCTGGATACGATTTGAGAAGAGAGAGTAGATTTGAACACGTTCAAGTGCGAAGAACTTCAAGTGTAACACAAAGCAACTATTTGATCTGTACTTTAGTTCACAATTGTTTTAGGCACATCTCGCTGGAATTTTTTGTTGATTTGGTTTTTAACTTTTGCTTGAAAAAATTGCCGGATTACTTGTATTTGTCTTAATATACGACTTTAGGATAAAACATACATTTTGTCTAAGACTTGTATTTTAAGACTAGCATCATCATTACACTGTAAGGAATCCTTTAGTTGGCCGCGAAAATAAATCGCCAATTTGTTCACAGAAACTGAATCTTGAATGTTTATCACGATTACAAATCTTTATAACGTTTTCATAACTTTCACAGCTTACAACTGCAACTCATTTTATGCTCAAGTCAAGAATTATCTATAAAAAGTTTCCATTATTAAGTACCATTTTATTACAAAGTTTCTAAATATTATTAGTTGCGTCATAGCTATTTTTGGACACCCTTCGTAAAATTTTGCCGATTTACAATTAAATAAAACTGAAACTGAGACTTCGAGTTTACATTAGGCCTAAACACGTTAAAGATGGAGATCTACTCTAAGTGATTGCATGCTAAGTGGAAGTTGCTAGAATATTCTGGAAACGTCCTCTGCTACTAGTGTTTATTGATAACCTTGACAGCAGCCACGTAGCTGCAGGGGCAGGAAATGTGTGCTGTGCTCTCCTCCTTAAAATGAAAAACTTGACTACACCTCTGGCCACATTTACTCTAAATGATATTTCGGAATGTTGGTTTGATAATAATTTCGTATCATCAATTGATTATTGCTTTGGTAAGTGGAGACCTTTGCGAGATAAGCAAAAATCCCTGTCATCTGTCCCTAAGCTTCGAAACCCGAATACTTGCAAAACGCTCTTTGTGGCCTATCATTCAAGTATGATCTCACAGCTTTGTTATATATAGCAAAGATGGAAATGTTTTACTGCCCACAAAATGCTTAAGGCTTCTTTCTCCGTTTGAGGGAAGTTTTTTCTACGAAGATAGCGCATGGCTTGCATAGACATCAAGACGTTCAAGATCAGAAGTCACAGCGCAGATGCGGACTGAAGACTAGGCCGTATTTGTCGAGATGGCGAAGAAAACAGAATTATAAGATATAAACACTGAAGTCATAACTGCAATCAACGAATTAAGAGCAAAAGATAGAAAACGGCCCTATTCTAGCACGATTACCACGAAACTTGAAAAATAGAATTTTTCTTGCACGCCAAGTGACGTTAGCGATGCATTCAGACGTCTTGTTAAACGAAAACGGATCAAAAACTGAGAAGAAGAAGATGGTCCATTAACGTAATTGCATTCAAATTTACCAAGTGGACTCCATCATCAGAATTTCTCTCATTAAAACAACAAGTTGAACAGTGGCAAAGCCAAAGGTCCGCAAATTTCCAAAGATAAAAATTTTTGAAATTGGAAAGAACTTGATTCATGTTTTTAAATCATTTTATGCCCGATTCCAAGGTTAGTCTACCCTGGGTACCAGACTCACTATATATAAAATAAAATAGAGTCTGGTACCCAGGGTAAGGTTAGTCTTGTCTTATTCTACAATTATACTTCATGCCCGGACCCTTTTTCAATTTGGAGACACAGGGCGAAAATAGGGCAGTGAAAAATGCTTCACTGCAATCATTATCTCAACAGATTCAGAAGGCAATTATTGATTTAGCATGCTAATTTGAAAAAAATGAGCTAACTACCTGACCTTAAATACTTCGTATTATCTTTCTATCTACTTTCATCAGACATAAAAGAGTGTATAGTGTATATTGATATTGTCCAATGCATGTATTTAAATGCGGTATTCGCTATTAGCAACATCTGCTTTCATCATCTGCTGCCTACCGCCCCCCTTCTCAATGTGAAAAATTTTTCTTCGCAGAGATGGGCAAAGTGCTTGACCAACTTACACCTCGATACGAAAACTTCGTCATTATTGGAGATTTAAATTCGGAAGAGAAAAATTATGAAATTAGCAATTTCATGGATATCTATGGATTAAAAAATCTAATAAAAAGTCCCACTTGTTATAAATCTGCTGACAATCCCTCTTCCATTGATATGTTTCTAACGAATAAAACCTCTGGTTTTCAAAACACTACGACAATAGAAGTGGGATTGTCTGATTTTCATCTAATGATACTAACAGTGTTAAAGAGTGGTTTTGTAAAAAGAGGTCCAAGGATTGTGACATACCGAGACTACAGTAAATTTGATCCTATAAAGTTTCGCAGTGACCTTAGAAGCAATCTAGCTAAGAGCAGCGAAGCATACTCTGAATATGAAAATTTTAATTCTGTAGTCGAAGAAGTTCTGAATAACCATGTACCTCTAAAACAGAAATATTTACGCGCAAATGATGCACCCTTCATGACGAAAACTTTAAGAAAGGCAATTATGCTCCGTTCACAGTTACGTAACAGATTAAACAGGCATAATACTTCTGAAAACTGGAACGCTTTTAAAAAGCAAAGAAATAGGTGTGTGAAAATTCTGCGACAAGCAAAAACATCATATTATGGTAACCTTGATATAAATTCTGTCACTGACAATAAAAAGTTCTGGAAAACTGTAAAACCACTTTTTACTGACAAGGTACAAACCTCTTCAAGTATTACGCTTATCGAAAATGAAAAGTTTATTACGAATGACAGTGAAATAGCTGAGATCCTTAATGAATTTTTTACAAATATCACAAAAACAATTGACATTGCCCCTGGTGAATGCATTCTCAATTCGACAGACCATTTGCTGGATCCTGTTGAAATTGCTGTTGAAAAATATAAACATCATCCCAGCATCCGCAAGATTAAGGATAAGGTAAACCATGGCACATTCTTCGAATTCAAACCAATTACAATGCAGGCAGTCAATGATGAATTATTGAGACTAAATAAAAAAAAGCGTCTACAATTGAAAGTATTCCTCCGCGGATACTGAAAGAAAACAAAGACATTTTTGCACCATTACTGACGACAATTTTCAATAATTCATTGCTCCAGAAAACGTTTCCTGAAGATCTTAAATTAGGAGACATAACTCCACTATTCAAAAGTGACAAAACTACAGAAAAACGAAACTATCGACCTATCACCGTTCTATCCGCATTATCAAAGGTCTTTGAACGGCTGTTATATGCTCAGATGGTCGACTTCGCGGATACGTTCCTAGTTCCCTACTTATGTGGTTTTCGGAAAGGTTTCAACACACAGCATGCGCTGTTGAGATTAATGGATATCTGCAAGAATTCCCTAGATAAAAAGGGGTGGTTGGTGCCTTGCTAATGGATCTCTCAAAAGCGTTTGATTGCATAGACCATGAGCTATTAATTGCGAAATTAAATGCCTATGGTTTTTGTAAAGATGCTCAATTATTGATTTATATTTACCTGTCCGGTAGAAGACAAAGGGTAAAATTAAATGGTTCATTCAGCACTTGGCGAGAAACCTTTGCAGGTGTACCACAAGGATCAGTCCTTGGGCCTCTTCTCTTTAATTTATATATTAATGATTTATTCTTAATGGTAACTGATACTGCAGTATGTAACTTTGCTGATGATACTACGATTTTTGCAGCTGACTGTCAATTAGATAAAGTTTTAGAACGGCTAGAAACTGATGCTCTTATTTTATCAAAATGGTTTCCAGAAAACTTTATGAAATTGAATGCAGGGAAATGTCATCTTCTTACTTTTGGAACAAATCAAGATGACTTTAAGATCAAAATCGGTAAGGCCATTGTTGAAGAAAGCTCTGAAGAAAAACTGCTAGGGGTGATAATAGATAAAAATCTTAATTTCAAAAGTCACGTCTCAAATTTATGCAAAAGAGCCAGCCAAAACTGCATGCTCTTGCTAGAGTTTCGCCATTTATGGGTTCTGATAAACTGCGTCTCCTAATGAACAGCTTCATAAAAGCTCAGTTTAGTTACTGCCCCCTAATTTGGATGTTCCATGACAGATGTCTGAATGCTAAAGTAAATAAAATCCACGAAAGAGCACTCAGAATTGTTTATAAAGACAGTCATGCTGACTACGAAGCATTGCTGACTTTGGATAATGCAGTATCAATTCACCAACGCAATCTACAGTACTTGATGATAGAAATATACAAAACCAAACATAACCTGAACCCTAGTTTCATGAGTGAGATTTTTGAAACAAGAAATGTACATTATGATTTGCGAACTAAAAATAATCTTTGCATTCCAAAAGCCAGGACAACTTCTTATGGTATAGAAACTGTGAGATATTTAGGTCAAAAACTGTGGCAAACACTACCTCACAGTATAAGAGAGTCCCAATCATTGGCAACATTTAAAAAAGAATTAAGAGCACACCCTATAGAATGCGACTGTAGATTGTGTAAAAAATTTATTGCTGGGTTAGGTTTTATTTAGAACATTATACCTTAAACCTTTTTAATATTGTATCATATATTTTTATTTCATACTAACTCTTATTAGATAGTTGGCCTTAATTAGCTTCTTTATAGCTATCAACCGTTCATTTAGTACGCCAACTTTAAACAAATTATTTATTATTATTATTATTATATCAGTATATAAATATATTTCTGAACAAAGTATAAAGATATTTAGTCTGACATACCAAAGGCATTGTGGGTAATCCCCAAAGGACTAAAAAATACAGTCGCTTTAAAAGTGAACTGACACGCAAAATTAACTTGACCTCAAATGAAAGCATATCGAGCATAAATACCTGATACATTATTATTTTTTTAATATTCAACACATTTTTCGAGTTATTGAGCGTCAAAGTTAGCCGAGCATGGACGAGTTTGCCCGAACCCTCTGCATAATCGTGACGTCACCAACACCATGTTCACATCACTGGAGTAAAACGATAGTCTGGAAGGCTGGACTTTTGTGACTGTGCGGATGAGCATCGATACATTAATTGAGCAGGTTTTTGCTCCATTTCGACAACCTAATTGGAAAACAGATTATGACTCCTTTACAAACCTTTCACAATAAGATTTGCAAGAATATCGTATCATCCAACGCGCTTGAGACCCTTCCTCCGTCTTCCAGGACCCAGTGTGTGGCGGGCCAACATATTATACAATGGTAGCGATAAAAATATTGGCAGGATATTTTTTAATTTCTGGAAACCTAAGTAAAATACTTTTCTTTTATTAAGAGAGAATCAGCTAAATCGGTCTATTTTGCATGAAATAATAATATAGCGCCGCTTTTAGATGTAAGAAAAATAATTGAGAAATTCATGTAGATGCTGAAAAGACTACATTTAATTGTGATATTTTTCAGTTTTTAGCTTTAGATTGGGTAGAAAGGAAAGTATGCTTAGGATATCATTGGGTAGAAAAAATTAATAATGGGTCGTATGTTGGGTAAACCAAATTTCTGGAGGAAAAATCATTTCTCTTCGGCCCCAACTACGACCATAACTAATGGCTGGTCCCTTAGGGCGTGGCTACACCTCTTGGGCACTACCACCAGTTCTTGGTTAGCTTCGCCACTGAAGTTGATTAATTGAGGTATCAAATCGATCATCTGGAAATCAATCAAAATGCTACACAGGAATCTTTCAGGATCGAAGGAGAAAAGAAGAATTAACAGAGGAAACCACCGGAGCAATTGTACGCCCTTGGAAGCGACCAGGAGGAATCCCACAGGACCGAAGAGTGGTCAAGCAGAACCAACAATGGCAGTGTTAGAAGAAAAACATCTGAATTACATTCCAGCGGAAGGCAAGAAGACGAGAAGAACGGTAGAAATTATAGGAGACTCGTTGGTGAAGGATATCCAGTCATACCAGATTAACAAATCTACTGGAAAGACGGACGAGAAAATGTTTGTCAAGGCATATTCTAGTGCAATTGTCGAGTGCAAGCCGCTTTTGTCAAAAAAGCGATTGGCCCCACAGGAAGATTCATCCTTCGTTGTAGAACCAACGATTGTCGCTCCAAGGCTACACCAAAAGATATCGCAGAAAGGATAATTGATTTAGGCAACTCAATGAAAACAAAGGTAAACATGGTACCATACCTATCTCTGGACGTCTATAATAGAGCTATGGAGACCGATGGTGGCCTATTATAGAGCTATGGAGGTAAATAGATTTCTAGAACAACTATGCGTTTGTCAAAATGTTTATTACATGGTTCTTGTATGCTTGTTACTGTTGTTGAAACTACTTTTCCCAAACAAGAAACAACTGTAATTAATAAAAATTATAACGAGAAAGTCTTCAAAAGAAAAGAGAAATCCTGAACTCCATTTCTTCAATTTTCCGTCATATCCAAACAGATGAGCCGACTCATTTGATCTAGGCTTAGTACTTATATTACTTTATGTTATTCTTTCCTATATCTTTTCTTTATTGTACCAACATTTTTAAAAGTAATAATTCTCTTGTTAAGTGACATTTTGTCCCATGCATTGATGTAAAAAATGCTTTCGTGTTGTCGGCGAGAAAACCTTATGAACTAGGGACCCAACTATCTTCAAAGTTATGGAACTGAAACGTTGCTTCCTGGCCTTATTTGTGGTGCTGCACTGAATAAAATGGGAGTAAATACAGCTTTAAAACTTTACCAAAGCTTTTTTGACTGGGGTACTTGTCCAGTCTACAATTGGGTTTTGCACTGTAACTTTATAAATTCATGTAGAGTAAAGATATGGTCACTGGTTTCGTAACCTTCCCTACAGGCTGCCTGATTTTCACATAGAATATCGAAATTCGTTGAAAATCTTTGCAGTCTTTCTACTAGAACCCTCAAAAAGACTCCTCTGTAGTTATCGAGATTATATTCATCGCCACCGAAAATTACCAGTCTTGAAACTTTTATCAAACAATTTTGTGAAAAAGCAAACAGGTCATCATTCAAATATTTGAATATTTCAGCAGTAAGCGAGTAAAGCAAATCTATCCAAACTGAAATCGATTCCAGATTTCAGTTTTGTAACCGTTTCTTTCACTTCCTCGACAGTAGCGGGAATGTATTTGTTCTTTGTTGGACAAGATCCATACTAAGCATCAAGACACATGTTTGAATGTGTTTGAGGGGCCCCTTTAAGTACTCCGACGGAAAAACAAATAACACAAGCTAGTGTTCTGATTAGGTGGCTCGTCAGTTTATCTAATTTCATAAAATTCGAAAAGACAAAACGGTACACGTCGGCGAAAACTTGCATCATCCAACAAACTTCGCGACTGAGCCTGAACTAACTACCCAAACATGTCCGCGCTCTAACGACTACCGTAAATTCTCTTTTTAGCCCCCCTCTCAATTAAGCCCCCCCTCTCAATTAAGCCCCTCTCTTATTAGTCCCCCTTTCTAGAAGGAAAATTTAATTAGCCCCCCTCTCAATTTATCCCCCCCCCCCAATTTTCACTGATGCTGAAATAAGTAAGCTTGACAAAAACAGAGATTTTTAATTTAATCATTGGTCGTTCAATACTTCGCATCAAATCACACCATCTCTTTTCCAGTCATAACAGATCCGAAGACAAATATTTAATTTGCATTAAGCACGGGCCATGCGAGAGCCTTTACCAAAATTACAGGCCGTTGGTAATCCGAGGGATGAAGTCGACCTTTTCGAATGCTCGATTTCAGAAGGCGACATGGCGCAAGAAGATATTTTAGAATTAATATTTGATGACGATGACGATGACAGTATTATTGATATAGAAGGCTGATTTGATGTTTATTATTTCGCAAATAACAAAAAATTAGTTTACCACAATAAATGGTTTTTTATTATAAAATATTTATGAAGCCCCCTCTCTCAATTTAGTCCCCCTCTCTGATAAGCCCCTTTAAAGTGCTGAAAAGCAACAACCCCCTCGAGGTCTCGTTGTGGATTGGTTAACGAGAACAATAGCTGGAACAATAGCCTAGACATGATTCCAGCGCTACGCCATATTTCTTACAATGTGATAAATTAAAGGGGGACTGGAAACAATAAAAAATCCCTTTGTTCTTATAATCAATCAACGTCGTGACAGATTGCCTTTAAAACAAAATTTACGGTAATTCAGAAGACTGATCTACTCAACTGGCCAACACAAAACATAACAATGGGGTAGACGAGATAAGACAAGATGTCAAAGGAAATTGGAAAGATGTGAAGAGATTTCAAGTACGCTCCAGGATGAGTCGATTGTTCATTGCACAGAGACTATTGTATTAGGACAATCGATTTGAAATTCTAGTCACCATCAATTTATGATCATTTGTTGAATCGGGGCGATGCTGCAAATGCCAAGGAAAAACAAAGTTGTATGCCTGTGAATAGTCGGTGAAGTGCAGGTTAACAAGAGGTATGTTGATATGATTTCAGTGCGGATGAGTATGCTTCTATTGAATTAAGCAAATGGTATTAAGTGCCCGGAAAGCAGGAAAACATTATGGAAAATTTATCCACCCACTACTGACAAAACGTCTCCCGCTCGAGCACAAATAAACATCAAATGATATGAAAAAAGACTGAATCTCTCTTAAACAGCTATAAAAGCAGAAGCATTCGTTTTTTATCATCGAAGAAAGTATGTGATTTCGGTATGGTATCACTTTTGCATTTCAGGGGCCTCACGCACGCCATGCTGTTATAAGGCACAGTGCAGTCCTTTTTGACAAGGCCTGTAGAAGATAGGACCCCTTTTTACAGGCTACAGCCACTGCCAAAATAAAATCTTTCGTATAGATAAGATATAGGATTTACCTCTTTTGCTGGGAGGGGGAAAGGGGGATTCGTGACCCCCAATGAAATTATCAAAGACCATGCCTTAAGGATAACATCAGAATGGCCAAGGAAGGATTTCTTAATACAATAGTCCAAAATAATACAGAACCGTTTGGATTCCCTGAAATTGCCCGTCCTGCCGTTTGGCTACGGCGCCCCAGAACAAAAATGGAGGCGATACTTTCACAGTGGCAGTCTATTATAACTTCAAACTGACAAGGAAACTATTTCGAAAACACAGACAGGAGAAAAATTGCGGGCTATAGCCCCCCTCCCAAAAATATAACTATTAGCAAACAAGTCAGCTTTCAAACAAGCCTCAACAATTCATCACAGCATGCAGTTGGTTGACGGTAGAAAAAACCTTCCAAAGTGTAAACAAGGCAAATCAAATCTTATTTATAAGGTGTAACCAGTGCGATTGGAAGCGTTTTCGCTTCAGGGAGGTGTTCAGGCCTCATTTGCAGTTTGTCAGCCTCAGCTTGTTCTTAATTTGTTCTTAACTTTTGACCAACTTTGAAGTTTGTGTTCTTGCAAAATTGCTCTTTTAAAAGAAAGAGTGTAAGCCTTAAAAGTAATCTTCTCGTGTGCTGATGCTTCCTCTTTGAATTAGCTCTTGGAACTTATGTGAAGCATGATGTGAGATCGCCCAATTATTCCAACCCTTTTTTAAGTGGGCCAAGGATAGTAGGTGGAAGTTTAGCCCTGTATTTTGTTTTGAAGTGTTTGATTTAAATTATTTTGCACTCTTGTGTAACCAGCGGCGCTTCCACTCCACTTTCGTAAAAAACGAGATTTTCTTACTTTTTCTTTATCTTCCATAAAACCAGAAATTTTTTTCTGATGTCCTAACATGTATATTTTTAAAAAGCTCCCAAAACAATGCAAAACGGTTCCAAAATGCTTGCCTACACGGGACCCGCGCCACGAATTTGTAAGTGGGGGCTAAGGCCAAAAATGTAGGGGGCTAAGGCCAAAATTGTAGGGGGCCAAGGCTTCTTACCCCTTTCATTGCAGCTTTAAAACTACTTGCTACGCATAAAAATAGGGGGCATGGTCACCCCCCCTCGTGGCGTGGGCCTTGCTACAGTGATATAGCGCTCAACTAATACCTGTTTGGCCAAACTTTTATAAGAATGTGGCGCCCATATCTCATAAGGGATCTATTATAGGTTTGTGGCTTCAAATCGACGACCCATTCCTCAAGCGCGGCCAACGGATTTGGCAATAGGTTTTCCATGGATCGGCCTAAGCATGAAGCCTTTTTCCCATATAACTACCATGGGTACCAGAGCCTTAGTGAAAGAGATGGTCAAACTGTGGTCCCACTCTTTCACTGATGCTTTGGCAGCTAGTGCACCATATAACAATAGGCGATACATTACAATCGTTTAGATCTACACTAAAAAGATAAGTAAAAATTAAAGATTCCTTTGATCTTCAGAGCGTAATTCAACTTTACGGTTTTGCCCTTCTTTCCCGTTGTTCTTTATAACGGAAGTTTATCCATTTGGTATTTCAAAAAGACTACCATTTTTATAGTTTAATTTTATCAATTTTATAATTTTTTACAGAACAGGAAATTTATTCTCGGATTCTGGATATCCTGGCCAACCCTATTCTTGAGTAACGCCCTAGGTTTAGAGGTTTGCAGCTAAAATCGACTTGACTATTAACTCTCTGTGGTTTTGAATCGAAAGAATTGCCGGACACAGGGGGTTTGGGTTGATAAAATAACCCAAATATGCCCTTTTGTAAGTCGTAAGATCTTGCTCACAATTTAGTGTGCAGGAACTTCTTTATTATCACTTTGATTCTTATTCCTGACATGCTTTACCGTGATATGATTTCTCCTAACATAGGGTTTTGTTGCGTACAACTTTTAATGCCTTCGTTTTCCATTAACCATCTACGCAGGAGCAGTCCACGATGGATGCTGTGTTTGATGTAGTAACTGCTGTGAAGGAGCATTGGATTATTACGTCATTGATGCTGGTTATTGTTCTAGTTTATTGGCATTATGTAGTAAATTTCACTGCACTTAAGAAGCTCGGCATTCCAGGGCCTACGCCTTTACCTCTGATTGGTAACAACATTACGTTCATCTGGAATAGCAAAACGCTGCATACTTATCTTTGCGAAGCTGGACAAAAATATGGAAACATTTTTGGGTTATACTTTTTGAAACTGCCAACGACTGTCGTAACGGAGCCTGAAATCATAAAGCACATCCTGGTTAAAGATTCTGACAAATTTCATGACCGGCCGGTAAGTTTAACCTTCGTTAAGTTTTACAAGTTAATTTTGTGCTGGATGATTACTTATGGATCACTTTTTGATTTTTCAAAATTTTTGATATATTTTTTTCTGAAAGCAATCCAAAATGCTAAAAACCCGATGATGGTTCTATGACTGGAGTAAATTTAATTTAAATAGAGACACTCACTCCTAAATGCTGCAGTCTGAAAAACGCCTCATATCGAAAATTAAGACCCCGTTTACACCGGTAGGGATCCAAATTGGCACATATGCATTTGGATCCGTTCCGTTCTAATGTAAACACCAACAAAAATTTTGAACAGTTCTCTAAACCGCCTACTCCGAGAGTTCGAGCAAAAGTTGTTTTAGAATGGCGCTGGGAGTTTTGCTGCAACTAGTTGTCGTTTTAAAAAACATTTGTTGGTAACCGGAGCGTCCGTAGGCTCAAGCCTGGAGTATGAGACACGAAGTCTCTTTCCTTGGAAATAAATCTAAAGGTACAATACAACAGTCACACGTCAGTGATTATTATATGCTTTTGAGTGTGTTATAAAGGTTATAAAATACAGTTACCAACCAATGTTCCATCATTGTATCGTTTCTGAACCCGCTTAGATTAGTACCTGTTTGGATCTGTGCCTGTTTGATCTGTCATAGCTGTTTAGACTGGGCCTCAACAGGAGCAGGTCAAAAAAGGGTAAACCTTGAAGAGCGTTTCCGAATCGGTGTGGATAGCATCCCCATACTCGAACGGAACCGGCTGATCCAGTTTAAAGGGTAATCTATATGTTCTAGCTTTGGTACAGATACGTTTAGGATCCGTATCAGTGTAAACAGGGTCAAAAAAGAACTCCTTATACACGTCGGATTACGTCATTCTGGGTATTTCTACAAGATTCGCTTAATTCCTATGTAATATTTACCAACTTAATTAAACTGTTACTTTTTATTCAATTGAAATTCGGTCCCATTCTGCCCTGCATAATAGGATCTTGGAATGCAGTTTCCAGAGCCACTAAAAAGCATGGTTGCCGAGGTCAGAGGCCAAAGGTGGAAGGACATTCACAGTATTCTGACTCCTGCGTTCTCCTCTGGCAAACTCAGAGGCATGATGTACATTATGAACGAAGCTGGGGATACTCTTCTAAAGAAAATAGAAAAAGCAGCAGAAGAAAAACAGGCTGTCGATATTCACGAGTCAGTACATATCATTTTTATTTGATTTGATGTTCCTGTTCGCTGCCACAGAATGCTAAAACATTAGGTGTAACGGAAATATACAACCTTTTCTTTCGTCATACCAGACAAGAGGGTAAAACCTGCTCAAACTTTTCAAAAAATTTAATTTTTTTATATCAACAACACGACATCAACACATGACATTACCCCTGTCACACGACATGGGGCATTTTGGTATTTCGGACTTGGGACATTCTGATACCTACACGAAAATGAAGAAGCCAATCTTGTTTAGACAGAGGTAGTTCATTTTCACCTTAGGACTCTAATAGTAATATTTTCAAAGGCAAACCGGCTCTGATTAGGCAACCTTTATAGAGTGTGCTTCCTTTTCTGATTGGCCTATTTCGATCCACACCTGGCTATAGCTATTTCGTAGCTCAGAATTGTCGATCAATATTCTAACGTTCTATACTCTGATGAGTGACACACGAGGTATGTCTCAAAATGTTTGCTTTTTTCAAAGCCATTTTCATGTTTTGTACCACCAAATTTTTGTTTGCAAATTAATAGATATAATTAAAGTTAAAGTCGACATAAAAAATATGAATTTCAGTACAGAATTAAAACTGTTGTTTCAGATGGCAGCAGTCAGTGACGATCGAAGTGATTCTCTCTGCCGCTTTTGGGACCCTTACTGATGCACAGACAAACCCTGACCGCAAAATCACCAGATGTGCCAAGGAAGCACTGGATCCGAAACCATGGCCTAATATTGCTGTAATGTTGCCTTTTTTTGGGAGGAAATTAGCTGAGGCAATCATTTTGTCTCGCTTTGGATTCAACTGGGTTCCAATAATTAATATTGCAAAGGAGATACTCAAGCAAAGACGACAAATTGGAGGAGTTGCAAGAAATGTACGTAATTTCAGTCTAATTTAACTTACTCCTATTTTCTGATTTGAATACTTAAATAACAGGATTGAATCAATGTAATTTATGCATCTTAAATCGTTGAATTACCTCCCGGGGCTTAAGAAATTTGAATGAGCATATAAAAAGTAGCTATAAAAATAGCTCGATTATCAGCTTTTTCACAATTTTCAAGTTCCCGCAAAAGTGCTGACACTAGCACTGATATAAAGGGGGGGAGGGGGTGGAGGATACATAATGTTTCCGACGACATATCTACTTCAATGGTAAATTGAATACTTCGCATGCGTATATAATTGTCATCAGTTCCCATTTGCTAGGTATAGGTCTAGTGGCCTAATGTGCAACGTGCAACCCAATTCGTTATATTTTAGATGCAGATAGATTTACTCAAGGTGTTGATGCCTTCTTACTGAATTGAAAGCATTTTCCAGTAAAATTTAGAAGGCTACAACTTAAAGAAAGTTAAACAGGGTTATCAACACAACATAATGACACAATAAAGTCAGGTCTTTCCAAGCAACAATCTTCTTCTCTTTTTCATGGCTGCAAACTTGTCTAGTACCACGTCATGATCGATTTCAGTGTTTCTGGAGAGACTCAGGGTCATCAGATGTAACAAACGATCATTTTCCATAGATGATCGAATGTAGTTTTATATCAACCTCATTCTGCTAAACGAGCGCTCGGCAGAAGCTAAAGACACTGGTAGAAAAACAAAGATTTGATGCAGCTTAGAGAGGTTTGAAAAATTATGACACGTCCCCGTTCAAATTAAGACTTAGTTAATCCCCCCTAACCCTGTGAGCTGTTGGCTGTCGTGTCGTATCACGCTGCATTGGGCTAAAAGTACGTTCTGCAGTTGCATATGAAAGTGCAAATGAATTGTACAATTGCAATGACTTGTGGGCTCTGACAGACATTCTTTATGGCATTAAATTGAAGTCATGATCGATCAAAGGATTTCCATCTTCGTTACCTTCTTTATTGGTATGGCATCTTCTTTTTTATAAATTCTTATGACTTTGCTAAAGTTCACCACATTTTTGAAATCTTTAAGATTACTTCCATTGAAGCTTCTACTAGTTAACTTGGATTAGTGTTGCGTATTGCATCAGTGTTTGACATGCTCTACTAGAGTCCGTTAAAAGGGGTCCCATCTCAGTTTTTCCTTAGGACCCCAGATGCCTCCGTTTCGCCCCTCACCGTATTCTACAGTAATTTCCTACATTTTAGAGTGTTGCCGAAAGAAATAGCATTATTGCACATAAGTTCATAACAAATGCACCCAATATTTTAATTGCCTTCATTTTGTGTCTAACCGCACTAATGTTTTATCCCACTATTCCATTCGCATAAACACAGTGCCATTTTCACAAGGGCACAGTGCTGCCCCCGCTGCCCCCGCTGCCCCCGTGCTTCCGGCGCCCCTGGTCTCTGTTTTTAGATAAGTGATATTTTATACGGGGCTGTCTGACAAATCTCACCCCCTGTGTTAACATTAAATAGCCTCCTAAAATTTGTCACAATACAAAGCTGTTATTAGGCCTTTTTGGTGCATAGCTGAAGTTGTCACAGCCACTGCAATCATGAGCAAAAAGAAGTTCTTCTTGATACTGTTGTGCTGAAAAAGGGTCCCGCGTGCTCCAGTATAACAATTTTGAATGTCGCCTTTTCTTTTCCAAAGAGCAATTCTTCCAATCCATCTCTCCAGTGACTCATCATGAGGACCTTCAGAAAAACACATCTACCAGTTTCTGCGTACACCAGGGCAGTCTCTGTCGATTTGTGATGCAACAAACCTTTCCCTCTCTAACCGAGTACAAAGCAACTTTATCAGCATATTCTTGTTATTCAGTTTGCCAGAGACGCTTCCCTGCTACAAGTAACTTTTGCGCTTCCAGTGATTTGAATGCTAGCTTTGTTTTGTTCATTCAAAGAAGATGTTTTTGCACTTTTGTTGACATACTGTCCAGGGCCATCGGAAGCAGGGGGGGGGGGGGATTTCAAACTCTACTATATTTCCTTTATAACAGTGTAATGAATGGGAACAATGCAATGGCACTTGAAGGACTCCGAAGATATTTCGTCTTTACCAAAAGGGTTGTGGAGATAAAGCCATTCTTTGATTGACGTAAGATCTTTGTTGTCTCGAGACACTCTGCCTGGGCCTAACTGAACATGCTATTCACTTGTATTTTTTCTATATGCGCCAGTCAAATCACTAATATCATATCATATCATATCATTTGCAAAGCCCTGGGATGTTCAATAGTGGTGTCGTCACTGATGATATCATCGTTATATTTTTCAACTTTGTTGGATATAGCGTGACATATTTCAGTATTGTGAGTATTGGTGCCAAGTTTGGACTGTTTGCAATATGCAGTTTAAGATATACAATGTCTTTTCAACAGAAGAGTTCGCAGTTTAATATCAAAAGTCACATAACTTGTTGACAAAACCTCCCTCCAAACTAGCGGTTGTAACTTTTTGTTACGAAAGACCCCAATGTGAGGCTCACAATATGTTATTCTCTATTAAATTACAATTCGAATGGTATAAAAAGGTGGCTGATGTAGCATTTAATTCTAGGTCAAACCACAAGTCAACCAGGAGAATGTTCTCCGACTTTCGCAAAGTTTAGAAAAATTCGAAATCGTTAAACCGTATGAAACATCACAGCTAAAGCATAGAATGAAGATGTCATATCATATACAATGCTAATTAAATACTTGTATCTAAACAAAGTCACTGATTGATTTTATGCAATTGCTTCGATATTTTTCTTATTATTAGATATTTCGTTCTGCTAGCTATGACCTAAAAGCCAAATCCATCATCTTTTATGTGGATGAATGGTTAGGTACGGCGTATTAAACTTGCCAACCCTTTGTCTTTGTCTGCACAGTTGGTCCGGGAATTCCAGAGTGCTGCCCCTATTTAGGTCCAAATTATGAAGTATCCGACTTATGATAGTCCGACTTAGGCAAGTTATGACTTTATCTCAGTATAATCGTTATTTAATTCTTATTTTCAGGACTTGCTGCAAAACATGCTGAAATCCCAGCACCCCGAGAAAAAAGGTCATCAGCTTACAGAGAATGAGCTTATTGCCCAAATGATTCTATTCCTGCTAGCTGGGTACGACACTTCAAGCAATGTTCTTTGCCTTACTTGCTATCACCTTGCTCTATACCCAGAAGTCCAAGATAAAGTGTACGAGGAGGTCATGCGTATTTGTGAGTCAAAAGACACGACTACATATGACGAAATTAAAGAAATGGTTTATTTGGAAGCATGCATTTCAGAAACATTGCGTCTTTACCCGCCAAGTAAGTTTTTTGTACCTTCAATGTCTAAGCAATTTACGGCGCAGGACATTTATTATACAGGGCTATTTTCAAACTACACAACATCTGGCATCTTGTATGCTCCATTGGTTGATTACAATTTCAATTTTTTCCTTCTCTTTTTTCGTTTTTAAGGATGCAATTTTCCCGTGGCATCCTTTTGTTCGTTTCTTTGATTTTGATATGAGAGGCTATAAAGCCAAAGGGTCGCATCATTGGTGGCACGGTCTAGAAAAATGATAACCATTTGATTGTGAGGCCTACAAATTAGAATCCGCAAGAACTGATGCCTGCTATAATGTTTCTAATTCATCATCAATGTGTTGATTCAAGTCATTTTAATTTTGTACACATAGATATAAATTGCGCCGTCATTAGCTTTTATGCTCAAGACGGGGTCCGGCTCCAATTTTCTCGAGAAGATGGACTCACCCCTAGATTCACCTCTAGTTCTTTAGTTTTACAAGAAAATTTTTTAAAAAAGATGTTTAACACCCCCACACACCCCAACCCCCAATCCTCCGGTCCTGGGTATATCTTTTAAAGTTGTTTAGGGTCTCCTGGGATATTTAAATGAGCTATCAGAGACGTTTTATTAGATAAGATCATCAGCCATGTTGTTTAGGCCTCCTTGCATGTTCTCGGCGATTCGCTAAATATTTTTTCCATTTCTACGTCCATGATAGTTTTCCTGTTATCCCGCTCCATCGACGAATCCTGTGTTATAAACGGTGTCCAATTCAAAAAAGGTATGGGCGTCCTCATACCCATTTACAACATGCACCGGAACGAAAAATACTGGCCCGAGCCGAACGCTTTTAAGCCAGAGAGATTTCTTCCAGAGAATAAAGAATCTATTAACCAATTCGCCTATATGCCATTTGGAAAGGGTCACCGAAGCTGCATTGGGAAGCGATTAGCACAGATGGAGATAAGGACTATCCTTGTCAGAATGCTGCAGAAGTTTCGCATTGTGTGTGGTCCTGAGACACCAGTGCCTTTGAAGATCCAACCAAGAGCCAGCCAAATTCTATCACCCGCTGAACCAGTGTGGATACGATTTGAGAAAAGAGATTAGACTTCAACACGTTGGTTTTTTCAAGCAGTAAGCAGTTAAATTACCGGAAAAGTTTTCAATTTGTTTAACTTTTATTTCGAGAAAGACAATTTTGTAAAGCGACCAATTCAGAGTCCTCCCGTATTGGAGGTTTAAGGTCCCTAATTTTTTGTCTTAAAATAAATATGTCAAGGAAATGACCGGTGTTGTGGCTGCATTAGCGGTTGCATTTTCTTTCTATCTTCTATATTTGTAGCAGCAGCTTGATTACTAAGTAATGTTGATATTGTATTTGTATCTCTTGGCATCAGTGCCATAAGTTCAAGCGCGGAAGTGGAAGTATAGTGGTGGATTTCTTGGTGAAGCTGGGAGCAAAAGACGGGGAAAGGAAGAGGCTCCCCGCCCTCTAGCGCCTGTGACAGGAGTGCGAGTTAAAATCACGTAGGAGCGCGAGTGATTTTTTCGCTGAATTCTGTAGGAGTGCGAGTGTTTTTTGTAAATTTTTTTGAGGAAGCATTTTTTGATGGCAGAGAGCGTGGTTTTTGCAACATCCGTGGGGGAGCCCACAACCTCTATTTGGTGGAAGCCTCTTTTATGCGGGAGTCATGTATCTGCGGTGACACGTTTTGTGTGTTAGGGTTTTGTGTGAGGGGTGTTTATGTGAGGGGTGTTTATGTGAGGGGGGTTTCTGTTATGCGGTTTTCTGCGAGGGGGTTTCTGTGAGAGGGGTTTTGTGTGGGGGACCGAAGTTTGGGTTCAATTTCGGAGTTATTTCGTTCTTTGCTAATTCGCATCTCGGGATAGGGGGTGGGGCATGCGTGTACCCGCCTCGGTGGGTTGATAAAAGAAGGTTAGCCAGCTCGGGATGGGAGGGCCTTGCAAGAGCCCGCCTTGGCGGAAAGGCAGGCCTCGGGCTAGGGGGCCCTTGCAAGAACCTTCCTTGGCTGGTTCCCCGACAAAGGCAAGCCTTTTGTTAGGGGGGCCTTGCAAGAACCCGCCTTTGCTGGTTCCCTAAGAAAGGCGAGCCTTGGGCTAGAGGCTGATATAAAGTGTGGACAGATTAAAGGAACCTTCTCACAACTTTGGTTTTTGGAGGTATGGATGTATTTTGACCTCTAGATGGGTCTGGGATGCTGTAAGATTTCTATTAGCTGTTAAGCATACCTGTTTGATGTAGCCTGTAAATTTCAGCATGAATACTATAGTTATGCATTATCGATTAACATACAAAAAGGTATTAGAGACAAAAGATCCGCAATGGTCATCATCGGCTATAACGAACACACGGGATCAAGGAATTGAGGGAGTTTGCGTTAAATCCACTGTTACATCCACATGCTTATTTGCGCGAAGTTCTGCACTTAAACAGTACATATACGGTGCTGGTGGAAATTTAAGTGTTTATAATTTTATGCAAGCTAGGAAAAGGAATCTCATCAAACTTGAGTTTTATCTAATAATGTTCAATGTACATTTTCCTTTAAGAATCATGCTTGTATTGTAGAATTAACGTATCAAAAATATCACGAACTGGCATATGTTTTTATGGGGCGCTTTAAATGTTACTGGACTATTTTTCAAACCCATGGCAATGTATTTACAACTCTACCACACTATCGTCAAAACCAGTCTTCTCTTTTCTAGTGTTGCGGTGCTTTGTCCACGCGTAACCTGTCTTCCAGACCCCTAACTTATAAGCTGGCTATGTATGCGTAGCTACTCCTTGTGCCTGATCTATTGGGTGCTTTTCCTGGATTCCTAATTTTTCATGATTTGCCTGATTTTCATTTATTTCAAAATCATCAGGGGGCTGACAACCCCCCCCCTCGCCCCACCTTCATCAAACTTGGACAAAAGAGGAAGTCTGGCCATTTCCGGTCCAAATATGCAGATTTCGTAATCGTTATTGCCATCAATGATGAAATTCAATGCTGGTTTTGAAGTGTCTTAGGATTTTTTAAAACAAGTACTGGGAACTTATTGCAGGTTTGCTTCCCAAGAAACGAGAATTTTTGCCAAGAACCGAAGAACATTGCATCACGTTGCGGTGCTGTTTAAAGGGAACTTGCTAGGGTCAAACTAGGCTAGAGCACAATATTCCGAAACTCATAAACAAGGTAAGTTTGTTAACATTTTGCCATGAGGTTTTAGGAGGGAATGGTTCAAGCTGGATTCACTTTTCTTTAAATTTTTTTGAAAACTGGGAAATACCTAAATTTATTTGCAATGGGTTATAGAATGCCCATGCGCCAATGCATCATGCCCTCCAGGGGGGGGGGGATGGCTACTGTGGCCTCTTTAGGATAGGGATCCTTAGGTAATCAAGTTGGCCTATGAAACTCTAGCCCAAGCTTTTTTAAGAGATGAAAATAAACCTTAATAAGTACTGTTGTGTTTGTTGTCGCATCACGTAAAACAATGTAAAACGTTCACGGGAAGTCTCTGCGTTCTTACACGTAGAATGACACTATATAAATGATGAGGTGAAAACACAACTTTGAATCGTAGTTTCTATATGATGAATCCCTTCTTATTGATACTACCCTACCAGTTCAGATCCGATAACAGTATAATATGGTGTCCACCTCCAAATACTCTATTTTTAACAAGTACCTACCTGACATTCAGAAAAAGTATAAGATTTATTAATGACGTAAGCCCTCTCATCAATGGCGGCGCCAGCCACTAACCTCTGGGTGGGGGGGGAAGGGGTGCAAAGCAAAAAAATTTGGCCACGCCCTTGCTACTACCAGAGAACGCCCTTTTATCAACAGGCAATGCCAATGTTGTCCGACTATGACTAGCTTTTGGTTACTTCAAGGCAGTTTGAAAATCATAGGATTACATCACAAAAAGTACGCTGTCAAAGTATTACCCCGCCCCCCCCCCCTCGACATTTTTTCATCAAATTTAGACGAAATACGCTGAATCAAAGTTACTGTTGCTCTTTTCGATTTTGTCTGTAAGTAAGTGTGCCATTTTGTTCATGTTCGAAAGTGGGAAACGAGAATCGTGTTCGAAATACGGGGTGAAAGTAATGGCGAGTCACCGGAAGTGTTGGAAACGGAACGTAACCTCAGCTCGAGGAAGAGAAAGGTTTGAGATAGAGGGTTTTCGAGATAGAGATAAAGGGTTTGATCCAAATAAAGTAATTTTGACTCTATCAGGGCCCGCGCCACTGGGGGGGGGGCCGGGGTGGCAATGGCACCCCACTTTTTGCGAAGCAAGTAGTTTTAAAACTGCAATAAAAGGGGTAACAAGCCTTAGCCCCCTACATTTTTAGCCTTGCCCCCCCCCCCCACTTTAAAATTCGTGGTGCGGGCCCTGTCTATGTCATTTCTGACACATTATGTAATTTATCTACGCAGGAGCAGTCCAAGATGGATTCTGTATATGATGTGCTAACTGCTGTGAAGGAGCATTGGATTATTACGTCATTGTTGCTCTTTACTGTTCTGATGTATTGGCATTATGTAGTAAATTTCACTGCACTGAAGAAGCTCGGCATCCTTGGGCCTACGCCATTACCGCTGATTGGCAACAGCATGGTATTTGTTGGGAAAAGAAAAGAGCTGCACACGTACTTTTGCGAAGCTGGAAAAAAGTATGGTAGCATTTATGGGTTATATTTTTTGAAACTGCCAATGATAGTTGTAGCGGAGCCTGATATCATAAGGCAGGTGCTGGTTAAGGAATTTGACAAATTTCACGACCGACCGGTAAGCTATGAATTTTTTTCAAGAATAGATTTTATCCGAACACCAAACACTTGTGGCTGGAATGTTCGCTCTACGCAAATTTTGTACGCACAAATTCCTTACTTCATGGACATTATTTTGCTAAGTTATGTGCAATAGGTTTTATTAAGATGCATTGAGGTCCGTATGCAAAAGCAGACTGTGGTTGATAAAGATATTGAATAACAGAGGCCCTGAGACAGACCCTTGAGGAGCTTATACCTTTTCATTTTTCTCCGGTTACTAGATAAGTCATTTATTCCTATGTGTAAATAAAGAAAACGTCATGATAGCAGTCTGCTCGACGGACTCCAAGGAGTTCTTACGGCGAAAAATTTATAAAAATGCAGCAAAAAAGAAACACCACAATGCGACGAGAATGAACAACAACAGAGTTCTAAAGTGATGACTATTTGTTATAATTTTTAATTTGGATCCCATAGCCCGAAAGAGCATCATGAAATACCTCTAAATGTGCAAAATCAGGCAACTGTGTTACGAATTGGCAGAGATATGGCCATATGTTTATTGGTTCTCTCCCCATCAAACCTCTGTGTTTTGGTCTCTCTCTGTTCATAACTTTATGAACAGAGCCAAAATAACAGTGATTCGTTAGCAAACTTCAAATCTTTCATTAGCCATATCCCAACCGATTTTAGACATATTTGGCCAATTTTGCATATTTGAAAGTATTTCATGGTGATCTTTTACTCTATGTGGTTGAAATTCAAAAATTCTAAAAATAGGTTTTTGATGACGTCACACTTTAGAATTCTATACACTCCTCTCCCAAAAGTATTCGAACGATTTGGCAAAATTTTGGGCCTAATTCTTACAAATGCCATATTATTAAAAAAGTAGCGTTAATCTTTGTTCAAAAATTCTCAATAGCTCAAAAAATGTTTATCTTTGGGCACTGGTAAAAGCACAAAATATGGATGAAGCTAAGCAAATGGTCATAAAGTTTTTACGCCAGGCAGGTCATTCATATGATGAAATTGCACAGCAAGTGGGCTACACGAAGTCTACTACCCAAAGAATTTGCAACTTATGTGAAAAAACAGTTTATTTGAGAAAAACTTGAGAACATACAGGTCAAAAAAAGTTTTCATATAGGAGTCAAAGAATTGTGCGAATAAGAAACTTGCTTATCAATTTTAAAGAGTAAAAATAGCGAGTAACTTTGAAATTTTGTGACAAAAATCGGTTTAAAATCTAAATTAGGCATACTCTATCGAAATACGGAATTATATATTGTGCCTTAAGAAGAAAGCTTGATTTTTCAGCAAATTTCGCACTCACTCGGAGTTAAAGTTATGAAGGAACGACCTGTCGCCAACCGGGGCGATAATGTCTTCTTAAACGAGTGTAGATTTAGTTCAAAAATGACTCTGAAGCCTTCTCATTCTAAAAAACAACTGGAAAAGGAAATAATCAAAAGTTCTTTCAGCCAAATGTATAAAAAAAGGGAGGAATTTCAGTGATGGTCTAGGGCTGCGTTAGGCCTAGTGGCGTCGCCATCTTGTTCTTCGGGAGTGTTTTTTGAACGCCGCATATTATATTGCCATCTTCCAAGAAAACCTCCCCGAAAGTGGCAGAAAATTTATAATTATATAAATCAGCCCTTTTCTTTCATTGAGACAATTCTCTGTCTCACACAACTAAGGATACAAGCGATTTTTTGCTGCCAGCTGAATCCTCACTCTTCCAGGGCCTTCTCAAAGTCCAGACCCGCAAGTAATTGAAGATGCTATGGCTTCTTTGGTTTTTTATAAAAGATTCAACCAATAGAGATCCTCCAAAGACCAAACAGCAATTATTTGATAGAACCTTTGACATTCGTACCATTATTCCTCTCCATTAATTCATTGAAAAGTTGCAGAGGTAATTTCCTGGCCGGCCCTGTGCTGCCCTTTTGTCTCGCGAGTACCTCCACCACAAGTTATTCCATAGATAAAATGAATTATGGACTGAAAATTAAAAAAATTGTGTAATTTGAACTTTGATTTATGACTACCTGAAATTTTGAATTGAATCCTATTGTCATTCTATAAATATAAGCAATTATTTTTTATTTTTGTTTTCATCAATTTGACCCGGCCTCCGTTCGAATACTTTTGGGAGGAGAGTGTAAATACACGTAAATCAGTGAAGGCTTTTTACGTGTATTCATTGTTGTTCATTCTCGTCGCATTGCGGTAATTCTTATTTGCTACATTTATTCCTATGCTTTGCTATCCTTTCGATCAGTAGTTTTTTCTAAGTTCTAAGGCATGCAAGGAAAAACAGTAAGAGGGTAGTTTTGCCATCAGAAGATTTAAACAATGGAATGAAATTGAAAGTCCGCGATAATAGCTCCTTGAAGTCCAGGAAGCATCTCCTCTCTGGTTCCTGGGAATTTCTACATGAACTCCTGTATATGCATTTATTTTTGTTCAAAATGAAATTCATTGTATTTTGACTTTAATTTCTATTTGTAAACATGTGGAGTTAGCCTTAGTTGTTGAAGATATGAAAGGGAAAACATCGTGTATTATAATCGCTTTGTTTATGACCTTTTTCAAATAAGCACACGAGAGGATATCTACTTGTACATGGGCTCCGACATAGGTTGAAAAGTTGGGGGAGGGGCCAAAGGAACATTTTAGCACTGATAACAAAAGATTTCGAAAAAAAATCTCTATTGTTTTGTAAAAAAGGTTCTGTTGTACAAACGCAGTACGAACTTATTTGAACATACGTGCTTCTCCAAACGTGTACGCTTGTTCGGGAAAATAGTGTATTTTGATTCAGTGCCGTTTTGTGTTTTACAGGGTGGTGGAATGGAGATGCCCGAGCCACTAAAAAGCATGCTGACTGCTGTTAAAGGTCAAAGGTGGAAGGACATTCGCAGTATATTGACCCCTGCCTTCACCTCTGGCAAACTCAAAGGCATGATGTACATTATGAACGAAGCTGGGGATACTCTTCTAAAGAAAATAGAAAAAGCAGCAGAAGAAAAACAGGCAGTTGATATTCATGAGTCAGTAATTCAGTTATAGTTTAATTATGCTTCATTGCCACATGAAGCAAACTAAATTTTTTAAGACTAAGTTAGGTTAATCTGATTACGTTGAACTTTTTAATTCTTACTTTTTGAATTAATAAACTGAAGACAAGCCAATGAATTTCAGTACACAAACAATATTTTTGTTTCAGATGGCAGCAGTCAGTGACGATGGAAGTGATTCTTTCAGCCGCTTTTGGAACTCTTTCTGAAGCACAGACAAACCCAAACGACATAGTCACATCTTATGCCAAGGATGCAATGTCTCCAAAACCATGGCCAAATATCGCTATGATGGTGCCATTTATCGGGAAGAGGTTGTCTAAGGCAATCACTATATCCCGCTGGGGGTTCAACTGGGGTCCTATAATAGATATTGCAGGGAAGATACTCAAGCAAAGACGCGAAGGTGAAGGAGAAGCAAGAAAAGTAAGCGGTGTTTCTTTTCCTTTCGCTGATTTCTTGCATGAAGATGATTTATGTCTTTTCTCTCGAAAGATAAAACTTAGGAAAAAAAATCAGGATGATATGATTGTTGTTAGTGCGAATAGCCCTTGGTCGTTGTAGTTTAAGCTATTTTTATCTAGCCTCGTTTTTACATTGCATTGTTTTCTTTACGCCTCTTAGTATACGTTTCATTAGCCCATATTTGGTATTTCCGTTTTTGCGTGTTCTTGCTTTTCCTCGTTTACTTCCGGTAGCTATAAAGGATTTGCACCCCACGTTTTGGGTGGTTATTTACTCGCCTTGCATTGCGCTGTGTTGGGGGCAGTTTTTCTATCGTTTACATGCTATTTTTGGCCTGGTAGTTTCTACATGCTGTGTTTGGCCGTCGTGCAAAATTTTTATGGCTACGAGGACTAATAGATTGTAAGTTGTATATATTATTATGTAGTTATCTTTCACTTTATTTATAAGTAGCTCATACTTAACATTTTGTAGTCTAGTTGGGTTTCTACGTAGTTCTATCTTCTGCTAACATTAATTAACCTTTTATAATTATTCTTTTTTTTTCATTATATTGTAATATTAAGCTTCTTGTCGTATTCTCAACTTATAATCTTCATGTATGTTAATTGCTAACATTTTTCTTTAGCGAACCACGTTTAACACATCACCTCAGAACCTGTGTTGTTTCTTGCTGTGTTATCTGCTGGGGATTTAGGTGTGGTGCGTTCGATATACCAAAGTAGTCAGAATTACAAATTGTGGACTACATTAGTTCGAATCTAGTTCATTTGGAAATTTCATGCTGTGATGAATGAACAGACGTTTAGAGAAGAGAAGAAGAGTATTGACGAGGCGTTAATTTCTGGTGTAGATGTAAGAAGTGAGAACCCCAATATAGATGATGGTGGCGTTGTTTCAAAGGAACTAATGAGGCTGAAGCAGGTCAGAGCCAATGCAAAGCGTGAACTGACGAAGGCAATTAACCGTGTTTCTGATTCCCTGACTGTTGGCGAAGAAACTGGACAGATGCAGGTGATTGAAAGAAGACTGGACGAAGCGTTCCATAACTTCAAAGAAGCATGGATGAAACACAAAAATTTACTTGATGATGATGATGACCTTGAAGAGTCGACAGCATATTTTCATGAGGCAAAGACGAAGTACCTGTGTTCAAAGGACAGGGTAGCTCTCTGGTTAGAATCAAGGAAGAAGCAACTGCTTGAAAGGGTAAAACCTCCTGATATCGAGCCAAAAGACTCCATAAGCCAATCTAAATCTTATTTTTCTCGCCATAGCTCTTCTTCTTCACGTCGGAGCAAGGCCGTAATTGCTGAGAAGCAGTTTAATAATGCAACAAAGATGGCTTCATTGCGTGCAGAAGCGTCGATGCTAGAGCAACATCAGAGAATCGCAAATGAAGAGTTGAGAATCAATCAACTGAAAGAAAAGTTGGCTTTAGAGACCCAGTTAGCAAAACTGGCAGCAGAAGAGCGTGTGTGCGTTGAATTCAAGACTTTGTCAGGAAGCTGTTGTGAAGAAGAATTTGGCGAAACTCAAGATGGCCTCATGCGCGATCCAATAGGAGCTTCATTGAACATGAAACAGACGAAAGAATTAGCGTTGAAGACCTCTACTGCCCTAATATTCTCAGATCCCTGCCGGCAGAAAGCAAGCATTTCACCTCCAGAACAGTTAAACATCAAGCCTTCCCTCAATGGTATTGCCACAAAAGAAATTTCAGAAAACCATGCTACCTTTAGTGGATTTGAATCCCGTGCTCCTCTTTGTTGGGCGGGCTATGGTGATACAATGAAAGAATCACCTGACGAACACAACGTTTCTCAGCAGTTGATTGACATCCAAGATCCCGTGGAAAACGCTGTGACAATGGAACATGCCCCTCCGAGGAGGTCAGACAATACCTATATGACGAGAAATCCATTGATGGGATATATTGCAACCCCGCAACAGGCATTTGATATCAACGCTCCTACATGGCAACCCTCTGGAAACCCTGTTTTTAAGGAAAGTGATGCACTGGAGGTCAAAAATCAGAGACAACAAAAGGAAGTTGCAAAGGTCCATTCGAAAAATGGTAGCCTATCTGGAACTGATGAAGGAATAAATTATTTGGAGGCAATGAAGGCCCTAGCAACTGCTGCATTGCTACCAAGGGCAGAGCTGATGCACTTTGACGGTAACCCCTTGAATTATTTTTTGTTTATGACTTCTTTTGAAAACAACGTTGAAAAAAGTACTCAAGATTTCAGCAAGAGATTACAACTCCTGATACAGTTCTGCACTGGAAAGGCAAAGAAGGCAATTCAGAGCTGCGTTCTTCTGCACCCTCATGAAGGGTATTTTCAGGCGAAGAAAATTCTTTCAGAACGATTTGGTGATGCATACAAGGTTTCAAGAACATGGCTGACTAAAGTCATGGATGGTGCACAAATCAGGCCTGGTGATGGTGAAGCATTGCAGGATCTTGCTGACGACTTAGAAAGTTGTGAAATTACACTTCAAGCGGCAGGACGACTTAATCAGCTGAACAACGAAGACAGTTTGCTTAAAATTTTGAAGCGATGCCCGGTGTATGTAAGATCTCGTTGGCAGTCACGTGTTCAAGAGTTAAGAGCACAAGGAATGGACCCGAGTGTCAAAGACATCAGGAAGCTCATCAGATTGGCAGCAAGTGAAAAATGTGATCCAGTCTATGGCAATTTGATGGATGGGGAAAATAAAGAATTAAGAGATAGAAAAAGAGCAAACAACCGAACAGGAGCAATGAAGACCAATTTCAGCATACAAACAGGTGCAGCAAAGGGAAACAGTGATGGCTTAAAATGTTACTTTTGTGACAGAAACCATAGACTGGAGTCATGTGACGCTTTCAAGTTGGAAGATGGTGAGAAACAATTTAAATTTATTAGACAAAGGAAACTTTGCGACAATTGTTTATCTAGCTTTCATTTTTCTGCTGGTTGCAAAAGACGAAAGGGATGCACAGTGCTGAATTGTGACATCAAACGGAAACATCTTGCTTCGATACATAATGAAGTTAAAAAATTTGAGACAAGTCGATGCAGTGCACAAGCTATCTCAGATCAACATGGGGAATCAAAAAGGCAAAATCAATTCAGTGGCCTGACAAGTAACAATGGTGGTTGCAGCTCTGGTCAAGGACTGCCAATTGTGCCGCTCAAGGTTAAGTGTCGAGGCATGAACAAAATAGTCACGACGTACGCTCTGTTAGACAGTGGATCTACCGCTTCATTTTGCAGTGATGATCTCTTGAAAGAATTAGGTATAGAGGGTAAAACGTGCCAAATTCAACTGGCAACTATTGACGGCGTACATGATGAATGTCAAACTGCTATGATGACCCTAGAAGTTGCGAACTTTGAAGAGGATATCTGTATTCAGATTGACAATGTTTTCTCAACAAAGAGTCTGAATATACCAAGAACAGCGATTGCTAAGCAAAAGGATGTAGATTTGTGGCCACACCTCAATGGAGTCATAATGCCAGAAGTAATAGCTGATGCAAATGTCAACCTTTTAATTGGAGTAGACACTCCTGAGGCTTTGGAACCTAGCGCAATTAGAAACAGTGAAGGTGGTGGACCCTTTGCCGTGAAGACTAAATTCGGTTGGACCTTGAACGGACCACTTGGCAGAGATAATGCTACAGGTAAACGTTGCTTTTTCTCTAAATCGAATGCTTGTGATGAACAACTTCAACAGCAACTTTTGCAGTATTTTAACCGGGAATTTGACCAGGTGACAAGTGACAACAAGAGAGGTTTATCAGTACAAGACAAACAAGCCTTGAAGATCTTAGAAGATTCCTTGCAGTTTGTTAATGGTCACTATCAAATGGCAATTCCTTGGAAGAGCAGTCAAACATGTTTACCTAACAATCGTGTAATGGCAGAACAGAGGCTTGGGTACCTGAAGAGACGTCTGACACGTGACCCAGCATTACGAGTGCGTTATACAAATTTCATTGATGACCTTCTTGTCAAAGGACATGCAAGAAAGATTCCTGATGCCAAGAAAGGATGCAGACAAGATATCACATGGTATCTCCCACATCACAATGTAGTGAATCCAAAGAAACCTGAGAAACCCAGAGTTGTCTTCGATTGTGCGGCGAAGTTTCACGGTGTATCGCTTAACAGCAATATATTACAAGGTCCAAATCTGACAAATTCTTTGGTAGGGGTACTTTGCAGATTCAGACAAGAGCGAATTGCGCTAGTTGCTGATGTGGAATCTATGTACCACCAGGTATGTGTAGATCCTAAGGATACTGAGGCCTTGAGGTTCTTATGGTTTCCGGGTTGAGATTTATCAAAAGAGCCTGAGGAATACCAAATAGTGGTGCATCTATTTGGTGGAATCTGGTCAGCCTGTTGTGCAAACTTTGCTTTGAAAAGAACTGCTTTGGACAATACCAGCAAGTTTGACCCGATGGTAACCAGAACAGTTGACAAGAACTTCTACGTTGACGATATGCTTAAATCAGTGAGAAGCACAGATGAAGTCATTTGGATGCAAAGACAGCTGACGGAATTGCTATCATGTGGCGGCTTTCACCTTACAAAGTGGAGCAGTTCATGTAGAAAGGTACTAGATTCTATTCCTCAAAATGAAAGATCAAAAGATTGTTAAAATCAGGAGTTTTACGCACAGAAACAAGCGATTTAAGATAAATTCATCCATAACATAACGGCGATTACAACTCGAACGAAAAACTTAGACGAAGTATCATCTTACAGCTCACAGCATGACAGCGTGCAATAAAAACGGAAGTAAACGTCATTGTTCGTAACTAAACAATAGCTCTATTTTTTGTATATTCTAACACTCCCACTCAAAAAATAGATTATAACAATTAAAAAAGGTTGTTCATGAGTCTCTGCTCAAACTCTGTTTGTTATGTTCATCATCATTCGAAATTTTTCAAACAGTGTTCTTGGTAGTGCCTTAGTGAGCATATCAGCAATCATATCGTTAGTAGGACAGTACTTTAAAATTAACTCACCGTTCTCCACTTTTTCTCTGATGAAATGGTGCTTGATGTCTATGTGTTTTGTTCTAGCATGAAACTTCGGATTTTTAGACATCGCGATTGCTCCTTGATTGTCTTCCTGAACAACTGTAGGCTCTTCTTGAGTAAAATTCAAGTCAGCAAGTAGTGAGCGAAGCCATACTGCCTCCTTGGTAGCTAGACAGGCTGCAACGTATTCTGCTTCGGTTGAGGAGAGAGCTACGCTTGTTTGCTTCTTGCTTGCCCAACTGACAACTCCACCACAGATTGTAAACATGTAGCCAGACTGAGATTTACGCCCATTTACGTTACCTCCCCAGTCTGCATCAACAAATCCACTAAGTTGTACTCCTTCTTCTTTTGAACCATCAAATTGAATTCCCCAGTCTAGTGTACCTTTAATGTAACGTAAGATACGTTTGACACTTTGCCAATGTTCTCCACTTGGGTTAGAACTAAATTGATTGACAGATCCAAGAGCTTGTGCAATGTCTGGTCTTGTTGCTGTAACTGCATAAGTAAGACTTCCAATAAGTGCTTGATATCTCTGCTTATCAACAGGATCGCCTTCATTTGCAAGTAGTGTCGAACCTGTCACTTGTGGTGTTGATACTTCTTTAGAATTTTGCATTCCATATTTCCGTAGCAAATTTGAAAGATATGTGCTTTGGTGCAGCAACATCCTTTTTTCAGCTCTGTTACGTTCAATCTGAATTCCAAGACAATAACGAGCTTCACCCAGATCTTTCATGCAAAACCGTTTTTGCAATGCTTCTTTCTCATTTTGCAATAGCTGGTTACTGCTACAAGCTAACAGCATATCATCAACATATAAAGCAATGATTATAAATTCTGCTCCCACACGCTTGACATACAAACAAGAATCAGCTTGACATTGCTCGTAGTCGTTATTCTTCATGTATGCATCCATTGTTTTGAACCAACAGCTTGATGCTTGCTTCAGTCCATAAATACTTTTATTCAACTTGCAAACAAAGTTTTCTTTGCCTTTTTCTTTGTAGCCTTCTGGTTGTAACATGTAAATCTCTTCTTCTAGTTCTCCATTAAGAAACGCTGTTTGGACATCCATTTGATGCAGTTCTAAATCCAACTGATTTGCAATAGCAAGTACTGAGCGAATTGATGTGTATCTTGCTACAGGAGAGAATGTCTCTTCATAATCAATACCTTCTTCCTGAGAATAGCCTTTAGCAACGAGACGTGCTTTATATCTCTCAACTGCTCCATTAGCATCATGTTTAATCTTGAAGACCCAACGACATCCAACTGGTTTACGTCCCTTTGGGAGTTCAACAAGATTCCAAGCTCTGTTCTTGATAAGTGATGTGTATTCACTATCAAGGGCTTCTTTCCACTTTACTTTTGCAGATGAATTCAATGCTTCTTGAATTGTTGTAGGTTCTTCAGTATTCTCATAAGTATCAGCATTTAAAGACTCTTCAAATTCCCACCAATCACCAGTAATGAAACCGTCTCTTTCTGGAGGCTTTCTTGTACGGTTTGAGCGTCTAGGCTCTTGCAAGTCTTCAGCATCTTGACTTTCCGCATTTCGATTGTTTTCATCTGTTTCAAGGTCTACAACTCTTTCATCATACTCAGTTTCTAGTTGTTCTTCATCAGATTTGAAAACTGGTTTAACAGTAGAATCTATCTTCTTTGTTTCCACTGTTTGATGTTGAATACGACCTTTTTTTCATTTTCAACAAAAACAACATCTCTAGATTCATAAAGTTTCTTTGTTCTTGGATCAAATAGACGATACGCCTTTCTGTAAAGGCTGTACCCAACAAAGATGCACTTTCTAGATCTTGAATCAAATTTCTTTGTGAGCTCTTTTGGAATGTGCATGTAAGCATCACATCCAAATACTTTCAAATGTGCAACATCAGGTTTTCTTCCATAAAAACTTTCATATGGAGTCATGTCCTTCACTGCTTTAGTGGGACTACGATTCCTCAAAATGACTGCTGTTGCAACTGCTTCTCCCCAAAAATCATTTGTTAATTTAGCAGCATGCAGCATTGACCTTGCAGTCTCTTGAATGGTTCTGTTCATTCTCTCTGCGACCCCATTCTGTTCTGGTGTTCTTGGGACACTTCTCTGCTTTGAAATGCCTTTGAGTGTCAAGAAATCATTAAATTCCTTGGAACTATACTCCCCACCATTATCTGATCGTAGATTTTTGATTCTCTGTCCAGTGATATTTGTTGCCATGGCTTCAAACTCTTTGAACTTTTGAAGAACTTCATCTTTGTTTTTTACAAAGTATATTGCAGTAAATCTTGATTTATCATCGATGAAGGTAACAAAATATCGATGTCCACCCAGACTGGTTGTTTGCATTGGCCCACATACATCACTGTGCACAATCTCTAGAAGCTCAGTAGCGTGTGTAGCTTGACCTTTAGGAAATGAGTTTCGTGTTTGTTTTCCCTCAACACAGGCCTCACAAAATTGCATATCTTTTGAATCATTGAACTTTAGTCCCTCAACTAGTTCCTCATCTTGCAACGTTTTCAAATTCTTCACTCCTAAATGGCCAAACCTCTGATGCCATAGTTGTAAGGAATTAGCTGCACTGTTAGCTTCATGTGCTAATTCATTCATTGGTAGACAGTCAAGAATAAACAACTTTCTGTCTTTTCTTCCTAAACCCAAGGTTTCTCCATCGCTATTTAGGATTAGACATTTGTCCTCGTTGAAAACCACTGACAAATTCCTTTTGACAATTGCACTGATTGAGAGCAAATTCTTTGCCAAATCTGGAACAAACAGCACTTCAGCCAATTCAACAGGCTTCCATTTCCCTTCGACTTTGACCTTAACCCAAACTGACCCTGTACCTTGTGCCAATACAACTCTGTTGTCACCCAAACGTACTTTCTCTGGTACTGCAAATTCACGAAAATTCACCATCCTTTCTTTGCACCATGACATGTGCTGAGATGCACCAGAGTCAATAATCCAGGTATTCGCTTCTTTCTTGTCTGTGCTGGCTGTTACCGAAAAGAGAGTATGCGTGGCTTCCATTTCTGTAACATTAGGCTCTTGCTGTCTCGGCCTTTCGCTTGATTTCTTAGGTTTCTTACAGTCTCTTGCCCAATGTCCTTTTAAACCGCAGTTGTAGCATTTCCCTTTCTTGTTGGTGGATTTCACTTGCTGTCCAGCAACTCTAGACATCTCCTTCGTGGTAACAAGTGCCTTTTCCATCGCAATTCCAAGGTCAGATGAAACTTCAGATCGTTTTCTTTCTTCATGTAGCAATCTGGCAATAATGAATTCTAGGGTGAGTTGATCTGCCCGTGATTCAAGTGCAACAATAAGGTTATTATAGGAATCTGGCAAACTGCACAAAAGAGTCGCAACTTGATCCTCTTCAGAGACTTGCGCTCCCACTGAAGCCATTTGCTCTGTCAAACTTCTCATTTTGTTTACGTGTTCCATCATTGTATCATTTTCTGACATTGTCGCAGTAAAATATCTCTTTCGTAAAAACAACTTGTTAGCCAGTGATTTGACTTCATAGTGATTTTCTAATTTTGACCACGCTTCGCCAGCTGTATTCGCTGATCGAACCAAAGATAACTGACTGTCACTTATCGATAAACAAATGGTCGCCAGTGCTTTCCTCGCACGCTTTCGAAATTTCTGCACAGAAGCTTCCGTGGTTCCTTCCCCTGCAGGTTCCACTTCTTCGCCAGAAACTATACCCCAAAGATCCTTATCTTCGAGAACCATTTGCATTTTGAACTTCCATAAATGAAAATTCGTTCCATCGAACTTATCAATGTGCTGTGACATAAACTCCATCGGTTTCGCAGCCATAATTCGCACTGAATTTAAAATCGTCGAAAGTCAGCTTCGTGGCAAATACTATTCGAATTTATCAAAACTCCTCGGTCCATAACCTGTTAAAATCAGGAGTTTTACGCACAGAAACAAGCGATTTAAGATAAATTCATCCATAACATAACGGCGATTACAACTCGAACGAAAAACTTAGACGAAGTATCATCTTACAGCTCACAGCATGACAGCGTGCAATAAAAACGGAAGTAAACGTCATTGTTCGTAACTAAACAATAGCTCTATTTTTTGTATATTCTAACAAAGATTTAAAGCATCTAAACATTCAATATGACGCCCTTCCTGTAGAGAGAACATTGGGTTTAGAGTGGAACATCGAAAGTGACACATTCAGGTTCAAGATTAACAGTAAAGAAAGGCCAGCCACACGAAGAGGTATATTGAGCATTATTTCATCAATATTTGATCCACTTGGATTTGTAGCACCCTTTGTTTTGCCTGCAAAAAGACTTCTTCAAGCATCATGCAAAGATCTAGAATGGGATAAAGAGATTTCTGGTGAAAATCTGATAAATTGGAATCAATGGTTGGTTCAGATGCCGATGCTAGAGAATTTCCAAATGAGAAGATGCATTAAAGTACCTGAATTTGGGACTTGTATCACTCAAGAGATTCATCACTTTTCGGATGCTTCTGAGACTGGTTATGGCACGGTGTCATACTTGAGAACAGTGCATCAAAATGGTAAAATCAAAACTGCGTTCTTGTTTGCAAAATCTCGACTAGCACCATTGAAACGAATCACAATTCCGAGGTTAGAGCTCACTGCCGCTGCCTTGGCTGTAAAGATCGACACGATGTTGAAAAACGAGCTAGAAATCTGCATACATAAATCAATGTTCTGGACAGACAGTACATCTGTTTTGAGGTACATCAACAACAAAGACAAGAGATTTCATACGTTTGTTGCGAACCGAATAACAGTTATTCATGAAGGATCAGATCCTGAGCAATGGAGGTATGTGCCAACGAAAAGCAACCCCGCAGATGATGCGTCACGTGGAATGACAGCAAACGAGCTGCTTTGAAGTGAACGTTGGATCAGTGGACCGGAGTTTTTGCTACAGACAAGAGACAAATGGCCAAAATGTAATGTCAGCATTGCGGGGATCCCTGAAGATGACGTCGAAGTTAAAAGATTGGCTCAGTCAAACTCAGTCAATGTCAAGGTAAATGATATGACATCAATGATTTTCTCACACTTTTCAAACTGGTTTCGCTTGAAAAGGGCTGTTGCTTGGATCCTTCGATACAAATCTTGGCTACTGGAAAAGGTTAAACGAAGCCAGATGCTCTTAAAATCTAAAATATCTAGACGTATTGATGTTGAAGAAATAAAAGAAGCGGAAGATGCTATAATCAAGTGCGTGCAAAAGGAATGCTTTGTTCAAGAATTACAATGTTTGCAATCATCTGAAGGCGTAGTAAAGAAATCAAGTTCCTTGAGGAGGTTAGATCCTGTAATCAAAAATGGGCTTATCTGTGTCGGTGGACGTCTCAAGCACGCACCCTATGAGTATGAACATATGAAGCACCCAGCCATACTTCCAAAAAGACATCATGTGAGCAATTTGGTCATTCAGCATTTTCATGAATTATCTGGACACAGTGGACAAGAATATGTTCTTTCCATCATCAGAGAATACTTTTGGATAATCCAAGCACGAGTGCCTGTGAAAAAAGTCTGCAGAAGCTGCTTTTCTTGCAAAAGAAGATCTCAAGCTCCATGTAAGCAGAAAATGGCCGACCTTCCAGTGAACAGAGTCACACCAGATAAACCTCCATTCACATTTATTGGCGTCGACTATTTCGGACCATTCCTGGTGAAAAGAGGTCGTGCAACTGAGAAAAGGTACGGTGTTATTTTTACTTGCCTTACCGTGCGAGCTGTACATATTGAGATTGCCAACAATCTTGACACTGATTCATTCATCAATGCACTGAGAAGGTTTATAGCTAGACGAGGAGTGCCAAAAGAAATAAGGTCAGACAATGGAACCAACTTCAAAGGCGGAGAAAAGGAGCTACGGTTAGCGTTACAGGAATGGAATCAAGACAAGTTACATCAATTTTTGCTACAAAGAGATATCGTTTGGATATTCAATCCTCCATATGCATCACATATGGGTGGAGTTTGGGAAAGAATAATCCGATCCATTAGAAAGATTTTCAAAGCATTGGTAAAAATGCAAATTCTGAGTGACGAATGTCTGCAAACCCTAATGTGCGAAGTAGAAGCAATCCTAAACGCAAGACCGTTGACAAAAGTTTCAGACGATCCATCTGACCTGAGTGTCCTAACGCCGAATCATCTTCTCCTTTTCAAAACCAGTTCAAATCTTCCACCAGGTGTGTTCAGTAAACAGGACCAATATTGTCGTCGAAGATGGAAACAGATCCAGTATTTGACTAATGTGTTTTGGCGAAGATGGTTGAAAGAATATTTACCAATTTTACAAACAAGACAGAAGTGGCAAGGTATTAAACAAAATATTTCCAAGGGTGACATAGTGTTAGTTGTAGAAGAAACCACACCTCGAAACCTTTGGCCACTTGGAGTGATCTTAGACGTTAATGTTGGAAGAGATGGTTTGGTTCGTTCAGCACTGGTCAAAACGAAGAGCACAGAGTTGCTAAGACCAGTAAACAAATTATGCTTGCTTGAAGCCCAAGAGCAGAAATGAAGAAAAAATTCGCACTAGGAACTAAAGAAAAAACAGATACTAGGAGTAGCCTGTTTGGGGGTGGGTATGTTAGTGCGAATAGCCCTTGGTCGTTGTAGTTTAAGCTATTTTTATCTAGCCTCGTTTTTACATTGCATTGTTTTCTTTACGCCTCTTAGTATACGTTTCATTAGCCCATATTTGGTATTTCCGTTTTTGCGTGTTCTTGCTTTTCCTCGTTTACTTCCGGTAGCTATAAAGGATTTGCACCCCACGTTTTGGGTGGTTATTTACTCGCCTTGCATTGCGCTGTGTTGGGGGCAGTTTTTCTATCGTTTACATGCTATTTTTGGCCTGGTAGTTTCTACATGCTGTGTTTGGCCGTCGTGCAAAATTTTTATGGCTACGAGGACTAATAGATTGTAAGTTGTATATATTATTATGTAGTTATCTTTCACTTTATTTATAAGTAGCTCATACTTAACATTTTGTAGTCTAGTTGGGTTTCTACGTAGTTCTATCTTCTGCTAACATTAATTAACCTTTTATAATTATTCTTTCTTTTTTTTCATTATATTGTAATATTAAGCTTCTTGTCGTATTCTCAACTTATAATCTTCATGTATGTTAATTGCTAACATTTTTCTTTAGCGAACCACGTTTAACACATCACCTCAGAACCTGTGTTGTTTCTTGCTGTGTTATCTGCTGGGGATTTAGGTGTGGTGCGTTCGATATACCAAAGTAGTCAGAATTACAAATTGTGGACTACAATTGTATTGGTTCGGCAATACTTTGATTTTTCTGAAAGGATGCAGAAATGAATGCAAAGTTTGACACCATTGCATTGCGATCGCTTTTGAGAAAAATTTTACTAGAAAGATAGAAATATTTGAAATTTGTGGATGGAAGCAAATTTTTCTCAGGTAGGCAGTAACATAGCGAGGAGGGCAAGGGGTTTTTCAGAACATTGGTCTCTAAGAAAAGCGGAAATATAATTGATACCTTTTGGTGACATTTCAAACAAAAGTAAATCAAATAAATCAGTTGATGTTAGAGTTAGATAAGTTGGAGTTTCTAAAAAATTCCAGATATTCAGATCAAAACAAGTCAATCATGAGGCTGTGTTTTGGATACTGATCGGTATATTTGTTTCGTCTTTTGTCTCATTCTTTTGAAGATGGCCCAAGCTTAAGGATAAGGATTGGTGGTTTGATTTGAAGAGAGCAATCTTTTCCTCATTTTAGGATATGTTACAAAACATGCTAAATTCCCAGCACCCTGATAAGAAGGGACATAAACTCACAGAAAATGAAGTTATTGCTGAAATGGTTCTCTTTTTACTTGCTGGCTATGATACATCAAGCAACATTCTTGGCCTAACATGTTACCAGCTTGCCATATACCCAGAGATCCAAGAGAGAGTGTACCAGGAGGTCATGCGCATTTGTGAATCAAAAGACACGGCTACATATGACGAAATCAAAGAAATGGTTTATTTGGAAGCTTGCGTTTCAGAAACACTACGTCTTTACCCACCAAGTGAGTTTCAAAAAATTGAAATCAAACCTATTTCCATGTTGGAGCAACTAGTCAAAAGCTATCGATGCGCAGCTTTTCATATGAAAGTTAACTGTAGTCAGCCGAAAATGCTTTATTAGTTACAATTACCAGCTATGTTTTTTCGGCCTCCTTCAAAGGAACATGCTCTTTTAGGAACGAGGTCGGCGTCTCATTATCATAACGATACAAACTGAATTTCTGTTCAGGTTAGATAAAGCTGCTACTTTGAAAAGAAGGTTGACTGGTAAAGAATCTTTCTGTGATTCTTCTTATATTCCTTTACAATGAAAGATCCATTATCCAAAGCTTCTAGGTTAAGAAAAAATATTTTTATCTTTCATATTATTGTAAGTCAAGTTATTTTTAAAGTATAATTTTCTCACTTCTGCATCTATTCTAGGTTTCCTCATGACCCGTACCATCGACAAATCATGTATCATAAACGGTGTTCATTTCAAACAAGGCATGGGTGTCCTAATACCTTCATACGCCTTGCACCGGGATGAAAAATACTGGTCAGAACCAAACGATTTTAAACCGGAAAGATTTCTTCCAGAGAATAAGGAGTCTATTAACCAATTCGCTTATTTGCCTTTTGGCAACGGTCCTCGAAACTGCATTGGAATGCGATTTGCACAGATAGAGATAAAGACGATCCTTGTTAGAATGCTGCAGAAGTATCGCATGGTGCGTGGTCCTGAGACACCAGTGCCTTTGAAGGTCCAACCAAGAGCCGTGCTATCACCGGCTGAGCCTGTCTGGATACGATTTGAGAAGAGAAAGTAGACTTGAACACGTCAGCTCGTTTTCACAGAAATCCAGCTGAATAGCTTCTTAGTCTTATAATTGAGCATGCTTGCATAATATGCAGTAATATTTTTGCCAATAATCGCTCACATAGAAAATCTATATTTTTTAGTTTTGATTTGTTTTGATCTAAAATTATTACAATGAATATCACAGACTTGTCACAGACAGTCAAAGCTATGTCTTGCAGCTCAATGATAGCCAATATACCTTAAATGATATTTTCCAGACTTCTGCAGTCACTGTCATTCACATTGGCTTTTTTGAACGATTTAAGAAGTTATCAGGAGTTTCTTTTCAAGTTGAAAAAGTTTTTTAGAAGTATGAAGGATACACTAAGTGAAATCGTCTTACTTTAATTGGAAACAACCAGATCTCATCTAGTCGCTTTCTGAGAAGGAGTGCTGTTAGGGCTACCTATCTTTGCCAATAGCTATGCAGATAACCTCCACGATGAACAATACTGAAATGGCCATTTTTCCTTCCCTCTCCATCCCTATTTACCAATCTTGCTACGCTTGGGTTACCCAAAAACTGAAAGCATTTTTTACTTTGGTAACCTTCTTCAAGAACTATCGAGACGAAAGCAGTTTGTTTTGTTTTTCTTAAGGATTTTTTTAAAAGCAATAAATATTGTAACTATTGGTTTTTTCAGCTGGAGAAAAGGATTTTGGTGTCAATTTCGAGGTTGATATTTAGAGGGCAGATTTTTATCGAAGGGCTACTGGTCATAAGCGATACTCAACAATGAAAGATGTTTCTGCATTTTCTGACAAAATTCTTTCAATTTTTAACTTAAAAACTTGCCATTCATTGACTTGATGATTCAACAATTCAAAGTAGCAATGATGTAAAAGGGAAAGAAAGCAACATTCAAGGTGTTTGTTTTAGAAGTATTTGTTCACTAGATACAATACAAAAGTAAAGCATATCTTAAGCAAGCATAAATACTCAAATATTTCTCATTTTAGCCTTTTGCTACCTTTTGAAAGTTGCTTGTCTAACGCTTTACCAAGGCTTTACGGTTGATGCTAAGGAGAGGAACATGTCATGGAAGATGACCCGCAAGGATTGGTTTTAGGGCCTTTCCTCTTCAACATCCTATGTTTGTAATTATGTGATTGACGTGATGTTGTATCTTTGTAATACCACTAAAAATAGATATTTTTTATAATAGGATCTTTTTTGATGAATGTGTTATGAGAGGAATTATGCCACAAACCCCGCGGAGAGATACTGAGGAGAATTCAAACTTCGGTGTTAAATGCAATATGACCTACCAGAAGCTTTATTCCCTTTTTGTAATCATTACCATCTAGAGTAGTGACAAGCGAACATCATGTGAGCATTTATAGCGTCACAATTATTTTATTTTTATGATCCCATATAGAAACAAAACAGAGTAGTTAAGCACAGGAAAAGGCCTTAGATCTTGTAGATAAAACAATTAACTGATTTGATTCTTTGAAGCTAGAGGAAGGGTTAGTCTTTAATCATTAAAAAGCTGTTAATGACCGAAATTTATATGACAATATCATGCCGCATACATGGAATTTGTTTCATTCTGTTTATCATACAAATGTAAAAAGAACCGATACAAAATGTAAAAATCGCTTTGAATAATTTCTCTTTCAACTAGCCTGCGACGAAGCCCTTTTTCCTTCGGGGAAAGATACAGGAAAAGGCAGATATCTGTTTTTACTGGATAAAAATTCAGCCACTTCAGCCATTATGTTAACCATATAATTATCAAAAAATCTTCAGAAAATTATCTGGTATATGAAAATTTGTTTGCAATTCATTTGGAATACGATGGATGTTATTTTCTATTATTTCTTATAAAACTTGTGGGTTTTTGGTACGGAGATTTGGTATAACAATAAATCTTTTTACAAATTGTTCCAATGTGTTGTCAGATGCATGAAAATTTGTTGGAAACTTGGCAACATGTAAGAGTACGGTTTTTAGAAATTTGTAATGTAATCAGTGTAAAGTGCATGGTTTTTAAAAATTCTATGTGAATGTTAACAATTTTTTGTTTTCCACGGTACTTATCCAACCCCTAATGCTATTTTCTATGATTCCGTGGCCCACCTATCATCTAAGTTGTTAAGAAAAGAGTTGCAAAGTGTATATTGGTGAAACAGATTATGTTCGGTCTACTTATACCGAACATAAACATGCTTCCCTTTTCCTTTTCCTTCTTCTCAGCTAGACGCTGCAACTTCAGTGGCTCTGGGTAATATGTATCCTAACAACTGAGTATTCCTTGGTCTTTTGTTACTGAAAGACAGCACCATCAGAAGATGAGGAGCTTTGAGGCTGAACTTCCCCCAATAACTGCCAACCAGTTTTGTGAAGTATTCACAAGAGGATTGTGAATAGGAAACAACCTTAAAACTCCCCCCCCCCCCACCACTATATATGAATATTTTGGCCACCTTGAGAAGGAAAATTTGCATGAAACATGCTTATTTCTTTAATATTTATTGGGAATGAGCTTATATTTCTGATGGTAAGAAAGCTCTACTTCATGGGTCTGCATACTTCAGGCACCTTACGTCTCTGGGAGTAAACCCACGGACCCAATTAACACCAATTTCATGCAATTTGTTGTCACGTTCTTTTTTAAAATTTCGTTTTAATTTCAGCCACAGCTCGATGTTTTAATTTTTGGATAATTTGAGATTTGAGCGTTTTGATTTCACATATGATTTCTCTACAAATAAGCACTATGAATTACGTTCAAGACCAGTAAATAACATTTTACATCGCAATTTTTCAGTTGCACGATTGATGAGCTAATAAAATCTGCTCTACAAAATTTTCAAAGCACATCGCTTTTTTCTTCCAATTTTTTATCTGCGGTTTGATCATGTCTCACAGTGTTCTTATCTTTTCGGGAAATCGAGTCTCGGCCTTTTTTATGACTGTTTCTATAGAAAGTAATTTTTTGCTTCCTATAAAAGATGACAAAATGGCGGATTAACAGCAAAAATATTTTTCCGGTCACCCTTCGTCGACAAAACCTTTGCTAAACGCAAGGTCTTTAAGATCGGGGGGGGGGGGCTTTATTAAGCAGCTAAGAATTAATGTTTTAGATGTTGTTCTAATGCCTTTGTTTGTGCGTTGGCTAGCACCATACCAAAGAAAGATTTAGGGAGCTATTTTATCGAATGTTTTTCTGTAAAAAGTAGTCCGATTTTTCGCCCTGTCCCCTATAGCTTGGTAGCATTGTGCTAAAGGCATAGAAACTACAAGCCAAGTCTATGCACTCAAACTTTTGTCATTTCTCACCTGCTCTCCATCACACAATTGTATAAACCAGTGATCTTGCTTTTGAAATGACGTAAATTTCCTTAAAATGAATGAACATCTGGTAGGGTGCCTTCTATTAGCATTGCAAAGGAGCTTCGTTAAATTTCGTCACTATTTTTTTTAAAACATCCTTGTTATCGACCGAACAAGGGGTGTGAGTATCTGAAAACTTTAGGAGAAACAATAGAACAAATGTTTGATGATCGACCTTGAAGCACATTTACTTATTTTCGTAACAGAATGGTTCTCCTTTCAGTGCATATTTATGTAGCTGTATTCCTTGCCAAAGTGAAAATGCAGATTTTTCCAACTTCTTTGCAAATAAACCCTTTCGGTAATAGAACCTAAAATTTCGGATAATCCAAATCGAAAAGGGAAGTTGAAAATTTCAGTTTATTTTGCAATTCATGGTTTCAGCTTTCAGATTGTCAGAGTTGCAATCCTCCAGAGCATCTGACAGCACATAGAAATTGATGCAACCGAATACCCTGTTGGAAAATTTTATCGAAGGTAGTCCTCACAGACTCAAAACAAATAGTTCAGTCACTTGGTTTAGTTTAACTATAGTCAGGCACTTGGGGTGAAGCAGTTTAAACTTAGATGTTCCAAAATCCACAAGTCCCTATTAAACCCAATGACATGGTTAAGATCTGGGTGACAAACAATTCGTGGTTGTCTTTAGCATGAAAAACAAAAAAAGGAGACATTGCTTAGCGGTTTTTAACCGGAAATTATTATAATTTAGTCGTAATTTAGCCTTTTGAACAGCTTTTTACCGATACCACTGTGTAATGTACTGGTATAGAATTGACAATTCTGCCAAAATTCAAGTAAGTATTTTTGATGTCGGGTTGTCGCATTAACATAAAGGCTTTGCAAAGAGAACCAGCCCCGTCCTTCGACTTTTCATCCAGCCATATTAACATGCTTGTTATGAAAAAGGGATCTGCAGTCTATCGTTGGTAGAAATTCATAATAAATTGATCCATTCTTCGTTTTAGTTGAATCTTTCAAAATATTTTAAATCCCTATGAAAATTATCATGACCACAGTTGAATTTTTTTTGTTACTTCGTCGTATATGATTTCGTTTCCCACCCTTTCTTACAACAAGCATGATCAGTGGTGGTTTTAGGGGCCCCAGGGAGCCACGGCCCAAGGCCCCGCATTTATGGTAGGGAGAGAGAAGAAGTAATTAAATTAAATGAACTGAACTGAACCAAGTTGCATATAATAAGGGACCTGCCTATGTTTTCGGCCACGGGCCCCACATTCTAGAAAAACAGCCACTGAGCAGTAGCCAGAACCTCATGCCTTGAGTGACCTGATGGGTATTACAAGTAATAAAAGTCTGTACGAACTTTAAATTGTTTAGAACTTAAAAGGAGGGTTCGGTAAAAACTATTGTAAAAACGTTAGCTTCAGAGAAAAATGTACATGTTCATGGGCGGTCAGAAAAGGGCGAGAACGAGGGTTGGGTTCAAGCTCGGTCGATGTAACAGATGCTGTTTAGCTGAAAAACCTAGAAGAAATTGGTTGTAGTGGTCATAGATCATGAACCGAATTATTTGCAGGAATGACAAGTTGGAGAAAAGTTAGGGTAGTCTGAAATCGTTTATTAGATATAGCAAGACAAGTTTTCATTTTTTAATCTTTCATACATTTGCAAGCATACCATTTAAGTAGGCTGCAGCCATGTGTGACCTGGCCTAAACATACATGTACATGTTGTTTTTGGTTCTCTCATGCCTATGGACACGAGGAACTGAGCCAATGTGAGGGGATATTCAAGGGCATTTGAAGTCATGGCATTATCACTGGATGAAACAGATAAGTTAATACAGCGTAAGTTTTCGCAATGCTTTTGCACCGATATTTGATAATCTTCGCCAGGCTTGAATTCATGGGCACGCAAACCTGCCAATTCAGCTTCCAAACAATTTATGGGTACCCGTTTCATATATTTTGGATGGGCAAATATTTGATGTAGTGTGTTTTTACTTCTTATCACATTTAGCCTACGAAACTTTTCGAATGGCGGGTCTTTGGAATTTGAAAATCTGAGAGGTTGTTGATCATATCCGGGTGATGTTTACAGGGAAGAGTTACTATCAAACACGAATAAGATGATTTTCTGGTAAATGTAACTTTTGAAGGGGTACACGTTAATTTACATCCAAATAAGAATTTCCGGGGAGTATGTGTGGCTATCTTATTGTTGACGTTAAGTCACGTAAATGTTTGTCAGAAGAGGAGAGTTAATAAATTCCTGACAGGATGTCTAACACTCTCCTCTAACAGGTAGCTCAGTCAGCTAACAAAGTGTTTACGATAATGCAATATTCTAGTTTACGTCTCCGAAGATCAACGTTACAATAAACATCCTTAAATTGACGCCAACAGATTTTAAATATTTTGGATGCTCTTTCAAGATATCTGCCCTTGTCCCTGTATATCCAATCTCATTTCAAAGAAAATTATTATTATTTATATTGTACGTTGAAGTTATTATATTTTTAATTTAGAGTTGTGTTAATTTTTCTGTAAACCTTAGGTTCCCAGTTTCTTATCATTCAAAAGTCATAGAAAGTCAATATGCAGGATATAGATCAAGAAATCTCTTAAAATAAAAATTACATTTCTGCTATTTTTAGCCTTGTGGGAAAAATTTCAGGCAGAAGATATGGTTCCGGGGCCATAGTTTTTAAACTAAATCACCTGCTTGAGGGAGAGATATTAAGAAAATCTAGTTGAAGGAATCTATACTTTGATCATTTCAAAAATGAACTGAATAGTACAATATAGAAAATCTGAATTTTTTTCTCAATTTTGTGTTTGAGTCTGTGGTGTTTGTTGTGTTGTTCAGATTCCTCTGTTATTGAATCATTTTTTTTGAGTCACTAAATCAAGTCAGTTTGCATCTCTGCTCATAACCTCATCCTTCACACATCATGTATAAAGACTTCTTCAGAGTTATAGTCAAAAACAATACCCTTAAAAAGGTATCAAGACCAAGAAATTTCAAAGATATGTATATTACATTCTTCAAAAGTTGATTGGCACTTATGCACCAGAGATGTTCCAAAGTTGTTTGCCCTTGTGAGCAACCAACCCAAATCTTTTTCTCTGGTGATCTTTTGTGGTCTGTTCCAATTCACCAGTTTCAATGCAGCCAAAATATGCTGTCTATTGACCTGCTAAGGATTGCAAGGGTCAAACCAGGCCTTAAAATCTCTAAACCATCTGTTGTGATGCTTAAGTTTAGTAACCCTTGAAATTATTTTCAAATGCTTAAACGGCATAGCGCCAAAAGCGTTTGGAAATCACTTCACAAGGCACAAGGCACAGTGAATACCTGCAAAAACAACAAAAGTGTAGTCATTCCAAAAGTTAGGACAGAAACGGGGCGTAAAACTTTCTTATTCCAGGGTGCAAAGATTTTTAAGAACTTACCCAATAGCTTGCAAACTGAAAAATCACCTTTGAGATTTAAAGCAACCAGCTGGGACACAAACCTAGATTTTTAGTGTAACTTTTTTAACTTCTGTAGTGTAACTTCTCTAACCTTTTAAATTTTTTTAAGCTTTAACTTCAATCTCTTATAATCTTGAACCTTTTACTTTACAAACTTTTATTTTAACAGGACCCTTAGTGATAGCAGTATTATCTTTACTGAAAAGGCTATCCTGTATAAATATGGTAGATTATTATTATTATTATTATTATTATTGACTTGATCGTTAAAGATTAAAAATATCTTAATTTCCAGAAAGTTAACTTATCTGTTGTAATAATTTGATATTTTCTGGGTGAATACCAAAGTTTTAAAGTAGAAGTATATGAATAGTGAGCAAGTGCTGATTTTGTAGCATTTAGGGGAAACATTTTGATTAAAAAAATATGTTTTTTCCTGGATAGGGCACTTTTGGATGGGTAACTTGATTAAAAACATGGTTAAATTTGTTTGTTAAAAATATTTTATGATATCTCCTTTAGAACAGCAAGATTGTCAGCAAATAGTTTACTTGTTTGTGTCCACTTTCTTTGGATATTATATGATATTCAAATGCTAGCAGGCCTTATCTCCATATTTAAGAAATAGAAATTTAGTAATATTAAGGTAACTTCATACCTTTATCGAGTTGAAAAAACCATAATTAGAAACACATTTACACACGAATAGTTTCTTTTTAGAATTTGGTTGCCTTCTGGCAGCCTCTTCAGTAAGAATTGAGTGAGATATGTACAGTCTTCCAAACTGGGGTTGGTTCAGGCTTGATAGATTTATTATGTCAAACTTGATTTGTTATTTGACAAAATTAAGTTATTTTGACAGTAAAAAGTTATGAAACCATTAAGTATGTTATGTCAGTGTGCTAACTATTTTCTATGTTTTTCAGTGCGAAAGCATTTGCAGTGCATCAAGGCAAGTATTTGTAAAAGATGCAAGAAGAATTTTGAATTAGAGAGGGAAGTTCGTTTCTTTGATCAAAAGATTGCACTCTTGATCAACCACAGAATTTCTCTTCAGGTAAGATTTTAGTAAGCAGCTACTAAGACTCTTGGTAAATCCGCTTTCTGTGATACTTTCTTTTATCTTTTTACAAAACAAGATCCATTATCCAATGCTTCTAGATTAAGAACAAAATATTTTTATCCTTTATATTGTTGTAACTCAAGTTGTTTAATAAAGATCAGGGAGTAAAAGCTTAATTAAAGCAGAATATTTTTGTCTACTTCCTTATTATTCTACTAACAGTATGTCTTTATTTTGTCTGTGTCTTCATTTATTTCTATTTTTGATTCTTATGCTCCTTTTATAGGAATTTCCTGACAGGATGTCATTTGGTCACCACAGAGCAGGTATACAAAAATTTCCATAGTACTTTTCAATGATAATATTTAGCGCTATGAATTCAGTGCTAAGGAAGATTAATAAAATGAGCCTTTGCTTGCTGTGGTGAAAATTGATAAATATCAGTAATGGTTCTTTTGTCACTACTATTATTGAGGTCTACTTCAAGGATTGATGTTCCCTTTAGGCAAGATGTCTCTTTATCATCTTTTTTATGTAACATGCAAATCAGCAACACACACATGTTTGATGGTATCAAATGCTTATAGAACCCTGTGGGAAGCTTGAGCTGTCAAGACAAATAAAATTGGCCTCCATGTTTGGAATGGCTATTTACATATCAACAGTTGTTACAAATTCAGCAAATAATTGGGCAGACATTCAATCCCTTTGGCAAGACTATTTAGCAGCTGAAGTGGCTGTTATCATTACTACCCATAAATCCTAGATTTAGCCCCCTGGAGGCTTGTTAATCTAGACAGTTTTCAAATGGTAGTGAATTAAAAGGGAGGCTTTCAACAACCATCTCCAAGCTGCACTATAAATATTTATCTTTGTAGTTTTTTATGATTTTAGAGTTCACTTCAGTTCTAGCTAAATAACCCTTGCTAAAATATCAAACCATAGAATAAATCAAAGGACAAAATATATTAGTTCCAATTTATTGATATGCTCATTGCAACCACATAGCTGAAGATGTCAGCTAGGGGGGGGGGGGCAAACTCGAAAAAGAACCATACCTGAGGGGGGGCAGGATTTAAAACAAGAAAACAGACATATAATAAACAGATATATTTGGACTAAATCAAGGTCATGGAGTTAAAGATATGCCAAGTTTTCAAAATATCATTTGGAAAAACTGTAGCTGGAGGGGGCAAGTTGTTGTCAACATTTTCATCTAGAGGGCACAGCCCCCCCCCCCCCCCCCCCCCCCCCCCCCCCCCCCCCGCAGCTACATGGCTGGCTCATTGTCTTCTGATGGTCTCTTTGTCAATTTCTTGTTTAATTTGGTTTTCCTCATTCACTGCTGAACACCTAAAATGGTTATCTTCCAGATTGGGGGCTTATTCAAGGGGGTATCTACAAGGGGGCTAATTCTAGGATCAATGAAATAGGTGCTGAGACAGACATCTTCAGGGCAAGTTTTTTAAGGTCGGCTGTGACTTCTTCATTGTTTATAACCAAAAAAGCAAGTTCAATTGCTATGACAAAAGACAGGATTAATGTGCTGAGAAAGAAACAAGTCAGAATTAATGTGTTGTTCTATATGTACTTTCAACAAAACCAAGTTGAATATTCACAATTGCAGACTGAGCATATGCAGAACTTAGTTTAGTGAACTATTTTACTCTTATAAAGGCACCTTCCATAATTCCAAAACAATGTCAGGGGTGCAATAGTTAAGATTCAGCCAAGTTTATCTAATTCGTGACTCATTTTTATCTGAAAAAAGTTAGATAGAAAAAAGTCATTGTTTTCTGTATCACGAGAAATGTTAGGAGATTTTTATGCCAATCTTTTCCTGATCTCTTTGACAATATGGCCTTACTTTTCAGATCTATTTGCTATGTAACGGATAGGTTTATGATGTGTTTTGAAAGAGCTTTAGGTTAAAATCCCTGCCTAATTTTAAACTACTTTATCACCCGTTTTAATCACGACAGAACACGTCATGCAATAAGAACTTCGTTTGGTCGTATTGCGACTTCATCATTGCGTATTTTTAGCATGTGGAGGTCAATGAAGCTTCCCAGAAGGCTCCTAAAATAACCTGCCTCTGATTCTCTTGAGATAACTTTGCCCCTTTGAAACGACTAAGTCTTAAACAATATCTTGGAACTAAGATAGTCAAATTAAAGTCAAACATTTGGCTCTAGTTCTGTCATGCATTAGGTGAATACAACAGAAGCCTTGTTTTAACATTTGAACACAAAGCCAAAAATAGACCATTTCGCAAATATATACCAAAGATAGGCCTGCTCATCCCAAAACAGAGCCCGTTTCACCGGGAAACGGCCTGCGGAGGGGGAGATGATTCGAGCAATTTTGGTTAGAACATCTCAGTTTTGTTATATTATCTTGCTATAAAGAACCCTGGTATAGTAAACAATTCACTATCACGGGCTAGTTCTCAGTTCCCCTCCCCAAAATACGTCCACTATGAGAGGCATTTGGCAAGAGCAAGAAATGCGTTCTAGAATTTTTTCGCAGATACTTTTTAGGTTGTAAATATGATAAACACTCACGCAGCTTCACGTGTTCTTGTCTTATTACTGATGAATATTTAACTAATGCCATAAGCCATTTCATAAATTACAAGAAGAAATTGGTCACTTAATCCAGTTTTAATTCAAGACGAAATCAATGCAGAGTCACTGAATGACGTAAATACGTTTCCTTCAAGGCTGTAAGCCTACTCTATTAAGCAAAGTAAGCCTACTCTCACGGATTCACGGATTTTGCGCAGAAGAGGTTGTGGAGGTTCAACATTTATCTTGGACCCGTTCTTTTACCTCCCAATTTTATTTCCCTATTTCATCTCACTTTTTGCTGGATAAGAGATCAAGATTTGCCCGAAACACATACAGATCAGTCTGTAGGCTAGATTACATTCATCCAAATTCCACAGTTAGAACAGCGACAGCAGAAACTTTGCCACAACGGCGGTTAATGGGGCAGAGGTACGAGGCAAATTTGCACTCAAAGTTGCGACTTTGCCATTTTAAGACCTTCAATGAATTTTTATGGAAGTCAAAGGCCTTTAGGGTGTTTTTGTTATTGTTTGCTAATAGTACCTCATTTTATTACTGTCCCATCGGTTGCAATAACATCTCAAAGTTGCGAGTTTGCATTTTTAAGACCTTCAAATAATTTTTATCGAAGACAAAGGCCTATTTAACAGTTTAGATATCAGGGGTTTTCTCTGGGTTTATTTTAAGGAATTTATATCACTGCACATATTCAAAATTTTTGGTTTTTACCATTTGAAAATTCCATGACTATGTCTGTAGTTTAGGAAGTATCCTGACGTATTCAACCAAACTTTTAAAAAAAATTGCAAAAAGTGGTTGGGTTTTTAAACATGATCTCGAGAACAGAGTATAGCAATTGTTATTGTTAGGTTTTCGTTGTCATTTTTAATGCTCTTATATCAGCTTTTTGTGTCTACAGGTAGTTGCTGCAATCTTTATTTTAAAATACAAAATCTCTCAATTGTAGTTTTATCACTACAGAAAATTTGAGTTAATCACTGGACAATTACGGTTTATCACTGCACAAATTGGATATCACTGGACGTTAAATAAATCTCTGGGTTTATTTCTAATAATGACTTGTCCGCTCGGTTGCCGCAGATAATCTCTTCTTGATGCTTGCCAGTTTCTACCCGAATCTCTTTACATTATATTCTAATCACATATTCATTTTTCAATATTATAAACATCTTACATACTCTCCTGCTCCTTCGAATTTCACTATGTCAAACACGTATGTAGAACTCCACTCATTGTTTTACTGGATTTCACATTTGGGGTCAAATTTCTTAAGATTAATCCAACAACTGTGGTGCAATAAAACAACAATGGCTTCTCTTATTTCGTCCTAAACCTGTGGCAAAAGGAATTGCGATTTAAACGAATATTTGGCCATTTAATACATGTTATATTTTTGATTTGATCGCCACTTGGTTGGAGAAAATGAGCACCCTACTTGTCATTCAACCTCAACAAACTGTTTCTGTTGTTTGCCTTTGGATGATAAAATTTTGCAGATTGTACCGGCTGACTAAAATTAACTTTTTGTCTATTTTGATCATAATTGTTCAAAGATATTTCCAAAGCAGCTGTTTTTTCTTTGCAACTCGAGGTCACATTTGATTGCACCTCCCATTTTTAAGATTTCTGCTTAATTAAGTAACTGTTCGTAGAAAGAAAAGTCCGCCCGGATGTAAGTAATTTCCCACCTCGTTCCAAACCAGCCGCTTATCACCTGCAATTAGTTCGAAAAACTATTTCATGATCGTGATCTTAGAAAACGCTGCTTAATAATAAGCAGATAGCCAGAACGGTGTCAAAGAGAGAAATCTTGTTTGCTGTACTTCAACATTTAATCTATTTCAAAATGATTTTACGATAAGCATTGTACCTTTTTTGATAAAGGCAACACATTGTTTTAATACTACAGGACAGAAATTATCAGCTTTTAATCTTTAACATGAGCCAGTAATCTGGCGTTTATCTAAAAATCAACCTAACGTATGGGTTTTCTTTTTCAGGGGTGCTAAAAGATGACCTGCAACGACAGGTATGTTAGCCTTTCTTTATCATAGAATAGCAGAAATCAGAATAACTTTAAGGACAATACGAGATATACTGTCTCTTCTTAAATAGTCACCTCGACGTTTGTAAAAAAAAGTCTTGTTCCACAAAGTTTCCTTATATTAAGAAACCAACTATGAGAGCTGAAAACATGAACGAAAACCCTCCATTCTGCCCAGCCAGGAAATGGCTGTTATATTTGTTATATTTAAATAAGGCTAGAAAGTAAGTTATTATGTAGTATTAAAGAATAACTGAATATAACAGAATACAAGAAATAAAGTGTAATAGGATAATTCATATATTAAACTTTGCTACTGTAAACTAACATAAACGTTAACATAAAAAACCTTCTATCAACGAAGTTTTAATTTTCATATATTGGTGTTAAATCTGTTTGGAACAATAAAGGCTGTAGGATGTATTACGAGCTTTCACACTTTTCTGGAAATATTAAGTAACACCTGCAAAAATATTTAAGAAACGTCACATCAAGATTGTCTATTACTGAGTGATTATTCAAAAAACGTTTTCTGAACTAAGCTTTTGTTTACCTTGCAGCATTTTGGAAACCTTTTCTTTCTGCTGCAAAGTAAACCCGAATATATGGCACAGCTGGCAAGGATTGTACTCCCTAACGAAATTGACGGTGAGCTTAATGTCTTAAATTCGATCCGATGCTGCAATATTTTAGGGTCCAAGCACGTTGTGGTTCTCGAAATCTTTAGCATTGAAATTTAAAACGTAAGGTTGAATTGAAAAGAAAAATTTTGTATCGCCAAATTTTCTTTGCAATAATTTTTTTAATACGAGAGTGTCTTCATAAGCGAGTGTTGAAAGTTATTACAAAGCAGGGAAAAAGCAGCAGTTGCTGTTTGAAATCAAGAAGTTGTCTTCTTTGCCTTATGTCATCTGATTATTCGTTTCAGACGTTCAGACATTGATGCTACTAGCTTTTTCGTAGATGTTTGATAATCCACTGTGACCGACTGTGCCCTTTACCTAATTTTTGTATAATACTGTTTAAAACTTTTCAAAAGAGTCTTGAATGAAAAACCCTTGTTTCTTTTCTAAATCAGATTGACCTAATGAAGTCAAATTTAAGCTCGAAAAAAGTTTCAATGTGTTTTTAAAAGTTTCTATTCCTTTGCTTAAAAATGGGCTTAATTCATCAATTAATTGCCTTCTTAGGTCCAATTACATTTATGAAAATTTCTCTTGCTGAAACTGCGATTATGTCTTGTTTTAGAGCTCCTGAAAATTGTTATGTTTAGCCTATATGGAAATCAGTATGAAGCTCGAGAGGAACATCTTTTGCTAAGAATGTTTGAGGTATTCCTATATTTTTTTGATCTTTCATTCCATGTGCATTGATTGTATTGTTTTCACACAGAAACTGCAAAAGGATATAATTTTCCAATGACTACTCTTTAGCAAGAGAATTATGCACCCTTGCATGTAAATGTTTTTTAACTTTATTTAACAGAATCGCTCTTTTGGGATACAAACCATTATTTGCAAGATTCTGGTTAGTTTGAAATATAAACTTATCCGGAACTAAAACTTTCTCATGATGAGAATTTTTCATTTTATTTTTCAATAATCTAGATTGCTATTAAAATGGAACTTCACGAAACAGACGATTTCAACAATTTGCTGAGAGCTAACACGGCAATCTCTCGAATGATGACCACGTATACAAGGTAATATAGCGATTATGCTTTCTTATACTTTCGGGTTTCTTAATGACAAAGCAAGGGATCTCAGATTTTGGAATCTTCTTAGGAAATCTGCATCCAATCTTTTTCCTCACTATTGCTCGTATTGTATTGCTATTGGTGATTTTATTATTTCTAAATTTATTCCTAGATTTTGACGTGATGCAATAAAGTGACAAATGAATGATTATTTAATGTCTTATTCTGTATGAAATGAAAAACCATTATTGTGTAGACAGAAGGAGTTCGCTTGCGCCCTTGGACTCCATTGTTTATTTCGTCAAAAGGCAAGCGACACTGATTGGGCAACCTTTATAGTCAAATGCTTACATTTCTGATTGGCCTACTCGATTCTCAACTCAGTATATATATTTCCTAGCGTGTTCTGACGTTTTATACTCTGAAGCATGTCATACCCAATGCTTAAGTATTTTTTAAAATGTTTAGTTTTTTTCAAAGTTTTTTTTATATTTTTACCAGTAAAAAATCAATAGCAGTTTTTGCAATTGCCATAAGGACGAAATAAGTGTTACTGCTTCCAAAATCAAAATCCAGATATATTTAACCTTAGGGATATTTATCTGAGCGTAAATATTTTCTTGATTTCTAGGAGAGGTCCAGGACAAGAATATCTTAAAGCAACTCTTGGTGACTTGATTCAAGATTTCTCTGCAAACCATCTATTGTCTTTGGATGCTAATCCATCTAAGGTATGATTGAGTTGGTTTCTAATCCATCAAATCATATTAGTTCAAGTACTGGAGATCCTTTGAAAAGAGGTTACTGTTAACAGCTAACAGGATAGATATTAGAACATGTAGATTATGGTGTAAAGACCAAATTTATTTTTAGCGCACTGGGTTTTTGGATCAATCCTATCCAAGAAATACGCACAAGATAATTCTTAAACGATAATCAGTATACTTGCATTGTGTTTATCTATTTAAGATTTACGCTGAAGTACGAGGATTGGAAAATGAAAATTATGCCATACCCATCGAAGAAGTAAGTAGTGTTAACAGCAAGGCGTTTTTAGCATTTTGTTTTTAATTTTTTTCAAGCCTTTGAAATGTTAGTCATTTTTTTGAACTATTTAGGGTGTTTTGTTTGTTCCAATCAAGCATTCGTTGAAAGATTTTTGGAGGTTATGCAAGTGGTTTTTATGTTGAGCAAAAATTAATACAATTAAATAACAACTTTGTCTACGAATGAAAAATATGCACGACGTTTCGAGAATAACTCTACATTTGGTTTTTATGTTGTTTGCTTCTTTAAGACATCTTTCATCACGATTTTCAGTACAAAGGGGAATTAATGTGTGAGTTTGTTAATGAGATCAATTTTTGTTTTAAAACACTCAAATAAACGTCGTTATATAATATCATGCATTGAAGTTTGCATTTCAAGGCAAATTTGCAAAACACCGTATTCTTAGTTAATTAATTTGATTGTAAAAGATTAAGATTAATGAAAATATAACTATTTTTTCCTACTCCAGGCATTACAAGACCCGGAAGTCTCGAAGATATACACAATGAATATCTTTTCGTCGTTTTTTTACTAATCCCTTGAATTTGTCAGCTTATTTCATATTTTATCATAGCATGATCATTGTCAAATAGAAAAGCTTTAAATGGCTACAAAGTTATATTTTATCACGGATGAGTTTATGTAAATAGAAGATTTGCTCTCACTTGAAAGTCGTAAACGCTTGATTGATATATTGTTCAGAAGATAAAAACTGGTGTAAGCTCAAACTCAATTATTTTTAAATGTTTAGTGGCTCGATTTATAGATGCAATGAAGAATCTTAGCATCCTTCATTGAACAAAAGCCAGTCCCCGAATGTAGACTTTTAAAATGCTGAGGTCAGAATACTTTGTTTTGCGGATAGAAAACGCCCAATGCAAGAGAGGCTTGCCTCTTATCCATAATTGTGATCTTATGACCGATCGAAGTCATCAACGACAATCAACAAAAAAACTGTTGTTACATTGTAGCTTTTTAATATTATTGATGGTATGTTGATGCTGAAATTGAATATATTTATATCTATTTATTATTTTTGCGTCAAGCTTTGGATTATATATTTACCTTAACTTCTGATTTACGAATAAATGAAATAAAGAATATATCTTCAAAGTTTCTTGATGCCATCATCAACTCGTTGCACTGCGTGCCGTATGGTATCAGATGGTTGTGCAAAGCAATAATGCAGCTACCCGAGGTATGTTTGTTTGTTAATGCTAGTAGATTGTTTGGAACAACCACGAGCTTTTGCGATTCCGTTGCACGTTCTATCCAGTGTTGCTCTGTATACGCTTGTCTTTCGTCGTCTATTTCATTTTACTGGTGGAAGTGTAGTTTATTTTTCATCTTTTGAAAATGGTTCTCTCCTTTATGGGACACCTGTTACCTTGCTGTAAGGATTCTGTTCCATAATGGTGCGGTAAGGACGCGCTAAAGAGTTCTTTCAGATCATGTTATGCTCGCACAGTTTACAGTTCAATCTCACTTTGCCACCTTTCAGTTTTATTTACTGCAAAATGCTCCTAAACAACGAGATAAACGAAGTGTATGTGTACAAATCAACTCGGTTCTTTTCGCCTGTTTTCAACAGTTTTATCAGCCCAGTCTTTCTCTGTCACATAGTTGCAACCCTTTGTCTTTCACTGTCTGAGATTCCTCGCAATTTTTCAGAGATGCAATTTGTTTTAAGAAAACGAAAAGATTTGCAATACCCCTTCGCTAGACAGTTGTTTCCTTTGTATATAGCCCTTCTCCAGACCTTGTCGTCGACAGGGTGCCAATCCTCAGCTTGCTGTGAACAAATTTTTCTTTATAGAAGCTACAGACTCGTCCGTTACAACAGAATGCAAAATACAAAAACATTCCGTGAAACGAGTCGAAAAACAGAAAAATATACAGAAGTTCTGTGTTTTGAAGGATCCCACCTATATATCCTATCACCCACGATAGACCAAGGACAAGTGAGAGTTTCATTGCCATGATAGTCAAGCTTGCTTCTGGCATTGCTCTGCTGTTTTTACCACGTGGAAAGAGAGCCTTTGATCTGTTCCTAGCATTTGCAATGAAATATATCGTTCCACAAAGGCACGCGAAGTTAAAAATCAAAGCGAGGCCCACTGGAACCACGAAACAGATTAAATTTGCCCAAGGATTTGAAACGAAGCACATTCCTGTTACCCCATAGCCTATGTAGCGACCGTTGCTAGCCAGGTCTAAAACGAGGCACATCAAACATAGGCCGGTTGATGTGCCTAGACACAGCACTGTATTGAGCTTGAAACGCCGCTTTTGAATAGCGGGTGATGGGACACGTACACGGGAAAACGTACGTAGTAGGTCGTAGGCCATGCATGCTGTCCATGAAAACATTGCTAGGAGTGACCAATGAGAAGTTATTGCTACTAATTTGCAGGCTACAGGGTTTGTATAGACGTAATAGCTTGTAGAATATTGTATGTTTTTGAATAATATCAACACTGAAAGCATGATTATATATTTCCCATATGAGGTCTGTAAATCTTTAAAGCATGAGTATGTTGCAATGAGTCCAAACAGAAACAGAGAGCCAACTGTGTTTCCCACAATGCTTAGCGTAACCATATGGCTGCTGTTGACAATTTCGGTGGTATTGATAACAATGATTTTTTTCATTTCTTTTGTAACGCACACGTGTGTTTCGTTCAGGTGACGTGTTATGAGGATACAGGCTGATCCGTCTGCGGCAATTGTTGCATTGATATTCTTGCAGTATGCTACTGCCGCCTTTTTTCGAGCTACCTCGTTCACGTTATTAATTAAATTGTTAGCAGGAGCTGGGACAATATTTTCTTTTTCATTTTCATTTTCATTTGGTTTACGTGTTGTCTTCGTAAGTGGAGCTAATGTTCCTCCGTTGTACTCTTCGAAAGACCTTCTGAAGCATTCTCTTATACGCCTATCGCTTCCCGCTACATTTGGTAGTAATAGCAAAATAAACGCTATTCCTACCATCCTTACAACACATTGATAACCCATCACCGCGCAATTCTTTTTGCTTTGTTGCATCCCGCGCTTCATTCAGTTCACTTTTTGAAAAATGACTCCGTTATGAGATTGACTTTCTTTTATACTTTTTGCCATACCGAACGTCACAGTGCAATTTTTGCTGTTGTGCAAAATTTTTTCTGCCTATTTACAGAATTTTTGTCTCCGCAACCCTTTGGAATGGATGTAAAACGTCTTTTATTTGCTCAAATGTTTTAAAAACCGCTGAAATATGGAGTACGGCTTAATTACCGCATTAGCTTTGATTTACTCCACATTTAGGTTATCGCTTAAAGTCTGGATTTGCAAACCAATATTGTCCCAGGCAACACAGAATAACATCACCGGATCTATTTCAAAAGCACTCTAAAATTTACCTTGTGTAATATTTACAAGCCTATATTAAGGTTCTTTGAAGCAAAAATTATAGATTATGTTGTCGTTGATCGCAAGCTCGTTGGAAAGGGTGGCGGGGTTGTAGACTACTACAGAAAGCTGATTTGTCTGAATAAGATCACCAAACACGATGCACAGAACAGAGGCCTACCGTTGTAATGAGAAAAAAATAAAATTTATCACCTTGTCCCTATTCTCAGAAGTTCCTTCTTTCAAATTTTTGGGAAAGTAGTAAAAAGGCAGCGAGATAACTTTTTAAAAAAAGAACGGAACTACATGGTTGAAAAAGTGACGATAGGTCTTGCGTTTATTCTAGGTTTCTTGGTTCCATGCTTCTTTGGGGGCGGTTCCGTTCTTCTTTCGTTTCGCTAAAAAGCGAATCTCTTTGGTTCTGTTCCAAAATCGTACGGATCTTTTTTTTACAATTGAAAACGCGGCTTGATCCACCATTGGAGCGAGGCATAACTCTGAAAATGTCTGACATTGCTGCGCCACTGCGCATACTTCACATAAATATTTGGTCCCCTTTACTCACGTGTAAACGGGGTCAAATTTGGCTTCGTTTCTTTTTCCTTAAGTGTAAATGCTATGAATTAAGGGGTATCGTGCCTAAGCAAGAACGGAGCGAACGATAGTGTAGATGGGGTTTTAAAAGGAGACTGGCCAGGAAACATGGTCACCTCGAATAAATGTTTCCTTGGTACAGGGCCCGGAGTGCCTGGTTGTCAGTTACTCCCCGAGGCTTTATACTAGTGCATAACTTGTCAGCCGTTTTCTGTTTCAAAAAGGACATTGCTGACATTATGCTTCCGAAATTTCTGACATTTTCTAACATGAATTCTTTGACGATTCTCTCTACCAGTTGACGTTTATCTTGAACAGTCAGTTGGTGTTTTGGGTAATTTTTCTCTCATCTGCCACAAATATATTGTGAGAATTACTGGACTTTTAGAATGAGTGTTCTAAATTTCGACATGTTTTTTTGCAGAAAAAATTCCAAAACATTGCACCAGAAACAGTTACTTGCTTAATCGGAGGTTTCTTCATGTTACGTTTTATCAACCCAGCCATTGTTTCTCCTCATGGTAAGTGCGTTTCGTAATCTCGGTATTTCGTTCATTCTTAATTAAAAATCGACAGAAACGTGATCTTTGATGAAATCTTTTTGCAAATCCAGCTGTTCGAAATAGCTTTAAATATTAATTGTTCTGAAGTAATTAGCCACGTGTTTTAATTGCAGGATCCTGCAATGTTGTGCAAGTTAAAACTTTGCTTCAATTACTATTCAAAATGGTCTTAAACTGCAGTTGTTGTAATTGAAATGAAATATCATACCTTTTTTCTCCTTTTTGAAATTACCTTCTATTCACGGACACTAAATGTAATCACAGATGGAGTTTGAAAAATTCCTGTGAGTAAAGACAGTGTGCTAGATCCAAAATGTAAAAATACCTAACACTCTCTTTTTGTTTACCCACAAATGGACACAAAGCAGAACCAGGAAGCCGTGTAAAGTTTAGTGAATTCAATCGTATTTGATTATATGTAACCAAGAGACCCCTTACCAAGTTTGATCTTTTCTAATGTAAAGTTAGCTTTTATGCTTCATAATGTTTCATGAAACATATCTGTTTTTATAGCCCACATGCTACTTACGTGTCAGCCCAGACCAAAAGTCAGAAGAAATTTAGTAATGGTAAGTATTATCTCCAGAGGATGTTTTAATTTGATTGGCTATCTAAGTAGGTAATCAGCCAATCAGTTGCTTCCGAGGCTGTTGGAGATTTTTTTTGCACGTCTTTTTAACAGACCGACAAGGTAGTACACGTAGATATTTGACGGAGGGGGGGCAATAACAGGAGAAATATATCCTTTGAATAGGGGTACGCTTTCCCCCATAAAGCTTTCCTTTTCCGTCACTTTGTTCTTTATTGACTTTTAGTGGCTTGGGTATTCGTTAAATTAAAATTTGTTTAATATTTTTAGATTTGAGTACTGCATATTAAGTAAACTCTTTAAAGTTAAATTTTCGAAACATGAGAAATGTTTCTTGAAGAATTTTTTGCCAAAGAAAGACATAATTTTAAATTTCTTTAATGAAAAGTTGGACAATTCCAGTAAAAAGGTGGTCCCCCGGTGTTAGACCAGCAGCTCTTTCAGTGGTCTCCCACATATGGCCCAGGGTCTCCCAAAACGGAGCTCTGGTGACAGGGGTGGACATTTTCAGTAAAAATTTGGTCGCCCGGTGGTTACCCTGTGTAACGATTAGCTGTCTCCCGCGGATAAAAACCGGTCGTCCCGGATGCGAGGAAGACCGAATTGTCCACCCCTGTAATGTTTATTTTGATTTTGATTTGTTTGGTTTTTATTGTAAATAAACTAAATAGAATGAAATGGACTTATAGCTGAATGTCTTGCATTGACAGGTTGCGAAAATCCTACAGGCCATGAGCAACAAGCTCACGGGTGGACCTTCATTAAAGGAGGATTACCTCAGGCCGCTGGAATCTTTTGTGGTTGAAGGACAGCAAAAGCTGCAGGTCTGTTTTTCTACTCTAGTGCTTTAATTCTTACTGTTATCAATATACTGCCCATACTTCCAATGTTTAGTTCCGGTTACATGATACAATGAAAGTGACATCTTGTTTGGGAGATGAATCATGCCCGTCTTCCAGACATGCACTAGCCCCCGTTTCGGGGTCATTGCACATGCGCATTATCACTTGAATCCCTGGCAGGGAGCTCAAGACTTGCGTGGTCCCAAACAGAACAGCTATGCGAATATTTTTATTAATGCGCATGTGCTATGACCCCGCAACACTGATTTGGTTAAAGACAGTTTTGTTTCGAAGAAAAGTACTGATAGTTTTGTCTCCCGAACAAAGCACGGGCTTGGATAAAAGCTAGGAATATTGCAACCGAACAAAGGGCAGATAGTCTCGTTGTTAATAGCAATGTACTTAGTGTGTGTAAATCTTCTCGAATGCGATAGAATGGCCTTTCGTTTAACGAGAAGGGAAGAAAATTGATGGTTACCGACCTTCATTTCTTGTGCCTGTTCATTTATTTTAAACCTTGAATCATTTTCTCCATTCGTTCTTTCTTATTCTTAGTGAGGCACATACCTTCTTTTCATATTTCTCACCCCAACAAGTCCCATCCCTTCAAAAAACAGCATTACCCTTTTTTCCTATTTGTTTTCACCCCATTTTTGAAATGCTGCTACCCGAAACATACATTTTGTAATCGCTGCATTTTGTGTTTGTGTTCTTTTCAGGTTTTCCTGCGCAGTTTATGTGACGTCGTTGATTTTCACTCATATCTTGAGGTACGTTGCAGTGTGTACGTTTATTCATTTTCACAAGACACCTGCAATCTTTCGCGATTTCAGGATCCCGTTCACATCACCCTACCTTTACGACGTCTTTATAGGCGTCTAAAAACAATCCAGGTACCACATTGATCTGATGATGGCATGAAATAGCCGAAACATTGCATACTGACACACTTTCCGTCCGACACTCTTCAATGTATAAATGTCGGATAGGTGTGGATCGAAAATAACATGAAGGGAAGAAGGACGTGTGTTTTGGTTCTTTTGTTTTTTACCAATCAGCGATCTAATCTCTCACCTAGTTCAAGGGTCCAAGGGATAAAACGATCTCATTCTTTCTACATAAGTCGGGGTTCTTTGTTTTGATGTAAACTGATTCTGAAACTCCTAAATAAAAAGACGAACTTGCCTGCTTATCGATTTTGAAATTGTTATATGATCATTGTTTCATTACATGTCGTTTTATTTTATCATACAATTTAGAAAAAGGTTGACGATTTCATTATCTTGTTTTTTCAGATAGAGCAATACCTTTCACTGCCCAAGGACACTTATATCACAATTACCGTGAGAGAAATGTATCGGATGTATGAACTATTGTACATATACAAAGAAAGGCTGGTACGTAGTCTACATTATTACGAGAAACTAAATATTGGCGGCGCTAGACTAAGTGCTTGTGGCACATCATTCTCTTAAATAAAAGATGGATTGCAATTTTTAAGTGTTGACATTTTTCTGCCTGCAGTTGCAAAATATGATCAGATTCCGTCAATGAATACCGCATTATTCTAAATTTATCCACATTATTTTAAATTTAACAGTTAGTTTTGCAATTTGATCGTTTTGCTATCTATATGAATGTAACAAACATTTTCAAGAGACCTTAGATTATAATATAAGATAAGCTAACAATTCGTCAAACCATGCATATTTCAAACCATTGAATTGCCGTCCTTTTCACTCACTAGTATTTAGAAGAAGATGATAAACTCCAGGCAATTCTCGAAGACATTGGTCAGCCAATGCCATCTCCTCCAATGGGCCAAGACTTTTCCGTAGAGCTGCCAATATTTAGTCGATGGAACAAAGCATCAGGTATGTTTGAAGAGCCAGAAGAAGAATGACATAATCGTATTTAAAATAGAAATGACTCCACGCATCCAGCGGTGCCGTAAAAATCGTATTTTCTTTTAAAGACAGCATCTGCTGGGAGTCGTTTGCTTTTGGCGTGATCACTTTAGTTTTATGTAATTTTCGTTGCTTTTGTTTACAACTGACGGTTGACGAATCCTTTTCGCAAATATCATGCCCAGTCAATGGTCAGTTTCAAGCCCACCAGCACAATTGCAGCTGGTATAATATAAATCGGCGTATTTTGGTGTGTATCTCTCTTTCAAACGGAATGCCTTGAAATGGCATCAATTTCAATATGTCTGTTTATAGGTATTCTGAGTTTCTGTGCCCAATTTTTTGTGGGTAAGTGGGACAAAAACGAATTGTATAGGCTCCTGATGTATAACTCTGTTATCCATTTTTTTGTACCATATAAAGGTGGTAGGCTTGCAAAAATGGTCTCCGTTCCTTTGCTATTTATTTTTGGTTTCCACGCTGTTCTTATCAATGTTATTCATATTGTCGTTTGTTGGCTCTGAATTATATGGAAATCGAATCTAGAATTCTTGATAGATTATGTTGCCCCCCCCCCCTCCCCAGTTCAGTATTGACATCCCTGCTATTAAAGTGTGTATCAACCAACTTTGAAAGGGGGGGGGGGCAGCAGTGTCCAAGATTGCAAGATTCTGGAAAAGGGAGAGTTACAATAGAGGGAGAGATATTCTATGTCCAAAAGAGTTTGATTTTGCAGAAAACATCCCATCACGTAGTAGAATTTTCCTGAAAGATAAAGTTCAAAAACAGCTTTTCCTTGCACTATCTTCATAGACAAAGAACTTTTAACTTTATTTTTTTTATATTTTCTTTAGATTTAAAGAATGAATGCCCGGGACTGGAACAAACAATCGAAAGAGGTGTCCCAGCTCTGAGGAAACGTTGCCGCAAAATCCTCATCACTTTGTTTTTAGCAGTAAGTAAATAGACAATGGTCCTTTAGAAATTTTCTTCTGGGAATTTATCTAGATTCTTTGGTTTTTGTGGCTAGAGAAAGGAAGGGATAGAGATTTTCTGAGTTATATGTTGTAAAGATACTTTATTATAATTATTGTTATGAACTTTATGATACATTTCAGAACGTCATTGAGGCTAGATGATAGGTGTAGTAATGTTGCAACGGTATATATTTCACAATAGAGAACTTAGGAATTTCATTGAGAGTTTTTAAAACATTTTTGAAATGCAAATGTTGGAATAGTTGGAATTCTAATTCGAAAAGGCTCACTTGGTGGAAACAGTTTAAGAATTATATTGCCATTAGACAGTTGACAGAAGAAGTAAACTTTTTTCATTATTTCAAATGCACAAACATCATAATTTAACCGTTTTTATAAGTACATAAGATAGGTTCTTGTGATCTTTGGATTAGTAAACTTCTCAGTAACATTTTGAAAACCTCTTGTCCTTAAGGTCATAGTTGTGCGGTAGGCTTAAGCTTTAGCTTGCGGAAAAAGAAAAATAATGAGCAGGATTAGTGGTTCTATCGGTTTGACCTCTTGATTTCCGTCAATTTTCTTCAATCTTTCACTACCGAGATTATTACCTCTAGATCAGTTCCTAAATTTTACCTTTGCAAAACAGTAGCTGCCTTTAACTCAATTATATGTTCAAAGTCTTAGACAAATACATAAAATAAGGGGAATACAATGCTCATCCAGTAAAAGTCCTCTTGCTTTCTGCAAAGTGGCTATATGAAAATGTATTTCCTTTCTCGATGTTGAATGAGAAAGCGATAATGACAAGACTTTTAACTGAGTGGCGACAACATAAAAATTGCATGTTATTTGTTTATATTTGTTGATCAAACCTTTATTCCTCCTTTATTCATCATTTTATTATATATTCCAGCTACCGGCGTTGTTTCAAGAAAAAACTCTGGTCTCAGTGCTAAAAAAAGCAGAAACTCACGAGGATTTAGAAATCAGGAGGTTGTATGGCTTAGCTGCATCACATTTGGATGCACTGAAAGATATGGACTCGAAATATGCAGAAGAAGAATTTCTTTGCTCAGTTAAAGAGGTCAATATCAGTATATATTTTAACATTCTTCAAGCCTCGTTGTATAAGTTCTTTAGATGTGTAATTTTAATCTTTGGTTCAAACTTTTTATGTTGTGAAACTCCACAGAACGGATCATTAAGCAATTTTAAACATGACTACGCCTGTTCATGACTCCAGACAGCAACAGATTTCAACCTTCTATTACTGATAGTTGATTGAGAATTGTTGTCGAAAGCCAAGCTGCTCCGCAAGGCAAGTTTGAGACCTACTTAAAACATGCATTATTTTTATTTGCAGAAATTATTGCAACAGGAGCTTCAATATGATAAATTAAATATGGAGTTGAAAAGTTTAGAATCTGTCTACGAGGTAAGAGCATGGAATTTATTTTCCATAAATCATATTTTCTAATTAGTGGAAGGTTTTCAAGACCAATTTTTTACCACCAAAGTCAACGTGAGAAGTCTATTTAATATTGTATTGAAAAACATACCCGCAATTTCATTTCAGATCTCTTGTAATAGCACACCACTTCAAATTTTCCGTCATATATGGTATCTTAATCTCTTGTTTCATGTACATTAGAGTACTTATAACTAGGTAATTAACCTGACTTCTCCGAAAGACATCACTATATTACCAACGTTTATTCAAATTTTAGACTCTCTGTTGGCATGGTGATTTTCTCAGCGAACAATTAGAAGCCTACAAAGGTAGATACGAGTATAAACATTAATTACGCGACAATAAAAGCTTGATTTCTAGTTTCTGAAATACCCTCTTTATTCTTGATCCTTCTAGTTTCTGCCTTTTTTCTAGCTGCTACTGCCCTTTCACCCTCAGAACAACAATTGACTGGGATTTAATAATACTTCTGTGAAGCGAATGGATAAATCAGAATTCTAAAATTTTTACTATAAATGCGTTTATCTTTTTCTTCTAATTGTCTCACGATCATTTTTGCTTAGCAAACTACTCTTTCTAAATACAATCTACTTTCGAAGACTATTTCTCCAGGCATTGTTTTTGATAGAACATTGTTTGATAAAATAACTTATTTATTTACTGTTCTTCTTTGTCTTTGTCGTAGAATATCTGGCCGACGTTAGACATAAGGCAGTATTTATGGTGAGTTTTAATTCTTATTTGTTGCCCGTGCTTAGCTATGGTTGAACCAAAACTAGGATGTATGAACAAATTTTATCAGTGACTTTCTTTGCCATTATGTTTTTAATGTGAAAATTTTTCGGCAAAGTTTGATTTTTTTCAACTGCTGCTCAGCATTCTTAAAGAATTTTGCATCCGTCCTTGCTTTCGGCCAGACCGAAATACTTTGGATGTCGCATCATTTTTGTGAGGTCAAATTAGTCAGTTACCGACTCTTTTTCGGTTGGCTTAATAGCAAAGAGACTGGCTGTTTTCTCATATTTTTCTTAAATATAACACACATCCTCAGAAGCTGCTTTTTACCACTGGCTGCCATGAGTGGCCTGCATTGTAAATGAATTCTTATTGAGTGGCACTGTGACACGAATTTCGACTTGAATATGGAAAAATGACGAAAAGCTAAGTTGGCCGAACAATGACGTACAACGTACTGTTTCACAGATCTTATTCAAGTCCTACCGGGGTTGCGTCAATCGCTCAATTTTCTTTTAGTATGTTTTCTTAAATCCTGTTCTGCTGCACTCACGAATTCCTATTTCTCGACGAATCGATGGAAAAGCATTATCATAGGATACTCTCCCTTGTATGTTCACAATCTTCACAATTTGTTATGTCTTTTATATCTCATCTTTAGGATGAGCCATTGGCATTCAGGCCAAAACAACTGCAGCAAAAAAGGACGCCAACTGCTCCGTTGAAATTCTCCTTTCTTACTCTGGAAAAAGAAGGGCTAATTTTAGAAAGCAGAAATGTGCCAGAAAAAAGGTTTGATGTTCGAGATATTGTTCAGCTTTTACAATATTAAATGTTTTTCATTAGTGTGATATTCTATTTGTCTGTTTTCAAATTGCTTGATTTGTTTAATTTTATCTTAAAAAAGGAGTTTCAATGATTCTGGTCGAAAATAAATATTTTACCGTTGTTGGATTTGAAATTCATCAATTTTTTTGAGACTGTTTCTTGTTCCGAAAGCGTAGCCAATTTAATTTTTCCATTGAATGACAGAAATCCTTTACCCTCCTTTTAGGAAAAACAATATATACTTCACTGTGGTTTCAACGCAACCTGGCATTTACAAGATTGGGTTACATTACAGAGGTTAGTATTCTTCCTTTGAAGAATAATGTTAAAATATATGGTAGTTCCTGCCTTCCTGAAATCAATTGTTTCTGTTATTTATGAAATGATAAGCAAGGGTGGACACTGCTACCACCAAATACCGTAAATCCTAGAATTAGCCCCCTGGGGGCTTATTTATTTTTGATATTTTTGGACGGGGGCTTTTTCGAGAGGGGGCCAATCCGATGATTTACGGTATGATAGTTTCGTCTATAACCCTTATTTATTACTTCTATTTGGTACCAGAACTCAGAACAAGAATAAAAAATTTAACACAATTTCTCTTTTTTTTCATCAGGGATTTTGAAGGTTAAATTTTCTATTTTAGTTCCACTTCCTGGCGAGGGCCCAAAATTAGACACAATTGAGCTAAATCTCGAGGATCTTCTAGAACTTCAGCATCTCAGAGACCCGGTTTGTAGTTTATTTGTCATCAACAGTCTTTTCTGGTCAGCACTTATATATTTTTTACAGTAAGGCTTGAAATTTCACTGTGGTTTTGTTCTGAGACAATGGTCCTGTTTTGCCGATTTTAGACGTTGCCTATCACGCTTTTCTCCATGTGTACAGCCGTTTTGTAGAGTACAGTAGGCCAAATTATACCCAAGAGACTAGAACATAATTGCTTGTTTTTAACTATTATCTAAATATACGGAGAGAAAACAGAAGATGAAAATGCGGATAGGTTACTTTTTACGCTATTTGGTGTAAACAACAGGACGGTTTTAAACTTCTACTCTGAGTTTCATGCTAAATGCGATCATCGGGCAACCATTCTTTTATCTTCTTATATTTTGCCATGCCATGCAGGTCTAGCTGCTAACTGACTTATTGTGTCAGACTAATTGCAGTTGTTCAATGTTTATAATGCTCCTTGCCAACTGTTAGCCTCTCCGGTTTGTTAACTCACGTTTCCCTTTCATTTTAGGTCTTGAATCTTCATGACTACGTCTTGTTGGATGCTCGACAAACCTTAGCATTTTTATACAAAAATTTCTCCTTTAAACAGTCATAGAAGCAGGGGATTTTAGAAACTGTGCAGGTGACAGCAAATTTTTGTGTAAGGGGAATAGTTGATATCCGGTTTTCTTGAAATATAATTTAGAGATTTTAACTGAAAATCTGAGAGAATTGCCTTTTTGCCATATTTGAAACCAGTGTAATCAAATATAAAGAAGCTTTGACGGGGATTTCATTTTTGCCCCTGAATGGGCAAGGTGAACAATTTAATGCATAAATTCATTTTTTATTTCATTTATTCGTTCGCTCATTGCTACTTATATTTATTCTTTTTTTGTTATCGTTATCGTCGAGCGTGAAGATTTTATATAAAACTTTATTGCCATAAACTCGAAAATAATTGTAAATTAAATCAAATGCAACGACTTTCATTAAAATGGAATCGGGGAAAAACTGTCATAACCTGTCGAATTCTTGGAGCCGCTGTAAAACTTTCTGCTGTAAGCCCCCTAGCAAAACATTTGGTCAAACCAAGTCGGAGTGGAACAGAATCGTAGCTTGAATGTATTCATCCTTATTTGATAACACAACGGCAAAGATTCAAAAAAGTGGAAAGATTACCTTGATTTTTTATTTCAGTAGATTGGGTTTTGTAACTTCTGCTTATCTAAGGATAACTGACATTTTGCCAAACAATTAGACCTAACAGGCTGCTCCTTTAATAATAGTTACATGTTCCACCTTAATGATAGTTATCTGTTCCACCTTATAATTATTTTTGCATACATTTGAACTGTTTTGAATTTCTTTCGCGGTTCACTCGCCCTAACCCAACGTACCCTTCCTCAACTACCTGGGCAAAATTTTTTTTACTACCCTTCTCTTTCACTGATGAAATATGTAGCCCTGCTGCTGCTACTCTATTCAAAATTATTGTTAAGAACTTCTTCTAAAACAATTGTAAGTATTGAATGAGCGTAAGGCCATATGTTGTGTTTCCTTGCAATTATACTGTACATATATTGGTTTTGGCCTTAAGTTAATGAATTTTTTATTCATCAATATTATGTAGTCAATTTTTAATTAAGTCAATTGACTTCATATCTAATATTTTATAAAGTAATTTTACGTGTTAAATTAATTAAAAACAGTTAACTTCGACCAGCTATTGGCATTCTCCTATTATCTTCGCAAATGGCAGGCTATTGAAGCAACCATCTCACAATCCGCAAGCATTGAAGCCTCCACTCCCTTTTTTGTCAACTCCCCGTTTCTTTGCTTTTTATCCGCCCGTCTATCTACATATAGTTTTCTTTTCTGCTTTCTCTCCTCTATTGAATTTGCGAAGGTGATACCAGTATAGCCTTGAGTTTGGTGTCGATTTTGTGTTATTCAGTTTCGACTAAAAGTTGAAATTCTATTTGTTGTTTAAGAAGTCGGTTAAAACGTTATTTTGTCATTGGTAGACATTATTCATGAATTCATAGTTATTAATTTTAAAAAAGTTTGGGCTTGATTTATAATGCCATTATTTCAGTGTAGAGGGTAATTCATTACCATGACTCTTAGCGGAGATGTCGATTCATCCCGTCGAAGCAATCCAAGCAAGTTTCTTGAGATGTGCCTAAAATTCTCTCGAGATTTTGCGTTACCCCGCGTTTTTAAGACGTAATGAGCTAGCACCAACAGGACTGGGCAAGACAAGATAAATCTCTTATTGATATATTTAGACCTGAATATTTCTACGGTATGAAATATTTATTTAAAGTTATCATAGTTTCGACAGCAGTTTTATTATAGGTTGAAGAATCTGTTGGTCAATATATATTCTAAACCACCTATAAAATCTGTATTTGAGATTGATCTTTGTCGACTAAGATTCTCTGGAGTTGTTGTTTCTCCAAATTAAGCCACACCTAAAAATCCCAGCTCCAACCACCCCCTTGTCTGCCCTTACCGTTGAGTAATCCTTCTTCGAATGACCGTTTTTGCATATGAAGCTCACTCTTAGATAACGCCCATCTTTAAATGCAGCCCTAGTCGCCAATTGAGTACAGCCCAGTGGTTCATTTTTATAGTACATGTTGGCACTATTGAAGGTTTACGATGGGGCTAATTTCGAAGGCACGTAATAGCAATAATTTAAAAATCAGGTTTATCATATCAGCGCAGCCTTTATATTCCACTGAAAATTTTCCAGCGATGTGCTAAAATTTTAAATCGGCATTGCGTCAGCTCTAAGGTTCACAAAGCTCTAAGGTTCACAAAGTAAGGTACTTGTTTAGCAAAATTAAACTTAGTTCCTTGTTCAGGTCTGGACTAAAAATTCTAGTCCTTATTACCGGCATGACGTAAATGTACTCTTTTATGGCAAATTACGAACACGTTATGGCAAAAGAGTAGGGGTCTAGGAGCCCTGTTAGAGAAACGTTAACCTTGGAACTTTAAGATTTTACGAAATAGCATGCTCAGCACCAGTCCATACAATCGGGTAGTAGAAAGTTTTGCCTGAACTTGGTAAATTTTATACTTAATTAACTGCAATGTGTTTGGTATTTATTTTTGTTGTTATCAAGCCCAGTTAGAATGTATTAATGTAGAGAATCATTAGAAATATCTTTGTAGAATAAGACGAAAATTAAATATCTACTATGGTCCTGGATAATATGATAGTAATGAAGATGCGAAGAAAGCCATTGATTTTTATTGAAAGGTTTCTGTTATTTGAAATCTGAGAAAAACCTGCAAAATATGTGAAATAATATTGTATGTGCATTCCCTCGTATGATACAGGAACCCCGAAATTGCAACACATTTTGGGATTATTTAAAGAACTCCTACTTTAGGGCAAATGAAGAAAGTACAGTGATGTTTCTCTCTCTCCCCTTTTTTAGGAGTAAAAAAACAAGCTTTTAATTTGTATTTGATTTTGCCAAACGTGTTTCAATTTCCAGCCACGCCGACTTAAACAAAAAGGGCCTTACAGGGTAAACAGAAAAAACAATCTCCGATTTGAGGTACTTTTGACAAATTTCCTGCTAGCATCTCAATTACAACAAGGCAGATTGGTCTCTTCTGTACATAACTGTAGTTTTTGGAATGAATCATTCATCGAATCTCTTAATTCGTGTTTTTGCCTCTTACTTGCTTCTAAACACCATAATTGTTATTGTCTTTTTGAGATATCCCGACCAAAAGTTCCTAATGATTTTCACTAGAAATTTTTTCCCGGAGATTGCGGTCACAAGAAGTCTTTGAAATAATAACACCCTGCGCTAGAGGGGATTCGCGGGTCACCTTGTGAGGAGATCTTAGGACCTAATAGGTAGTTTCTAAATATAGAGCTTTTTATGTTCAACAAAAGTCGTTATAAACATGAATATTATTCTTCAGTATACAAGCCTAGATGACCTGTATCTGTACGTGTTCAATTGCGGATTTGATTTCGATGCAGAAAAATTGTTTTATGAAAGCAATGAATCATCAAAACATGCCAGCTAACTAGCTGTAGGACGGTTCTTGCAATTAGTATTGCAAAAACTCATTCAGCTGGATGATTTCTAAAATGTAAAAAATTAATATATTGAAATTATATCTGTGTGTTATGTGTTTTTAAATTTCTTACAAGAAGCACTGATTCATTGTCTGATTCAAAATTGGAAAGTCTTCCAAAATTTATCTATTTAATTAAAAGTTGTTAAAATGCACTTTATTTGGTGAAAGACCTTAGTTTAACTGAAACATTGTTCAGTTCTGTATTTATTCTATTATGAGTGAAACGTGAACAGTTTTCAGAACTGAAAGATTTTTAGCCATGGCCTTAATTTTAAAAGAATTGGAAAGGCTTTTGAACAGAATATTGACTCTAATACGATTTGTCTGTGCAGTTGAATTTAACAAGAAAGGAGTGAGGAAGAAGATGATTTGTTATTATTTGAAGAATTTAGTCAATTTTTATGGTATTGTAATGTGCGCAGTAACGTAGATTGGAGGAAAAGGGCGGGCTGACCAAGGGAAATTTGGGGGCCCACACTCTTGCTACGCTACTGAATGCGAGCCCTAATAATTGAAAGTGCTCATGTCACTTGCAATGCCCCCCTCCAATGATAAACATTGCGTTCGTGATTAATCATAGGGGCTAGCAAGAGTAAGAAGGAAGGTAAACTGTTAGTTGCACAACATAAACTTTTTTCATGGTAATTTTCAGAAAATGGGGACAAATTTTGCAGAAAGGGCATTTCCCGCATTTGCGAGTGTTTGAAGGGCGTGGTCCAAAAATGTTTTACCCAGACCACCCCCATCCCCTGCTGCAGACCTGGGTACGCTGGCTGCCTCTTAACCCTCCTTCCCAGTTCCCATGATTGCGTTGGTTTGTACATGTTTATGCATTGCCACTTTACGTTATTTTTGATAAAGTCATTTCTTTATGTTGTTAGCCAAATGTTTGGGCCCCTCCAATGTCAAGTCCTTTCTACCCCCATGATTGATCATTTGAATTTGAATTAAGAGGCAAAACGGCTGAGCAAACGTGGACGTGGAGCCAGAGCACGGTTTCTTGCCTCTGATTGGTGTAATTGATGTCAGCCTCGTAGTCAGAAAAAACCTGTCCTGTTAAGAGGCATGTTTAATATGACTTCTTGAAGTGGAAGTTAATGGAGAAGTAAAGATGGCCTTTTTTAGGTAAGTTATTGTAGTTTTCCCGTAAAATTTGTAACTTCTGACGGAAAGTTGAATATGAAGCAAAATCAGAAAGAGTTAAAATATGCCGACGAGATCTTTATGTTTACTGTGTCGCTCACACTGTTCCACTGTCTTCACTATTAACTTCTAATTAAAGTTATACTAAATAATGTAACACAGTTACAGTCGTGTTATTATATTAGGCTCCAGTCTTATTGATGTCTCGTGATTTAAGCTCAGCTGTTCACAATCCAAAAAAACTAATAAATTTTAAAATCAATCAATAATGAAATAGAAGTAAATTTTATAAAATAGGATAGATTGAAATCCACTTTGCTAACTGGATGCAAAAGTACAGGATTACAGTTTATTATTTTGCCCCTCTTTGAACTTTGGGATTTTGTAGAAAAAGCCCAAAACGATGATTTGAATTTCAGGCAAAAGAAATAAACTAAAATATTTGAATTAGAGATAAATTTTTACAAAGATGTTGATAAAATTAAGAATCTATACAAGTTAATTGACTGCTCACTGTATCTGAGCAGTTTCTTTAATCTTGAAAATATGTGCAGGCACTGTCCTCCTATAAATGGACCAATTTCCACTATAGCTCAGCTTTTTCTTCTTCAATGATTTGTTTCCAGTGTTAATTTCTGCAAATAGCCATTTAAGTTTAAGCTAACTTTGTAGCTCCAAACCCTTTTTTTAATTCCATTTTTTTTCAAACCAAAATAAACATGGCTCAACTGCTGAGTAACTTAAATTTTGTGGACAAATGGCTGGGATGTGACAGGATGTATGACTATCTATTATAGGCCTCTCCGTAAATATTTTTTATAGAGGCATGCAATTTGTAATATGAGTACCTTTCCGTTGGATTTTTAAGCTTTGTGGTACCAAAGAATTACATAACTTTTGACTTTCAAGTGTTATAGACACCAATAAAACATCTAAAAATTACTTCCTGTAATAGTAACTGTGGTGAGGCCGATTCAAAGTGGTTCTTTCATGACTAGGACAAACAGTTTTGGATTGTTTACCATGCATATAGAATAATGCACTTCCTTGAATACTATACTTTCAGAATGATTCCTGGAGCAACAAGACAATGTTTTTTATAACAAGGGAATCCTAAATGCAAATGAATGAGGTGCACATAATGCTACTTTTTGAGAAGCAGATGCCCAACAAAATGCGCACCTTGTCACGCCTAGGGGCACGTGCCAAGACATGGGCAGGCAATCACGTGCCTCAAACATATCAGCCCACCAATATATCATATATCCACTATAAAAACATCTTAAATTGATATCAATCCAACACCTGTGTGATTCAAATTTTCCTTCTTTTTCAGTATCATATTAGCTTTATTTGTATTCCAATGTATTGATGTAACCAATGGTAAAAGTGACTCCAAGTATGTGAGAATAAATGTAGATGCAAAATGGCCATCAACACCATTAGTTTTAGAAGCTAGGTAAGTAATTTGTATTTGTATTTGTTGCTAACTAGCATCTGAAGGTAGTTTTTAGGACACTGAGAAGCTATGCTTATCGAGCAGTGTCCATGCAGCGTAATTCCTAGGCCTATAATTACAGAGAGCTGGCAACTCTCCCCACTCTGGGTGAAAGTTTGGTCATGTCAGGGACTCTAACCACGAACCCTTGGGTCTGGAGTCAGCGCCTCTAACAACTGAGCCATCCTCAATTTGTACTGTTTATTGATGAACTAAAGTATTCCTCTACTTCTACAAGGGCATACAGAAAAAGGCTCAAGCAAAATATCTTGCTAATCAAATCATTTTTTGGTTTAGACTTTAAAAATTCTTTTTTCTGTATTTTTACATGGATACATGTATTTTTATTTTAACACTTAAAGATGTTTTTCTAGTGAATTCATTGGAACGCTTGATGATGGAAAATTTTGGGAGTTCATAGAAAGTTTTAACAATTCTGAAGCAAAAGAAAACACTTTAGGTATGATGTTACATTATCTTTGTTAATCTTTCTTTTTTTATCATTTTGCCTTTTAATTCTTCTTAAAATTGGTGACATTTACCCTTCAATCAATTCAAAATAAGTTTTTTTGAAGTTAGTGTATGCTTGATAATGAAAAATGGTACTATATTCAGTCCTTTTCGTGAGCAAAATTACACGTGTGTGGCAAATCGCACATGTAAACAAATTTGCGCGTGCGATCGCACTTGTAAGAAAATTTGAAGTACAAACCTGATAAAATTGGTAAAAGGAGCAAGAAGGAAAAAGCCATTCGAGAGCCATACGTGCAAGAGCAAAACTCAATTAATCAATACATAACAGATTTTGTTGCCCTTAGCAGCCATCTTTTAAAAGTCGTCGTAACTCTCCAAAGTTACAAGAGCAAGTAAAAATTGTTTCCAGCAGCTACTTGCTTTCAGGGCCTAATTACGTTTTGACAGGAAATCAGTTATTACACTTAACATGCTAATGGCGACTTAGCTGAAAGACGAGACGCTAAGTTGAATGGAGCACTCAGTCAAAAGCCAAACATCACTTCCGAAAATTGGAAAAATCATATTATGGTCAAAAGTGCGAATCAAGTAACAAGGGAAAGGATAAACAATCATGAGACCATGGGAAATTGATGTTAAAGGGCCTCTCCAGCAAAAAAATTTTTTTTTAATGACTTAAAAGTTAGCATCTGGTGCGTGTATTATGACAAAGTCATTGTTTTTGAAAAATTCCAATTAGTTTTGAAGTTGTAAGGCTTTAAAGTTGCACCTTTCCGAGAAAAAAAACGACAAAAGCCGAATCAGTTTGGTGACATTCTGACGTCACAATGTGCGGCTCTCGTTCGCCATGAATTTCGTATATCTTCCACCGAAGCGTGAAGGACTCATGGTCACGCGTTGATAACTGCATCCAGTTCCAGTTCCAGCTCTTCCCTCGCGTATAATTAATCGAAATTGTCACTTCAGTTGTTCTCCAGAAACGATGAACAACTAAAGGCTTCAGAATTGGTGTCTGAAATGCTCAAACTAAAAGCTGGCGGAACAGAACTGAAAGTACCATCACTTGCAGTGTTCAATTTGCGAATCGCCGTCGTTCGATTCGGTTTGAGGCGAGACTATCCGAAATACACTGTGACGTCAAAATTGCGTCACAGTGTCACCAAACCAAAAATTTTTGTCGGTTAATTCAATTAAATTATCGAAATGCAAGAGCTTATATCTCACAAACTGTAAAAAAATATCGAAAAACAAATAACGAATTCGTGATCAGCAGGCTCAACTTCTTTATAAAAATTGCCAATAAAATGCAAGTGCAAAATTTGGCTGGAGAGGCCCTTTAACAGAAAACTGCAAAACACCTGTTTGCGCGTGTGGTCAAAAGCACGCGCAATTTAACTTGCGCGTGTGCAGGCGTGTGCGGGTGCGATCGCACGCGCTAAACGAAAAGGACTGTATATTTTTGATACATCAACTGAATAAAATGGTTGAATGTATCAAGTACTTATAAAGCGGTTTCTAGTTTTGGGTCAATCCTTTATAACAGCATTACTTTTTCCAGGTATTTATAATTCAATCTTGGATGCTTCAAGCAAGCTTCTTGCTGATTTGGAGATGGATATGATGAAATTTTCACTTTCATTAAGATCTTTTTCACCACTTATCCAAGTTTATAGACAGGTAATTGAAATTTTTAACTACTTTGTGTTCAACACACAGTTATGCCTACCAAAATCTATCTTTATGGCCCAGCAGATTTTGTTCAATTAAAATTGCTGACTGACAAAACAAGAATCTAGAGATGAATCCTGAAATCAATTAAAAGTAAAAAACAAGCCATTCAAAGTAATAAAACTCTTCATCTCCGCTTTTTATCTGAAAATGTTGTGCAATTCTTGCTGGCATATATGAGGAAGTCTCTCTCCTCTCTTCTTGTGTCAGAGTCATGCATATATTCTTCATCATTCCAAAGTATGTCATCCCCTATGTAATCTAAGGCTCTGGATATTTGGCTTGTGGGGGTAAATTAAAATTGTGTTGGGTTATTTTATTGTTCAATTCCTGTATTCTCACTTATATGATATTTTTGGGTTTCAGACAAGTTTTTTAAAAATTTACCAATTTTCCAACGAAACTATAAAATGGTGAAAGGCTAAAGAGCTAAGAAAAATCTTTTGTGTCATGCAGGACAAGAGCAGAGCGCATTTCACTTTCAAAACATCTCTTCTTTTATGCTATCACTAGATCTGCAAAAAACCTGTTGTTTGGTATCTTTAAAAAATTGATTAACCGCTTAGATAAGTAAATATTAGCTATAGGACAGGTAACTTTAAAATCTCAGATTTGCATGCATTCACAGGGAAATAGTACGGATATTCGGTGGCAATGTATTTGTCCCCTTGAACCAAAGAAAATCTCGTAATACTGGCGATTCCTAGGTTTTCTACATGAGGCAGAAACGTGAAGTAAAATGTACAAAATTGTTTTGAAGTTCTACGAAACGTCAAATTTTATTGACGTTAAGAAACAGACGCCACTTTAAAATGTAAAAGAGTCCTACAATTTCGGTTTCGATAATAAAAGCATGTTGTTCACATTGTCAAATTCCCATTGGATATAATCTCATGAAAACGAACACTTTCATCCACAATCAGCAGGTGTTGTTTTCACACAGCCTTTCATTATTCTCGAATTCAGCTGCATTCATAAAATGTCAATTTAAAACAAAAATTTTTTGCTTTGGGCATGTGTTACTGCCTTCCACATTGCTATTTACGTATATATTGTTGAGTATCCGAATTTTAGTTTTTCTTAAATTTTTTAAAAAATCTTCTCAGAATCTTCTTCCCAAATGTGTTCTCGGTAGACATGTTCTAAGACTGGCCACATCAATTTGCACTTTCTTTCTGAAGTAGGCCTCTTTAAATATGCTCAGTCATTCAATGCAGCCTACGAGTCATCCTTCTGTGAATAATTGTATATCTGCCTCTTAATTTACCCATTAGAGTAATTAGCTATCTTTATCAATTTTAGTTGCTAAGAGAAACAGATATTCCAGACTGTGAAGTACTGTTTTTAGTTGAAGACAAATTATTTTGTGATTTTGATGAACTAGCCACGTATATATCTTCAACCAAGAATGGGTAAGTGAGAGAATATTCTTTAAAGGTCAATTTACCTCTGCTTAGAGGTTTCTTTAATATAGATGTATGTTTTTGTAATGCGCATTGCGATAGGCGTAGTTTTTTACATTAAGTACGAATTTCCCATATCATAAGAGCCATATGAAAGAGATCTAATATCCTTCTAGGCTATAGAATGAAATATCTATAGTTAGAATGACATGAAATATCACAACCTCACTTTGTTCAGTTTCTTCCGAGATGTTTCTTTTATGGAATGAAGGTCCCTCTGTTGAAAGTTTCACTTGCTTGTAATGTTTTTCGAGTTCTTCATTTCTATTTTGATCAACGAGAAGGCTTGCAATTTTAAATATCAAAGTACCTCTCCCAGGGGGTCTTTAACTTCAAACCTTCTGCATTTCCTCCAAGTGTACCGTCGTAAAGATCCCCCACAGTTTTCCTAAACAGCTACCCTGGATAAATTTTGAGTGGTTTTTAAGAATGTAAATTCCGTCGTGTGCCCTATTAAATTCAATAAAAGTTCCTCCTGAAGGAGATATATTGTTTAAGCTTGGGGATTAAGACTGGGGGATCAAGCCTTTCTTTATATAAAGAGAAGGACACTAGCATTTTGTTTTACGCAATAGACGATCACTAGAGCTGGGAGCAATTACACCCCGTCTCTGAGTTAGTATGCTGAAAAAGGCCATGACCTGACTTTTTAAGATGTTTTGCGAGAAATCACTAAGAAATCCAAGAAAATTTATGTGAAAAGAGTAGATCTAAGCAAGGTGCAACTTTATTAGCATGCCACATTTAATATTGGTAGTGTGTGTGTGGATTGTGTTGTGTTTCACTATCATTTTCCCCATGTTTAGCCTGCATAAATGATGAACCAGTTTTCAGTGGTGTAACAAATTTGCATCGTTGTTGCAACTAACACAATACAAGACACCAAGCCACCGATTGCCTATAAAAAATAAATCATTGTTGTTTCTTAACTTCGTTCACAACGTATCCAACGTCCATTATTCTTAGGAGCAAGACTACAGTGCATACTTTTGACCATGTCTATCCTGGCACCGATGACAACTCTGTTGTTGTTGTTGTCTTGTATGGCGCTGTTGGGTCTTCTGCATTTCTTCAAGCTCACAATAGTATGAAAGGCCTTGCAAACAGCGGAAAAGCAAAATACATCTTTCGGCATTATCTAAAGGTATTGTTGAAAGCTATCGTTTAGTGTCTTACTCCCTACTGCTTCTATGTTGATATTCAGTTTACCGATAGTTATTCGTTATACCCTTATCATGAGAGAAGCTAGATTTATCACATGACTCTCAAACTGATTCATAAGTCTTGAAAGATGAATAAAAAATTCAGGTTAATAATTGTTCTATCAACCTTCCTTGCAGATTTTTTCAGCAAATATTTCATTGTTTTTTAAACTTGGAAAATTCTGAAGCTTTATGCTCAGATAAATTTATAGTTTCAGCATTGATGCTTTTCTTTGAAATTATGATAATTTTCTTTGAAATAATGATAAATTGAGTCACCAAAACTTAATTCTGATGATCGCTATATCATTTCATTCATTTTTTTTGCTTGTTGTTAAAATCTGAAATCTTACGTTTGCAACGCATATGAATCGCAGAGATACCGGGCAATAACCGCAGGTATACTGCATTTTCTCTCAAGCTAATAGGCGAGCTTTTTAACTGAAGGTGGAAGCATTTAGATTGACCTAAAAACTATATTTTAATGTGCATTTATCAAATTAGTTTGCTTCAAAGAAAATTTAAAGTTCGGAAAAAAGAACTGATCGATAATAGCCGTGATAATCGATAATAGATCGATAATATGTCTCCATTCATAGCTGGACCTCTCCAACTTCCTTCCATATTTTCTGCTACCGTGCCTTATAATCTCGTTTGTTTCCAAAGATGCCATTTGCATTTTTGACCCACATTGCAGCAAATAGATTCACAAGGAAATTGAACACAAATAACCACAACCCATAAAATACCACATCTTGTACTCAAGGGGCAACCATTCAGTCTTCAGATGAAAGGAAAAGCTTATTTCAGCCTGGATAGGGCCTGCAAATGATTTTGAAAATTATGGTTATCGTATTCACGATAAAAGCTTCGGGGTAGTGTTTGACAGCCTTTTTCTAACACGTTTGTTTTCATATCTTAATCAACTCAAATAAAAACTTGTTTGCAATCTATTTTTCGTCTTTATAGCGGCATCTGCCGCCACTATAATGTTCCGCTCACAAGTTCGGAGACCCTTGTGAAATGAGAGGCTTGACAAACACATTCCCCTCTACATTTGATTTAAATGTCTACTCAATTGAATTAAATCAGTTTCTTGATCAATGAAATACATTTTTAGTTCAGGCTTTAGTGAAAAAAGCACTGTCTATATTGCATGCATTATTTTAGCTCGAAAGCATTTCGTTCTTGTGGTCAGTGACTCTTGGCTTCTATTGCGTTAGTTTTGAACGTAATCAAAGCACACCGCATCTAGATGTTGATAATTGTAATCACACTTAATTGAAAAATATGTTCCTGCCTACATTTTAAGTCGTGCATTCGCTGTGTGGATTTCTTGATGTGAGGGCGTGAGTACTTAGCAGTGAGGGCGTTTTGACGTAATTAAAGTCGAATAAAGCCTTACCTGTGGGTGGCCCAGATATCTAACCATCGAAATTAAATTCGAAGCGAATTCGCCACGAAAATGTCTTGATTTTCACCCAACTAAACTTTTAGGTGCCCAAGTTCAAAATTGTAAGTATGGTGGATGCTCATAGATTATTTTCCTTGAAACCAAGCAAAATTACCGTGCTCTGACTGACCGTCAGGCATTCGGGAATATTTTCCCTGCGAAAAAGTAGATCTCCTTCATACTTTCCGCAAATCCGTCGAGTAGACCTCCTTCGCAATATCCGTCGAGTAGACCTCCTTTACCAGCGATTTCGCAGCGAATTTTTGGAAAATTTGCCTAATGGAAATCAGCCCTACTGTAGTTAGTGAATAGAGCCAAGCTTTCAAAATGCTTTTATTTTTCAAAGCCATTTGTGTATTGAAAGATATAAAAAAGTTTTAAATCATATTGTAAATCCACAAAGATGGATGGCTAAGAAACAGGCTTTTTCTTACAATTCGGCAAGATCGATCTCATTAGCTGATAAAACTTGAAAAAACTGAATCTTGGAAAAACAAGAGCCTAAGGACACAAGGACACAGTAAAGCATTTTTGTTCACGGACATAACGAAGCCTTTTTGTTCATTGCTTTTGTTTTTGTTTCATATCAAAAGGCTAATATACTTTTTTATGACTTGGTTTTGCACAGCCTCTTACTTTGTATGGTCACCTAAAAGTTTTTAAAGCAATTTATTTCTCTTTTTTATCAAAATTCAGAGACAAAAATGAAACTATACGAAGGAAGTCAATGATATAGATTTTAAGAGGCATTAAGTTATATCCTTATCTGTGGTTCCGTTTGAGAGCTCTGCTAGCTCAGGTATGCGAGTAAAAATGAAGATGAAGTTATGACGCTTGCTTCTATGGCAATGAAAATTACCGGGAAACAGATGACAGGCCATCTGCTGCAAAAAGGGGAGAATTGAGTAAGGAAACAGAAAATATTGTGAAAACAAAGAGATCAAATTACCAAAGCTTCCAATAGGGGTACCCAAGAACCCTACTTCAAAACAAGATTTTGCAAAATATCAATTTTCAAAGCCACGAGAAAACTTTGATGTTATGACACCACGTACATGGCCTAAAAACGCCTTGAAATGATGTAGTAACTGTTTGATTAGTTGCATAAGAAATTGTTTACAGGACACATAATACTGGTTGTTATCTTAACGAAAATAAAGAACCGGTGCAGCTAAAATTGATTGGCAGTGGGGAAAATGCCAAAATAAAATCTTTATTTGTATTTGTATTTGTTGCTGCCTTGTATTCGAAGATAGTTTAGGACACTGATAAGCTCTGGTTATCGGGCAGTGTCCGGGTGCTTCCTCTCTGTGTGACCATATACCTTATGATTTCTTTGCCTAGTAACCTACCAAATTGTCCAAGAAGGCAATTTCAGATGCCATGCCTCTGAAATCTTTCATGAAATTTAGAAACGTTTTGCAGAGCGCAATCATCGGGCAACCCACTAGACAACGCTAAAGATGGAAGAAGTCTTATATGTTATTTGCTGCATTGCTTTGAATATACACAGCCTTGAGTTATTTTTCTAGATTTCAGTCCGAGGTTGTGCTTTTAATCATGCTTATGCGGCAGTGTTTTTCGATGCAGGATGATTTGGAGGGAAAGGTTCATTTGTCTGGATACGGTGTCGAGCTTGCTGTTAAAAGTACGGAGTACAAAGCAGTCGATGATCAAAAGGTCGAAGGTAAAGACAAGGGAAAAGAGGCTGGCAGTCACCATGACGACGAAGACGAAGTGGAAGGTTTTCTATTTAACAGGCTAAGGTGATTTCATCCGACTTAGCTTGGAGTTGAATGTTTTCTTTTTTTCTCGTGACATTTGTCAATAAATATGGCTGCAGTATAAGTCCACATGTTTAATTTTATCCTATATGCTAGCCTCGTTTAATAGCGCCCTACCAGAGTTATGTGACAATAAATAGGAATGTTGTTCATATATGGTTTAATTTTAACTTTTGAAGAAAAGCAGATTATATTCGAATTATGAGATAAGTTAGATTGAAATGAGATAACGATAAAGGTGAAAAATCCTCTTTTCTAATCAGGGAAATGTTGAATGTAAACGACTTTGAATGCTTGTTGGTATTGCTGTCAATCATATGCCAATAGCTGTCACTTCACTTTCGTGTAAATTTGGTGTTATTCCTGATGATGGCAAACGCCATATCGTAGAACGACCTGCGACTAATAATGCTTAAAATGTGATGCTTCAGTGAGACGCTACAATGTCTTTGCTTTATTTAGGGACAAGCACCCAGAATTTGTTGAGAATTTGGATAACTTCCGATCTTATCTCAAAGAAAGCACCAAAGAGTTGGCTCCGCTCAAAGTATGGCAACTTCAAGGTAAATGTTATTCACCACGATGCGTTTCTCTCTGCTCTCTTGCTCTTAGGGCATGGTAGAGATTTGTCTTTAGCTCGCATCCTTGGAACCAACGATAAACCGTACAAAGTGTTGTTAGACAGAAGCTTTAAAGGCTATAACTGTGAATTTCAGTGTAGACTAAGGTCACGGTAACAAGAACAAAGGATAGATACAAAAGTGTATAGAACGTTGCATGTTCTAGTATACTGGTCAGTGACAGTTACAGTTACCCCCTTAAGCCTCCTTTAAGTTGGCATCTTGTTCCCAGTTCCTTGACATATTGACAGGGGGATGTACCTAAGATATGCTGATTGGAAGTATGTCTATGCGCTGCTACTTCAAGAAGACAATACTTTATCACCAGTAGACGATATAAGTATACTATCATCAATATTATTTGTTTTAGCTGCTTCTTTCAAGCATTCATGCTCGAAGCATTCATCTGCATTTTCATCAAGTATTTAAAAAAGTCCTTACGCAACTTAACCGTTTTTGCAGATCTCAGTTTTCAAGCCGCCCAGAGAATCATGAGCTCGTCTCCAGATCAGAGACTCAAAGTCCTCAGGGATATTAGCCAAAATATCCCGATGTTAGCAAGGTATGAAGAACCTGGTGTTTGTGTCGGTCATGAAACGCTGTCGTGTAGAATGGCGAGAATATTCTTCCGTGGGGCAAAAAATTATTGTACCACATTTGATATTTTCATTTTAAACTTATTTCTTAGAAAAGGAACCAGTTCTTCGCAGAAGATTGATCGAGAAAATTGGACGATAAAAACCTCAGAAAATTGGATTCATATATAATATAAAAAAGTTAACTAAAAATGCCGCAGTCATTTGTCACGGTATATCATATTGCACATGTCTAGTGCTTATTGTTTTGCTGTAGTTTTCTGGAACAATTTGTTGATTTGACTATGGTAAAATTGGCTCAAAATGTGTCCGGATGGATGGGGGCTCCGAACACCATTTATTAAGATAGGAAAATTGGAAAATTTTAAGTGGGGGATTCCAGCCTGGTTGAGACGCAACTGCTTTGTCGCTTCATGTAAGACAAATTCATTAAAAAGATACTCGTCATGAAATTTCAGCATCCCGATTCAGTTTTGTTTTTGTGAGTTTATCTAAGGTGTCTTTACTGTGTTTTATCTCTTTGACTCAGTAAGATGGCTATAATTTTTCTTTTTAATTCCCAATCGGTATCAAACATAAATGGTTGGCTTAATTCTAGTATATTCATGATACAAAATTGGTGCCTTGACCAAAAAGTGCTGGGTGCTTCCATTTTCTTTGGACTTAATCTGCTTTTGTTTGGTTTGTTATTTTTACCTCAAGGACTTGCCTACAGGAAAAATATAAAACTGTTTGTCATTTTTGAGTTCAGCTATTCTAGCTCTTATAAAACTGGACTTTTCAAACAAATTATTGTATCCATGACTTAATTTTTTATATTTATATATATTTATATTTGATCTGAGAACCTGTTAGTTGATAGTTCTTTCAACGTTATGATTTTATTCGTAATTTTTAAAATGCTTAGATTGCTATAGCTCCTAAATGTTTTTGTAGATCTCTAGTGAAAACAAGTGTGAAAGAAGAACTCAGGAATGAAATAAAAGATAATCAAAGGGTGAGATGAGAAAACTTATTATTTCAAGCAATGTTAACAAGAAATTAGGGTTGCAGTTTCTTTTTCAGCTTTTGCCCAAACTCAGGATACCACTGTGGTCGACGTATAGGAATAATGGAATTTTATAGCTAAATGTGTTGTGGAAATTAATTGAAATTCAAAACAAAGGTCTAGGGAAGAATCTAATATTGTAAATTTTGAAACAAGTTCATCTTCTGCCTGTTGAGTATTCAGGGCTTCCCCAAAGTGAATGTAGTTAGCACTGGTCAATTGTTGAAGTTAATGAAACCAATACTGCCTTTAATCGTCCATCTTTACTTTGACTCTTTTCTACGCAGCAATTCCAAGAATCTCATATCGACGTCGGTGAAGCTGCTGTATTTATAAACGGTATTCAAGTTCAAGTAGATTCAATTGATGGATTCAGGTGAGACACCACTGCATCATGGATCATGTCCTCTTGATCCTTTGTTTTGTTGAGACAAGAGTTTTGTTAGCATTCTTCAAACCGGTTCCCTAGAATATACAGGGAGAGGTTATCCGCTGGGCTAGTTGAACATGAATGTTGGACTGCAGGTATTGAACGTTAAAAAATTATGTTAGGCCTTAGGAACGGTTTTGCCGTAGAAATTCCATGATTCTTGACTCAAACGATTTTCATAGTTTTGATGCTATGAAAGAAGATACTTTGGGCTCTGTATCACAGAGAGGTGAACGAGCTATGGTTTTGAGTTTGCGGTCAAGTTGCATTGAGTGCTTTCAGGGGTTTCTCTGCTAGCAAATTTTATTGAGAATAGACACAGTTATAAAAGATAGGATGTTTCAAGTTAGGTCTCTTTAAAGTCTTGAAAATATATCTGGGCTTCAAACAGCACAAAGGAACTCCTTAAAACTTTTCCTATGCTAAGTTGCAAGCAAAGATCAAACTTTTAAGGCACAGAAAGGCAAGCATTATAAAACTTAACAATAAAGAGACATAGTTTGAAAAAAGAATGTACTGAAAAATTCCCACAATACTCGACTCACTTTTAATATCGTTTTATTTAGAGTTTGCATAACTTTAAAATGAGGATAATTTCTTAGAAACCTTAAGTTATGGAGCCAACTATTGGATGCTTGTCAATGGATATTCACAAGCTCTGGTTTTTAAACTGTTTTACTGAAAGAAATAGTCTCAAGTGCTCAGCTGTACGTTTTATTCAAACAATTTCAGTCTCTCTGAATTTCGCTCCCACTGAATTTGTCGTCGAAACAAAACGTGAATAGACTTCTGTGTTTTTGAGACTTTCAAACTTCTGATAATTCAAAACCAGCTGTAACTGTTTTTTGACTGATTTGATGTTATCTGCAGCCTTGAGAAGTTGCTGATGAGTGAAATGGTGACAATGAAGCAACTTGGACAGCTAGGACTAAAGGTAGAGAGAGACTTGTATTTTTCATTATCGCTGAAACTGCGTAAATATTGAGACACAATTTGCATAAAACGTCCTGTTCAACTGAAAGAGTTTAAGCTAGATAAAGAGGTAGCTAATTTAAACTCTTAGACCAAACTTTATGTTGAAAATTATGCTATTTTATGGAAGAGTGTTGGATTGATTCGTATCTTGCATTTGTCAAGTCTAAAGAGTTATTGGAGTATTATCAAATATGTATTTATTTTGAATTTGCGATATACAACGCACAGTCTTAAGTGCCGTTCTGGCTGACATAATTTTTTTTTCTAAATGGCTTCTTTTAGGCCAATAAAGCAAGAGAAATACTGACACTGGATGTCAAACCGCAGCATGATGGGTATGCTGTGGACACGAGATCTGAATCAGTTCAAGTAAGGAAAAGTTATATTGTAATTCTACTTAAAATTACTAGTCGTCACTGAGTTTTTATTATTTGTTATTTCTTTGATGCTGTCAGTGACTTGAAATACATCTGTGTAAGCTTAGGCCGTTTTTGGAGAAATTATGTTCCTCGCCGGCTTCGAAATTTCGCGGAAATAACCTTACCTGACAATAATAGGTAGGGGGGAGGGGAGGAGAGGGGGTTGTGCATTTAATAAAAACCCAGTACGTGAAACCAGGAAAAAAACAATAGGTAATTGCCTAATTTGAGTATGCATATTAAAGCTTTCTAATGGAAGCAGCCCATTATTTGGATGCATTTTGAGTTCACTTTGGGTTTAACGCGCTAACTGCGCAAACTTTCAGGACTGCAAATTCTAGCTCGCACTTTTGTCTTGATCACCCATCTTAGCTCGTCTCCCAGATAAGGGATTGTTTTCAGTTATAGTAATCAAACAGTTTAGATTCACTGATTAAATAATTCTTCGAAGGTGATTCAATGATACATGGTAGCTACATTCATAATACACATGTTTTCAACAACTTGCTTGCGTCATAGTAACCCCCAACGTACCTTGCTTCATTAACTTCAGACTACTTCCTTGATTCATTTCTCTGATTTCTTGTAGTGGTTGAATAATCTGGAAAAAGATTCCCAATACCATTATTGGCCATCAAATATTGAAGAGGTAAGTCACAAATTCCGAAATCTTTGTACACCCTTCTGTTGTAAAATGTCTGATTATGTCTGTTCACAGGTGTTAGGATATCTTTGTCTCTATGTTTCCTATTACAATGAAGTGACGCTTTTTATAGACTGTTTTCTTAATGTTTATGTAGCAATACCCAAAGGCCTGTATATGTAGTTAACATAAGATCGAATTAAGGTTCTAGCCTTCTTTGTAACCATACTGTCGAAGGAAAAGTAAACCTGTTGTGCCTCGAGCAACATACAGAGATAAATATTTACTTTCATTTGTTTTACATGTTTTGCACTCTGATAAATGCTGCCTGCGGGGTTACTGGTTTCATATATGGATAAATCTGAAGATTTTAATTGTTGAATAAATCCGTGTCTAATAGTTTGTTTTATTACAGGAATGAAAAATAAATAAACGTTGTGTTATACCTTTGGTATCGCTAAATTTTAAGATGACAATTTTAATTTAGAATTGAAAAAAGAGCGCAAAAAGTTAGAAAAATTACGAGGTTTCTCGATGGTTGTCTAGGAAAAGAAAGAATTGGATTTCTTTCCTGTATATACAGGAGAAAAACGTTTTTAGGCAATATGTTTGTTGGGATTCCATGAGAACTTACTGCAGAATGATTTTTGTGCCTTAATAGCGAAGCATGATCAAATTTTTAAGTTTTTTGAAAGCATTTTCGATCCGTAATATTTGATATTATTTAGTATTTAGTTATATTATTTGATATTAGTTACAATTTAGGTGCAACCCATTGACTAGCAAAGTTTTTCAAGAATTTAGTTTTGCAGAGCTGTGAATCTTTTGATAAGCATTTTTTAAGCTTTATTAAAGCAAGCCTACTTTGAAATGGTAAAAACTCTATATCCGATTTGTCTAGAATTTTATGTCAGTTTTGTTTTCAGGTTATCAAAGAAATATTATTTTACAATCTTGTCATTTTCAGATACTGCGACCAACATTCCCAGGGATGCTTCGTTACATTGCAAAGAATATTTTCCACGTGGTAGGTAATCAGTTTAATACTGTAAACAGTATAGACCGAAATTTTTGTAGAAAGGATATTGTGGGTTGTAGATAATGCAACATTTTTAAGTTGAAAGGATTAGCATCTTACCAGTTTACACAGATCATTTTAGAACCAGATGCAGAATAGTTTTCTGTTTAGATTCGTTGTAGATAAAGTCTGTTTTGACGGGGACATTTTGACAGTATCACAATCTTGATCAGTCAACGAGTAAGTGTTAGCCAACAAGATCTGTAATAACCAGATTGTCTGGCTACCTCATCGTCAAATCCAGCAGGCATGCGTTTAGAGGCTTCAGGGCTCGGAGGAGACTTGAAGAAGACCAAGTGAGGCCAGAAAGAGACTCGAAGGATGTCAGAGGGCCACCTGAAGGGGGGGGGGTAGAAGTTTACCTGAAGGAGGCCAGAAGTTCACATGAAGGTTGCCAGAAGGCCACCTTAACTGAAGGAGGTATGAAGGCCACCTGAAGAAGGTCTGAAGGTCAACTGAAGAAGGCTGCCTGAGGGCTGAAACTTTTCAGCCTTCAAAAAATGTTGTTATCCTACCCGTACGATTCATGAGACCTAATAAAGTGATGAAAAGAAGCTTAATGCAACAATGCACTAGTTACCGGTCACATCTTCCTAAATTCTATTTTGAAACTTTATTCATAATTTTAAATAATTCGAGCTGCTTTGATAGAAGCCATTTCTAGTCCTTGATATTATGAAGATCTTAAGGAGTCTCTCTCGGCTCGATCAAAGCTAAGAATCGAGCCTTGCCATGTTGTCGCCTTTTTTGTTTGAAGTTCAAATGAAATTATTTCTAAATTGAAGAAAAAGGAGGGATCGATTGGCGTCACACAATCAATTCAAGTTGTGCTGTATTGGTATAGATGTTTGGAAATCAAATGCAGATCTGTATTTGAGAGCTGTATTTGAAAGCTGTATTTGACCGAGAATAACAGAGGCAATCAGAGTTCTTATGTCACTGCGGTGTGATAACAGCATAATTGCGAAATATGGATCTAGAATGCTTGCACACAACGTCTCTTTTAGCAGTTTGGCTTTCTTGCCAACACAGTACCGTGAATGAAATTAAGCAGAAAATATAAGCAAGAGCAGCGTTTTCACTAGAAATTAACAGCAAACAAGGAAGTCGTAGGGAATACTCCGTAATTTTGCTTGATGTATATTTAAACACTCTTTCTCTCTCTCTCTCTCTTCGGAAAACTTGTGTTTCTAAAAAACTATGGTCTATATAAAAGCCTTGCCACAGTTTATGCTGCATCAAAATTCGTGTCAGATGCAAGCCGCTTTTGAAAACAGGAAAATAGACTCTCGTTTTTACATTTTCTTGAATTTTTATCAATAGTTGGCCATTCATATTTATTTGTATCAATCACTTGGTTTTATGTGACGTAGCCGTACGTTAGGAAGTTGCAATGAAAAACTGAACTCAAAATTGATTTTGTTTTTGTATTGATTACGCCTCAGTTAGATTCGTCTAGTTCATAGCACAGTGAAATTTGAGGCATTGAAGCCTCTAGGGGTCTTGATAAGGCTGACTTACTAACAGCCTACTGGCAAAACTCTTTAGAAACTTCCTCTGCAATTTAGAGAAAGTTGCCGGCAATGTGGTTAGCATATAAATTGAGTTCCAAGTTGAAGGAGTAGAATGGCAAGCGAAAATGGTGTTTCTTTTCTATAATTTTATCGAAGCAATTTTCCACTTTGAGTCGTAGGCAATTTTTCTTTAGGCAGCAAGTTGGCAATTTATTTCTGCCAGAAAACAGTCGTTCTAGCAATAATTTTTGCGCTTTTATTAAGCATTCTCTTAACAGACTAATGGAATTTAAGGATATTTTCACACGTTTTGCTTTTTAGAACTCTTCAAATAAGTTACAAAATTCTTGGGTCATATGCTTCGAAGTTCTTATTTTACAAAAAATTTACTGCGTCGATTACTCTTTCAAAATAAGCTTAATCTTTTGCTACATTTATCGTCAACTCTTAGCGTACAAAGATTTCGTCAACTCTTAGCGTACAACTCTTATCGTCAACTCTTAGCGCTTAAAATACGACGAAAGATGCCTTTTAGAATGTAGTAAGAAGCTGGTAATACCATAAGGAATCACAAAGCACCTGTCACTCTCATAAGGAAGTCGCCAACATTTCCCATTTATTTATTGTGTTCTTGTTTTTTAAATCAATTACAGAACAATTTTTTACATTTGTCAACTTATGTTTTCTTTGTTACTACTTTTTTATATTTGTATAAACTGAAGCGTATAAAAATTTGAATTGTGTCATCCAAACTTTACAAAGATTTGTTTTTCGGTTCGGTCATTCAGCCCCAGCTGAACGCCCGTTTGTTGGACTTTTTCATTTTCTGGCAATTGCGCTATATCACTAGCCAGTATCAAGTTGAATGTAATAACGTCTTTGCTGTCCAGAGTTGTTTCATGGAAATCAGCGTTTCATTTTTTCGTTAAGGTGCTCTGCATTGATCCAGCAGACGAAGAGGGTATCAAGAAATTGCACCAATTTCAAGATTTTGTCTCTAATTCAATGCCTGCCAGGCAAGTCTTTTTATATGATCATCTGAAATAACGTAAGAAAAGTTCTATAAACTGCGCTGGTACGATGGAGCCAGCACGAGAGCTAAAAATGCGATTAATTATATCTTATGGCCTTTATTTTGTGACCTGATTCTGGTTGGATTTCTATTTTGATCAAGCTGATACTTAACAAAGACATATTTCTTCATTTCCAATGAAATCTTTCTAGGTACACTTAAAGTTTATTATCATAAGAAACTGAAGTCCTGCTCACCCCTATACTCATAATTTACGTACGAATTATTTTAGATTCGGTGTGCTGTTTGTTGCTAAAGGATCACCAAGCGACGATGGTATGACAAATGCCCCGGTTGCATTGATGAGAGCTTTCAGCTTCATCAAATCAGAAAAGGATGTTAAACAGGCTTTCGACTTTATAATCGAGGTAATGATGGTGTGTTGAAGTAACTCAGGGTGTTCTGTAGAATCCAAATCAATGTTATTTATACTTGCTGTTGGTTTAGCTTGATTTTGCTGAATGCCTGAAAACATATGCCCGAATTTTGCTTCCTTTTTTATTTGAATCTTGTAGGTCTTATAAAGCTTCTACGATCACAAACTGTTTAAGAATTCTCATATCTTCAAGGTGTATCGTCGAAGTGAAAGAAAGGCCCCTTCGGCTGCTGACATTACAGACCTCTTCAAACGATGGTATGGCGCTGACGACCTCAAGGATGCTATGTCCCCCAACACAGACTTTGATGACCTTAGAGAGGTAACCCTGTTTTTCCTGGTTTTCCCTTGATCTACTTAAGCAATAATTTGCACTATGTACATTAATTTTTTATCTTAGTTCTTTTCACCACCAATCGCCCTTAATTGAAATTGCATCTACTTTGATCATTGATGTTTATAAATCAAGAGGTGCAATAATTTTTGCACTCTATTGCTATAGAATTCGTACCGTCTCTTTCAACGACTTGGCCTTAAGGGATTGCCTCAGATCATTGTGAATGGCCATCAACTGAACTCGGAAGAGGTATAATTTTCATCGTTATTTTTACTTCTCAACAACCATTTACAGAGACAATAGCCTTCTATTTTTTTCGATAAATTCATTTGTCATATGATTGAGCAAAGTAACCAGTTTGGTAAGCAAAACTGTCTGCTTTTTCACAGAGACGTCGCAGTTGTTGGATGATTTTCTTGCTCGGTTCCCAGAAATAAGAAAATGGGATTTCTTGTAATTGCTAAAGAATTTAGATATGATTAGATCTATTCTGTGAGGAGGGTTTATCACACGTTGATAAATTGATTTCCTCATTCTTGCATTACTCTAAGTGTTATTGTTTCGTGAACAGTAGCAAATATCAATTGATCTATTTCTGCTTTGAAAAGCATAGCTTAACACAATCGCGTAGAATGTCGATTAAGTATGTCTGGATGCTTCTTGCTATTTTATTCTTTACTTTCAGATGCAAAACCTCGAACAGTCGTTGATTGAAAAGTTTCTTTCTTTGACACCTGAAATTCAACAGGCTACGTACATGGTAATTCAGTTGATTTCAGTTCAATTCTACTTAATTCGTAGAAGTGTATTATAGCATCAAGATAAAATGTAGATGTAAACAGATGAATCCCATTAATTGCCTTAACATGTTAACGCAGTTACTGACTCATCTATCTTGCTGCATAGTTGCCGCGTTCCGCGTAGGCATTCGCAGCAATGAAAACATGTCACATGGCATCACACACAGCTTTGGTTGCGTATAGTGCGCCCAGTTGATAACTGCTCGTTAGTTTTAATCTTATTGATAATCAAGCTAGCTATTTCAAACTTTCGTATGAATTACTCTGTTAGGCCGTTAGAGGTGGTTAATATTTCCTACGTCAAGTCAGTGTGAACGTTTCTTAATAGATTTTCAATGCGCAAATGTGTAACCGTCACACAGGTTTAAGTTTCTGTTATTTGTTTCCAATTGACGAACATGCTTAGTCCAGCTGGCAGCTAATGAGCTAGGTTAAGAAGATTAATCGGTCAATGATTGAGTGGCTGTTAAGCTTGCAAAAAGACCACCGTATTTTGCATGTGTTTTGTTTTCGTATGGCAGCATGCAAGATGCTTTCTAAATGCATAGAGAATCAGGACTGGAAAGGTCAACTCTGCTCTCTCCTTATTAAGGAGATTTTTCAGAGAGTGATCGCTCTTTGATTGGGTGCCTCTTCATCTTTAATAGTATATTTACTGGGTTCTTCAATTCCCTAATAATTAGTAATTATGACTAAAGATAATTAACACAAATCACAAAATGTAACTCATTTTTAGCATTGATGTCAGTTTATGATGACTAAATTTATTATCTTACCGCTTCTCTGTCAAAGGATTGAGACTTTTTATATAGAAGATGAGGCATTCCGATAATCCGCTTATTACAAACCTTAATTTTTAGCCAGCAACTAGCTTAATTCTTGTTGACTGAAGTACCATTCAATCTTGATAGGGTTTTTTCTAAAAAACAATTTTACCGTTTTTGTATACGAAGAATTGAGTACACTATGTAGTGGGTCTCAGATGCTGTAGGTGAAAGGTTCGAAGATCATCGATCGCATCAGTTAATATTGAAAGCTTTATAACGGTTTTCATTCCAAAAAGCAACTCAAGTATAAAGTATAACTACCATGGGTGTAGTGGATGCTATGAAACTACCTACAAAGCATCAAAAGAGTACCGGCATTCTTCGTACACAGCGACAGGATACCTATGTTTTATGCTTAGATACCGTTTTACCGTTTTACCGTTTTACCGTTTTACCGTTTTACCGTTTTACTGTTAGATGAATCTTATTATCATTTTTCGACCATAAAGGGACAGATTCATAACCACCCAACTATATACGACTACGTAATGTCGAAGCCAAACGTCGTTAAGAGGTTAAACTCCATGGTACAGACTACTGAGGGTCCATATTTGGATGTATCTGTTTCTGACAAAGGTCAGTTTTTTATTTACCTTTATTCACATGTGCACCACTTTCGTCAGATTTGTCGTTTTAAGCTTCACAAAGTATTAAGTAAATATATTTCAGCTTTCGATAGTTGCTGTAAAAATATTAAAGCTATTTAACTTAGATTGTCTTTAGACATTTAAACTCGTGTTTGCTTATGTTGTATACACATACTGTTTATTCCTGCTGTAGTTTTCATTGAAGTATCTAAAAGACCTGATCAATAAGCGATGTAGTTTTTATTCCACAACTCTGAATTTCTTTGTGAAGCATTCAATCTAGGAACTAAGATATGAAATGGTCAAAAAACATGACATAGTCTAAGGTTTTTGGCCGTTCCGTTTTGCAAAATATAGTGACTGAGTGACAGCTTTGTTGTTTGTTTTGGTTTTTTGAATCAATGTTGTTATAACCTATTATTGCATTCATTTTCAGATTTGGTCATAAAGGACAAAGAAGACTTTACCGGTCTTCAGGTAGTTGATATCTTCAATGCAGTTGTCAACGATGTGAAATATTTTCTAACGGACAGAGGTATTATAAATGTTTTGATATTTTTAGCTCATCAGTTATTTTATCTCAGATCGTTTCTTTGAATAGCATCTTCCAGGTTATTTTGATTGTCACAATGAGAGAAAGACCATGTGTTATCGTAAGGATTCAACATGGCGCTAAGGTTTTATGCTATTTCAAAATTTGAAGGAGATACGTTCTGATGTGAGCAGCCTAATGAAGCCTCTAAGATCTTGGAATTGTGAGGAAGTGTGAAAAAAATTTAGAGTGAGCCAGATAATTCAGTACAAAAGTATTTTCTTAGTACACATACATACATGCCTTTGGTGTATGAAAATCGATGAAATATTTTATCAGATGCTCAAAAATCTATTGCATGATTTTTGGTGAAGGAAAACTTAAACGTCACAGCTGCAAGATAAATGAAATGAGCGTTTTTTGTTGACGTAAATGTGACAGTCCTATCCTTTCTTCAAGAGAAAAATAAAATGATCGAAAAGTGCAAAAAGTACAGAAGAGCGTTTTAAAAGTTGTTTGGAAATTTCGCTTTCTTAATGTACGCACGCAAGATCGCTAGATAAATTATTTGACTTGAGACATAAATACGAAGAGTCGGTTCCTTCGATCCACAACTTGGCTGTTTCTTGCCATCTCTAATTTTTGCGTTACCAAGAACTTATAATCTTATAATCAAATGAAATTTTATAGCTTTATGGGTCCCCATCTTAAGGTAATTTAAAACCGGCTTTGAAAAAAGCAAACGTTTTGAAACATACTAAGGCATTCTTCAGAGTATAAAACGTCAAAATATAGATCGAAAACTCTAAGCTAGTAAGTATGTTTATATATATAACCAGTTTTGGATCGAAGTAGGATCGAAATAATAATGATTTGAAACCATTTTACGTTTATAACTGGCGTACTCCTAAAAACCAACTTTTTGGTGATGTTAAATGTTGTTTACAAGAAAGGCTTCCAGGAGACAGATGATAATTGCAGCTGCACATTTAGCAAAATAGAAGCTACTTATTATTTCTCACGCAAATTGATAAATAGTTAACATAGCTTTAATGAAAGTTCCAATCTGCTCATTGGAGTATGATTTTGAATTTAATGAATCTTTTTCCCTGATTTGAAAAAAACCCTTGATAAGAATATGAAAACAACAGGAAAGTTAGAAAAAGTTATTAAACCTTTCGACTTTAGCAGAAAGAGCACTGAAACATTTTTAGCACGATCGATAATTATTTGTTCTATCTCGGCCGTTAAAAGAAGGTTTTCATAAAAAAGCAACGATTAATTCGCCTCGCGCACATTATGGTTTTCGATGCAAGATTTCATATTGGGAACGTTATGATGTCCTTGGAAGAAATTATGAATCAGTATATGTGCGAAAAATTGATCTTTTTATGCTTGGGTCTTTAGACAAAATGGCTTCGGGGGACTGTATAATAAGTAGTTAGAAAATGTGCATAGAAAACCTTCCGTTCACACAGACAAGTTTTTCCTGCCTTTCAGTTAGTTGTAGTAAATTGTAACATTTTTGTATCTAATTTGGAATCTGTCTCGTTAGAAAAGGACATTAAGACTCTATTCAACCGAAACGATTGAATGCTTTCTGTTGGCCAGCTTTTGCGCTAGGGGCATTTCTTAACTCGTGCACTTTTAAATGCTTTGTGCCCTAACAAGGATGAAGATTGCATATCAGGTGCATATAAACCAACTTGTCACACTTGATGGCAACTTACAAGATCAAATCTTGGTATGCAATAGGGGCATTGACACTCGCTGCCCCTCGGACACTTCACCCTTGTCTTTCTATTGTCGGTTCCTATGAGAAGATTTTACCGATTGCTGGGAAATATTCCTATCCATATTGATTATATTCTTAGAGAAAGCTTGTCGTGTTCTATAATTGTCAATTGCCATAGCTTAATTTTTTGTACCCGAGTTGTGATAAGAAAATATTTACTAGGCCGAGTTGTGTCTAATAACGCATTGTTGCTTTACTCAAATCAATTGATGGGGTAAGTACAGCATGGCAGTCAAAGTAGCATTTGATTCGAGAACATTTGCATGTTAGAAAATGTAAGAATGGGAAATATTATATTAGTTTAACGAAGAAAAAGATGTCTCTTTGGGGGGGAGGGGGGCAATAGGAAAAGCTACCTGTCATTGACATGCTTGCACAGTCAGGCATTATTGTGAAACTTTTCATTATCATTTCACAATTTTAATCAGTGACATTCAGGAGGTATAGATGTTATAACGACTGTCTCGTAAACTATGCTTTTTTACGATATTTGAACCAGCGCCTAATAGAATGTTTTTTAATGCAAGATGTTTTTGTCAAGGTGCCGTGACCACGTGGGTGGTAGCAGATGAGATTCAAAATTTTAGTCTGTGACATTCAAGAGGTTTAGATGTTATAACGACTGTCTCGTAAACTATGCTTTTTTACGATATTTGAACCAGCGCCTAATAGAATGTTTTTTAATGCAAGATGTTTTTGTCAAGGTGCCGTGACCACGTGGGTGGTAGCAGATGAGATTCAAAATTTTAGTCTGTGACATTCAAGAGGTTTAGATGTTATAACGACTGTCTCGTAAACTATGCTTTTTTACGATATTTGAACCAGCGCCTAATAGAATGTTTTTTAATGCAAGATGTTTTTGTCAAGGTGCCGTGACCACGTGGGTGGTAGCAGATGAGATTCAAAATTTTAGTCTGTGACATTCAAGAGGTTTAGATGTTATAACGACTGTCTCGTAAACTATGCTTTTTTACGATATTTGAACCAGCCCCTAATAGAATGTTTTTTAATGCAAGATGTTTTCGTCAAGGTGCCGTAACCACGTGGGTGGTAGCAGATGCAGATACTGTCGTGGGACGGCAATTGATAAGATCAGCGCTCAATTTCATTGTAAGTTTTCTTTTCTTATCATTTAAGTGAGTGTTTTTTTAGACTGTATCAAAATGCTGTTTTGACACTATCAGCTTTTAATTGTCTGTCATAAATTTAGAAATCCTTTTTACGTGAATCCAGCTAATTTGGTCTACAGGCCAAAGATTAAATAATCCATGTGTTTTGGTCCCATGCTAAATCGATATTCGGTCAACTCGTAAAAAGCCTTCAAAGATGGGAGCTTTTCAAGATGAAAATATCCCAATGGGAAGAAATATTCCATGACTTATTATGAGCTTTTTAGCAGGCATATCTTCCTTATGATTTACAGACTGAAAAAATAAGCTCCATTTTATTGTTTAAATAGAAAACCATTCGATTACAAGCAATGGCGGAAGAAATATTCCATTTCAAACAGAATATCTTTCATTTTTTTAGTGGAATAAATGTCGAAGAGAGCAAATTTTTTTCATTGTTAGAGTATGAATTTTGCTGCCAATGAACCAAAGTACTTAAAATTTACCAAAAGTTTTAAAAATAGAGTGCGTCAGGATGAAAAAACCCTGCCGATAGAATTCAATAGAATTCAAAACCTGTTTGATCTCATTTTAAATCAATTTTGCCTCATAGAAAGATACCTAGGAAAACGTTTTACCTGGAACTTGCTTTGTACGATTTACTTATGCCTTTTTTAATGAATGGTGTCAAAAAGGCATTAAGAGCACTTCGGTAAGAATTATTCGATTTGAAAAGCGAATTCTTTCGTACATTAAGTTGAGCCGTTCTTCCAATAGCACTCATTCCTAAATAGACGTGAATTGATATATATTCCCGGTGTTTTAATTAGAAATTTAGGAAATGTCACTAAGCCCCTGTTCACATTGCTCCGGATTCCAATGAAAATTGATAAAAAAGTATCCGTTTTCACCTTGCGTTCACACTGCTCCGCTGCAAAAACGGAGAATTTTGAAAACGGAGACTTTTGAAAACGCAAAACGCAGTGTGAACACCAAAAACGGATACTTTTGAAAACGCTAACAACAACAACAACACAACAAGATGCTTAGACCGCGCAAATTTTAACAACTTTTCTTAACATGGCTGATTCACTCGAAGTTAGTACACTACTCGGAGGAACATTAGTGGCAGTGGGTTGTTTGAAAAGTTTATTAGCAGTCGCAAGGTCTGTAAACCAGTTCGTGGCGTTTTCCTTTTTATCTAGAGCGGAGCAATGTGAACGCTTCGTCGTTTTCACGCCGTTATCAAATGTATCCGGAGCAGTGTGAACAGGTAAAACGGATCGATATGAAAACGGATAAAAACGAATACGGAGCAATGTGAACATAGCTTAAATCCTTTAGCACCACACCTGGAAGAATCTTATGTGTGAAAAAGCTCAAATGTAAAAATCAGAATTTTCTTCTCTTTTTTTCAAAGAGGCTATGTCATGTGATACATATTTTAGACTACCAAACTAGAAACCAAATGACTTTAAGATTGTTCGTGACTTCGAATTTAAAATAAGGGGCAATAGCTTGTAATAAACCATGAATGTGAGATGAACCCTTTTTATTTTTGTTGGGCTGACTACCTGCAGCTTAGTTGGGCTAAAACCTGTTGCTTTAAAACTACCAATGCCACCCTTTTGCACACTTTATCAGCTGTTATAATCCTGTTACATAAAATCCACCGTTCCTCTCGGCATCTATGCTGAAGCAAGGCTGCATAAACACATTTCTGTTGAAGTAGTTTTATGCCACTAAAGAGTCTTGTATTTTTATATTCAGTTTTTAGATTCATTATGGGAATTACTGTTTATTATGGAATATAGTGCTCGATAATCTTTAAGCTGACTATGCAGTTGATTCGTAGATACAGGAGGTTTGTTGGATACCCAGAGGGTAGTCCTAGCGTTGAGTGTGAATCGATGTATATTATTTCTGGATAATTTAATCATTAAACCTGACTTTCGCTTCTGGAATGGATCTCCCTTTTTTACAGATAAAGGACTCGAAGACGACAAGGCTTGCATTGGTTTTATGCCCAGGCAAAGAACCCCAAGGCCATGTTTCTCTAAATCACATTGTCCAGTCGATCATCGAAACAAGAGAGACCATGGTTTCAGGAGTGGCAAAACTGATTCTTGCTGTTCTTGACGAGAGTAACAATTTCGAAAATCTTGCCAATGGTGTCGACGCTGTAATGGAACTGGCAAATACGGCAAAAGTATGCCTTTTATACTATATTGTGATATTTTCTGATAGAAATCCTGAAATTGGGGTTGGGAAACACAGATTCTTACTTCATGGACTGTTCCTTCAAACTAAGACCTCAGTGAAATAAACACTCTGAAGCCTGTCGTGAATGGCTATCATGAATGGACAAAGCAAACGGCTGTCCTCAAAAGCCAGACCCCGTTCCGGCAAGGTTTAGGTCATCTGTACCAGCTCTTTAGTTAAAAACAATAATGTTTTATCCGGTAGAGAATTTTCACAAATTTCGTACATTGCGCAGTTACAGATAACCTTTCCCAAATTTGCTTTTTTAATCATTTTTGGCACTTACGCTCAAAACATTTTGTTTCTGCAGATACTATTACATCTGTATGCTTCATATATAATGTTTTTCTATGAACGGAAGTTGTCAACGAGGGTTACTTTGGTCTTAGGATATCAGATACAACAGTTTATTGATCAGGTGTATCGATTCTCAACCTCTGTAACAGCTCTCTTACCGTATTTATCTACTCGAATTAACATCAGACCTTGAATTAACGCCGGTCTCGAGTAGACGCCGGTCTCGAGTAGACGCCGGTCTCGAGTAGACGCCGGTCTCGAGGAGACGCCGGTCTCGAGTAGACGCCGGTCTCGAGTAGACGCCCGAAAAATTTTCTTGAAATAATTTCATTCGAGGTCTGCTGTAAATTTGAATATTTTGAAAAGATTTCAAATTGGGAAAAAAAATCGGTCAATTACTATTTCAACAAATTATCTTTCAAGAATAGACAAAATATAACAACTATAAAATTTGATTTCGTGCTGTCAATTAATGAACGCCGGACCTCAAAATAAAAATTAATTTTTGGAATAAACGCCGGTAGTGTGTATTCGTGTAAATACGGCAACTAATAGTATGGACCAAAATGAGTTTGGTGACGGAATTGGATATTTTTTTATCAAAGCAAGCTTCTTTTTCACTATGCTAGCGTCCTCTTAGCTGAGAGTGGCATTATTTTGATTCGACGTCTTGTTATCGGAACTTGATTTTCGTATAGGCGTTTTTATGTATTGTATTTAATGAAGCAATTTTGCTTATTGCAGGGCTTCAACAAGAAGAGGCTGTCTGAACTGCTCCAAAACGAGGAATCGAAAGTCGCTACCAACAACAAGCTAGTATTTTATAGAAATGCTATGGAGAAGACTATTAGGTTCTCGGACAGGCAGGCCTACGTTGTGTGTAATGGAAGGGTAGGTGTCTTCGCGCAACTACAGTTTACATTCAGTTTACTTTAAAGTCTCAATCAATACTATTTGATCTAAAAATTTGTCTTCGAAAACAAACAAAAAGAAGCTAATTAAAGAAGCAAGCTTTCTTCTTTGTATTCGTTTTGCAATGGCCCTTTACAATTCAGTTATTCATTAGAATGATATTACCAGCTCAAAATTGTTTTTTCGTCAGCCTTAAGCAGGTATATGTTGGCCTACATTGTTCATTTCCCCTAGCTCAGCAAGTTAACTTTCATGGCAATTGTGCCTTTTGGCTTGAGAATATTATGTCTGCTTATTAAGTGGGGTTGTAAGACTGAATTCTCATGCCTAGAACCCCTTTTCATATAGCACAGACGATGCTGCTAGTCGTTATATTTTCTAGTTTTGTCCTGAATATGGCGTCGTGATTCCTCCTGGGTCTAGAAAAATGCTAGACGCTCTCTTTAGTCCAAAAAAAGAACTGATTTTGCTCCACATTAGTTTGTCACGTGTCCTGCACTGAATCTTACCATGATATTTCCAAAACTGTCAAACCAAGCCAAAGAGCTGTCCTGTCCTGCATATTTATAAATTTCATTTTTTCGTAGGTTATTGGCCCTTTTGAAGAGTCAAATGTTCTCTCCACTGACGACTTTGACCTGTTACAATCATTTGAGTTAAAGAGGGCAAGCTCGAAGATTAATAATGCTGTGAGTGGTCCTCTTTCTTCGTACGATACCTTACATCGAGTTTGGTTTTATATTACTTGCTTTTTCCTCAACTGGCTTTATATTTTGACTTTTCATCCTTTACCGGCCTTACGACCTTTTGCTTTCGTTGCAGCCAACAAACCTTTACGCTGAACAGTTTTTCATAACATACGTCAGATGTGGAGTCTTTTTTAGATTTCTATTTTGCTCCATATGCACACTTATAACAAATCTTGGATGCTCTTACAGTTTTGCTTGTAGCTTTGAACAACTAACTGTAAATTGATTTTTTCTGAAGAACATCGGATTTATGTACAGTTTTTTTTGCAGCTGGCAAGCTCTGATTTTGTAGAAATTCCGAGAGAGAACCAAGAAAGGCATGTCATTTTGAGTTAGTGTTTTCGGGCGGTCAAATGATTGTATTTTTACTTTTATTTCCCTTTGTTTCGTCCTAGAACTTTATTGACATAAATTATGTGACATAAAACCATACCTATCGGGAGAGTGAACTTCAGAATGACGTCATGTTTAATGGTGTTGAATTGCATTTCAAAACATTGGTTACGCCTTTAATTGCTTTTTGTAAATGAAATGGCATTGTCTGGAAATGCACAGGCTTAAAATATTATGATGGCAATCGGGAAAGTATCACTTTGATATTTGTTAAGAAAGTTTAAAGTGGCGATCAAAACAGTAGGTTTAGGGGTAAATTGGCAAGAACAAACTTAACGCTTTGGTTTAGTAAACGATCTGACAGCAATTTTATTGAACCCTAGATTTTAGGCGCTATTGTGGGTAACGATCCGAGTCAATTTCGTATATTATAATCACCCCTCCCCACTTTTCGATGACCCTGTTTGGATATGCTAGATGACACTTTTTGAATATGTCGTAGGGATTAAAACACACTCAAAAGATTAAATGCACATGAAGTTAGAATCAAAGTTTGATCATCGGTGCACTGTTAAAAGAGCCATGTGCTTGTGAAGTAAGCTTAGCTTATGAAGTCATATGTATGAGATAGGAAGTAAGCCTAAAAATCAGCTTAATCGCTTCTGCACCTGCGCTGGTCATGAGTGACGGCAAAGAGGCGTAAATTTTGAAGGAAATATAACAGCTAAGAGCGCTCTTGAAAGGTGGATATCAGACCAACGTGGCCCAGATTCACGTGTCGAGCATAAATTATCATTAAGAATGAAGATTATTTTATTCGATTATTCGATTATAGCGAAACATCTAAAAAATAGCTATAGGCTTATTATTTTTACTTGCCTTACAGGGTTAGGTCGGATATGATAATGAGAGTGTCCGCGATTTTGAGTTCTCATAAACAAATTAGAAGAACTAAACTCAAGTATCACGATTTAAAGCACAGGTGAGGCGTCAAACGTTTTCTAGACCACAATGATTATTGATGTAAGCAGTGAATAAATAAAGTTATCTTTAACAAGTTCGTCTTTAGGAAGTATTAACATTGGGTATTTGCTGTTGATAATGTGTGCGATAATTCTGTTCATGCTACTGATTGTGATCGTCTTAAGCCTCGTTTGTAGATGTTTTTAAAGTGCTAAATCGTGGAAGTAGGATTGGCGTAAAACCACCGGGAAAGGAATTTGGGATCGAAGTTATTCAGTTGGTTCACTTAAAAGTGTCTTGTTTTTTTCAACAAAACTGTCTCGCGAATTAATTATTAATAGTTTTTTAATCATCAGCCGTGCTTTTTCATCTTTTCATTGGTGTTCGATGGCTTTTAAATGTAACATTTCTTGCTCTAGAGTGCCCGATATATCGATACAGCTTTCTGTACTGTCTCAGTCTTGCATACGCAATTATCCAGAGCTTTCTAATTTTAATTATATGTCCTTGCATATGTTCGCAAAATTTTCAGTCAACTGGTTCTGTGAACTGTTATTTTTAACATTTCACTTGATAAACTCGAGAGATTTTTGCATTTGATGAATAAAACAATAACCCTCACAACATGGCGCGACATTGACGTATATAGTCACGTGACAGTGATGTCACTGGTACTATCGACATTTGCTTGTAAAAGGTCGACCACCAGGGATTGTAGGCGCGTTTCTCCGTATTAAATAATATGGCTTCATTATGCATGTAAAGGCGACTTTTCTCAAGTATTCGCTTTTTTCTGTTTAAATGGGGTCCAATGTGATAAAATGTGATATTTTTTATTTCGTGTGTAAGTATAAGCATGTTGCTGCAGTCAAATTTAAGATTGGTTTTCTGTATCATTACAGACGGTCGTATGGGAATGGAGGCTTTATTTGTAGCAATGTTGTAAATTATTTGTAGGAACACATTAACGGTCTAAATCAAGAAGCGTTTTTTACTGAATATTGATTATCACAAAGGCGACCGGTGTAGTATGGCGGGAAAATCAACAGACACAGGCCTGGTCAATTTTTTCGTTTAACACAAGTATTGTAGAGATTTATCAAGTATTGAAGTTAATATTTATTTTGGCTATGATCATTCTCGAACTAATTTATCGCAAACGTCATGTGTTAAATTCATGTTTTTAATTGCAGTGTGATTAGCATTGCACCAGTAAGAGAGGACAAAATAAGCTATGACGTTGTTGCAGTTCTTGATCCACTCAGTACAGGTAGGGCAAGCTAGTATCTGTCGTTGTCCGTTGTCCACTGGTTTAATCGCTGCCTGAGTTTTGTTCACGGTCTGCATCAACCTCTCATTCCGAAGTCGTTTTATTAATTTCTGGTTATATATATGCTTGATGCAATGCAATATTATAAGATATAGCAAATGTTACATGGTATGATACAGTATGTATTGTATAGTACTTTATTGATTGTTTTTAAGTATATTATCTTAATATATTGTATTATAATATAACATATCATTATATTATATTATATTATATTATATTATATTATATTACATTATATTATATTATATTTTATTATATTATATTATAATATATTATATTATATTATATTTATATTTATATTTTATTATATTATATTATAATATATTATTATATTATATTATATTTATTATATTATATCATATCATATATATTATATATTATATTATATTATATTATATTATATTATATTATATTATATTATTTTGTATTGTATGAATTATATTTCAAACTCGTTGCTTTGTTATATTTTATAATAATTCATTATATCATAGAAAATTTTTATATATGAGTTTATGAAAGTTAATTATATGTTTTATGATATTTATCACAATATTTCATATGATGTTATATTTTTCATAGTTTATATTCTTACATTTTATTCAATTTGGTTTATACATTTGTACTTTATGCTATTAATCTCAAATGAATTGTTATATAGTATATTGAAACACGTTTCTTAGAATGATAAATATTAGCTTTTTTGCAAACTACACTTTCAAAACCAGATACTATAAAACCTGCGAAAAGTCCGAGTTTTTTCAGTGTTTTATAGTATAATATAATGGCTACCCGATTTGCTTTGTTTATTTTGTTAACTTCTGATTTCTTTCTTGTAGACGCGCAGAAGATTGTCCCTATACTCATGGTAAGCCAGTTTTATGTTGGTGTTTTTAGAAACTTGGACTTTTGCAGCGTGGTGCTTTTGCAATTGTGTGCAAATCATACATAAAGCATCTATTGCGTCAAGAAACAAAAACTATTTAATTAATTTGTGCATTTGTAAAGAAATCGCTGCACTCCCTTTACCCTGATTTCCTATAAAAGATAAAAAAACCGGTGGGTGCAGTTTTCTAAGATCTTACGTATCATGCGAGTTCGAATGTTTTCTGAGAAAGGGTCATAAATTTAGTACTCATATGGGACATTTTAAAAAGGTGTATTTGCCAGGAATCAGCCAGATAATTGGTTAAAGATGTTCTAATACCTTGATCGTACCTGTAGTTTTGTGGGTTTCCTTGGACGGCATGTCTCAAATTTCGTTTTAGGCCCCTTTAATTTACTACTTGTACTTTTACAAGACATTTGTCAGGCAAAAAATATAGACCTTACATAAATTTCTTTGTACCAATCATCAATTTCTTTTTCCCTATTGTCCTTAAGCAGTTTCCCTCCATGACTATCCTGTCTCTTCGATGTAGTTTAGACTGTAGGTTACAACTTTTTTTCGTTTCTTAGGTCCTTGTCAATATCACCAATGTGAACCTTAATGTTTTCTTCAACTGCAAAGAAAAGTTATCGGAGATGCCATTGAAAAGGTATTCAAATTCCTACATGCAATAATTAGCCTTGAAAATTTTAGCGTAAGTTATGCAGCCCAATTCCATTGCTAGTTCACGATATATCTAGTCCATGTCTAATAGCATTGCCATGAAAGCCGGGGGAAGTGTTCATTATAGATCAGTTGTCACCATGCTCTTTTCTTTAATTTTTGAAAACAACCTTTTAGAGATTCACCCTCCTTTTTCTGCTGAAGAAACTTGTATCTATTTTACGTATACATGCAATATGTGTCAAATATCTTTCTTGTTGGACCAGCTGTTGTACATTGATCAAGAGTCTGCGAAACATTTTAAGCCCTTGTACGCTTTTTGATTAACGCAAATGTCCTTTTGATCAACTAAGAGCCGTGCTTATTAGCCAGATGTTCATATTTATCAAAAGGGCAATTATGAATGCAGTCCCCAATCGTTTTCTTGATGAGTTGACGTACGTCGTGATGATTAAGATGTTAGATTTTTTGTAGCTTATTTTTTTTCCTACGTGTCGATGCGAAGAACGTGAATATTATCTTGTTTTGTACTAATGCTAATATAGTCCGAATGACGTCAATCATCAGTGTTGATTCCACAAAAAGAGGTGTAGATAGTGATACGCTATGTACGCTATGTATGGATTTGACGCCGTGGATTTAATTTTAGTTCATTAGAGCGAAACACGGCGACAAATTGAAACGTCTGCCTGCAGAATTCATTAATACGGATCAGGAAACAATATTTAGCTGGAACTTGCTCTTTAATGTAGAGTTATCCACACTCAGAAATGGCTTTAGGTATTCAAAGTTTACATGTCACTTTTCCACACAAACATTGAATTTCCGCGGGACCTTTCTTGCCCATCTATCAACCACCTTGAAATTATGCCTTGTTGCTATGAGTCACCAATTTAGTGTGTAATTTTTTCCTAATCAATTTCAAAACAATTAGAGCCTCTTAGTTTTATCATTCAAGAAACAAAATAGTGTTTGAACTATTAATCCATGTATGCTCCATGAAGAATGTTTAGAAATGATTTTGTCAGACAGCGGTTAATGATGTGACAAAAACATCAAAGAAAAGAATGGAGCCGACCCTGGGAATTTTGATTACGATTGATTGCGATTGACAGCGAGCAGCGATATAGTAAGGCCTAGGCCAAACGAACGGAAAAGTAAAAGATATGTGACCAAGGTGATAATGCTTATAGTATTATGTAGTGATTTCGAAGGGAACAATGAGGTGCCAGTTACGGTTGTGATATTATGTGGCAAAAAATGGACAAATGTTCAAATTTGGATGCACGAAAACTGTTTTCAAAAAAAAATTTGAACCAGCAGTTGTACTACAGCTTGCTTTAAAGCCATTTACAAGGGTTATCCACTGTTGGGATTGGTTTTGAAAGTTTAAACCAATTTACAAGATTATGCTACATCTGACTGTAAAGTTATACACTGCTTGATGACTAAGATCCCATCAAACCTGATAAAGGCTTTGATTTAAAAAAGATTTGCTAAATATTGTTAGCTTAGATACAACCCCTTCATTTTTGGAAGCCTTAACCTTCACAAGAAATAACAGTTTCCTCCCCGGAATAATGGGCTTCACAAATACCGAACGTAAATATCCTTAATATTGTTAGAGAATTATCGAGGAGTCTTCCATTGAGCTGTTCACTTCAGAAGTTTGGTATAACCCTAAAAGACTTAGTCTAACCTTTCCTGTCAACTATATATCTTTCAAGGCCCATATCCTGTTCTTGTCCGTCGAAAGTGAACTGCTAGCTCTCCTATTTTGGCCTAACCGCAACACCAGAAAGACTTTCTGCGACATAATTTCTCAAGCAAGCGCTTTGAGAAAAACTAGGGATGTGCTGTTCAGTACATTCTGCCGTATTTTCCATTATTTGTTTGACTATTTGATCAAAGAGCGTCGAATAATAACATAACTTCGTACGATCGCCGCACAAAACGTAAACAAAAGTTCGCGGGTTTAACTACAAGTACCAGAATGCATTGCGGCATGACGTAATTAGGGGAAAGGTTTACTCTAGCAGTTAGGGTCCCATATATAACTTTACATGCCAAAAATGCTTCTAGCAAAAACGTTATGGCAGAGTTTTCACAGCTGCACAAGGACAATTGTCGATCATATTGTTCGATTTTAAAGAAATTTTCAAATTCTTGTCTTTTCCTAATTTCAATAGTTTCTTAATTTTTTTGCTTCGAGTACTGAACTCATCAACTTTTTCCGACATCCAAGAAGTCGTTTCTTACAGAGAAGTTGTTATAAAAAATTAAGTGTAGTGTGAAATTTGACGTTTCAAACAATAGCCCGCGAATGAGGTTATTATGCTATTCTCGCTGAAATGATTATAAATCTTACATTATGAACATTTATATTCCCAGTTATAGCGATACTATCTGTTTCATATTTGCGAAGGGGGATGTGGGTTGTTAGAACGTTTATTACATTCTCGTCACTAAATGGCTAAGTGCAACAGCAGGTGATGTTGAAAAGAACGTTGCTCTCTTTGCGAAGGCGCTTATGTAGATATGCAAGCTGATTCTTAGGTCATTTGCATTGAGAATCTTAGGGGAGTCGCGCGGCTCTGCAACGTATAAATTCGCTTGCTCGATCTTGGCAAAGCAGACCGATCCAGCTAAACAAGCCGGGCAACACGTAGTCGAGGAGAAGTTTATCATCTCAAGAAAATGGTGGCCTGTTGTTGATCAAGTGAAAGTCTTTTTCGTGGAGGAAAGCTTTCTTGAAGTTTTGTTATTTTTTTGAAGTTGTTATGGCCAATTTGTATCAGAGAATTAAATTCAAACTTTTTCATGGCTACCAGAGATTAGAAGATGATGATGACAAAAGCCTAAACACGCTCGAGCAGTTCATAGCTTCATCAAGATCTTCACGAAGAAATGCGGTTTGTGAGGTCAAAGCCCAAGAATCGGCGTTTTTGAAAACCTATCTACATCATCTTGTTATGAGAAGAAATTTGGAACATCATGGACTGCTTATTCGAGACGCTTCTCTTGACAAAGCTTTAGAGCACGAGGTTTTTTGTCAACTTTCCCCTCGAAGTGATGACGAAATGAACGCGTCGATTTTTTTCTTTGCGACTGGGCAGCAAGAAGGCTCAAGCAAAACGTCTTGAAGCATTGGAAATTCCAGCGACTTCTCTTTAAGGATAAATAACCATGTCCACAACTCAGCGAGACTCTCGTTTGGTGAAGTCTTTTATAAAGATAACGAGCACAATTTTTACCAGACTTTGGGAATGTTTATTGTAATTTCACATTTACATGTTACCGTCAGGAGTGTTGTTTACTAAACAAGGGCCATTCTGACACGTAGATGCATCACTGGTACACTTATGTTAAGAACACACGTACACATCTCTCAGCCAATCGTAATTTTTCAAATCGGAGAAAATTTTGTGAACTATTCCCCCTTTATACTTATTGTAAGTTTTATTTTGCAACATGTTCATTTGATCTGACATTTCGTCCTATTATTTTTAATTCTTTTTAATTTCCTGCTTTCAGTTCGAAGGAAAAATTACAAAAGTAGTAACATATCTAATTTACTCACTGATAGTCAGAATGGCATATGGGCTCGATTCGCACTGAATTCTAAACGGAGGCTTCACGTTTGTTATACGACTGCCATATGGCCCACATATCGAATCTTATTTGCAGGTATTTTCAAAGCCCCTGTATTTACTGATACGATCTACATATATAACTAAGAAGATCCTTTGTAATTTTGGGTTATATCAAGGATATCAAGAGGTTATATAAAATAAATATCTGAGAAGATTGGCAGAAACTTGTTATTGCTTTTTAATGTTTTTTTCCTACCAAGATTCCCACTTCTGTGTTGCAAACAAGGACGTTTTTTCCTTAATTATTTATAATTGTATTCATGCTACAATAATTAAACGTTTAAAAGTTAAAAAGTAGGAATTTTCCCTGCAAGGTTATGATAATTGATGTACATGTAAATTGATGTATTTAAAATAGAATATTGCTCTAGAAACCACTGCCGTATACTTTTATGCATATATGTATCTTAATCTTTTCGACAATGTTTATGGCAAGTTTTTAAAAACTTCTAGTTCAACTAGCAGCTAGTAGGAAGATTTCCCAAAAACTTTCCCCGTCATTCTTCCTGTTAAAGTTTTCATCATTGGCATTTTTCAATAAAATTTCATTTTTTGAAATCGCCATCATATTCTCTGTTTTTCGAGTAAATTGTGTCTTAAATTATTCCTTATCAAACATCTTTTAACCGTGCGGTGAATCCGGGATTCAGGATTCAGAGTCCTGATTCAGGCTTGTCACGAGTTGAGCCAGACCTTCGTAGATCGCTTGTGGGTGTCTTCCAATCTAAAGCTGGTGTGAACAACGGATTCCTCCCCCCCCCCACACCCCAACTTTTTGCATAGGAAAATTACCTTTATTCAATTTGAACCATTTGTGGATCGAGAATTTCACTTTTCAATTTTATTTCCAAATTATTGATAGTTAGCATTTTTAAATACTTCTTTATCCTGGCTGTCCTCCCCTTGTTGATCTGAAATTCAGCAAATTCTTAATGAAATCATTATAAATTTAACACATGTAAATTAGGTTTTTACGTTGAAGCAAAACGGAGGTGTTTCGATGAACCATGCAAAACATATACATCATTTGCTTGTATTGTGTTTGCCCTTCTGCCTTCCAGTACATTTTGTTGAATACAATGGAACTTTCCTCGTCTCTTTAATAATTTATTCAATGAAGGTCCATCTAGAACCAAAAATCCTATTGATTGGTTATAGATGAAAGAGCTTTAAATTTTTGACTTTCAAAAGCAGTTACAGTCCCAAAAGTCAATCATAAATAGAGCAGCCAAAAACATAATTTCAACCATCTTCAACACGCAGGGACGCCGGCTGCATTTTGGGGGGGAGGGGGGCTCTAGACGAGTCGGAAAACTTCTATAGTAGTTTACCGTCATTACCCTCGATGCCACAACCTATTTCAGGCAAAAAAGTGGGATGGGGCTGCATACCCCTAGCCCCCCTCGAGCTTCGGCGTGCCTGACACAAGGTTTCTTTGGAACTGGGGAAATAAAGGAAATCTATGGAGAATTTCGCAGGCACTTGGGGAGGCGTTTTTGGTCTGAGCATGGCTAGCACGTGGGCATAGAATGTGGGTAAGACACATAATGATGACATAAAGATCAAAACTTCATAAGTGATTTGACTGTGATTGGACACTAATGGGTAAAGATTCAGAGGGGACAGTTTTTGCGCTCAAATCCTTTACAAGATTTCAAACTTCATCTCTCCCTAGAAACATACAAGCACGATTGATATGAAAACTTGTCGTACAATGAAGTTTGGGGAGATTTCCAAAACAAGGCCGTAATTGGTGTATTATAAACATGTTGAATGATGACGTCATAAAGATCTATTTTAGGATTTTGGAATCAGGACTTGAAGTCGAATAGAACATTACAAAATGCACATTGCTAAAATCGGAAAAATGAACTAAGATGAAAAGCCAGATATTATCAAAAGTGTCTTTGTGAGTTGAGTTGTGAGTTCAAATGACAATGTAATGTTCTGAAAGTGTCTGAACCATACTAACGGTTCTTTTATGCATAATTTAAGAATTTGTTTAGTCTTAAGGCTTAAAAAATTAAGGAACAACAGAAATTTTTTATTAAATTTTTTGGATCATATTTTTTTATTTTTTTTTTGAAATTTTTTTACTGACCATATCTCGGTCCACCTGCTACAGATTTTACTACTTTTGCAGATTAAGCGACCATTTTCTGGTTTTCTTTCAGATTTTATGGTTCAAACATGAAAATTCTAAAAATATGTATCTTGGCGTTTTCATTTGATCACCAAATGATTGCATCAAAAGAGTGTGTCATAAATTGTCTGTTTTACGCATATTTCAAGTCATAATTGAATTGAATTAAATTTGGAACAACGATCGTTTAAGTCTAAGGTCTCAAGGTGTGTTTGATTGAAAAGGGTTGAAAGATATAATTCCGTTGGAATGTGACTAAATATAAGAGAAGGATTTAATGACATCCTCGTATTCAATATATGTGAAGAAGAAAGTAGCTGTACATTCTGTTTAGCCAGCCTCATTATTCTTAAGACATTTTCATTTTGGGTCTGAATATATTATTAAAAAATTCTTTTTTTTAAATCTGATATGGTTTCAGTGGAACATGATAGAAGATGAATATAGCTAGATGAATATAGCTTTAAAGTTTTAGTTACATTTGATTGGTTTTTAAACGATATTTTTTCCGTCAAATGGTTATAGCAAGATTTAGACAAGAGTACAGTAAACTTGGTATAATCCTCAAATTTTGAGCAAAATCTTGCCAAAGTTGCGCTGTCTTGCAACATGCAAAGCTGTGAATAATCCGTAGTGACAGTGTGTTTTTCACGCTTGCGTTTTGATTGCGATATTCTACTTTTTTGTGCTATATTCCATGCATGCTGTGCGATTTGTCCTCGGAAAGAATACAAGTTTAAACGATGGTTACTTTCTTTGATTTGAAAAATCGTCCAGTTAACTTTCTTAACTGTTTGAGAAGCTGGATTTTGTTTCTAGCAATTAATGTTCATATTGTGAAGAATGTTTGGTCCAGCAATGGTCTACCCAAGGGTATCATATTTGAAAACCTTGGTGCTTTGACAATGAACGTAGGAATTTCATCCTGACAACTTGTTTTTGTTGATAAAAAAACTTTTAAATGAAACAAATTTTTGTAGGAATTGGTCTAGCCAATTGTACAATTTTCGTAAAAATTAGTCTAGCAAACGGTACCACTTTAAATTTTCTCGCGGCAGACCCCTACCCAAAATTTAGCCTTTTTTGTTGTTATCCACTCTTTTTTGTAGGAACCATAACCATAAGCTCGATGTAATTGTTTTTTTAATGATTTGATCTTAATGTTGTTGTTCTTATTTCGATATTGATATTTCTACTTCGATAGCTATTAACTGTTTAAAAATTTCATTCATACTATTTTGTTTTTTCAAAGCCTTTTTTGATTGGTACATGATTGGTTTCCTCATGAAATCTACACTGTTTGATTAAAGGCTTTTGCGCAACCGGCATGCTTTGCGACTGTATTTTCAAAACTGGCCTAATTTCGTACTGCATCAAAATGCAATAACCAATCCATTTCTCAAGACAGCTGCCGCTAAGCATGCCGCTTGCGCAAGAGCCTTTAACACAAGGGAAAATTTTCAACTGCCATTTTTCTTTCAAAGCCGAACATGTTCTTACGTTGTTATAAGTTAACCGTTTCCGGCAATATTTGCAATCACAGCGATTCCGTTTATCGTAAACCAAACTTAAATATGGAAGTATCTGCTTACCACACTAAAATTTAGGCCAAATACGCGTAGCAGTGAAAACAATATGGACCCTCTGTGCAGCACTGATGGTCACCACGCTTTTGTTGCATTTGCGAGTATGTCTAATGAGAAAAAGTATATCTTTTTAAATATTCTTTCTTCTTTGGGTAAAATGCGCAGTCACTGGAAATTTGTGTCGTTTTTCCTGGTGATGGTAATTAAATAAAATGCTAATCGATTACATATAAAAATATTTCTGACAGCAAAACTTAAACTGCGAAACTGTAAATGAGAATTTCACTTTTAGTTACCGAAATCTGCCATAAAAGCTGGTTGAGAATTTACTATAAATTTCGTTTTAATTTGGAAAGAAAACCATAGCAACTTTTTATAGACAGCTATTTTTGTTCCTCTTGTATTGAAATTATTCATCGAATTATTTTGGTTTTCAACATTTAAGAGCGTCCTATTTTCTAAAAGTTAAAGGGCATTTTCTCACCATAAGTGCCCCTTTGAACTCCCATGTCTCTCTGATTTCGTCTATAGCATTGTGATTGTAGACAATTTGAAAGCTTTTTAATTTTTTTTCAGATTCTATCGGTACGTTTTAAGTCCCAAGCTGGCATTTGGTGAAGACGGCAGTCTTTCGAATGCAGCGACAGCAGTATTCCGTGATATGCCTCAAAGTGGACTTCTGACGCTTATTATGGACACCCCTCATAGCTGGATGGTTGAAGCAGCCAATTCTCCGTATGACCTTGACAATATTCATCTTGCCGAGGTAAAGGGGAACCTTGTATATTCAAATCTATTATTTGTAAACGTAATCGCCCCCCCCCCCTCCCTCCTTACGCTCGATCTTTTACCAAGCTCTTCCCATTCTAGACCATTCATTTAGGCAAGAGTTCCTCAACACACAGCTGATTTGCGTTGCTTTATGAAGAGGTCGTCATCAAACCTAGAGTGCCTAGTTATTATTTTTTTACAATAAGGCTTGTAGGCCGAAATGGCCCATCGCCAACACAATTACCATACATACAGGTTAACATAATTACAAATTAACAATAAATCTCAGAACATAAGTACAAATTAACAATAAATCTCAGAAAACAGCCAACACAATTACTATACTTACAAGTTAACATAATTACAAATTAACAATAAATCTCAGAAAACAGCAAACAGCTAAAACAAAGATAAAAAGATGAAAAAATGATTACGAGCTAGAAAGTTATCCAATCAGGTCCCTGAAAATGATTTTTCCAGTTTTTTAGGTAGACGTTTTTTTAACAGTAAATTTACCTCGATTAAGATTGCTGGAAGAAGTTACTGACATTGTAACCGTGGCTATCGACTTGTTCGTCAATGATTTTTTAATAGTATTTCTTCTTCTCCTCACCGAAATTTTGCGTTTGCCATTTTTAAAGCAGGGACCGGTCAATTTTTTTGAAAACTATTCCTACTTCCCTTCTGTCTTGGAGAGAGAGGGAGCTTTGACATTAAAACAACTCAGTAGTAATTTATTCTTGCAATAGCCTTTTGTATTCATTTAGTCTTTTGTGAGGTTTCCCGATGAGATATTTCGCTTTTGCTCGTGTGTACCTCAACATTCGCGACGAAGTATTTTACTTTCCCCAAGAGATAAAAATTCACTGTCCTGAAGGAAGGAGGCGTTCCCTACTTTAAACTTTTACAGCTTGCTTTTCGCCCACCAAATTTCGTCTGGCATTTAAGTCTTACTTAATGTAAGCAAATATTCCCTTTTTAGGCGGACAGTCATGTTTATGGAGAATTTGAACTCGAATACATTGTCATCGAAGGTAAATTGTACATACTATTTCCTTAAAGTATTTGAAAATTACCAGATAGAGGGCGCCTTAAAATTGCAGTGTTGATTTTTTAGACACCCGAGCCTCCAATGCATACCATCGATATTGAAAATGAATCCGCAACCTTGTAAAGAACATCTTTAAACTGTATGTATTGTGCAACCTCAGGCACTAAGCAGGCCTAGCGAAGCTTTGACTTCACGCAAAAGATTGTGAAGTTTTCCAGATGTTGACAGTGGAACTTACTTGTTGCTAGAGTTTCTCATGCTGCGTATTTGACAAAAATGGCTTGTTAGAAGCCGAAAAGAATTGCTTCTGTTCTCAAACTCTGCAATGCGTCTGAATTATACGTATTAACGCATAATTATTCAAGGTAAAGCATAATTATTCTTAATGATGCTTAGTACTCATTTATTCAGCATTGACAATGTAGCAATACTGCCCACGTTAGTGACTTGGTGAGAAGTGAGTTAATTACAAATAGACATCAATTTCAACATAGGTTAAAACACAATAAGCTATCTGTTTGGAACCTCCATAACTTAAAATTTCATGACTTTAATTTTATTTGTTTATATGTAAAGGCGGACTGGGCTTCTTAAATCTGTTTTTCTCAGTAACCGTTTTTACTGTATCAAACATAACCAGGAATGTTTAAGGTCCTGAGTAAGATATTATTTCCCTTGTAGGCCATTGTCAAGATGCAGGCAGTGGTGCTCCTCCGCGAGGGCTGCAGTTTACTTTGGGAACCCAACATAAACCGGAAATGTTTGATACCATAGTTATGGCAAACCTGGTATGTTTAGATATTCTAGTCATTCCGATGTTTGAATGTCAAAGTGGAAGGTCATTACAGCTCCTGGGGTAAACTTGGAAATGGAGTGCCACAGGGTTCAATACTTGGACCTCTACTTTCCAATATTTTCCTAAATGATACTTTTTACAGCCTTTCTGAAGGGTCTTTATGTAATTTTCCTGATGACAACACGATATCTGTCACTGCAACAAATACTGATGAACTATTGCAACTTGTAAAAATTAACATCAAAAAATGTCTTGATTTGTTCAAATCTAATGAAATGATTGCAAATCCCTCTTAATTTCAAGCTATCACAATCGGCAGCAAAGATAAATGCATAAATGAGTTTGAAATTGACCAAAAATTTGCAATTAAAATAGAGAACAACGTTACTTTGCGTGGTGTTCAGATTGATGAAAATTTAAAGTTTGACGCACATATCGATAAGATCTGTGAAAAAGCAGCTAAACAGGTAAATTCTTTAAAAAGGCTGGCAAGATTTATGGGCGACAGAGAAAAAAAGATAATTATGAATTGATTTTTACTATGTCACTTCAATTATTGTCCATTGATATGGATGCTATGTGGTAAAGGAAGCCAGGATAAGCTAGAGAAAATTATCGAGAGGGAATAAAGACTAGCCTATTCGGACAATTCATCTTCTTACAAAGATTTACTTGCTAACTCAAAAGAAACTACCATACATGTCCAATCAGTTAGAATTTTAGCGCTCAAAGTTTATAAAACACTTAACAACCTTAATCCTGTTTTCATGAAAGACTATTTTGTACCCAAAACAACAGGTCATAACCTTCGACTCAAAAACCCCCTTGACATTCCAAAAGCCAGAACTACCAATAATGGTATCAGATCATTAAGTTTTCAAGGGCCTAAAATCTGGAATTCACACCCGGAATTAATAAAGACAGCACAAAATACTAGACAATTTAAGAGTTTGATCAAAACTTGGTTCCTTGAAAACAAGTGCGCATGCTCATTTTGCAGTAAATGAACTGTCTTATGCAATCCTTGAAATTGCTTCATGTTAGTCTTAATTAGTGTATATTCACCATTGTAGAAACTAACATTAAATAATCTACAATACAATACAAATACAATGTGAAGTTTCAATCACATTTGTTTTCAACTTTTTAATGGTTCGATTCACATTTGAAGAAATTTTATTTCTTTTAAATCGAAAAAGGATGTTATATTGACTGTATTTTTTAGTTAACTATTCAATTGTTTTACTTTAGGGGTACTTTCAACTGAAGGCCTTTCCAGGATCATTCACCTTGAAATTGCGAAAAGGCAGGTCATCTGAGTTATACAAAATCGATAGGTAAGACTGTTGTAACCAATATTATTTCAAATCACACTGTTTGTCTTTTAAGTCATAGTATCCATAGAGCAGGAAATACGCTGTTGGCAAATGGAATAGGCAAGTTTTTTGGCTAAATTAGATCCCTATAACGCTATGCCTTTGAATTATAAAGTTTATAATTTATGAAATTCATAATTTATTAATATATGTTGACAATAAAAAGGTATAACGTAGAAACCTCACAAACGTGTATAATCAATTTCTTTTCTTGCTAACCAACATCTCTATGTGTCTGTCAGATGGCTTTGTGTTTACAATGTGCCTTTAAAATATAAGGCACAGTGTTGATGGGTACAACGAACCATGTCAATATCAACTGCATGTACGAAATACATGTGCCACATTTTTTGCGACACTGCTGCACAATTTTTCTCTCACGCTTCTATCAGTAACTAAGAAATTCAGAACTCTTCTTGTTCTAATTTTACTGCTTCATAGTTGTGCAATAAACTGCCTTAAGTGTCTCACAGCATCTCGTTATTCAAAAAATGCCTTCTTGGCCACTGCAGAAGCGTTTTTTCCCACTCATTCACGTCACCTCGTCCCGCTTGTAACAGCTTCAAGTGCTACAATGCGTTTTAAATTGCGAATCCTTGTACCCACATGTAGTGATACTCAAATTACTCTGAGTTAAGCGATGCTGCTTATTATGTGATGAGTGACATATTTGATATTTCCTTTTTGTGGTCACGTGATTTATATCAAGGTAATGATGTCATGAGAAATTTCCTCCATTCTTCTGCTTTGTTTCTCTCCCGTGGTGTTACAGATCAAGGATCGAGATACAACATTTTGTTTGGGGGCGGCCTTGATGAATGAGTGTTACAACAGACATTTGTTAAAAATTGGAAGTATTTTGCCCATAGTATTAAAGTTTTGGCGGGGGTCAAGGCCCCCTTGGCCCCTTATGTCTCGATCCTTGTTACAGATGAAGGCTTATGCAGGCCTTACACTGCTTTTTAAGTGAAACTGTAAGGATAAACATATCATTGGAAAGAAATTTTGATATATTGTAGTTGAATATCTTAGACTATGTCAAGCGTCCTTTCAAGCCGAATGGTTGGCCTTGCTTTGGATTTTTACTTCAAAATTGAATCAAACCCGCATGAGAAATTCTACTTATTTACCGTCAGTAACAAGTTTGACGGCAATGGCGGCGCCAGCCACTAAGCTCTGGGGGGGGAACCAAAAAAGCCACGCCCTTTTAACCACCATAAAACGCCTTTTTACCAACAGGGAACGCCAATTTTATCCGAAGGGAACATTGTTTGAAAATTGGCAGTTTGAAAATCATAGGATTACATCACAAAAAGTACGCTGTCAAAATATTACCCCTCCCCCAACATTTTGTCATCAAATTTAGACGAAATATAAAATCGATTCTGATGAGAACTAGAATTTTACAAAATATTACCCCCCCGTGGCGCCGCTAATGTTTGACGGTTCATGGTGAAAGGTCAACGTGTTTTATTACAGAAATGTACTCGAGACCATATGATAGCACATTCTCATTATAAATACGCCCTGAAGCGTCACTCGCCCTGTCTGGGTGCAGATGCTCCAAACAGTCCAAGATCTTTAGCAGTCCCAAAGGAATGAGTAGGATTCCCAATCGAAGTGTGCAAAAACGTTTTATTGTCAGCTGCAGGCATGTAAATTCCGGGGGGTCTAGGGACAGGCACTGCGCAGCCATTGGGCTAGCAGGGGCTATAGCCCCTCCACTTTTTTGCGATAATAGGTTAGAAAGCTTTTTGGAAAGTTTACTCTGACTATGGTCTAACGCAACATTGAATAGTATACTCCTAAGAAGTAGCAGTTTTTCTTGACTGGGAACCATCTTTGTTCATTTTCTTTATATGTGTTTTTCTTGATATTTTATTATCCCAACTCTAATTTTTCTATTTTTATAGCTATTGATGTCTTCTCTGAACCAGATTGTTTATGAAACCCCAGTAGAAATAAGCCAGTATTTTCTAAAAGAGGCGTTTTCCGGCGTTCTAGAGGGCGTGGCCTCAAAAAAATTTGGTCACGCCCTGTTCAGACCTCTTACATTTAGACTGGTGCGCGGCCCTGTCTAGGGGTGTCAGCCCCCTCCAGTCTTTGAACCTATTATGAAAAAGATGGAAAATTTGCGAAAAATCGGAAAATCTAAGTCGTTATTCTAATGATCAATTACGTTAGCCAATAATGTTACATAACGCTAATGCCGAGAATTATCTCAATTTATAAAGGAAACGACGAAACTGTGTAATTGTAGCGTTCTTGCAAGTAATAGTTTGGTACAAAATTACAATCGCCTTATTTTCTGTCAGAAATTACCCTTCATCCTCCCAAAAATATCCGTCAATTTACTTCACTGGTAAATTGCACTGAAAAGAGTTCAATTTTGTTGTAATTCTGCTTAAATTCTGTCTTTGGTCGATTTAGCGTTTGATACTGACGTTCTGATTTTGTACTTTGCTATGAATTCTGATATCATATTGTAATATTAACGCTAAGTTTGATGATAAATTTTTTTTCCTTTACCATTCAGTATCGAGGGAAGTGATGTTTATGAAAGTGATGGCGTTGTCTCGGTGACAGTTGATAGTTTCACCGGCAGCTTTCTCAAAGCAAAGGTATGTTAATTATATCGTTCAGGTAATATACCACTCTTCCCTTTGGTTCACGTAATTTTTTTTATCTAATGATTGCTAGTCTTGTGTATTGAGAAACCAAGGTGTGACACAGGCAGGACCCAGGGCCCAGGGGAAACCCCGATGCAATGGGACTCTTCCTGCATAAAGCAATTAACCGTTCGTATGGATTTGAATGCATAGAATTTTCTCTTTTTATTTTTGTATATATTCGTAAAGCATTGTTAAACTTTCCCAGTACATACATGATTTAAAATTACTTTGTTATTAAGAAACATATTTTAAATAATTGTTTACTGGCTCAGGGGAAATTTCCCATTGCCCCTGTCTCGGTGAACCTGATCACAGGTTATTTGGATTTTCAGAGAAAACATGTTTTGTTTGAAATATAAATGGCAATATGATAAATGTCTACGCAATGAAAAATGAAAGTAAGAGTATAAGGAGAATATAGCTTGACATAAACGAGCGTGAATGATTGACAGTGTACGCTCACCAGTTAACGAAAAAATTAGAAACATTTAAGAAAAAATTGAGTGATTGTCCAGGGCTGCTAAAGACGTTGAAGACAGAACTGGACAAGAAAATTTTGACTCTCGAACACATGAAATTAGAAACTGTTAATATTACGACAAAATACATCATGAGCGAAATCATTGCACTTCACTCTGTAGTCTCTCCTGTATGAAAGTGAGAGGGGGGCTTAATTGAGAGGGGGGCTTAATAGAGATTTTACGGTACATTTTTTGTGATTCAATTTTACCTCCGTAAAAAGTAATGGGCAAAATCCTTTGGAGAGAGGCTAATACAGGCAAATTTCGTTGGGAAAGGATTTCCCGATTAAAAATGGATTCTTAAAGATAACATTTGAGGTGTGATGTAATGTTTATTAAGGTGATATCTACACAGGTGCCCACAAATTTTAAAGAAATTTCCCCTATATCTTGCAAGTTTGGCAAGTTATAACGAAAATCCCACCCTCGGACATACACATGTCCTGTTGAGATTAGTTTCACGTCTTCAATATTTGTCAAACCTTCTGGAAAACGTGGCTCCTTTCATCTTGTCTGATATTTTTTTTGGCTACCGAGTCATGAATTCCTATTTACTCTGGGATTTCAACTTAATGCTTGAGCTGTTTCGCAAGATATTTCCTGAAACCAGACTGACGCGTTCTCTTGTGAAAAGTATCCAACAATACTATGTATCACTTGTTCCCAGGGAAATTTTGTAAAAACGGTTGCTTTATAGGTAACTCAAAAAACTGGATTATTCGGTATTCGTCGCCAAAAATTCTTTATTCCAAGTTATTGATTTAGCGAGAGTTATTTTGAATATGGCTTTTGAAGATTTTCAGACAAATTTTAGCTTGATTTACATTGAATGGAATAGAAAACGCCCTCAAATATCAAGTATAAGCTTGTTTTTCCAATAAGCGAGGCTTGGATCGCTTAGGTTAAAACGTGAAGTATATGTGCAGTATATGTGCAGTCTGGGGTAATCGGCATAAGAATTCATACTACCATGACAAATTCTGCCTACAATTTTGGTTAGATTTCATCATTAGACACATTTTTTTATTTTCGACTGTTTTAAAAGGTATCCAGGAATCCAGGCAAGGAGAAGGAAGACCTTCTATCAGCAGACATTGAATCCAAGGGTATTTGGGACTCAATAGCAAGGTTTATACTTTTGTTTCCTTTTAATTTTATTTCTCATTTTAATTAATTATTAACAAATAAGTAGATGTCAATATCTTTTTGAATGCAATTTTTTTGTGATTATATGCCAAACGACCAATAGACTGGCAGAGGCTATACTCTATCTGGTATTACAATTATTTTAAAATGTATCTCTATATACTGATGTTAAAGTTTGTTTATTGGCTGATCCTTTCTTCCTTACTTTTAGTTATGTAAGCAGTGATCAGGATAACATCGGAAGCAACGGAACGATTCATATCTTTTCTGTAGCAACAGGAAGGCTTTACGAAAGATTTTTAAGGTTTGAAAATATCAAATGTTGTATGTAAATGCCTTATTTCGTTAGGTAGTCGCCTTTTGCCTTAAGGTAATCTATTGAACTTATTGAGCAAAACTTCAACCCCCTCTCCCCCCTCTCCCCCTCCCAACAAAACAGCCTCCGCGGTACTGCGGATCAAAAGCAATAACCAAAACATGCGATTCTGCTATTAGGCAGCATTTACTAGCAAACTCAGATTGTGCCAAAAAACTATAATGGTGATATATTTCGGATTTTTTTAATACTTGATATAGAATCCATTTATATAAAGTAAAAAACCGATATTGTGTAGACAGAGGTAGTTCGTTTTCACCCACTTCATTGGTTATGTTTTCAATTGGCGAGCGGCACTGATTGGTTAACCTCAACAGTCATGTGCTCGCATTTCTGATTGGCCTTTTTCGATCCACAACTGGGTAGATATTTTTTTCTTAGCTTAATGTTTTCGATATAAATTCTGACGTTTATACTCTGATAATTGTCAGATGAAATGCTTAACTATGTTATAAAATGTTTTTTTTCAAAGATACTTTTTACTAAACTTCATTAAAACGTTTTTTAAATAGTTTTCTAGTCCGGAAATTTCGAAGATGGCACGCCTCTCGCGTTGCTTTCGATCCACACCTGGATATAAATTTTCTGCTTACTTTCTTATATAAGGCTTGTAGGCCAAGCGTGTCGGACAAAATGTGCTTGAGTATGCTATGTTGCTGGTATTTCGTGCCACCTTCAAATCTAGAATTATCGTGATACTTGGGCACATTTCTTCCTTCTGTTTTTAGGTCAATAATTTTTGCTTCTCGTTGATCATGTAAATTTTGCTAATGAAATTCTAGTGCCAGTATTTTGGTTTTTTAAGGATCATGATGCTGACAGTTTTAAAGAACACGAAAAATCCAGTTAAATTTTGGTTTCTCAAGAATTATTTGTCTTCAACATTTACGGTAAGTTGCCTGATAAATCATACCACCTTGGTTTAAAAATTTAAAGCTCTAGAAGAAAGGTTAATAACAAAAGCAAAGCATGGTTAACTCTTGAAATTCTTTGTATGCCAAAGTTAACTTTTATTAAAATTTAGCAAATTGCCATCCGAAACCTTTTTCAGGAACTCTGGAGCGTTAACTCTGCTCATCTGAATAATTCCGTTATGCTTCTAAGATTCCATTGTTTCTTAAAAGGCTTTAAGCTATAATTTTTCTTGCAAATTGTTGCAATATCTTCTTAATTTTATCCATTATCTATATTTTTTGCTATTTTTCTTTGGCATCAAGACAAAGCCTTTTTGCCAATTATATGTATATCCCGGGATTATTGAAGCTTTTGATAGAATTCCGCTCATAATGGTTTACTTTCACCAATAGCAAACTATGATCCCTCCTTCCAATATTTTTTTGTGAACTGAATATCATTTAGAAAACACTAAAATGCGTTCAAGCTCACGGTCGCTTTATTAAAAAATGCATGCTTTAATGTGATCGTTAGTTCTTTCTTGCTTGTTCATTTGGTTGCTCCTGCGTGGGCAAATAGCGTTTTTGAAAGTTCCAGCAGAGTGCAAAATTAAGCCTCAGTTAAAGTGATGTTACACGAATAGTTAAATTTGCAAAACTCCATTGTGTCAATGCACACTGCCTGTTGGCAATGCAATCTTGATGTTTTCTTTGAAATTGATAATAATTCATAGCTTGCTTTCGGATGCTAGCAAAATGCAATTTTAGTTTTAATATTGAACATTGATATGGAACTTAAGCAGGATGTTCAATTTTTTTTAATAACCTTAAAGGTACAAGAAGATTTTCTATTTATTTTTTCCCATCAATATAGTTGAGTTTGATATCAAGATTAGTTGAATTTATCTGTTCATAGCGGATGAAGGGTTACCGTGAATTCTCTTTTTAGCCCCCCCTCCCCCCCCCCCGGAGGGCTTATTATTTCTCGGCACTTCAAAGGGGGGCTTATAAGAGAGAGGGCTAAATTGAGAGGGGGGTCTAATTAATATTATAAATGCCAGAAACACATTCGTGACTATACAATTTATTGAATCATCGTCTTCGTATATTTTTAAAGAATTATTGTCGTACGGACAGTCAATGAATATATTTCTTTCGAGATAGAGCTGTTGAATAGGTGGCGTAAAATGGGCTTTTGGAACTGATAGGGTGGAGCCTTGGGACGGGTACCCAGAGACTTTTTTCATAACCCCACAGAGCACTGTCTAGGAATTCTTCGAGGCATTAAAATTGCTAAAGTTCTGAAATTTTAATCATTCTGTCACACAATCACCAAAATTCATAGAACTAAAATCACCTAAATTCCTGCATCGGAAATGCATTCTAATGAATGCTAGCTTCTGATAACAGTAAGAAAAGATAAAGCCTTTGATAAAAGAATCTGAATTTGAAGACAAAGATTAATATTGTCTTCAACGCAATTAAGGAGGTTTGAAAACACGGCGGTTTGACTTTTTTGATAAATACATCAGAGAAGGTTGAGAGGTGTTATGGATGGGGTGCGATAGAACTGGTTGATGTTTTATGGACCGCGCTTTTCGAAAGCCTTTCTTGTTTCATTACAGGCAATACGGCAAAACGTTGTTTTGAGGAAGTGGTCGTAACTCCCCGTGTTTCTTTTATTAGATAAAACTGACTAATGTAACTAGTTTTAAGTGAGCCCCTTATTAATCATTTTTTGTCTCGGGCTCTTTTAGGGAAGTCCCATAGCTTAACTTATCGATCAATATAAGAAAATCAAATGTTGAAATTTGAAGTATTGCTGTGTATATTATTTCTTTAAAGCACAAAAAAGCGATATGCTCTTTGCAATCACTTCACACTTCGAAAAAAACTACCAAATAATAATTAATGCTTCATTACACGAATACTAAGCTTCTAGAGCTAACGCTTCTGTTTTCCCAGTGACTTTTATAAGATGAATTCTTTGATTATTAAGTTTTTCTTTGCATCTTTTGCAGAGTTTCTTACCACACATGGCGAAGCAGTATAAATTCTCTTACTCTCTAGTTCAGTATCAGTGGCCAAGCTGGCTACATCGGCAGACAGACAAGCAAAGAATCATCTGGGGGTAAGAAAATTTGCTTCATTGCCTATCGCGATACACCAGTGTTAAACATCTGAAGACTTAAATGCCTTATTGTTTTTTTCACGCTTTGATTATTTTCAACTGACTGTCAAATTGAATCAAGCCCATAAGGCATTGTTCCATCTTCCCAGTAGAAATTGACTATATCATGCAACATTGCAAACTAGCCATGCAAAATCTATAACAGACACACCTGATACACAAACCACATCTTCCGTTAAGATCACATATTCTTCAAAAATTTATCTTAGTTCTTCAGTATTCTTGGCTTATCCGGTGATGAAATATACTCATTGCCGAAGCCAGGTCTTCTACAAACTGTCAATTCAATCATTACTCTTTGGTTATCTGTGTATTCTGATATTTGCAATTTTCATTAATTGCATGTTTTGGTTATAAAATTTAACCTCCTTGAATGAAATATTTTAACGACGGACACCTTCAAACATAGAAAAAAGTTATTTCGTTTGAAATTGTCCTTTATTTCTGCAGTAACCTTGCACAGGTACCTCCAGTTCAGGTCTAATTTATGGTGATTTCATAAATAACCTGCGACCTTCGTCGATGGATAACTTTATTGCTACCCTTATAGTCAGGATAATGAAAGCTGGACGCAGTTAGCAATAGACAAACGATTCAATAAGATAGTTAATAATTAGCTTCTTCCTAGGTACAAAATCCTCTTCCTGGACGTTCTGTTTCCACTAAACTTGGATCGAGTGATTTTCGTGGATGCTGATCAGGTAAGAATAGCCCTCGGTGTCATTGTCAACACCATTGTTGTCTTCAGTAACAGCCCTACTTGCTAAAAACTTGAACAAATCAATAACTGAGAAAAGCTCTGGAAAGCCTTCCAAAATATATATTTTTCAATTGATAAATCCACTTTCAAAACATATGATATGGTTACATTTTCGTAAGAGATTTTTATGTAAAATGCATGTACCAATTGATTGGTCCGTAGGTAGTCAGAACTGATTTGAAAGAGTTGATGGAGATGGACTTAGACGGGGCAGCATACGCGTACACACCGTTTTGTGATGACCGACCAGAGATGGATGGATTTAGGTAAGTATTTTTTATTGCTTAATGATTCAAAGATAAAGGTGCCTTGTGATTCAAAACAAGGCCCACGAGGAATAATTGCCAAAAGCGAGAGATAATCTGATATCTGAAGTAAGATTTTTCTGTCTAATTATTTGGAGTTGAATCTAAGAATATATGACTGTTTATATATTTGCATAAGATGCGGCCTTATGCAAATATGAATATCATTGCCTTTGTTTGAGAAAACAGATCTGAACAAACGGTATCCCACTCCCCTTTTACCTCGTGTAAACGCTCAATCCTAAGTGATTTTTCACTCCGGTGCAATACCTCGCTCCTATGTAGGCTGCCTCGCTCCTATTTAAGCTGCCTCGCTCCTATGTAGGCTGCCTCGCATCTCGTTCGCAAAAAGGTCAAAATTTCGACTTAAATCACTCCAATTCTACGCCCTTGTATAAACAGGCAGAAGCAGTTCTACTTCACGACTTTCATGAACAGTTCCACTTTATTTTCCGTCCAAATGAAAGCTTCTTCTTCAATGTTTTGTCTAAATTTGACTGGCATTTCAACTGAGAGAATTTTCGGCGTTTGTTTTAAACCTGTTTATTAATTTTTCTGTGACCTGAAAGAAGATTCTTCGCCAAAACACCAAACACTGTTCCTTGTTTGCAAAGAGCATGGCTATCCGGTGTCGTGTAACACAAAAGCAAAACGAAGTGAATATCAATCCGAAGTAGTGTAAATACTCCTAAAAGCAGAGTGCTTTCGCTTCGGATTGTTGATGGGAAAGATTTTCATTAACGTAGATTTTCTTTGTTTTCAGCTTGCATGATTGGTACATGTACGCAGGCATTTCCCTTCATGCCGACCATTCCATTACGCACTCCGTCTGCACATTTCTGACACGTTCAGGCTAGATTTGATTTTATTGTTAAGCAAAATAACAAGGCAATATTGATATTCCTTGTACTAAATCTAGCTTCATTGCTTAGGTTCTGGAAACAAGGATATTGGAGATCACACCTTCAAGGAAGACCTTATCACATCAGGTATCTTTTCAGTCAACATTCGGTCATCTTCTATTCTTTACTCAGTTTCTCTTAAGACAAATTGAAAACCTTGGAATTCAAGCTTCTTATTTTGTAACACGCGTTTTGAAAACTGTTTCATGAAACTCCAGAGAGTCTCTCAATACTAAACTGCTTGTAGAAAAGCTAATATGCTTTCCCTAGACAGCAATCGTTTGCAGTAAACTGCAGGTTTTATCCCAGTGTTTTGCATTTTGCAGTGCCTTATATGTAATTGACTTGAAACAGTTCAGAAGAATAGCTGCAGGTGATCGACTCAGAGGCCAGTATCAGGTGAGAAACGTATATAGTAGGTGAGAAACGTATCGTGATTCAAGGCATCACTGCAATGTCATTAGAAGGATGAAAATAGCTCAGATTACTGAACTAGCCCGCTCGCACGGCTATAAACAACAAATCAATCTAAAAAGCATTCGCCCGCCTTGCATTGTTTACAACCTGAAATGCAATCTTTTCGTTTAAATCTGATGATATATTTGCATTGTCTGAGACCCTTGCTAAATCTGTTTAATCTACAATCCGTCTTTTATTAGGATCTGCTCTCCAACGTATAACCGTTTAAATGCTTCTAAACCTGCTCTTGCGATATTCTTATCTGATCTAAGAGAATAAGAGAATAACTGATCTAAGAGCTGTTGGAAGTCGTTCTGGCCTCAAAGCAATCTTAGTTTGTCTAGTCTAGTACTAATGCTGTTAGAACTCTAGCAGATCCAGAACGGATCTCTGTTCTTTTGGCACTTGCTGGTGTCCAAACAGTTTACTTCCTTGCATTAAATGCGAAAATTTCGAACTGAAAACTGTAGGACACATCTGCGACAATTTTTGACCAAAATCTCTCGAACAAACAGTTGTAAGTGTAATAAAAATGGGAAGAACTTATACTGACTAAATAGGTGTAACAGAAATTTCAAGAAAAAGGAAAACTTAGAACAAGGGGAAAAACTAAGGAAAGATAAGAAAAATTCAAAGCATCATGAATTTAGCATCCCTAGCATTTTATAGCAAGCCTTGCACCTCATGGAAAAAAGCAACTTAGAAATTGTTGCATCTACAAGTAATAATGTATAGCAAAACTATGGCATCTCAGGCAAAGTGACCTCATAACAAAGCAGCAAAAAATCTTAGTGTTAGATTACAAAGAATTCCAAGAAGATCTTGTTTATACACTCACTCAAATTCGGATTCTCAGTAAAACCTTAGACATTTCTTTGTTTTTTTTTCATTTCATAAGAATTTAGAGCTTCCAGACGAAGCATTTTTCAGATAAAACCAGATTTAGGACAATTTTAGTTTTGTAAATAGTTTCCGAATGTTTGATGGCTCGAAATGTCTTCCTGGTGTTTGTTCTAACTAAATAACCATTTTTTGCTTAATTAGTCTAGCTCTGTGTAAAAGCGTTTCACTGACGTGACATCGTAATTGCTAAGCAAGCTAAATTGCATTACGTTTGTTCACTTTTTTTTCGATTTTTTTCAGGGACTGTCTCAAGATCCAAACAGTCTTGCAAACTTAGATCAAGTGAGAGAAATACGTTTACAAATTAAACTGTATCTTTTAAACAATAGAGGATGTTGTATGTCATAAGTTTTCAATTCTCATTCTCAATGGGCAAGCTGCACTGATTGGACAACCTCACCAGTCATGTGCTCGCGTTTCTGTTTGGCCTATTTCGATCCTCAACTGGATATATACATTTCCTAGCGTAGAATTTTCGATCTATGTTCTGACGTTTTATACTCTGAAGAGTGTCAGACGAAAAGCTTTAGTATACTCAAATGTTTGAGTTTTTCAAAGCCATTTTTAACTTTTGTACCACTGAAAGATTGTTTGTCATAAGTTCTTTAATAACGAGAAGCAGATTATGTCACATTAGTTAAAAGCTTATCTTGAATTGGTTTCAGGCTGCTAATCTGCCAACTAAGAAATCAAAGGATGCTATGACTTTGAAATAAGACGTTAGTGAACTTCTTCGAATTGAAACGCCTCTTGGCTGCCTTTCAAATAAGGATGATGGTTACCTACATTGCTGGTTTTCATAGGTGTTTCAAAATTGAAACGATGTCTATGGTCTATAATTTTACGCGTTCTGTGACTGGAAATTCTAAGAAATTACCGACCTTCCATTCCTGAAGATCTTGATATCACGATAAGGAAATTATATGGTTTGTAGGATGGAAAAATGTTGAAATTTAGACGCTTACAGTTCTCTGGAAAATGCCGCAGATAACCAGATCCCAAAGTTTCACATAATGTCACACTACAAAAATCACAATATCAAAGATGCATTCAGGTTTTAACAATCCTCAAACAGTTTAATAGTCCTATATTTTTGTCCTTTTCGCAGGATCTTCCAAATAACATGATACACCAAGTACCACTGAAATCACTCCCTCAAGAGTGGTTGTGGTGTGAGACATGGTGCAGTGATGCTTCCAAGAAGCGAGCTAAAACTATCGATCTGGTGAGTTTGTATTGATCTTACAATTTTAGCTAGCCCGTTTATTTTGTCCAAGCTAGGTTATGGAATAATCGACCTGGTTTTTGCGGACGAAATATCTGGCTAGATTTATCATTGCATATAAAGAGTCCCATTCCATAAAACATCTTAAAAATGAAATATAGTACAGAAAATTGCATTCAAAATGAAAACCATGACGCCCCGTTTCCTATTCGGCGTATTGTAGATGGTCCCGAGCTCGCTCTGTAAGTAACGTTAACTTCGAGTAGCACTTAAGTGCGTGTGGAAATATAATTTCTACCAATCCAAACACAGTATTTTACAATTTTTGTTTACTATTAGCAAGAATGGCCTCAGAAAATGTTTTCACATTTCCCCGCCAAAATTATCGCCTTGCAAGCTGTATAGCACTAACTGTGGCAATTTGAATATTGACCTAATCAAATATTTTGTGGTTTTGCCGGAATTTCGGCTAGAATGGTGCAATACTTAAAAGAAGTAAGTGAAACATATACTAAACATGACTAAACATCGTGCATTTTCAAATTTCTGTCAAATACATAGAGAAAGAAGATTTAAGAAAGAAGAGTTCGGAGAGAAGAAAAAGCTCTATGAAATTGGTTGCGAAACACTAGAATTGCGTAAAAAGAGACTTAGGATTTAAGATTGAAAGATTTGTCAGATATAATCTGAAGGTTTAAGAGGGATCAACCGATCATTTAAAACAGCAGAATGTGCTAAAAGTACAAAGCAGTGATAATTACTCGTGCTTCGCAAATAGCAAGACACTATCTCTAATGATCAGATTTTGCAGCTGATTCAAGAAGCATTTCTTAACTGTGGCTTTGTCGATCTAATTGCCTCTCTGTTTATCTCTTGCAGCTGAATCTACCTTACCTATTTTTTTTTCAGTGCAATAATTTTTTCTTTTTTTTCAGTGCAATAACCCACAAACAAAGGAACCAAAATTAAAGCGTGCAATGAGGATTGTTGAAGAATGGCCCGATCTAGATGCTGAAATAATGAGGTTACAAGACAAAGTTGCAAATCGAAATGTGTCAGATCAAGATGAGAGGCAAGAAGGTGTGTATGCTTAAAATGGCTTTGTTGAGCAATCAATATGGTGATGTTATAACGGTGCAAAGTCAGCTAAATCTGTTACAGCTTTCCTAAGATATGGTCAATGAAAGTTTTCAGGTTTACTAACGGATTACTTTGGCCTTGTAGATAACTTTTAGAACCAGGACCAAATTACACAAAATTTGATGGGGAAAGAAACTGTGCTTATAAGATCATATCTCAGGCAATCTGTAACCGAGCTAACTGATTTCGCACATTCAGAGGTATTTTGTGGTGGTCATTCAGGTTTTTTGTTCAAAATCCAAAAATTCAAAAAGTGTTTGTAATGACGTAATTTCTTTGTCACTATTTTAAACTTTAGCGTGGTGTTTGCTAAAGGCTCGAAGCATAGAGAAGTGCTTTGAAAAAAAGATATTTTGGGCAGGAGCAGTGTTGAGTTTGCACTGTTAGCTTAAATTATCAATCATCAATTGGAAAACTTTGGATTGGGATGAAACAAAACCACGCGGTTGAAATCTATTTATCAATCAATCAATCATACCAGATGAATCATACCAATCAATCCTGGAACTGTCATACTGCCTCTCCCACTTCCCCTTCCTGGAACTAACCTGCCTTCTCGTGTTTCGTGCAAGCAGGCAATAACCTGTTTCTGATGTAAATATCTTCATATTTCGATATTTGCAAACAATCTTTTCGTGTTACAGCATTTGAAAATGGCTTTGAAAAAAGCAAACATTTTAAAATATGTTACTGAAACCTTTCGTCTGACTCTCTTCAGAGTATTAAACGTCAGAACATCTATAGAATGAGAACTCATAGACAGTCGAACCTAGTGTAGGGTTTTCGATCTATGTTCTAATGTTTTACACTCTTAAGAGAGTCAGTCGAAAAGCTTTAGTAACATATTTCAATATTCTTGACATGATAAATATGACGAATTAAACTACTTTTCTTGTTTTAGATTCTGCAACGAAAGATGAATTATAGTAAAAGCACGTTGTAGTTATTTTTTCATTGGTGTAGCATAAAATGTGGGTGGAATTTAAAAAAATAATAGATTGCAGTCCAAAGGAATATTCCTGAATCTAGTAAACTATTAAAAGCTGATGGCCACAGTTCTAAACGAAATTGTTTTTTCACGATTGCTCTTTTCTCGCGTATTATAATTTTTCTTGAATCTCGCAACCCCAGGACCGTGTAGAGTCTGGTCGAGCAACTGATGTTGGATAACTGTTTATTGTACAAGCCTTTAAATTCGTATTTTTGCAGTTGTTTCTACAGCTTTAGAGACTAGTCATAAAACATGTTTTATCACAAACAGTAAAAATTGTAAAATTGGTGTCTTCTTGATCCGGGATGTATTCCTCTAATTTTACATTTTTGAATTTATCTAATAAAACAGTCTTGATTTTCAAGTGTCTATTCTTATCCGTCTCATTCTGTGAATCCCTTATAGTTTAAAACGCAAAACTATCCCTATCAAAACTAACTTTAGGCCCAACCTCTAAAAATATATTCTCTAGCCCGATTCTTTGATGAATTCATTATCGTGCCGAAAGAATTCCACTACAGCTTATACTAGCTTTAGCAAGGGCTCCTACATAAGGAAAAAGTGTGGTGAAGTGAAAACGAAGAGGGCTACTAGGGCTTGATTCTAATCCGTTTTGATTGCTCGTGATCTCATGTGTTTACATAGGCATTCTATGAAATAATAATTAGGCAATACCTGATTTCCACCCCACCTAATTAGAACGAAACAACAATGTCAGTTTTTCCCGGAAGCTGACATGGCTCCTCTCGTGACCTTCTTCCCTTGTCTGCCCCCCTCCCCTTCAGCCCCAAATTTACTTTGTCTTATGCTTTTTGTTTCAGTGCTGAAAATTTCTTCAAAGTTCCTAAAATACCAATTGCTGAAGAGCTTCCTTTTAGAAACACATCAAAGTAACGCGAGACGACATGAGAAAGAACACCTAATAGGTCTCGAGGACTTTCTATTTATCTATGTTAGAAAAAAAGTCCCTAATTTTCCGAAAGAATCATTTCCTTCCCTTCTTTAAAAGATGATTTTCAAGCAGCTTCTAAAGGCTGAGGGTGATCAGTACTATGGAGGCCCTGAGGGTGCGTTGCCCTCTTGTGGCCCAGTTTTGTGACTGTTTCTTGGGTCCGATTTAGCTTTCAACGATATTTTACAGCATTTTCTGCAACAACAACAAATGTTTATTCTGTGGTCATGTGATGATAATTTGTACTTTACGAATGGGAAGATGGCGGATGTATCCTGATTTGTTGTCGTTTTAACTTTTGCAAAATGGTTAGTTTAAGCGAAGGCAGAGGCGGTCACTCGGTAAATTCAAATGTTCTTTTGTTCAAATACATGATGAAACGTAGTAAGACAGGATACTTCATTTTTCCATGTACGCGTAGCTGAGAACTTTCGCTTTCGAAATTTCAAGTTTAGGCCAGCCAGTATAATATTGTGCTTTTTCTTTTTGCCGTATAACTTTCTGCAGTGAAATCAAATTTTTGTTGCTAATTCAATATTTAAATACACGCTTTTTGTATAAGACAGGACGGTTTTGAGCTGCATATCTGACTTTCACCGGTCTTCGGGCAAGTGATAATCAATTGTATTAAAAAACATAACTGAAGATGAATTTTTCAAGCTTCAGATGAAAGTTCTCAGGAGTCATGCTATTTGTTTGTCCAGAACAACTTTGACTTTCAATTAAACCAGAATCTTTTGCTCTGGTGCGTGAATATCTGTTTCTATTTTAAGCATGGCAGCCAACAATTTGTACCCAAATCCACAACTTTGATTTTTATTGGTGCTGTGGCATCCCCTGAAGAGTATCACTTTGTTTGTTTTCAGCAGCTCCAAATTTAAGTTTTCATTTTTATGAATCTAAATTTCAAACTGCTGACAATATTTTTTTCCAGCATTCATTTAGTGACATTGTTAGTGCCCCAGACACTCCTGGCTCCCACATTTCCAGCATCTCAAAAGAACAACTACTGCAACAGCAACCAACTCATGCCAAGATATTTAGAAATGCTAGTTATGTCACAACCATTACAACAAAATCTGCAGCCATTGTACAGGCATTTGTTTTTGTAAGTATGTTTAAAATATTGAATAGTCAGGTTTTGACAGACAATCAAAGTTATCCCAAGCAAGGGTACTGTTTGTTGTTGGTTTGATTTACATCCCTAAGATTTGATATACATTGACAATTATTGTTATTGCAAAGCTTATCTTCTTAGACATCTGTAACACCTCAAGTGCCAGTCAGCATGTGCCTTATCTGCTCAACAAAATACACATTTTTTGGATTGGCTACCAAAGCAACCATGCATAGTGAGCAAAGCTTGCAATTGTTTGTACTGTTGTATGGTCAATTCAGGGGGGGGATGTGCAAGTATCTTGGGCACTCTGTAAAGGGTCAACAAGACTGGCATTAAGGAGGGCTTGCCTTCCAGCTAGTCCTCTATAAACCAGGGACGTAACTATTGGGGGGGTTTGGGGGGGTGTTTCACCCCCCCAAGGGCAAAGCAGGCCAAAGCAGAAGGAATTAGTAGTTCTCGCAGGGCAAAAGAGATTAGAAATCAAGTTTCACAAAATATCTTAATTCATTTTACTTTCTTATCAAATCCAAAACATATGTTAGTTTTCCGATTTGTTGTGGTATTGTAAAGCGAGTTTCTTATTTCCGTGCCCCTCGCAAAGAAAAAGTGACACTGCTCGGATAAACGGTATTCATCAAGGCATAAAATGAAAAGTGGCAAGCTTGCTCAGCATTTTTCTTCTGAAGCACACCAAGCAGCATTGGCTGATTTTGCTAGGTTTTCAGTCGAACAAGGACATATTGACATTCAAATGAATAGGCATCTGAAGGATATCATCATTCAGGAGAAGGCTAACGAAGAAAAATGCAAATCGATAATGAACATTTTGTTTGATATTGCTAGAACATTGGCAAGGCAAGGAATTGCTTTCAGAGGCTCCGCAGGAGACCAGAACGGCAATTTTGTCCAGTTTGTGAATCTTCTGTCCAGGCACTGTCTACAGATGAAAGAATGGCTTGATAGCAAACGATTGAAGCCTTTCAGTACGAAATACATGATTCTAGTTCACAAAATGAACTTTTAGAGATCTTGGGGGAGAATGTTAGAGAAAGAATAAAAGATGAGATTGAGTGTGCTAAAATGTTGTCGGTTTCGGCCGATACAACACCCGATGTTAGCAATAAGGATCAAATGGTTGTGGCTGCAAGATATATTGGTGAAAATGGAATTGTGCGCGAGGGAGTGGTGGAAATGAAAGAGTGCAATGACAAACATGGAGATAAGACAGCAGAATGCATTCTCAAGTGTCTGTAAGCAAATGAAATTAATGTGAATTATCTCTGCTTCCAAACATACGATTTCGCAAATAATATGTCTGGGAGAATTGCAGGGGCACAGAGGGCTCTACAAGATATTCTTGATAGACCAGTCCCGTACATTCCATGTCAAGGGCATCGATCTAATACTTTCAAAGAGCATTGTGCAAAACAAAGTGCCATAATTACGTCGATATACGATAATCTTCAAGATATATATGTTTTCTTCAGTGCCAGCTCCAAACGAAACAAAATTTACGATAAAGAAGTTCAAGAAGTTGAAGAGTACTCCTTGAAACTCCGCAACATGTCTAAAACGATATGGGTCTACTCTTCAGAGTCGATAGAAGCAGTGTGGCGAAGTTTACAAAGCATACTCAAAGCAATTGAAAAAGTTGTCAGTGACTACAGCACAGAAATGAAGGGTAAAAGTGAAGGGTAAAGACATAAAGAAAAAGTGTCTGTCATTTGATTTTCTTTTTGCATTGATGTTCATGTGATTAATTATGAAGAAAACAAAGATTTTGATGATGCAACTCCAAGCAGAAGAGCTTAACATCCTAGATGCGATGAAGTTAATTGAAGCAACAGTAGAAAATCTTAAGAAGATTCGCATTGATAACAAGGCTATGGATGAAGAGTTGGATGCTCTAAACGAGTGCGCTAAACAGCATGGAATAGATTCAGCGGCTGAGTTTAGTGGAAATATCGACTCAGGTTGCAGCCAAGAAAGATTGACAACGGTCCAGAAACATCAGCGGAATTTAAATTTAATTCCTTCTACAGAACAGAAATGTGTGTTGTTCTCGATTCTCTGATAGCAGAGTATGGTGAAAATATCAAGGCATGCTTAAAAAAAATTGAGCCATTGGCAATGGCGTTGCAGCCACCACTCAAAACGATAAACCCAGAAACAGTCCACGATCTTGAAAGCTTTTCCCACCAGGCTTCATATTGAAGCAGGGGTTATATTATGTGAGCTAGATGTTTTTAAGTCAATGATTGAACAGCAACAGATCCAGCCAACTTCCGTCAAAGAGGCTGCCAAATTTTCATATGAAAACAGACGACTTTTCCCAACGGTTTACAAATGCTACAGCCTTCTTCTTACAGCACCTGTGTCTGTGGCTAAAGACGAGCGAACCTTTAGCAAACTTAAGATTGTTAAAAATTTGCTGCGATCAAGGATAAAAGATGAACGATTGAATGATCTCATTCTACTTGCTTGTGAGAAAGACCTAACAGACACTATCCCACTTGATAAAGTATTAAAAGTATGGCATGAAAAAAAATGAGAAGAATTTCAATTAAGTAAATTAGTGTGAAAGTAGACTAATTATTGACTTTTTTATTGCGATTGTTGGTTTGTGTTGCTTTTTGAAAATAATATATGTACTTATGTAATATATGCATAAGTACAGTACATCTATACTTGTTTTACAGGAATGCTTTCTATCGCAGCCCAGTTCATGTTTTGAATTACTATTCTTTTTTCTTTTGTTTCTTTTAAATTCTTGTTTATTTTCTCTAAAGTAATTTTGATTTCTTTTGTGTGGGCTATATTGTTATCATTTCCTGAGGCATTTTAACTCTTTGAGGCCCGGTTTCCATTACTCCGTTTTTGTATGTCAACGTTCTCTCTTTCCATTCTTTTCTTATTTTTTGAACACATTACCCTGGGCCACTGTGTTTTGATCAAAACCATATGCCTGATGTTTTCATTACTCCATATTTATCTGTTCTCATATCCTTAGCTTGAGCTCTTTTTGAAACTGAGATTGAATGACTCCGTTTTTGAATGCCTCTGTCTTTGCTGTTCCCAAAAAACGATGTGTATTCAAATGATTCCATGTTTTCGGATGACTCCACTTTGAATAGCATTTTTGAATAACTTCCCTAAATTTAATTATTTTGTTTTCAAGAAACCTTTTCTAAAATTGCATAAAAACATTTTGGTTTTTCTTATGCGCTTTTTCAAACAGTGATACACACCTTCTATTACAAAGATATCCTCAGGTCTTCATAAAAATCGTAAAGTCTCCATTTTATGGATCACACATCATCACACACCATTGCACACCTAAACTTTTCAAGGCATCTGATTACCAGCACACCAACAAATTTCATATTGCCAGAACTGCTCTAACATGTCAGCCAATAGCTGTTTCCTATCAAGTTTTTTTAGTAAGTTCACATTGACAAAAATTGTATATAATGAATTGTTATTTCAAAATTACATACCTTTAGTGCACTGTTTAACTTCTTTCTTTGATCTTTTGCCAAAGGTTGCATTTGAAGTTGCTATCTTTATCCTCTCTGATGTTTTGAAAACACAATTTATGGGAGGAGTGGATCCTCCATTTGCACTGCTAACATCCATTCATGTTGGAGTTTGGCTGATTGTGGTAATAATAGATCGATATCTACACTACCATCACCGGCTTCTCAGAACTTATGGTTACCTTGCTTTCTACACAGAAACAAAGGACATTCGCAGATTCCCATTATGGGTGATTTCCATTGGTATGAAACTCAAATTATTTGAGCTTTCTGCAATAATTTGGTTTTTTCTTCTTTTTTCTTGAAAGACAATTGACAGATACTAAAAGGGCTAAAGCCATCTTTCTATAAAAAAATTGACCAATCAGTAAGTGTGATTCCACTCACACACTCATTGATCAGCTAATTTTGTTTGACAATTGGCTTTAGCCACTTTTATATCTGTTGATTGTATTTAATCCCACAGTTTTCTAAAAAGTCTGCACAGGTTTGATGACATTTTAACCTTTAATCTTTTGTCAACATGACTTTTTTTGAATTAGGTTCCTCTAGATTCATAGTTTTCAATCTAGACAAAATACGGGCCTAACAAATATATTTTAGTACTCTCCCACCTTAATGATGACATTTTGATGGTCAAGCAAAAGCTTAGGAATATATAATGAACCAAAGGTGTCCAAAGTCCTCTTGAACAACGTTCCATGAACTTTTTCTCTTAAACAAAAATCTTACCCATTCACCTGCATGCAGACAGGCTGCAGCAATATTGTAAATGCTGACAAATTAAATTGGCATGCTTGTGTATTTTCAGGGAGATAGCAGTTTTCTTCTTGAACTATTTGTTATTTTCATTTCAACTCATTTATCATTTAATTTATCTTTCCAGGAAATGCTGTTCTCCTAGTGATTGTATCCATTCTTGGAAGAAAGTCTTCTAAAGTGAATCTTATTCTCCTTTTCAAAATTATTGTCTCGGTTGAATTGGCTGTTGCCTTAATTACAACCATTATTTATATTGGTAAGATGTTTTAAATGTGTTATACTTTTTTTACTTTGCCTTTTAAACTTATGCTCAATAGATCAAACTTTTTATATACTTTTTGTTTGTCCAAGACTGAGACATAACAATTTTATTTTGATTTTTTTTTCCTTTTTTAGCTAAAGTTTCCAGATTCAATAAAGTGAAGAAACTTCCAGATGCTTTTCAACAGAAAGTGGTTGGTGGTTTTGTTGAGGAAATGTATGTTTCTCCTGATATTGGATTCAGGTGAGAATTTTCAGTACAACAGGTGGTACCTTGTTCACCAAAATATCATTGTTATGCTCATATTTTTAGAAACCCTAGATGCAAGGAAACTTGAACTGATACCATTTAAATGATGAGAAACTTCTGCACTAGTGAATAAAATCTAAAACAATTTTTCTGCTAGCCTGGCTTTTATGTTCTCTTTTAGTAAAAATCTTGTTCATGAGCAGAGACTCCATTAAGTTCTGATTTTAAGAAAGCAGATGGTTAAAAGAGTCTTTGAGTGTTCCATAAGACAGTTAAGATAAAAATGCATGCTGCTAAATGTTATGGCCTTGTTAAATGTACAGTTCGTTTGAAGTTTTTTATTCAGCACCAAGTCAGCTGTAACAAAAGTAAAGAAATTGCTAAAAATTTAAAGTATTAGAGAATATCAGAGGATATTTAAATATATTAATGGAGGGAAGCTAGTTATTTCCAACTGCTTATTTTCATTCATTTCTTTTAAATGCTAAATTCTGGTGTAAAGCGGATACTTGTGCTAGACATTCACTTGCACAGATTATGGTCCACTTTCCCGACCTGCATCTCAAGTTCCATAATATCAACCTGCATCTCACATTCATGTTATGTTTATATATCACAATTTTCATTAGCAATTTCATACTCAATTTAAATGTTTATTGGTATGTATTCATTATTTATTTGTGAATGATATAAAACGAGATCACAATTCATTCTATCTTTATTTGGGTAGCTAACTGTCATCTACAACAATAATTTAAATACAATCTTCAGATTCTGTTTGGTTCAAAAGTCCTTTGTGGTAATTTAGGGTCTCCTATCAACTATATTTTAAATTTTATGTTTATTTTAATGTGTCGTTTTCAACTCTGAGAAAATTTCAGCAGGGCCACGCCCTAATTTTTGGCAACTCTGTAATGGTGATATCTCCAGAACAATTTGAGATGTTCACTTCAAATTTCCCAAAAAAATCATTTCTTTAGGATGTGAATGCATGGTAGTAAAATCAGTAAAATCTGAGATTACATATAGAATCAATCTGGTTACAAAAATGCCAATTTGCATGAAATTTCACATATACAATCACCCTGAAGGATCAGTCCATTTGTTCCCATCTCTTTGCAACTTTATTTGCCACATTTCTCAAATTTAAAAGGCCACTTTTATGATGGGTGACACGGAAAAGGGTCAATGATTTTTAGATTATTTTTTCAAAAATATAAAATCTGAAGACTCAATTATGTCACTGCTTTAACTGTATTAACTGTATTTATGAATTTTCTTGTGGGTTTTTTCTGAACAGAAATCAAGATAACCTTGACGAAGTGCTTGAAAAGCAAACAGAAATGATCCGGTATCTACAGCAACATAATGCCATTCTTGGGAAGAAAATTGTGGAAGTGACACAGCAAGTGCACCAGCTGCGCAATAACAGGTAAACATGGAACCCTGGTTCTGCTTGAACGTGTACCAACTGGGCCTTTAAGTGCCAAATGTCTCTCTGTAATGCGCCAAATAAACACACTGTAACATTTTGCTATTTGTTTAACTAGAACTGTAAGTTATTCCTAACGCATAAATTTTGCTAATCGGTTTGCGTGTTATACATAGAATGAAAAGTATCTTAATTTCTTTCAAACAGTTTGTATGCAAAGCTAAACATATAAAGCTTACTTTATATTGACGAAAGTTACCGAGAATTATAATTCTCAATTGATATCTTGCGAGAAAGATTTGAATTCTCTGTGCGAATTGTTGATGAGCTTCTGCAACTTGATGCCCACTGAAAAGGAAAGCTGACTATTATGTAAATATATCGAGCCGACACGTTAGTTCCAACCCGTTGTATCTGTATATGGAAGGAAACACCAGCAGTTGAAATAAAGAAAAAATCATTTTCTTTATGCCTATATGGTAGGACAGACCCAGGCTACAAGGAACAGGGCAGACAAATCGAGCTCTTAGGCAAATTTCTATGTTAAAAAAGTTAAACACGTTATTTTGTTGTCGATACGCTGGACTAGAGTTTATGAATAGATCTTCATGTTTGTAGTAACATTCTCTCAATCTTCACTAATTTTTCAGGCTTTGTGTTATTTTAACCAAATTTCGATAAGTCGAATGTCACGATTAATCAAATGAGAATTATATTTCTCGGTAGTCGGTAATCCAAGCAGTTATGAAGCATGTTTTTGCCAGTTATCTTCCTGTGCTTTCACTGTAAAGAAAAAACACTCGGCAATACAATTTATGTACCATGGCATTGGTTGGTGGTAACTCAAATTTAGTTAATTGAACTATGCCCAATTTGCTATCATCATCAATTTACAGAAGCGTTACATTGTAGCTGTCAAGAATGGTGTTCAGGCCAAGGTACAAACTTTCCCCTGGCATAGCTTCTACCAATTTCCAAACAGCTAAACATTTCTTTAATGTTTGCGATGTCTTCATTCTACCTACTTCCTCTTGTTAGCTGTTCGTGCCCATGTTATATATGTACTAGATAGCACCCATTGGTAGTTAAGTTATGATATTTTCTTTCACTCTGATCAAGAATGGAACATATATGTCCCTCGCCTTCTCTTTGGTGGAGAATTATAATCCCTGTTCACAAATATTTGTTTAGTCTTGAATACTTTCATCAATGTTTATACTTGCCTATTTGGTATACTAATATTTCGAAAAGGACTCAAATAAAGATTGTATTTTGTACTTGTCTAGCAAAAAGTTAGCAGAATTACAGTGCTTGCATTTATTTTACTTATTATTGTTTAATGCACTAAAATTTCTTTCCCTTCTATGTGTTTTAATGTATAAATACCAATATATTTTAGCTGCATAACAAAAATGTTGACGTCCTTCTTCTTACAAAACAGAAAGGAACCAGCAATGCCGCTTCTTAATCCTGAAGTGGATCAACCCTCCAGTTTGATGCTCTTGGGGCTAGTACAGTCAACTCTACTTATAGTCACTACAGTTAATATAAAACTACTGGTTATTGTCACACAAAATTGAGTCCCAAACATGCAAAACACCTCAATGTGGTTCCCTTTAAAATCACACTCCGCTTGCTGCCACAGCTTTTCAAGCAACATTTGGAGTGACGATAACCGGAGTCTACTGTATTAAGCTCCATGAATCTCAAACACCCGACAAGATAATTGAAATGATACCTGTTACCCGATGAAAACAGTTGCAGGTAGTCAGTGAAACTGGGAGCTGAAAAGGAAAAAAGGAGGCTGGTATGGGACTTAGAAGCGAGGCGAAGAAATGAGGCTTTTTCGTGATACACCCTCCATAAATCTTTTTCGTGATACACCCTCCACGCATTTACTATAAATCTTCAATAAATCCAGGTCTTGAATACAGGTAGAACACTGTTCAGGAGCATGTTCCTACAAATATTTCAAGGACGTTAGCCCATTGTATGATTTTCATTTCAAATTTATTGCCAGTTAAATTGTAAAAAAGTAATGGGGAATGCTAGGGTGTATTCAGCACCATTATTCCCCATTTGTTGCATCCTGTTCTTCATAAGCTGGATCAAACGTCTGTAACTTGAAGGTTTGCTGTCTAGCTCACTGATGTAGAAATGCGATAAAATTTTCGGATTTTGAGCACAAATCATGTTGATTTTATAGGTTCATTCTCCATTTTTAGCATCGCTAATATCGCTGCTGTACCTGAAACTGCAACTTGTCCACATTAGAGATATACTTTCTAAGAAGATTTCCACACGGATTCGATATTTTATGCAAGAATCAGTTAAGATATTTTTAACTGGCAACAAGAATGTTATTTGACAAAGCAAACTATCTGTAATGAGCTAGTTTTTGCGCAACTAAGAGGGACTGTAGCGTCTCTCCATATCTTTTGTTGATTCAGATAAGCATTACCAAAATAACTTAGCCTTTATCGAACTCGAAAGAAATTCGTAAATAACAGTTTACGAGTTTGCTGCACATAAAGGAACGCATTCGCGCAAAATTACACGCTTCAGCTATTTGTCATGGATTGCGAGAGACGTGCCCAGGCTTCCAGAGCATATCGAATTTGTAACTGCGTTGATACCTGAAGATTTCGACTTCTTGTGTTGCGATTTGCATCGACTCTTTCACGAAAAAATGACGTAGGGTTGAATGGAAGTGATGAACCCAAGAAGCGAGGATGAAATGTCTAGTTGTTATTTATTTGGCATTTGGCGTATGGGTCTTTGTGAATTGTGGAGTGATAAAAAGGGACAATGGCGAACCTGCGATCGACAGTTCTGGTCAAGAGATCAAAAATAACACAGGTAAGCCTAGCCTCACGAAAATAATCTGGTAGTAATGGCAAACCTGCTATAATAACTTTCTATTATCGTTATATGTATGGTTCGAAATTTACTTTCACTGAAGATTTCACGGAATACGACATCGTGATCTAGCTGCCTCTTTTAATATAATTGTCAGATTTTTCTCTTTGCTGCTTTCAATTTTCTAAAAAAATTTCTCGATGTTATTCCTTACTATGCTGGGTTGATGAATAAAAAAGAAATGGTTGATTCTTCAAGACGTAAATTTATATATTTGTCAGCAATATATTTCAACTTTGTTATTTTAAAGTATTGTGACATGCGTTGATAGTCCAGTGCTATTAGGCAAATCAGTTTTCTTCCCAGTTTTGAAAGTAAAACCGTGCCAAACTTCACTTCGAAAAATCTCGAAGCCATTTTAAAACTAATAGACTTTGTGTATTTAATGCGGGATTAGCTGACTCAAGATTTTAAGCCGTAAATTACGAAAAAATTATCCGATCGCATCTGAATAATTGAAATATCTGCATTAAAAAGAGTATTTTCGACCAGTGCCTTGTTTGTTTCCAAGGATTTTCTGTAATTTGTGAAGTTTTATGACGTATTTTCAGCCAATTTCTGTCAGCTGTCTTACTTGATTATTTTTACGCTTCTAAAAGCATCGTTAAAATGGTGAGCATTCTATACTATGACGTGATAACTATTTCTTATGGTTTTATAGAAGCTTCGAATTCGTCAGAAAATCAGACGGAGGCCAATAAATCTGTAATCCAAGAGTCTGGAGCAAAGCGAAAAAACGTTCCCGAAGGTTTGTTGACATATTATGTAATGACTTTGTTAGTATCTTTATAAACCCTGATATTATGTTCAAAGCAGTTGTAACGAAATCTGGGCATTCATGGTGCTCTTTTTCATATCATAGAACCTCACTATAAAACTCCTCTGCCAAATTTTTGATCAGCCTCATATTCCCATAGCAACATAAAACGACATGATCATTTAACGCCAATTTATATTGTAATATTCAGAAGATACAAATAACCCAATGATTATTTAGACTATTTTAAGGAAATAATACATAAATGTATCAATGACCTCTCTATAAGCTTCAAATAAAAATTCTATGTTGATGACTTGTTAGCTATGAACTGAAACAAGAATCGTGGATTGGGTTGCTCAGATAAAACGGAAAGGGCCTAGGCAGTTTGTTGCTAATGCAAATGGCATTTTCTTTCCTCTTGAGAGTGGATCACCAGACCATGGACCAAATTTTTCTCTCATTTAACAGCAACTTTACGTGGTCACAAAGATGGACGAAAAGGCAATAGGACGTCCGATAAAACCAGTGAATCAGTTACAGTAACAGGGCAAGAACAGCCGTCTTCTGGACTAACCGGATCTGACAGCAAATATGACGGCGTTAACGACGATATCACTAAAGCATCACAGGAAGTTGCCGAGATAAGCAGGCTTATAGGAAAGCCCTTGACAGATTCTCATGCATTAGCCATGTTAAAGAGCATTCTGTTGGAGAAAATCCATACAAAACTAGAAGAAACCAAAGACACTGTCTCGGCTTCAAGCAAAAGTACTGAGGAGGGTGTAAACAAGTTTGTTGCTGCGTTGGCAGCATCACAGAAAAATGACGGTGAGTCAGGCATGCATGTCACCAAACTACCAGACATTGATTTCTGCCGATCTAACTCAAGGGCATAATTGCAATCCATTTACCTTTTTCACTAACGTTTATTAATCATTAAACAATGGAAAACTACTAGCTAGACTTTCACATGTGGAATATTTCACATATTGGCATTCTCCCAATCTGCTGTCTCTAAAAATTGAATCTGTGAAGAGAATTTTCAATTATTGACTTTTGATAATTCAAGTAATCTAAATCAAAATTGTTCATCATTCACTAGGAAATAAGCCAATTTTTTCAGACCTAAAGTCGACCTGCAATCACTTTTATAAAAGAGAAAAGATTTCGCTCGCTTTCTTATACACAAGCAAACAAAATTCTTGTAACAATAACGGCTTTTCTTGTGAATGGTGTCATTGAAATCCCAGAATCCAAAATTAAAAAGTAAGCATTGCTGAAGACGAGATTCGATGAACACGAAATCTAGTAAGATCATTTTGTCTACAGCCAAAGACGAAACCACAGAGCCTCAGCAAAAGTCTGAAAGTCATAAGATCAGCAATATTAAAGGTATTCTAATCAACTCAAAATTGTGTTTTGTCTCTTTTGCACAATATTCCTACACTAATTACATTCTATCGATATTTCTTTATGTCTGCACTCTTTTGATATTCTATCATAATGTTTTCTGTTTGAATCTCCTCCCAACAGACATCTCAACACACATGTGATATACGTGATTGTATTGCAGTTGATTGTGGCACGGTCGTTATCGATTCTAACATGATCTCAAAACTTGATTTCCAATTTGTGTTTCCTAAGTTTTAAATATTAAAGATATATCTTATTCAAACAAAGAGCTGTTTACATGACGAGCGATGACCCACAAGGTGACAGCTGAAGAACATTTAAGCTCCGCTTTGAATTTTCTCGTGTCAACCCAAAAACTCCTAATCATAACAATTGATAACAGTTTTAATATATCGCTTTATGCAAATGATGCTAATGTGAGGATTCTTAACTAACGACTAATTACTAATCATTGTAGTTTTAAATCTATCATACTTAGAAAAAATCAAATGTTCGGACCAAGAACCAACTGAGAAATGTCAGTATTTGAAGAGGCTAGGCCTGTGCGACCACAAGGGTCCTGGCGAAGTGAGAGTTAGGTGCCAGCTGACGTGTGGCGCATGCCCAGATTGTTCTGGCTGTACCACAATCGACTGTGGTACAATCTGCATTGGATATGGTGAGTGACATATCCGTGATGGGTGGGGACAGTGCACCCCTATTCAAATTTCTCCATCAAGGAATTTCTTTTGAGTTCTGATTCTAGTGGGTACTAAAATTAGATCGAAAATTCGTATTTAACTCTGCTAATATTTTATTATTTTTCGATTTCATTTGGATTTTAATCAATTGACAATATAAAAAGCAAAGGTTTGGAGACAGCATATGAGTAATTCGCCTTCTGCATAGAATATGGAATAAAAACGTAAATATATAAATATGGAATGGCCGAAATTGTTTCACCGAGTAAAGATAGGGAACACATTACAGATATCCCCTCCCCTTTTCCTTGACCATTCGAAAAAATGTTAATCTTTGAGTACCATTTTTTTGGTACAACAGCTTCCCCCAATTAAAGCTGAATTTTCTTTCAAGTTTGAAAAGGTAGAGGATGGTCTTTCACTGAGAATTTTTAATTGCAACATACGGCTTTAAAAGCCAGAATATTTTTATAAATCTCTTTACTCCACATCTTAATAATTGTGATAAATTCTTTCGTAGACGTCACACCTACGGTTCCACCTCCTCCGCCTCCAGCTCTCCCTGAAACCGCCCCTGTCCCAGCACCTATCCCACCCCCAGCACCTATTCCACCCCCAGCACCTTTTCCACCCCCAGCTCCTATTCCACCTCCAGCATTCATCCCACCTCCTGCTCCACCATCCGTAGTCCCTCCTCCGCCCCCTCCCCCCTTACCAGTTGCTGTACCCTCACCTCCTCTACTAGTCCCCACTGCTACAGCCCACCCGCACATTATAGCAGCGGCAGAGCCAGCTCATGTTGAAGCTGTACATGGTCACGACAAACAGGGACATGCAGTTGTAACTACAATCTCACCCTTAGCACACATGCACCCGACTTTACCAGTGGCGCACCCTCCAACGATCTTGCCAACAAACCATCTTCATTTGATGTGAGATTTTCTAATGTATTTCATCATTTATTTTATATCTTATTCATTTCTTGATGATTTAAAATTATTAAAAGGCCTAGACGTTTAGACGCTTGTCCATTTGTCTTGGTTTCTAAAATTGGCTGTTTTTCAGTTTCAGCTTCTTCCCTAAAACTGAAACATTTTTAAACAAGGCAAGAGCATTAGAGGAGCTCTTTCTGAATATTATTTTTACACAAAATCTGTTTATTTGCTTTAATTTTGATATAATTTAGAACTGATGATATTGCTCAATTTTAGTGCCACACCAACAGCACCAGCAGTATTACCGCCATCGCCAGCCATACCTTCACCACCCTGTCAACCCGTTGTACCAACAGAGGTTCACAACGTGCCACCACCTGTAGTACCTCCCCCACCTCCTTGCAAACCCGTGGCACCTACCTGCCCTCCTTGCAAACCAACAGCGCCTACATGCCCACCATGTAAACCAGCGCCCCCGGTTTGCCCGCCACCTGAACCCAACCCGCCACCTGTTGTTCATGTGCCAACAAAGGCACTTCCTCCTTGTGTTCCTGCGCCAGAGCCGGCGGTAAGACCTGTCGAGATGCATGCAGAAGGACATGTTACTGTTGTAGCTGCAAAGCCTACAGCAGTTGTTGATGATCATTTACACCCGGAAACAGTTGCCCAACCAAGCAAGCCTACTTGGCATCATCATCACCATCACCAGCATCCCGCTACTGTACCCACCATGCAGCCAATGATTGGTACAACTGTACAGACAGGTGTTGTGCCGCATGCAACTACACCAGCGGCTCATGTAGAGGTGAATGCGGCGTTTCCCGTTGAAGCGGCCAAACCAGCCGTTGCCCCAGTCGTAATAAATCCAGTGACAAGGCCACATCCAACCGTCCCTGCCAATCCGCTCCCTCCTGCTGCTCCCGCCGCGGGTACGTGCTGTAATCAAGGTATTTCTCTATATGCACGATGACTTTCCATCTTAAATTAAGTTTTAGGATTTTCCAGCTTAAATATTGAATTATTCCCTGTTGTCTGAATTATTGAGTTAATAAGGGTTGTAGGTCTCAGCAAAACCTGTTTGTGAGGATAATCCCTTGTCACTCTTACACGATGAAGTTGATTACGTGCCCTTGATCCCCGTTCAGTGTTTCTATATACTAAATGTTTCAGTAATTTTTGAAAAAATTGTCTTCGGTCAACAGCTGTTTGTTCGTCGTGTACAATTATCCATCAAGCCAAGTTACTTTCGATTGCATTATAGCAAATAGTGTTATGTTAATCCTATGGATTTCGGGATGTTCCAAAGTTTAGGAATCGTTTGATACAGTTCACTACAGAATCTTGCAAAATTAAAGAGGAGATATAAGATTTTGTTCCTGGAATGCCACCAAAAGCGATTTTTCAGTCATATAGAATAACAGAAAGTAATTTTGTTCAGTAAGTACGCTGTATTGACTCAAAGTTTCGATAGTCTAATTGTGTTGTTCGGCAAGTATCAACTCTAGGCCCACTGCTAATTGCATTGTAATACCAACGTAAATTAGTTACAAACTTTTATGCTAAAAATTTGGAAAAACTTAGGCCGTTTTTTTCCTGGCTGAAGAAACTTTTTGAAATGTTGATTTATACCTTGCAAACCTGTGCTAAGTTCCATTTTATCTATCATTCTATATTTTTCAGATGTTCAAAAGTGTGCTACTCCGGTTGATATTGGCCTGGTTTTGGATTCATCAGCAGGCGTTCGCGGTCGTTGGGGCTATATTAAAAATTTTGCAAAGTCTCTGATCGATCATTTCAAAATGGGGGAATACGCGCGTTTTGGCGTCGTGCAGTTCGACACGATAGCAAAATTTCCTATCAGGCTTGAAACATACAATGACGCAGAAATGCTAAAAGTGCACGTTCAAAAACTTCTGATGAACCCCTATGGAAAACGACGAACAGATGACGCATTGAAAATTGCCCGAGATGATTTATTCCGCACAGCAAGAGCTGGAGTTCGTCGCGCGATGGTTATTGTAACAAATGGACGGGCAAACGGTAATCATCACTGGTCATTGGTTTACTTATCCCTTACACTCTTTTCTGGTTCTGACGGAGCTTTCCCACGAACATAAGATAACATGAGAATAAGGACGCAAGCCAAGGCTGTGACTGAATAAGGTTAAGAAAGGGTTTAGAGTTAGGGGTATCGGATGTAACGAAACCTAATCCTGGTTAACGAATCCTTATATTTGAAGGAGTAAACCGTTAGAAAGGCCATTTCAGTCTGTCAAAATGGTATAGATTTAACTGGTGCCATGACCATTGGGCATTAAAAGACTGTGAAATTACAAAAGCAGCCAAAACGTGTCTTTTCACAAGAAACACTCTCTGCCTCTCTTATCGGGGCTGTAGGACAAGGTAGCCCCTTAGAAATCTTATGCAGTTTCAATTACCAATCTCTTCCTCCTTTTCAGGTGACGATCCAACTATAAATTGGAGCCAGATGATAGTCGAGCCTGCAAGAGAGCTCCAGGAGGCTGGCGTTGAGGTGTTCGTTGTCGGTGTAACTGCCCATGCGGCCCCAGAAGAGCTGAAGATCATGGCTACTGATCCTAGCACACAGCATGTGTACCAAGTGCCAACGTTTGACCAAATACTGACTGTAGTGGAGCCGATAGCAACACGGATTTGTCATGGTACTGTTTGACTTTTAGCTTTCTTTTTGGTTAGTTCAACAACAGACATTTTGATTTTTATTGCACACGAAGTCTAAAATCCCTCTAATATTCCCCAGGGCCTACGTTACGAATTTGAAAGTGGAGTGGGGCAGGCTAGCTAAAGTAGGGGGCCAAGGCTTCTTTCCCTTCTACTGCAGCTTTAAAACTACTTGTTTCGCAAAAAGTTGAGGGGTCATGGCCACACCGCCCCTCCCCTCTCCCCCCCCCCCGGAGGCATGG